TTCCTACATCCACCACCCAAACTAACCCATCAACCAGACCAAGAACCCAACCACCAGAAACACCATACCCAACTCAAACAAACCAATACCCCAAACCCACCAAGAAAATAAAAACCCCCCAAAATGGCCGACAGCATCGACATATACAACCAATACCCCGTGGTCCTGGACCCGACCTCCAAAGCCATCAACCTCTCGTCGCAAACCACAACCCCAGCCTCCGCAAGCACAGTAACCACCGAACTGACCGAACTAAACGCCCTGCACCGCGGCCTCATCTCGCTCGACGCGCCCAACATCCCCCCACCCCCGCTCCCCATCAACCCCAAGCGCAGCGCCCAGATCACCAAGCTCCGCGACAGCGCAAACGCCGCCTACCGCAAGGACAACCACGCCGAGGCCGTGCGCCTGTACACATACGCCATCGACATGGGCATCGCGCGGCCCGGCTGGGAGCCGATGAGTCTAGCGCGGGAAGAGCTGGCGGGCTTGTTTGCCAACCGTGCGCAGGCGTACATGGCGCAGCAGGCGTGGCCGGAGGGTTTGGTGGATGCGAAGTGTAGTGTTGAGAGCAAGCCCGTGGGTAATGTCAAGGCGTGGTGGAGGGCGGGGAGGTGCTTGGCTGAGATGGGTCGCTGGGATGAGGCCCAGGTGGCTATTGATAAGGGGTTGGAGTTTGAGCCGCGGAATGGCGACGGCGCGAAGGAGTTGCTTTCCTTGATGGAGGAGGTTAAGGAGGGAATGAAGAGGGCGAATGCTTCTGCTTAGGTTGGATGGCTTTGAGGGTGCTTGTCACATGGGGGTGGTTAGGGGGTAATGAGGCTTGATACATCCTTGGGCTGTATTATCATTCTGTTTTTTACTTATCTGCATGATTGTCATCATGGGTTTCGTTTCGTTAGTGACGGCGTTGGGTTGGAATGAACTGGTCTTGATATCTGTGTCTATATCTATATATGGTAGAAGGGCAATACTCAGTGACCCACTGGGCACTCAAAAAGAAAGATAAGAGCCAGCCGGCACAAGATAAAGGGAATGAATTACTATTATCAATAATCGAATACAGCAAAAAACAAAAAGTTATTCCGATGCGGGGAATCGAACCCCGAGCTGCTGTGTGAGAGACAGCGATGTTAGCCATTACACCACATCGGATGTTGTTGAAGGATTGCCGTTGTTTTGGATATATAAGCCAAATAAAATGCACAAAAAAACACCTGCAAAGATACTAAACACTTCATCTAGCTTTAGAGTGGAATTCGTTGTAGATTTGTATAGTTGCCATGTCGAGACCTGTGGTATCAACTTTCCTTCAAGGAGTGCATTGATCTTTACTAGAGTCTTGTTTGTTTTAACTAGATTTGGGTTGCTTGACTTCCAAAATATATCCACTAGAGACATATACACCTTGCAGGGTGTCAGATATATATTATAAAAACTTAGTGACCAACAAAAACCCAAACACTATCCAGAGAACTTATTAGACTTGATACACCGAATACCTTGAACACTACTACTTCAATAATCCAATGATAGCAATTAGTCGCAACTGCCATCCTATCGTCAAAAACCCTCTATTTCCAAATTCAAGATCGTTCTATAATCTCTTATTTCACATATAAATATATATCATGTCACGTCCACAGGGACATTGAAATTTTACATGTAGGGTATATTTTCAAACACGCCCGACAGACCCACCAGTGGCCCATCGCATTCTCGCCGAAAGCCCGAAGCTACTTCCAACCCTGCAGTTAAACTCAGCGTGGTGGTCGATCTAGCACTGCATCCCTCGACCTGGGGAGTACAAAGAAAAACGAACAAAAGAAAAGTGCAACAAAATAATTAGCCCCAAGATAGCAAGTCCACCACTATTGCCGCTCCGCGGCATCCAGGCCAGACGACCTCCTCTCCAGGGCCCGGGGAACATCGACGCTGCTGGATCGCACATGATCGTACCGGCCATGGGACAAGTCGAGGGACCGCATGCTCAGGGCACAGACGGACTCCGGACGGGCCTCCTGCCCTGTTTTGGATAAGGTCAAGAGGGAGATTCCGATGAAGTTGAGGAGGAAGCCGCACATCATGGAGGTGATGCTGGTCCAGTCGCTGGTGTTCAAGCCCTGGTAGAAGATGATGGAGGCGGTGAGGGTGCAGGTTGTGAAGCCGACGTAGTACATTGCGTTTACTCTGTGGTGCTTATTAGTACAGGTATACTTTTGAGTAGTGGTGATGTGGTGGTGGTGGTGGTGGTGGATGCTTACAGAGACGCGGGGAATTCGCCCATTGCTTTGTTGAGGTAGTTCATCTGGGTTAGCGTGGTGACTACCAGGACCAGGGAGAAGACGTAAGTGGATGCGTGGGTGAACTGGTTGTCGCCGGCAAAGGTGAGCTTGATGGCGATTCCGAAGGCCTTGACGGACATCACAGAGATGGATCCCACGGTGGAGCAGATCGATAGGTAGACTAGCGGGTTCGTCCGGCCCAGTCGCGGGGCGACTTTGTAGATCATGTAGCTGGCGAAGACGGTGACGAGGGTACAGTAGATGAGGAAGCCTGGAAAGATGCTATTAGTTTCCGTCGATACCCGGGGGTTAAGTCAGGCAAGCCAACCTGGTTGAATGGCGAGGTGCAGGATCTCCTCAATGGTCTGGATGTCTCTGTCGCCCGGCGCATGGAGGACGAGTAATACTGATCCCAAAAGGCAGATGGCGGCTCCGAGCTTACCAAGGACTTGGATATTCTCGTTGAGAAAGTATGCGCCCATCAAGGCGCTGGGGTCCATTAGCGGAGGGAATGCCTTTGAGACCACATGACTCACCTGATGAGTACGCTGAGCGCCCCGAGCGGAGTGACCAGCACTGCTGGAGCAAAAGCGTATGCGGCTGTGTTCATAAGCTCTCCCGATATCACTGTAACCGTTAGATTCTGGAAATGATAGCTCGACTAATAGCCATACGGATGGTCATCCCACACCACCATAGAGGACTTCGCAGATATTCGAATCCTTCTCCACTGAAGCCATATTTCTCCGCCGCTTGTACAAGGCCCTAGTCGACTGTGTCAGGTATTTGGTTCCCCCAGATGCGATCCGCGGCGTACCTTCTTGGTGATGACATAGCTCGAACCTGTGCATTGCGACCGTTAGCAAGCTGTTCAAGAGGGTACTGCCGGGCAGTTTTTTTCTTTTTAATAGGAACAAGAAGACAAGAGATATCAAAAAGCACATACCAATGGCCAACGAAGCCAGCACAGCCAGTGCGAGGCCAATGAATCTGTCCAAGAGCAGGCGAGTAAGCGGCTGAACCAAAGGCAGATCGTAAGCGCGGCCAAGGAATAACGTACTTATCATGTGCTCCCATGCTCACCAAAGCCGTCTGACATTGGACTGGGGAGAGAAATAATTGAGAGGATTAATGTGAGTGGGCGAGCGAAAATGACGCCGAGCACCAGCAGGGGAAGTTGAGTTTGTTTCACTTAATCGGCGCGGCTCGATTGCGGGATCACAGCCACAGCCCAGGCACCAGCGCTAGTATCAAGTAGTCAAGGAATTTTTCTATTTATTCCGTACCAAAAATTGGGATCTTCTGGGAAGCTCCACATTAAGATTATTCGCACAAAACTATTCAATCCATATCTACATTTGTCCTGTTTGATTTTGATTGTGTTTCTTTCAGGATCTTGCAACCTTATCTTTACCCACATTCTTTGCTGATTGGTTCCTTTTACAGTTTCCTGTGCTGTGATTCGTTGCTCGTGTGACGCGGGCCTTAACCTTATCGATAAGCATTTCGGTTTATTGAAACCGAAAGTTAGTCTGATGTATAATGTTACAATGTAGCTGTTAGCTAGACGAGGCAAAGCACCTGATAAAAATATATCAAAATACCTACATTATAATATAGTGTATCGAGTATGTGTACCACACTATACGTAATATTATATGATCCTGTTTGTACCTGACAAATCCACTGAAACCTGCTAATAGCCCAATATGTAGCTAAGAGCTATGCCCCCACACAAGAAGTACACACATACTCTTGACCTAACTACCAACTGATCAACCACACATCTCCTCCGAAATCCCCGAGCTAAAGTAAACTACCCCCGATGCTTCCTACTCGCCTCAAAAAAGCTCACTCCTTAATATCCGCCGAGAACTTCTCATCAGCAGCAACCTGCCTCTCCATAAGCGGCTGCACTTTCTGCGCCGACTTTTTCGGCGAACAAACCACGCCATTCAAATCCGCAGCTATGTAATCACCGGGGTTAAGCACTAGCTCTTTACCCGCTGCCTTCCTGGCCAGCCCCACGATCTTAGTGGGTCCCTTTTGGCGTTTGGAGGACCACATTGATAGGTTTGAGAGGAAGCCGGTGTTTGGGTGGGAGAGCTTGAGGTGGGGGGTCACTTACGTCGCATCTTTTTTTTTTTTTTTCTTTTGCTCTAGTGTTGGTGCCGTTGAGGGATGGAGCTTACGTTGTGTAGGCTTTGAGGGATTGGATTGTTGGGTCTGGCATTTTGGGATGGAATTAGGGCTTTGGTGTGCTGTGGTGTTTGTTGCTAATCAGGGTAACTATTGTGGGTATTAGGATTTGTATCTTTGAGAAGGGTATTCGGGGCGATGTCGACAGCACCCTGATTCAGATTGATGTAGCTCGGTTCCCAGGCCGTTTGCCGGGGTGTCGATCAGAGGATAAATCACTGTAGCATGAGTCCGATTCATAGCATGATTCTCTCAGAGTCACTATCCGTGGTGAAAGTCATGTTGAACCTGTCGCGATTCCGCTCGGGGATCTGCCGCGGAAACTCCCCGAGAGGTAAACCACCCAATGTATATAGTTCCCTGAGTTAAGATTATAATATTCTACAATATTAGTATAGTACCAGAAAATAAGAACAATATTCTCACCGCACAATACTCATCGAATTCCATCTATCTTATACCTACTACCTATTTCACCAAACCAAATAATATGAATATCAAAATGCCCGACCCAACCGCCCAAACCATAACCATAACCCCAGCCTCGGCCACAGCCCTAGCAAAAGCAATCCTGACCTCCCACGGCGTGCCCGCAGACAGAGCCGACCTCATCGCCACAGCACTCACCCTGGCCGACCTGCGCGGCGTCGACACGCACGGCATAAACCGTCTACCGGGGTACATCGCCCGTCTCCAAGCCGGAGTAGTCGCACTGGACCCAGAGCTATCATTCAACACCAAAACGCCGACGATGGCGCTTCTGGACGCCAAAAACACCTTCGGCTTTGTCGCCGGCAGCATGGCTATCGACAAATGTGTCGAGATGGCACAGACCTACGGAATGGGCATGGTGGCCGTCCGCAACAGCAACCACTACGGCATGGGGGCTACGTACGTTCTCCGTGCGATCAAGCAGGGGTTCGCTTGTTTCGCGTACACGAATGCGAGTCGGGCCATGCCGCCGTGGGGTGGTGCGGAGGCGCTGCTGGGGACGTCGCCGTTTGCGGTGGGGGTTCCTGGTGGCGCGGAGGGGGACTTTGTCCTGGATATGTCGCCTTGTGTTGCGGCGCGGGGCAAGATGAGGAAGGCTGTGAGACGGGGGGAGTCGATCCCCGAGGGATATGCGCTTGATGCGCAGGGACGGCCGACGACGGATCCTGTGGCGGTGATAGAGGGGGGCGTGGTTTTGCCGATCGCGGGGCCCAAGGGGAGTGGGCTGGCCATGATGATGGACATCTTTGCTGGCGTAATGAGTGGGTCGGCGTTTGCCGGGGGTGTCAATGATCAATATAAGGAGATGGAGAAACCGCAGGGGGTTGGGCATTGGTTTTTGGTGTTTCGGCCGGATGTGTTTCTGGATGGTGGGGTGGAGGAGTTTCGGGAGCGTATGGATACGTTGCTGAGGACTGTCAGGGGCGTCAAGAAGGCAGAGGGCTTTGAGAGGATCTATGTTAGTGGCGAGATGGAGGCGGAGGTCGAGGAGAAGAGGAGGACGGAGGGCATTCCTTTCACCAAGGCGGAGGTGGATGCCTTGCATTATTTGGGGTTGCAGGCTGGGGTGCAGATTAAGATGGAGGAGGTGAGTAAGTAGATTTTAATTGTAGTTGTTATGCTAATAGAGGTCATTTGGTGTGCTATGTGACGAGCTATCTTCGCTAGAAGTAGATTATATGTACGTCCATCCACCATACTGCCGTTATCTCCCGGGCGATCCCCAAGACGATCCAAGAATGAATATGTGGGGGAAGAGTGTCACGGATGAACAATGTATGAGCTTGAGGGGAGTTAGGGCTTTCCCCGAGTGACTGAAAGTTTCCCTGCAACGTCACGTCCACGGTCATTCTCCCGGCGAATTTCCGGGCGAATTTCTGGGATCTGCATCCAGATGAAAGCGACCCGCATATTGACATCAAATCATCATCGAACTGGGTTATGATAAAATCACGAGCTAGATACGGTGTTGATAAAGAGGAACACATTCACCTGGACTGCTTGAGTTCGAAATATCAATAACACTTTGTCCATCTTGATACCATGAGTTCTATTGATGTCGACACTGCTCCACCCCCGGGGGCTTGGGACAGCCACGTTCACATTGTGGACGAAGATCAATTCCCGTTGCACCCACTCCATCCCTTCCGGCCTAGGAAAGCGCTGTTGTCTAGCCTGCAGGCTTTTCACCGCAGCTTGGGTATTCAGCATGCATGCCTGATTGCATTCTCCGTCTATCATACAGACTACAGCTCCATTTTGGATGCTCTCTCACGTCTTGATAAAGGCCGCGCAGTTGTTTGTATTGACCCAAGCACCATATCGGATGAGGAGCTGCAACAGCTGCACGATGCTGGTGTACGTGGCATCCGCATTAATATGCGCACCCGGGGTGACCCGCTGAACAAGGCTGCAGTGATAGCAGCGGCTGACCGTGTGCGGCCTTTTGGATGGGTCATCCAGGTGTACATCGCCTTGGAGCAGATTGTCGAGTTTGCGCCCCTGGTGCCACAAATCGGCCTCCCAGTTGTCATTGACCACATTGGGGCGCCAGACCAGGCTCGTGGGCCTGGCAGGCTGCAACCGGGGTACACCGAATTGATCAATCTGCTCCATACGGGGCAGGTATGGACCAAATTGAGCGGCACATATCGTTTTCCCAATCTACCCGATCTCGACGAGTACGTGGCCGACATATTAAGGACGGCACCAGACCAAGTCGTCTGGGCGAGTGACTGGCCGCACAGCGGGGGCGTTGAGGCCAACCCGGGAGGAGATCGCAAGAAGGTGCAAGAATACCGGAAGGTTGACGATGCAGCCTTCATAGCTAGATGTAGAAAGTGGTGCCGAGATGTCGAAGGCGGAACTGGAGACAACTAGCCCGCAAGATATGGGTAGAGAACCCAAGAACGCTGTGGCAGTGGGATGACGATGAATGAGTAGACTTGAACAATCTTATGGATGTATATAATGGAATAATGAAACCTATTATCCAATCTTGTTTGAATATTATGCTGTGGGGAAGAAGCATTCTCCCCCGGAGTCCATAACGCCATATTGAGTTTCAGGAAAGCAATCCAATAAGGTGGAACCGTCAAGATCCGTACTTCCGCGGTTCAGGTTAGTGCTGTAGCCCACGTCAAGATCTGGGTACGGAAAAGCCGGGAGATATTTTCTAGCCAGCGGGGTTTGTCCGGTGGGTGCACACGCGAGTTTAGCATCGGGCACATTCGTTGCATCGGCTCTGAGGCTGTTAGTGATGATATGTAGGCTCCGTTGTACCACCGGACATGCTCTAGTCCCCTGCCTTAGAGCCTGAAGGAATGTCTGTATTTTGACGTGAGCGTCGAAGTCTCCTTTCTTCACATCTTGCATCAGGACGGACGCGGCGGTGTAGATGCAGTAAGACATGAGGTAAGTGATCCTAGTGAATCCAAAGCTCCTCTCAAAGAGAAGCAAGAGTTTCTCAATACTATCTGAAGCTGTGCGGCAAGCGGCATGATGCGTCGGAATGTAAGAAAACGGTCGGTGTAGCAGGATAATGGTAGTATAATATAATAAACTGTAAAATGATTAGCGACATTGCAAAGGAAGCGCCTGACGAGGGCTCACTTTTGCGTGATAATGTGAGGCGGAGGACAAACTTGGGGCAAGTTGGCCGGATCATATCTTAAATGCACAGGCGACTGTTCTCTCCAGTGGTCAAGTCTCCCCTGGATTCTGTTCAACGCTTCATCCATGTTGATATTTCCGCGGCGGGAGTATAGTTGAAGGATGATGTCGTTCAAGATAACAGCAAGTTTGCATACATTTTGGAAACTTGAAACCAAATGGGACTTCATCGGCGGATATTCCGCTGGGGGTGCCTTATCGGGACTGATTTGATCACCATAGTACGGTGCCCATAGGTCGTTCTCTGCCGAATCATCCACTAAAGACGGTTAGCGTGTGTTGCTTATGAGATGTCGAGCCCAGTACTGACAAAGCTCCGGACACCGATCGAATGGCAGCTCTTGGAGAATTGGCATGCGTCCAAGAAATAGGCTTATGGCCTTATCCCAGAAGTAGCAGCTCCAGAAAAGGCGTCGGCGGATCTCCAAGTCCTCCGCAGTTAGGTGTCCAAGCGTAGCGATCTTAGTCGTGCTGTGGTGGAGTCCCAGGTCGCTAACCATGCGAAAAGCCATGCCGCTGTACAGCCATGCTTGAGATATCGAACCCCAAGCGAGCTCGCGGGCACTGAGCTGAAGAAGGCCTTGAGCAGTCGGAATGCTGCTGGGATTATGTATTTCGGTGCCCAGGAGAAGACGTGCTCTTGAGATCAAGAGTTCACTTGTTTGATGATCGTCAAAACGTGCTGCGTGAGCACACATGACAACGACTAGAAAGGGAGAATAACATGGCCCGCTGACAGCCATATCTCCTGCAATAGAGTTAGACGCGCTTTATGCAAAGGAGTAGTTTTGTGACTGACGCATGAACGCGGGGCGATAGACCCAGTTGAACATCGGCGCAATCCACGTCCAATGGATTTGGAGCAGTTTCGATATCATCTGCCGAGGGATGTCGGTTTGAATCGCCGCATTTCCTAAGGCGAATTCCTCCCAGGTTCTCGACTCGAGAGCAGCCGAAGTGAGCAGTGACCGGGCGTCAGACATGGACGAATGCGAGTCATTTATGTTTGTTGATTCGGCCGGTGGTGGCGCGTGGACGGCGGATGTAGGACCATAGTAGCAAAGCTATCCAAATAACTACCGGGTCAATGAACATACAAGGAGCTTCCTGCATTGGAGGTTTACGTACCTTTCCATTTTCATCGAGACTGAGATCCGAAAGCAACACCTGTTCCGGCGCCATGTCAGATCCAGGAGTCACCTGTGTCGTCGAGCTCGCCTCGGCGTGAGAAGAGCTATCGAAACTGGTATCAACTGAGGGCGTATTGGGAATATGCCGCTCCATTGGAAATACATGCTGAGTCAAGTTCGCCTCTCTTGCCTCGTGCAACGCGACACGCAGCTCAGCGATGGTTTGCTCAGTCTCTTGTAATCTCTTGGCCATGGCAAGGATCTGCGACATGGGTGGGGCCTTTTCATAGCGACACTCCACGCCATAGACCTCGCAGGTCTTGCATCCCGGCTGCGTGCCATCGCATCTTGTCTAAATGAGGTGAGCGACAGATGCTGCGAGAATATCGATCAAGGATCGAACCAACCTTTCTCACTCGGCAGTTGGCACATGTCAAACCACGTTTCGACCGATTAACCCCCTCAGGCGCACCGGGTCTCGAAGCGTTATCGTTGGTCTGGCGTGATTTTGGCATTATTGCGGACACAATGGTGTGGATGATAAGGGGGAGCAAAAAGGCAGGAAAAAAAATAGTGAGGCGAAACACAAGGATCACGGAATAGTGTATAGGGGTCGAAAAGCTGTTAGGCCCAATACTGGTAAAGATTTACCTTAATTAACCTCGACTCGCATAAAAGCGGGGTTCCCCCCATATTCTTAATACCAGTCGACTGATCCAGTGATCTCCTATACTATTCTGCGAATATTCCATTCTTTAGTCCCAATGCTAGACTGCAGTTTCGCCAGAACCATCTCCCGAACCGTTCCCTACTAACAAACTAACTCCTCGTTCCCCAAAGGCTAATTAAATGCCTCGTTAATTAGAAATATCTGCATAGGGCGTCATAACAAGATCGAGATCTACGTAAGCCCCAGAAAAACCCACCATTAGCCTCTTTTCATGTACCCCATACTAATATAAAATGCTATACTGGACAAGCTATGATGCGGTGGACTCCGCGTCCCACTGTCGATGCTTACAATACCGAGCATAGAAGGTCATAGAATATATTTCTAATCATTTAGCCTCCTGTGGAGGTCCTGTACTCTTAGATAAGACGAATTGGCAGAGTTTTCTCGTGTTTACTACGTCGGAGCGGCTATTGCGGGTTGAAAAAAAGTTGGATTCCGACTAACCCGCGGAAAGAACCTGGTAACGTGACATCCGCATATCTTCGACAGAAACACTGCTGCTTACCCTTGGTTGCGAACTGCTTGGGACGAGACAGGATGGGACAAATAGCCGACCAGGTTGCTGTCGTGGATCGGCCAAGTATATTTCTCCAAAGTTGGTATCCCGTTATATTGAATTAAGAAAAGAGTGTTATGATTCTGATGCTCATCAAGCAACTATAGCACCGTACATTCAACACATTGTACCTCGAGGTACGTGAGAAGAAAAGTAACATAATATCCCATGGAGGGTGTCATTCAACCATTCATATCACATCGCATAGAAGTCATCCAGGGAATCTCCTTTTAAAAGGTCTACCCCCAACCTCCTACCCACAAGAAGGACAGCCCATGCCTACACCATACCTATCGAATCTTCCGAAGACCCTCGGTATCCACCTTGGGATCAACAGTAGCAGTCTCGGCCCAATCCACATTCCTAACCGACGCCTTTTGACGATATGAGCGATACTTTTGCAAGAACCTTCGATATCCGAACAGAACTGCAAGAGCAATCACCACAGCCGCCACACAACCAACCACGATACCAGCGATAGCACCGCCAGAAAGACCTGAGCTTGACTCCTTTGTACCTGAATCTTTGGAGGAAGAGCTCGATGATCCGGCAGTGGCAGTGGCACCAGCGGTAGCCGTAGGACTTGTGACAGCGGTGAATTCATCCGCTGTGACGTTGAAACAAGGCACCTGAGTTGTAAACTTGCTGGCGGCGACATATCTGACATCGGCGCAGGCATAGTAGGTTTCGTTCCTGTCGGTGTCGAAGTCCGAGGTGTACTTGATTTGGAAGGTAGCGTTCATTCCTTCTTCGACATCGATGGAGGGGTTGGGCACGGGATAGCATTCGTGGCCTGGCTCGATGTCCTTGATGCGTGATCCATCGATGAATGACTCAAAGTCATCATTGGTACTAGGGTCTGAATAAGAATTAGCTTGGATGAGCTGTATACTTAGGAGGTGGGACTTTTTACATACTGCTTTTGTGAGAGATCGCGATCTGAACGTTCCATGATTCGTCTTGGATGACGAGTGCAAGTTGGCCATTGACTTGAAGGACGCACGTTCATTAGCGGTTTAGTAAACATCCTGGTGCTCAAAGGGGACTCACCCATAGGGAAGTCGGTTCTGTTCGTGGCACCAGAAGATGAGCCACATGGAGCCGTGTTATCGTAGGCGGCGCCCCAGGTACGATCTGACGGCCACATGAAGGCCACAGGGCCCATCTCTTTGGCTGCTTCTTCGCCATGGGCCCATGCGCCAATGGCAGAGGACAGGGCCACGAGAGGCACAAAGCTACTCTTCATGAACATGTTGGGGGACACCTGCTGAACCTTTCCAGAGCCTTGAAAATTGACTAGGAGTATATGGAGTTCTTCGGAAAGGGGATCATAACCGCGCTACTTATAAGCCTGCAGCAGTCTACTCGCCACCATCCACTCTTGCAAATCTCGGGGATCCGATAAACGGCCCAACATGCATGTGTCACACTACCATGTGTGTCTACCCGCCAAGGAACGAGTTCATTCGACAAAGGCCCGCCCAGGTCTCCGGCATTTTGCAGCCGAGAATTCATTCACCGGAAACTCTGGCATGACTGTCCGTGGTGGAATGATACCTGAAAGTCGAGCTCATTACGCGAAAATTAGTCTTTCCCCAATTGCCAAGAAAAATAGATTACTGATCCTGTAAACAAAGAGTGCAGGGCGCAAGCAAAGGCCGGATTGGATCAGATAAGATCAATCAGATAAGATGGTGGGTGGGGCCCTGGCTCACTAATCTTTTTAGCGCTCTTCGAGTTACATTGTTTTTACCACGAATAACTTCCGATTAGTCCAAAGCAGGGTCTTAGAGGGTCCTTTCCACATCTCTCCTCTTATTACTCCGTACCCTGTCGGCATATTCCGTGGCTTCAGAAAGACACTATCCCAGGACTGGGAATCGGTCCCGAGGGGTCTTGAGTCCCCGATGGTCGTACGACTCTTTCTTTCTCTTTTGTTTTTCTTGTTCGTTTGTGTACTTTGGATACAATACTGTTCTATCACGGAAAGGAGCGCAACCGAAATATGACTCTATCTTAGCAGTCGGAAGGATGTATAAGTAGGCGCTAAATTCCCAACTCCTCACTGCCTTTGCCCACCACCCATCTTTAGCCTTTTCAATTACTTAGTATTTGCCACTCTTTTCGTGCATCCCGCGTTCATTTGCCAAACCAATCATGCATATCCCTACTCTTGTAACTCTCGCCTGCATGGCGGTCAGCGCCAGTGCGTTCCAATACCCAGACTTTGTCCCATTGCACCGTCGGCAGGACCCCGGTACTCCCGAGTACGACTGCCATGCAAACTGCGGTCAGTTCAGCTTTTCCTATTTATTAAATTGCTTCATAGCAGTAAACTGATCAAACCAGGGGGAGTCATTGCTGCTGCTCGTAAAGACGGCTACTGCGATACCGACACTTTCAAAACCGAGTTATCTGAATGCCTTAAGTGTGCACTCAAGTACGACATGTGGAAGTATTACGGCTCGGGTGTTTCCAAGGCCGCTACTGGATGTGGTGTGGACGCCACTCCTGTCGAAGCGTCCTCCACTACGACCACGGCCGCTGGTAGCGCCAGCGCTACTGAAACGGGAAACTCAGTCACCTTATCCCCGTCTTCCACTTCGACTAACGCTGGTGCAACCACGGGTGCAACCTCTGCTGCTTCTGGCGTTACGCCTAGCTCTAGCGGTGCGATTACCTCGACACCCGCTGCATCTACCGTGGTGTCTTCTGCGACACCGTCTCAGAACTCGGTAAGACTTTCGTCTTTTTCTTTTGAAACCCCACTAAGTCGCTTCTCATAGACTGGCGGTGCTTCGCCGAGTGTCAGCTTATTCCCTGGAGCTGCGTCTACCATTTCGCACGATGGACTGCTGCTTAGTGTGCTAGCTGGATGTCTTGCTGTGGCCTTTTTGTAAAGGAGTTTGACTATTTGATATGATGCTGTCAAGAGAGCTGATCAAGTGGAATAACGAGATTGTACTCTACTGTGAACATGTACATGTTGTTGAAGCTATGCGGAGGTAGAGGCGAGTGGCGACGGTATTTAGTTAATTTTCCGAATTCCAGTACTTTAATCCACTCCCATAGAATAGTAAATGACGCTAGTAAAACCTTCAAGACATGTCGGAACGACGTTGGTTCGAAAATCCGATTTCCGGTTTAAAATAGTACTCTGCCTTAGTGATGCAACATGAACAAAGCTATACAAAGACCTCTATACCCTAGAAACTGATGTGTCATATAGTACAGGGCCTACGTGCGGTGTGCAACGTTGTGCATTAGGGATGCTACTCCGACAAGCCCAGTTCCATGGACCCACAACGTAACTTTTTATCTGATCCGAGCTTGTGATTCTGCGTTAGCGTGCTTGTTGTGCTCGGAGCAGGTCGGGACATTCTTGTCTCATATAGCTGTGCGCTTATCAATCGGGGTTGGAATAGTGAGTACTCCGTACATTAAGAATGGTCAGACCTTGGACATAAGCAGGCGCGCTATATGATATAATTACTATTTTATTAGGGGCGCTTTAGTAAAGAAAGATCCTAGTATTTTGAAAGGACCTCTTCTCTCAATCATCCATAGATAAAATATAATTTAGGGTACCGGGCCTTGTGAAAGACAGTTCAAACTTTTCAGAAAATGTCAATCACGTGGGAGTAGTATAGTTCCTGGTTGACTGGAAAATTCTTAGATTATTCATAATGATCGACATCCTACATGCGCTCAATGGGGACCAGACTGGTAAACAGGCCAATGAAGAAACATATACCTCAATAGCTGCCAGGGTGTAGCGTAGAAGGCCTGCGATACTCCACTTGCCTGCATGGGACATTCCATAGCGTTATGTGTGCCATTCGATTAGGAAGTGGTCATATGATGGTCAGCGTGCACAATGATACATATGAGTAATCTTGTAGACCAGATAGAAGGACGCCAAATCTTGATCTCCGATTCTTCCACAGCTTAATGGCGAGGAATGAGGAGGCTTCCTGGGCAAGCTTCTGATTTTCGATGTTATTCGAACTTCGAAGTACGGCAAGAAAATAGTGTATTGTATGTATTAGAAAGCTGATCTGGTAGTAGAATATTTTTAAGAACTGTTGTATCGTATTAATCGCCTTGATACTGCGAACTTTAATGAGCTCAACGATCATCTTTGTCTATGTAGCACTAAACAGGCTAACTGATCGAGAACAAGTATCTCGATATCTGTCGAAAGACATAAAAATTGACTTTCAACCATATTATTTGGGACTTATGTATCTCACTCGGTATTACAATTCAATTTAATTCTAGGGACCTCTGCCGGTGTTCCAATGTTTCCTATTCAAGATAAGTAAATGTAATGTTTTATGCCCCTGAACCACCCGGGATAGCTTCCCGGTATACGTAGAATATTTTCTCGAGCTCTATCATGTATATCCAGAATATCAATTACAAAGAAAATAGGCCACTCAAATATTCAAGGTAGTCTCTCTAGAAATTGCCCCAATTCATTCATACTGACTGCTAGATCGACAGTCGCAGATGTCGGAGGTTGTTTGTACGACTCATCATTGCCCTCCTTTGTTTGCCTGTACCCTCATCCGTAGGATGTATGATTGGCAGATGTCCCCATAACTTGTCTGATCTAGTCATATGGCAACTCTCAACTGTGCATTATCCCTCCAGAAACCGTTTTGCATTGATTTGTTCTCTGGAAAAAGAACGACAAAGGAGCCTTGGTTGGACTTTCCTCGCCTCTTCACTTCCCGAGGACACTGTTCGATATAATCAGTCACCAGAGGTCAGAACACGTCTTCGACATCATGTCGGCTACAAGCCCGAACAGAACTATTTCTCTGCCAGAATCTTCAACTCATGCCGGCTTTTTAAGTCTCCCGATCGACCTGCGCAATAATATCTACAGACAAGTGCTGGCTGTGCCACATCCAATCTTCTTATTTCAGGATCCGCGTTGCCCTATAGAATCCTTTGCACCCGAAAAGCCAAGCCAATGGCTTGTGCTTTTATATACCAATCACCAAGTATCCAAGGAGGCAAAAGCCCTCTATAATACGAATGAGTTCGTCCTGGAGGAGAGTACAAAACGCCAGGGCAGTCTTGTGAAATCTTTCCTAAACTGCATCGGCCCGGTGAATGCAGGCTTTCTGTCGTACCTGCGGATGGACTTTCCAGCCACAGAGAGAGTGGATGGCCAACTGGGTGAAATAAAAATAAGGAAAGATGGCCTACAGACTTTGCGACTCCTCCAAGAACAGTGCACCAACTTGAAAACACTGGAAACCCTCGTTTACGGTCCGAACTACGGTCTATTAACAGACCAAGAGATCGATATCCGACTCCTCCGAGATGCATTGCAAGACATTAACACACAGCTCAGAGCTATTGAGCCTCTTGACAGAATCATTGTCAGGGTTTGCAGCGGATCTGCAACCCCTCCAACTATAGAGTTTATGGAAGAGCTTGGTTGGATTATCTTCACGTAAGAATCCTTAATGCAATCTCATGAATGATGCTATATGAAAGCTAACTAATAAAGCCGATAGCAAGACATAGTGTAAGGAAAAGGAGGAGTCTATCTAGATAGTACCTCGAGTCGTTAAAGCAATATACTCACATGCTGTTTATAATCACGCGACCGTTTCGATACCAGATCATGGCAAGTTGCAGTAAAATGATCTAACTCGGAACACATTCTGCCGTTCTAAGAGATTTTATGAGGGTTGGGCAGGCTGAACATTTATAGATTGAAAGAAGCGGACCCACATGCATAGAGGGTCAGTGATCGGTGATCAATGATCATAATTTCAAAGGCCGAGATCCGGCGTTTGCATCGGACTATGCGTGGCCGATGAGATCGACTGAATCAAGACCGATAATTTGATGGTCAGTGATCCTTTCGCACGCCAGTGGGAGACAAGCAGACATCTTCGAGCCGCTTCACACGACTTTCGACCAATTTGTCTCTGGGAGTCATGGTCGATCCAATCGTCACTATCATTTGTCCCATACGTTGTCTTTAACAGTAATGTCGTTAATCCAGCTGTAACTGCTGGGCTCGCTCGTGTGAGGAGACCATTTCTCTGGCCACGTCCAGATAAAGCATTGCAACTATAAAATATATCTGAGACTAAAAGGGCAGCGAGGCCCATTGTTTGCCGCCGGCCACTACGAGGGCTTTCTGAAAAGAGCCACTTTTTTCGTTCTAGAACCCACTTCTGGATATTCTAGGGGAACCAAGAACCCACGCTTGATGGAGACTTCTTCTACTTCAAGAGTATTCGTTATAGGTCTCGACTTGAGACAATCACCGGGAGCGTCGTAGGGCTATGGATCAAACGCCGTCCAGCCTATCACCGCATAGATATAAGCCGGATCCACAGCATGAGACTTCGTTTTCTCCAGTTATGATAGATATAATCCTAACTGTAGCTAGCCTCAATCATAGATATATAACACCATGCCAACCAAAAAATGTCTCTCGTTGCCCCTCGCCCAGCAACATGGAGAAAGATAGCCAACAACCGGATGACCAAAACCAGCCCTTAGAAGGCCCAGTCCAGCCTCCAACTCAGCAACAGAATGAGCTAAGTGCACCACCAGATGGTGGATATGGCTGGGTCTGCACAGCAGCAGCGGCCACAATCAACGCCCACTCGTGGGGCTTCAACTCTGCATACGGCGTATTCCTCGCTCACTACCTGAAGCAGGACACCTTCCCCGGCTCCTCACCCTTGAAGTACGCCTTCGTGGGATCTCTAAGCATCACCCTCCTCTTACTCGTGTCACCCATCGCCACAATAGGCGTCCGAGAATGGGGCATAAAACCAATAATGTTCTGCGGAGTCATTCTCGAAACCGCCAGTCTAATCAGCGCGAGCTTCGCCACCGAGATCTGGCACCTTTTCCTTACACAGGGAATCCTCTTTGGCATGGGCGTAGGCTTCCTCTTCATCCCCACGGCCGCAGTCGTCCCGCAATGGTTCACCACAAAACGCTCCCTAGCCAGCGGCATCTCGCTCTCCGGCGCCGGCCTCGGCGGCCTCATCTACTCGCTCGCAACCGGCGCCATGATCCGCAGTCTAGGGCTGCAATGGGCGTTCCGCATCCTTGGCATAATCGGCTTCGTCGTAAACACGACCTGCACACTCCTAATCAAAGACCGCAACAACGGCCCCACTACAGGCTCCCACAAACGAACATCCATGAACCTCACCCTCCTCCACAAAGCCGAATACCAACTCCTCCTCGGCTTCGCCAGCTTCACAATGCTCGGCTACTTCGTCCTCATGTACAGTCTCGCCGACTACGCCAACGAAATCGGCCTCAACGCCTCCCAAGCCTCCATCATAACCGCAATATTCAACCTCGGACAGGCCGTCGGCCGCCCCTGCATCGGCTACTTCAGCGACCGCGTCGGACGGATTAACATGGCTGGCTCCATGACTTTCCTGGCAGGTCTCTTGGCGCTGGTGGTCTGGACAAATGCGAAGACCTACGGCGTGTTGGGCTTCTTTGCCGTCGCCGAGGGGCTCGTCGGAGGGAACTTCTGGGCCACTATTGCGCCGCTGATGGCTGAGGTCGTCGGGTTGAAAGAAGTGCCGGCTGGGCTGAATCTGTTATGGTTGAGTATTGTGTTGCCGTGTACGTTTAGCGAGCCGATTGCGTTGGAGATCGTGGCGGGGACGGGTGATTATCTGGGCACGCAGTTGTTTACGGGGTTTGTTTATTTGGTGGCAGCGGGGTGTCTGGTGGCTTTGAGGGGGTGGAAGCTTATGGTGGATTCGAGGCGTGTTGGTGTGTCTGGGGATAGTAGTGGGAGGGTTGGTGGTGTGGATGCACCGAGGGAGACAGAGAAGGTCGGGTTTGTGGAGTTTTGCCGGCTTTGTGTTAGGAGAGCTGTTGTTTGAGTATAATCTTGTCAATAATGGGGGTTGGAAACTGATATCTATGTTGTCGTTAAACGTTGTTTGCCATGAAAGCCTTCAGTACAAATCCCCTTGTACACCATGTCATACCCTTGAATGCACTCATATCCAAGAAATACATCATCTAGAATACGATACAGAATCTCGAATAGCCTACCAGCCATTGCCCATGCTATACATAAGTCACCAGCTGAGACATACATAGTATTAAGCCAACGCTAGCCTGAGCTCCCTCCAAAACACCCCAAGTACTATCACATCCCCTCCTCGTCACTAACGAGCCTACCGGGGCTCTGCAACCACCTCTGAACTACACTCCTCCGTCTCCGGCAACTGCACCGTATACTTCCTAACAACCGCAGCCTCCAAGCCCACATCCACACCAGCAAACTGCAGAATATGCCCACCCACCCTCCTATCCTCCGAAAGAAAATGCAAATGTAGCCCCACAACACTAGACGCATGCGTGAACCCAGGAGCAAAGAACCCAAAGACCACCCCCCTCTGATTCTCAAACAACCCCACCCTCTGCCTTTCCACAACCTCCGCCATGGTTTCGTAAGGATGGCACTGCGGTCCGGCAGCGCGGTACTTGATCTGCGAGAAGACGCCCTCGATTCGAATCGCAAGGAAGGAATTCGCCGAGCCCGGACACAGACCTGCGATGACGTCTAGGAGAGTCTCGTCGCTGAGAGTGGGGAGGGTGACGCTTGTCGTGGGCCGGAAGTGCGTGGTCATGAGGAAGGGCGTAACGTCACAGGGTTGGAGCGTGCGAGCTCCCCCGTCAGATGTGTTCTGGTATGCCTGGCCGTCGATGATGGTCACTTCGCCGTCCATCTTAGCTAGTGTACCCAGGCCGTGGTCGCCTTTGGTGAGGAGCTGGGTGACTGGGACGCCGTCGTTGCAGATGCCTTGGGCGAGGGTGTTGATTACGGAGTATTGGTATATCTCGTTGGGACCTGACATTGTGGGTGAAGATGGTAGGATTTGGGATTTTGCAGGTAGTGATAAGCGTACGGGGGTTGATTATTTGTGTATTGGGTTTTAGCACTACATACACGATCCACTCTGTAGGTTTTCCTTTTCCTCCCTCGTGCGTTTCCAGGTGAGGGTTTCCTACATATACACATTGGAAATATGTCATTGTGGGAGATAGAGTTCTAAGTTTCAACCAAAGTATCCGGACGAACGGAATAAGAGGAGATTGATATAGATGACGGTGGGACTTAGAGTCGACTAGCCACACCGGTTATTAAAACCTAAACCTTCGATCTAGTGGCAAGGGTGTTGTTCGCAGGATTGCAAGGTTAATACAAACACAATTCACAGGAATGACATTGGAATAACTATGGGTCGTGGGCTCAGCCTTGGCTGCGCTGTTCCCGAACCCTGAATTTGACATCATCAGAATCGGTTGGCATCAAGACATTCCCCTGATTAACAAGACTTTGTGTAGCTACGCCAGTATTATACGTAACGGCAAATGCCTAGTCGAATTAGATAAAGATATGTGGGAAGCAATTACTTCATTCCTTGTCATTTTAATAGCAATTCGCCTCCTATACATGGCATGTCAGAGAAGCTAACGCAGCTAAAGATGGTATAAATGAATAACAAATACCAGAACACAGATTGTACCCAGGTTTACTCAACAGCTGATTCGGACCTTGCCAAGATCTATAGTCCAGCGAGGGTTTGAATGAGAGCTGGTTATACTCATACATAAGCTTTTACAACATGTCGCTCAAGGAACTCGTCGGTATGAAAGGCGGAGACTTCTTTCACCACTTATTGATCCATCACAACGTTGAACATGTTTGTAAGTTCTCAACGAGCTTGGAGCCCTACATACTTGTCAGTTCCCAGTACTGATTGCTATACAGTCGGTTATCCAGGGGGTGCTGTGCTTACACTACTCGACGGAATCTTGGGAAGCGACAAGGTCCAGTTTATCCTTGCTCGTCATGAACAAGGCGCAGGACATATGGCAGATGGCTACGCCCAAGCCACCGGACGCCCAGGAGTAGTGCTTGTGACATCTGGTCCGGGGACGTCCAATTTAGTAACCGCTATGTTGGATGCATTGGTTGACGGGAATCCAATGGTGGTCATCTGTGGGCAGGTTGCGGTCGGTGTGCTAGGCACTGGTGCATTCCAGGAGATCGATGTTCCAGCGCTCGCCAAGCCATGCACGGAATGGTTTACCGTTGTGCAGAAGATCGAAGATCTTCCTTCTTCATTAGAGATGGCGTTCCAGCAGGCCATGGGAGGACGGCCTGGACCGGTTCTTGTTGCCATTCCGATCGATGTTAGCTCTACTATTTTTGACAATGCAGCATTTGAGAAGGCGTCGAAAGATATCTCGCGGATACGAGCAAGTGCAAACAAAGTGGCACAGCAGCCTAGTCACTCTACGCTGCTGCAAGGTACCATTCAGCGGGTAGCCAACCTGATCAACACCGCTGAACAGCCAGTGATTATTTCTGGTCATGGAGTATTGAATTGCCCGAGAGGTTCTTCGCTTCTTTCAGAAATTTCGGAGTCGGCAAACATTCCTGTTGCTACTACTCTCTTGGGCCTGGGAAGCTTCAATGAGACTAAGCCTGAAGCCCTCCACATGGTTGGAACGCACGGAGCAGTATACGCCAATTATGCGGTGCAGAATGCAGACCTTATCATAGCCTTGGGAGCTCGACTAGATGAGCGCGTGGTAAGCGACCCAGAATCGTTTGCACCGAAGGCTATCGAGGCCGAACGGAGCAGTCGGGGTGGAATTATCCAATTTGATATCGAGCCCGACAACGTCAACAAGGTTGTTCGAGTAACAGAAGCCGTGATTGGTGACTTAAGTGATACCCTGCCGCTGTTGATCTCAAATTTACAGAAGGGGAACAAGCACCGTGCATGGATCGAACAAATTCAAGCATGGAAGAAGCAGTATCCCTTCCCACCCAGGTCACCAGACTTAATGACGAAGGTTCTGCCTTCCCACATTCCGATAGAAATCGATCGACAGGCCAAATTGTCATCAACACGAACAATAGTGAGCACTGGAGCGGGCCAGCACCAGATGTGGGCAGCGCGCTGCTATCGCTGGCGATCTCCAAAGACATTTATAACCTCGGGTGGCCTGGGTACAATGGGATTCGGGGTCCCCGCAGCTATTGGTGCGCAGCTAGGATGCCCAGATTCTCAAGTAATCAATATAGATGGAGATGGGTCGTTCTGCATGACAATGCAGGAGCTCTTAACCGCCTCACAGTACAATGTGAAGATAAAGGTCATTATTTTCAACAATGGGGAACAGAAAATGATGACCCAGTATCAGCAAACTTATTTTAACGGTCGAGTGGCATTTTCACATCTGAAAAATCCAGACTTTGTGACCCTAGCAGAGAGTTTCGGTTGTGAGGCGCGTCGATGTCATCTTCTTGAAGAGCTGGAGAGTAGCATCCAGTGGCTTTTAGAGGCCGACGGTCCAGCAATCCTGGACATTAATCTGGAGGGCGAACCTTCACTTCTTCCTATTGTACGCGTTGGGGCGTCCTTGGATACATTCATAACGGAGGAGATTTGCTAGCAATATAAGATGATCTGCCTAGTTGGATTATCCAATGTTTCTCTCGGGGCTATTGGTGCAGTATACCCTAAGTCACTTAGGATCATTTGGAGGGACTTAAGTACTGGCAAGTCAAGTAAAGAAATCAGGTGACAAGTTGCTCAACTCCATTAGGTATTACGGAAGGATGGGTTGATAAGGACAAGGCCGAATCCTTTGAGGGAGACCTTCAAGCAATGTCTAGGATTATTGAAATCCTGGATGCTGAAGGTCTCGCCGAGTAACAATTCATATCCTTAGGTATCATCCATAAGATACAATAGATAAGCTTTCCGATTCAAAGTTTCGGCCAAACCATTATGTCTGAATCTCGTCAAAAAGACCAGCCAGGTACAGTACCGTACCACTTTTTACCTACATGTTTGTGTATCATTGCACAGGCGTGTTTGAAAGAGGCCTTCTGCGCTGTCTTTTTTGTTTGCTGACCTATTTGATTCTGCAATCACCCGTTCTGAATCAGGCATCAGCGTTCAGAGGCAATCAAGGTAGAAGCCCTATATGACTGCATTATCCTACCCACATTAACATCCCCCACCCTTACTATAATCGCTATTGTGATATGACTACGGGTTTCATGTTGACAACAGTGCCAGGCCGCGTTCCAGACGTACCGCCTTTATCTCTTTGTCTCTAGGCAGTATAAAGAAGCCTCGGTATCACCTCGATCGTAACATCAAGGGCTCCGTTTCATCTGATCTGACGATTCAGGAGATCAGAAGTTTGAATATCGGATAACTAGATATCAATTTCGATTGATATTCCTCTTTTCGGTAACAGTACCTGTTATCTAGTCTTACAAGGACTACATACGGTATCTGGTTTGCCACGCATCCTAGGTTCCTTGGGTTGCACGCGACGAGTCACCACGTACACCTTGCAACCTTGCATGGATGCAAATTTTGATTGACTGCGAAGTTCTCTCAGGTAATCAGGGCGGGAATCATCATTTGTTACTCTGCTGTAAGAACTCTCCATTTCTCATGCCCCGCTTTGATCCCCAAACGCTCCTCGCATCGCAAGGGACTTTGACAAAGCTCTATTAACATTACCTCCAGCAACTTAGCTTCCAAGTCGACACTTCTCTCCAGCTATCTCCTTGCTATAGCATCCCTTCTACAAGTTTTAACCGCGACATATCATATCAACAGTAGAGGTGAGGAGAGGGACCAAAGACGACGTCTCATTGAAACTCCACAGACAGCGAACCCTCAACAGCATACATACTCGTGCACACCACCGAACCCATTGCATCTATCCAACTCCAACCCCACAACGCCAACATAGTCTACATTATGGAAATATACACCGACAGTAGCTGCAGAGGCAACGGCCAGCCCGGAGCCATCGGCGCCGCGGCCGCCGTCCTAAAGAACGGAAATGGGGAATACAATACCAAGACCGAGTCCCTTCCCCCACACCCGCCTCCCACAAAACTGCGGGCCGAGATCACAGCTATCATCCTGGCCCTGAAGCTAGCCCTGGAAAGGTATGACGAGCTAGCCACGCGTCCGCAGTTGAAGGTCACGATATACTCGGATTCCACATATGCGTTTGGGTGCATGACAAAATGCATTCACAAGTGGGCAGACAACGGGTGGACTAATGCTGCAAGCGGCGACGTTGTTAATCGGGATCTGCTGGAAGAGGCTTTTGATCTTGATAAGAGATTGAAAGAGGTGGGAGAGGTAGAATATGTTTGGAGTTTGAGGGAGAAGGATCAGCTGGCGGATCGATTGTGCAATGAGAATATGGAGGGTCAATCATAGGTTGTGACTCGGGACTAATGCTGACTGGTTGTATTGATGTGAATCTGATTACTTCGTCTTTTGGATTGATTGATAGTTAGGGGAGCATTGCTTTCGCTCGGGAACAATGATAGCAGCATGTCGAAACTGGTGCTTGGATGCTTTTCTACAGCGACATTCCCAGTGGTGTATGCACAGGGGAAGTATTTACTGATTTCCAGGTACGCTGATGTTGCCATAACATAATCGAACAACGAGCGACTTTAGATGTACAGGTGGTGACTTGTGAATATTCATATACGATACCTATAATGTAACTCCACCAGCAACAACGTCAAAGCTCAGCTCAAATTAATCAAAATACAATTCACCATGGCCAAGAGGAAGTCATTTAACGCCTTAACAACCAAATAGAGGTGGAAGATACTCCGATTGAGAACGTGTTTACCACTGGTTGCTAAGATACCACTCTGCGAAATCGTTGAAAACATAGAAGTCTGCTTGCTGAGATAGTGAAGGTCAGAAGAGCGCAAATAAGTATCTGGACGTAACAGAATGAATGAGTGGTCGGGATTAAATAAGTGGTTTCAACAAGTCAGTGCTTGGTGGCCCAAGACCAGTAGCCCTAACTGGAAGATGATTTGTAGTTATTTGTAGTATCCAGTGCTTATTACCTATATTTATCTATCCCATGAAACCTAACCAGGGAAACCATGTCACAGCATCGGTTGAAGCACTAACACAGCCGAAGGAAAGTGCCCAGAGACGGAATGAATAGCAGCATGTCCCCGCGTTGTACACGGCGATGTGGTCCAGTTGGATTCGATCCTGGCCACATCCCTGCTCGGTGCGCATGACCAGCGCGCTGAGCTTGTTGCTGGTCTTGATATTGCGGCGCAGTCATCTTGCTTTAGCGGAACTGTCCGGGCTGGGGTTCGTCGCTGTACGATTGGCAATTTGATGCAGGGATATTCTCATCCCGCCGGGTGGGGCCTGCTCTTATGCCGCATGATTAAGAATAGCTGCTTCACCCAACACCTTGCACCTTAGCCATTCTTCCGGGCGTGATTTCTTCGTCGCTTGTAGAGTGCCAGCATGATTGACCGGTTTTTATGTGGTGCTGTCAACAGTCTCGCCATCGCGTTACTTCTCTGGATAGAGGGTGTCCTCGCTGGAGGCTTCACTTTTCCAACAGAAGCACAACATCGGTTTATCGTTGGGGATCAGATCAACGTAACCTGGGATGTTGTCACGCCGCGGATATCCTTATATGAAGCGTGTGGGATACAACGGTGGATTCTTGCCTGTGAGGGGTCTTATCCTGAACCGAACTGTGTATTGCAGATAGCTAACGAGTTCAGTGAATGTTGTGAATAACCACAGCTATGTCTGGACCGCGAATCGAGATGTCTATAGGGAGTCCGGCTGCAACTTCGAGCTGGAGTCTTTGAGTTCTCAGGGTGAACCTGATGGCAAAGCCAATGCAACAAGCATTGTCTTTGGGGTTGCAAAGAGGTACCACGATGATCCGTCGCCGACCTCCTACCACTTTGCCAGTACCCCGGCCACATCTTCGACTGGCACTTCAACCACGGCGACAGCCTCGACCGAGGGAACAGGTGTAGCTACAGCCACGGACGTGTCTGCTGAGACCCCATCTCCTGAATCGAGCAATGGCGGGCTTTCCTCGGCCGAAAAAATCGGTATAGGCTTAGGGATTCCATTGGCCTTTCTCCTGATGGCCCTTGGTGTAGGATCATTTAGATATGTTCGACGGAAAAGATTACGAGGAACCTCACCGGAAGCTACCGAGTCGGTGTGGCATTCAGATACTGCTACTCTACCTGGCGGGTTTGTGGATGGAAGTAATGCGTCAAAGAATATGCGTGGATCTCACACAGACACGATTATCTCAGAGCTGTCATCGGAGAACTACAGGACGCGAGATGAAAGGCAGACCAATGAGATTAGTGAGTTGATGGGGGTGGAGCGCAGCGAGCTGCATGAATAGTATTGAATATGATAAGTATAATATAATGATAGTATATAATGAATGTGAATTCCCTGCACATGTACTGCGGTATACATTTGTATCAACTTCTGACTATAGAAATTGGCATGATATGGCTTGAACCAACAATGGCACACTCAGAATTAAGCATAAGCCATGTGTGATCATAGTATATAGCTCACAGTTGCGTTGCCGTAGAAGTAATCCTCCAAGTGGCCTCGAGTTTGCATCCGAGTTCGCCCTAGACTGACACTGGCCGTCGCCTCTCAGGTAGTCACACTTGCGCCATCTATTCGCTTTCATGAATAAAAGTCCAAACTAGCGAAGAATACTCTTCGAAAACCATACATAACAAAAGTGTTCCCAGATAACACCTTATCTCCGAGCGAGGTTCCGAAATAGGACAAGTCCGAATCGCAAAGTCCGAGTTTTCGCCCCCCCAGCCGGACTTGATTTCCGCTTTTAGTAATGAGCTGTACGTATGCGGCGTCAAGCTCAGCGCCAGCTACCATCAATCTATGAGACTATGACTCCCTCGCCATCTGTGATTTGTACAATTGCTGTCTGCCTAGGTGGCGAATCGATAAGATATACGTACGCAACGTTGACTCATACTCGTCTGTGCAGGTATAAATACCGCCGTAAAACCCATGAGATCCTCAGCCAAACACAAACAGATCTAACAAGATCAACACCAAAACATACAATCTCACAACACAGAAAGCCAAACATGAGATATTCATACCATTTCCACCAGCCTCCCCATGCCTGGGAGGTGGATATGTCTGTGCTAGAGGATCATCCTTTCTTTGCTCACCACCATCCTCCTCGGTATGAGGACCTCTTTGAAATGAGACATGGGAAGCATCTTAAAAAGGATAAGATGCATAAGGGAGGACACGCTATGAGGGATGATGACTTCCCTGGAAAGTCCAGACTCGGGTTCGGTGGTCGTGGAGGTCGTCACCATCCTCATCACCACCACCCCCCGTATGCATTTGGGTTCGGTGGCCATCATGGCCATGGGAAATTTCACCCACATCGCCATGGACATGGACATAACTATGACCCGGACCACGAGTCCGAACATGCTTTCAACCCATGGACTAAACATGACAGATCAGGCCCCAGCCACCCTGGCTTCCACCACAAACAAGGCGGGCCAGGTCCCCACGCCCACTCCCGGGGAAAGTTCCACCGAGGAGGGCTAGGACATGGACGAGGCCCAGTAAACAGACACATAAAGGGAAAAGGATTCCATCATGTTAACAGCTTGCACCACATGCACCCTCTCATGCGTGCACATCGTCACTACTCACCAGACACAGCCAGTTTCGCGCCTCCAGTGGACGTCTTCGTTACCGCTACCCAGACTGTTGTCCATGCGTCGCTCCCAGGAGCTCAAAAGTCAGATGTGAGTGTTGGATACGATGCCTCGCGCTCGATGCTTCGTATTGCTGGTGTTGTGCATCGCCCTGGTGTGGACGAGGAAATGCATCGGACTTTGTTGGTTGGCGAGAGAGGACGTCATTTGGGGGTGTTTGAGAGGGAGATTCCGGTTTCTCATGGGGTGGTAGTTGACGGGGTTCAGGCTCGACTGGAAGATGGTGTTTTGAAGGTTGTATTGCCCAGGGTTGAGGGGGAGGAAGTTCAACATGGGAGTGAGGTGGAGGTGGAGATGGTGAATTCTGACAGGGAGTTGTCGACTCCAGATGGGTCTCAAACTGAAGGAGAGGATGAAGAAGAACATGAGGGTGAGGATGAGGAGGCTGAGAAGGAGTTTGTTAAGGTGGATATTCAGTGATTTTAGTTTTTCTTGGGTTTCTTTTCATCGTTTCCTCGAGAAAATTATAATTATTTAGGGTAGGGTAGCTTGTTGAATCTATGCTATCCTATATCACACATAACATGGACACGTATTGTTTTCGTAGTGCACCAATCGAAGCAATTTGCTAATGATCCCAATGATAAGTGTTTTTTCCCTTTGCTTGATCCTCAAGTGATGCTTCGATAATAGAGGAGTGAAGCGAGGATTAAATCGTCATTAGTTTAGAGCCGCACACTGCAATTTTAGAGTCATCGAAGGGTTGACGTTACACCGCCTGTCATACCTGACGGGATTCACTAACAGCCATTTGATCTAGCAATCGTCCATTATTGCTACCAGGAGTTTAGAGGTGACGGACTATTACTGGGCCACTGAGTGACGGACCTATTCGTCCCAAAGCTCAATAAAACGCATCGAGACTTTAAGCTCCAGGTTCGAGATAAGGTATACAATAAGTAGTACTAATGTCCTTAGCAAGTTCTAGTAGTAGTCAGAAGAAGAAACGGTTCATTGGAGCTTTACAAGATATCAAAGCTATACACAAGAGAAAACGCCAATCGCAGGTATCCAATAGGAAAAACCGCCGCAGAATAATGCCATGATGCAAATTTGAAATGAAAGAGAGTAGAAACTTAAACTAAAACGCTAGAGCCATCATTCTTCTTGCACGAGCAGGACGAAGAACCAGCTGCAATCTGAGAAGGCGTTCTAACATAGCTAGGAGGCACATCCAGTACAGGATTGCGAGTAAAGAAGTGACGAGGGCGAAGAAGCAATGTCATAGGCTCTGCCGGCATGATAGGGTAATCCTCAGGAGCCGGGAAGTGCGTGAGTCCGAAGGTGTGCCACAGAACAACATCCGTGTTGTCAATGGAGCTATTTGCACCGGCTTCCTCGATCCAGGCAGGCAAGCCCTGCGACGGCTCTCCAGAAGTCTGAGGAACGTGGCGACCAGCAGGGTGAATCTGGTCATCAGAATCTTTATAAGAGTTAGCATTCATCTGTAAGCATGTAGAGAGCAGGGAAGGGAGTCTTACATTTGGTAACATGGACGGCATGTCTTGCGAAACCAGCTCGCTTCCAGACCAATGAGCCCGGCTTAGGGAGCAGTGGGGGAACCTCGCGGCTGACCAGCTTATAGCACACGGGCTTCTTGCTGTAAGCGTTCAATTTGTTCGTGTTGGCAATCTCCCAAGTCCGTCCCGTAAAGCCATCGTAATCGGACATCGCCTCAAGGGGAGTGGTGAACTTGGTCTTCTTGGCGTAGAAAGCGTTGCCATACTTATTCTCGGCGCTTCCAACTTCACCCTCGCCACGGACAGCGTCGACTTGGAAGACCGTGTTGTTCGGTCCATCGATGTTCGCGTCAACACGCAAGCAGAACAAATGCTGGTGGTTGTGCGCGTTCACACCAGGATAGACCTCAGTGCCCCAACCCTTGGTGTCCTCTCCGGGGTTCATGGCATATGTATTGAGAATACCAGTCAATTTGATGTCCAGCTGCACGGTACCATCCTGGTGGAATATCCAGTACACGCAGTATTCGTAGTTCGCAGCGGTGAAAATGTGGGAAATGATCAATTTGCGACCACGGGTGACGATGACCGATTCGTCCCGGAAGTCGGTGTGCTTGAAGAGAATACCTGCATCTTCCTCGTGAATGCAGATAGCATTCTTCACGATGGTGCTAGCACCAGCGCGGTTTACAAATGCCGCATCCATATAGTGAATCGCTCCCTTGCAGTCACATCCAAGGGACAGACTGTTCGTCATGTATCCACCACCGTATTCGCCGAGGTCGAAGGCGTGCTTGCGCTGATGCGGGTGCTCTGGGTTTCCGTACGGCACCACCATCTCTCCGAGTGACAGACGGTAGAAAATAGGGCGAACATTACCCTTGTCGTTGAAAGTGATGTTGTTAAGTACAATGCCTTCACGGTAGTTGAAGCCGACGTGGATGTTCCAGTTTTGCCACTCGATGTGCCGTCCCTTGACTTCGAAAGACACACCTTCGGGCTGGGTGATGTGAATGGGCTTCAGATCTGTCCTAAATCCGCCTTCCTTTTCGATCGCTGCAGGGTGGTAGTTGTTGGGGGGCGCTTTGCTGAGTGGCCGGCGTACCGGTGGGACATCAATGTGAATAATCTGCTTAGTCTCGGCATTGAAGATGGGACAGAAGTCCAAAGGATATGTGTACTGGGAATCATCCATGTGAGGTCGGTAGTACATGAGCGCTTGCTGGAGGCGAACCCCGGTACCAAAGCGCTCATCGTAGCCGATTGTCCAGGCTAAACATGTGTTAGTTGATTCAAGAAATAGCCTATTTCTCCCCTTCTACTCCGTATGACCTGGGAAGACTTACGGTCACAGTACACCTTGTGCATGTCCTCCTTTGGGATGCCAATAATGGCGCACTGTTCAATCACCTTCGGGTCCTGGCGAACAAAGTGTTCGACTTCCTGCAAGTCCTCCATAGTAATCAAAGGCTGCACACCGGGGGTATGCTTCCATTCGATGATTTTCTTCTGGTCCAAGTCAACAACTCCGTCGTAGATCTTGCCGCCAGGCGCAATTGCAACAACATCAGCAGCTCTCATAGGGCGGGGAGTCTTCTCAGGGTTGGCCAGCCAGGCCATCATCTCCGCCTTGCGCGGCTCCCAGAGAGTGACGGCATTGAAGTTGACCTTGCCATGTGCTTCGCGGATGAGAGCAACGGCGGTGTCGATTTCAACCGTTGATAGGGGGTCAAACGGGTGAGGGGGAGGAGACGAAGCGCTGACCTGCAAGGTCAGCTGCTGAAGCCGGTCGAGGACCATGATTTATGTAAGTCGTCGAATAGTTGCGAGAATTTGTGTAGGGTTATTGGGGTTGTTGAAGTGGGAGGTCGTCTACCGGGCTATATAGTTTGGAAAAGTCCCCGGGTATAAATGTCGGTGTAACCCACAATGAGAGAGAATGCAAGAAAGTGACACAAGACACGAAAAAACTGTCCATGACGAAGAAGGGGCCCTTGCCTTTTAAGCTGCAGGAGGGTTGGGTTCTGCAACGCACTCAGCTGCCTCACTTGATAACCTGGGGAAGCCGATAAGTCACGACGCGATAAGACCCGGATCGCCCTTCTGAATCCGGTATAGCGGCCTTGATCTAAAGCGGCGAAAGCATGCGTTGGAACTCGGATCACGACTTGTGTTAAAAAGCGGGGAAGCAATCGGATATGTTTACTTCTATCATGACAGGCGGTCTTCCACTTGGTCACACTGTCCACGTAAGGGGGGTTCAATTCCTCTGGCGGTTGCCGATCCGCCACCTGGCGACGTGTTCCCATCGGATATGATATGTCAATCTGTCAATTGGTAGTGTCACAGAAACTAGGTACATCCTTACAATATCGCCCAACCGGTTCTATGCTATCTACGGCTATAGAATAAGGGAACCCAAGTATGCAATTGGAAAGGAAAGGCACGCCTGTGAAACGAGAATCATATTCCAGCCATATAACAAACACCGTACACCCTTCGCAAACACCCGTCTCCCAGACAATGTGAAGCATCTCAGGCGACGAACCGTGAAATGTGAGACCTAAAAAACAAGAAAATGCGACTCAAAAAGATAAGAAGAGATAGAGGCACCGCCCTGGTGCGACATGCTATGTACATCCGTCACATCGTATCCATCCCGCAACCCCCGCCATGAGAAAGAGAGAAAAGCAATCGCTGTGAACGAGGTAAAGGGTAAATAAGACAAATAGTGTCCAGGGATCTGGAGCATCCCTGAGGGGGGAATACTCGACAGTTCCCTGTAAAATTTCAGACACGAAGCCTATACAAAGAGACCAAACAAAGGGAAAGATGCAGAGGAACAATGATGCAAAGCGTATCATAAACTCCCCAACCGAATCTAACACCCATTGACAAATGAGATCCTAGCTATATGACTTTCATGCTTTCCCAACTTGAAATTGTCCCAAGACTCCTCCGACAGCGCCAGGCGTCAGTGCGCCGAGGCCCTGGTGCTGAGGTGTACCGGCATTGGGTGTGCTCGGCGTGCCAGTAGCAGAATAAATTGTAGCCCCGTTGAGATTGGGTGTCTGATGAGGCATCTGATACAACAATGCTGGCATCTGACCGTTCAACCCCCAGATTTGTCCAGAGTACTTGGACTCGTCAATGCTGCCGTTGAAAACCAACTGTCGCATCTTCCAATAAATTTCACCGGTGACGAGCGAATCAGACCCCGCCTGATGAGCAATGCCCACGCGTTTGACACCCAACTCGTCGGCAATATCTTGAAGTCCAGACTTTTGACCAAGGTTGGTGAGAATCTGAGCGGCGGCTGGTGTCAGAGGAGTATCATTGACGGCCTGATTGCGTCCGGCATGCTTCATCAAGTATTTAATATCGTACAGCGACGGGAAGAAAATATTGAGAAGTTTGTGGAACTCTTCTTCATTCTCCGGTAAAGGCTTGCAGAGCATGATTTTCATCAAGTAGCCAAAATCATAGCCGGAGTGGAATGACACCCAGTGGACGTCATCCAGCAGGACGAGGCCTGAGCTGATCAAAAGCGCACCGAACTCGAAAGGGTCAATACCGTTCTTGTCGTGCATGGAGAAGTCAATTCCAGCTTTGGCGAGCATGGCCGTAGACTCTTGTGCGTACATGTCATCCTCCAACGAAAACCGGAAGTTGAATTGCCAGGTGCAGGGGGCCGGCACCAGACTATTCCCGAGGGGCTGTCCATTCGCATCCGTAGCATTGGGTGGGGGCACCTCTCCTTCAGCAGAAAACAGGGTTATTCCCAGTTGAATCATCTTCAAGAGATCAACGTTGCACCGAAGGGTCTGGTAATGGTAGTCCGCCTTGTTCGTAAACGCTCCAATAGGACGTGCAACGATACCGGGGAACTCGGTATCCTAAGTTATCGTTAGCATTTTACCTCTCAGAAAGTAGGCGAAGATTGCCGCCCCGAGAATCGTCTGGCAATCCAAACCCCCGAAGCCACCCAGTCGCGAACTCACCATGCTAATATACGGATACTTCTCCACCAACTGCCGTAGCACGGCCATTTCTTGGGCCAAGTTATGCTTCCATACATCCCGTATCCTTGTCTTCACGGCGCCCGCTTTGGCATCGAGTGCTAACCGGCCGTCATGAGCTTGATGGAGTTGTTGTTGCTGCATTTGGGCCCCTCTCGCGAAGCCCATCTGAGCCGCATGGCTGGCGAGACCTGTGCCGCCGCCATCTGCGGCGCCAAACCCAGCGACCGACATGCCGTTCGTAATTCCGGTTCCGGACAGTGTAAAAGGATTGATATTGGTATTCGGATTCCCGGCGGCGAAACCAGGATGGCCGCCAAGGGAGGGAGGCGGAAGAGCTGTGTTAGCCGACTGGGCATGGGCCGGATGATGTTGAGGTTGCTGTTGTTGTTGTTGAAGGTGGGCTTGTTGTAAGTGTGTGTAGGGGGCGCTCAGGCCAGTAGGCCCGTATCTGCCGACAGGAGGTGGCATGTTGTAGACTGTAACGTGGACAGCTCGCCCTGCATCTGAAATGTGATAGGGGGGGTTGGGCAAGTTCAGTGGTCGGGCCTTTTTCGCGCTGGACAGACAAGGCGCTCACAAGTCGAGTCGAGAAGGCGGACAGCTTCTTTGGGTCCGTCCGTATTGGGCCTAGCGCGCCAAGCCTCAACTTCTACGTTCCAGTACAGCTTCAACTTCGCTCCCACTCCCGCTTATTCAATCAAAAGTCATCGTGTCCCGTTTTGCTCCCCGCCCCTCATTGTACCCCGGAACCTGCGGACTCGGGTGTCGAACCTCTTGTACTTTCGCTCGCCTACCCATTGACACCGACTTTTCTCAGTCCTCCGTCTCATCCGCTCACCATGGCCGGCACGAACCCCACCGGTTTCGACCTCAAGGAATTCAAGGCCGCTGCTTCGCCCCGGTCCGTCTGGGCAAAGAAGGACCCCTGGGCTCGCTAGTGCGTCTCACGCGTGATCCCTCTGCAATTGCCCTTACTAACCCATCCGCAGTGAGACCTGGAGATACACCGGCCCCTTCAGCCGCTTCAACCGTTTCAAGCGTATCTTCCCCGGCTTCGGTATTGCCAGCGTTGCCTTCGCCGGATACTGCGCATACGAGGCCGTCTTCATGAAGCACGATGACCACCACGGCGAGGGCCACCACTAAACCAGCCCAATTGAAGTCAATGCATTGAAAACGGAAGGGAGATCTCGACGAATCGCTGACCGATATCAATGGGTTACAAAGAAGAGGATACCCCGGATTGCAGGCGACGATGTCTGCGTACCAGGAGAGGCTGCGGCATTTGGGTTTCATATAAGGGGGTGTGTGATGTGGTGAATCTGTGCTGGGGACGCTCGGACGAGCGGGAAATAAAGTATTCTGATGGTCATGACGCGCGCCCTTGCTCTACAGTCGGCGCTTGGGTTGTTTGGAATTTGTCCGGTGTACATAGTATCTATCTGGTTTTCGTTATATCAAGACTGTATTTTTTCTTCGTTCTGGTGCGGGATATGTTTGTTGTAGAATGGTACTTGAGCTTAGTAATTACTGTACTACGTGATGCGCTGGCTCGCGATACCTGTTAACTGGGGCGGTGGTTGAAGCATATATGGTTGGAAAATCGCGCTAATCGATATATTCATTTTTGACTGACTAGATTACTCCTCGAAGACGAAGGAGATGCCATCGTCACCGGCCGTAACAACACGCTTTCCATCCAGACTTTGGGCAAAGGCCATAATGCCACCGGATTGCTCGCCCTCCGAGTTCTCTGTGAGACCCAAATGGCCCTTCCATTCCTTCAACAGACCCTGTGCGGCAGCTGCAGTACCACCGCGCGCATCCCACCGCCTTACGATACCGTCCATGCCGACGGAAGTGAGAAGCCACGGCTGGCCCTGTCCAGATGCAGCAGATGCAATCGGACCACGGGGAGGCAAAGAGGCAGGGGCAGAGCGACTCTGAAGGAACTCAACCTTGACTACGGCACCCTCATGCGCCTCCTTGATATGACGACGGACAGCGAAGCGGTGGGCGGTGTCAAATAGGGCAATCGATCCATCTACCGAGCCCGCAGCGAGAAGACTCAGAGGAGGAGAAGAGAAGGACAAAGTCTCAATGCCGTCAGACTGGGCCTGAAGTGAGGCCAGGATAGTACCAGCAGCAGCACCGGTTGACTGAGAGGCGGCAGCCTTGCCCTTCGTTTTAGACGCTGCCCCGCCAGACGCAAGACGAGGAAGACCGACAATCTTGATTTGACCTTCCGCACCGCCAACAGCAGCGAATCCACCACCGGGCGCAACCGCGACCGAGTAAAGTCCTCCATCAACTGCAAACCGCTGGTCCTCCGGAGTCAATCCGACGACGGCACTAGTGCCAGCAGAGTAAGAGATACCGGCGGCGGCAGCAGCGCCAAAGACGTCGTACACGTAAAAGCTGCCATCCTCCGAGACAGTCGCGAGCAGCTTTCCATCGGGTGTCCAGGCACCCGCGGTACAGGATCCGGTGTGCTGGAAGAAGGTCTGCATAATCGTGATGGGCTGAGCGGTGTCGTTGTGGTCAATGCGGAATACCCAAGCGCTACCGTCATTTGCTCCCATCGCAATGACATTGCTGTTCTCCTCGTCGCCCTTCTCGCACGGGCAAACAGCAAGCCAGTTAATTTCCTCTACTTCCTGCGCCTCTGCGACAAACTCCCAAGCCTGACCAGTCAACTGGGGGGTAGTATCGCGCCATACGCGCAGCTGGCCATCCAGACCTGCGGTCACGGCATATTCACCCTTGGGTTCAGTGAACGCAACAGCGTTAACGGTATCTTTGTGACCTTCAATCTTTGCAATGGGCTGCAGAGATTCCCGCTCCTTTTTCGGTTGAGGGTTCGACTCGTAACTTTGTGGGAGAAGAGGACGCTCGGTGTTTGGTGTGGAGTCGAAGATGTATGCGGTATCGTCGCCGGAGCCAGTGAGAACAATAGAGTTGTGGATAGGGTGCTGAGCAATGCAGAACAGCGAGTCTGAGTGAAGATCAAAATGAGCGGAAGAGTCGTTCTCTAGGGTAATTTCCTCCTGCTCGAAGGTCATGGGCTCGTCGCCATCCTCGCCCTCGGAATCCATGGGGTGATCCTCATCGCGCTGGAAGATTTCCTCCGCCTCGTCAGCATCCACGTAGGCATCTTCCGCCTCGCGGTGGGGATCTTGAGAAGAAGACATTGTGTAGGTTATATCGTATCGTAAAAACGCCAAGTACTATTGCCTTGGAGGGGTATTATAATGTGAGGGAAAGATCCAATTGATGACACTGCGGATCAAGGGACTTTATATATAACGAGTCTCCTTTTCAGTCATGTACGTCGCAGGACACAAAAAAAGAAAAATCTTTGCAACAATTGACGAGCTGCGAGATTTTTAGCTGCTCAGTAAATTATGGCGATAAGGCCCCGCGCTTAGAAATTCGATAAATTCTCCCCGCGCTCCAGTCAAACACTGCAAACAGAGCCTAAGTCTCCGATTGCTTTATAATCGCAGTGCTTCACGAACCACCATGAATGTTCCAAAATATTAATGTGGGCCAGGCAACTTATGGCAATCGAAATAGTATCTGTTTTACTTTGATGGTCAAGGGTTCGTTCCAGTGCCTTCACATGATCTGCTACACTCAAGGCTGCGTTACTAGCAATAACATGCTCCCGCATCGCGCATCTAGAAGTAAATATATATTAGCATAGGGAATAGCCCGAATTGATCAAGCGCATTTGTACATGCCACTGAACAGCGAAAACATACTGATTAAGTTAGCAAAAAGTTACGATGACACAGTAAAAACACGTGGATGCTGAGTGTAAATAATAAATTCTATTTAATCAAGACTAGCTATGAAATCTTACGACTAGTATATAAGGACCTATGAAATCGACACCGAAAATCCCTGATCCTCTCGGATATAGAATCGCAAATTCTTGATGATATCTTCCTGCTGGAGATGCAGGGTTTCAGTGTCGATTGTTGCCGTATCGTTCAAAACAAGCTCAGTCACAGTATCATCCAAAAGGGCCAGCGATTGAAACTCGATCATAGCGACAAACTCTTGAAACTCACTTCGTCGTTCGCGTTTTGATTTGGTTCGCCCTGGCGCCGTATTGTGACCAAAAGAAGAAACTGTGCCCTTCAATATGACTTTGATCAGTGAATCAAAGACTGCTCGCGTTAAACCAGGAGGCAGATACTAATATGTCTCACACCCCACCTCCTGACACTAGAAATGCTATTGACTATGTGCTACAGGGGGTTTCAAGGCAGTCAATCGACTCCTGTGACCACTATACGACGCGTGCAGAGGCGATCAACCCACAGATTCGTCAATCAGTGGACAGACTAATGCCGATCTTCAATATTTATGTATTCCGAAAATTGCTATATACTCTTTATCTAACTGTGAAATTTGACTGTGTACAATTCTATCAAGGAGGAAGAAGCCAAGCTGGGATGGAGAGGGCGCAGTGAGCTTTTATGCCGGAGCAACAGAAGGCAAAACAAACCGGATCCGGTAATGTACAGGCCCACCGGCCGTTTACACCATCTATAGCTTGGCTCCAGCACGCCTGCGCTCCTCCTTCTCTTGGTCCCGAAGCAAACGACGCAAGATCTTGCCACTGGGACTCTTGGGGACAGCATCGACAAAGCGAATACCGCCCTTCAACCACTTGTGCCGAGCCTTGTGCTCTTCCACATACTTCTTGATCGATTGTGCCACTTTCTCATCATCCTTATCCGCCGATGGCGATTTGACGACGATAGCCTTCGGAACTTCACCAGCAGCTTCGTCGGGGATAGCAATGACAGCACAATCAGCGACGGCAGGGTGTGTGAGTAGGTGAGCCTCCAGCTCTGCAGGGGCAACTTGCAAACCCTGTAGTTTCTATTAGCGGGGGCATTCAAGTTTTGCAATGCCATGGGATGGAATAACAAACCTTGACTTTGATTAACTCCTTGATACGGTCAACAATAAACACATGTTCAGTTCCCTTAGGGCCCAAGCGGAAAACTGCTTCATCACCAGTGCGCATCCATCCGTTTTCAAAGGTTTCTTTGTTAGCCTTCTCATTGTTGAGGTATCCTAGTACCACACTTGGACTATAGACCACAAGTTCACCGGGAGTGTCGTAGGTTGTGATTTCTTGGCCTTCTGGGGAAACAATGCGTGCTTCGACACCAGGGATAAGAGTACCAGAGGAGCCAAGGAAGACGTCGGTGGGGTGAGTCGAGGCCACGACCGTGGATGTCTCGGTTAGGCCTGTAGAGAAGTATTAGTTAACTGTGCATATATCTTGTTGCTGCACACTTGAAGCCTACCGTAGCCTTGCCGAATTGTAACATTGGGATACAACTTTTGGAAATCTTCGGCCGTTTCCATGCCCAGAGGAGCTGCTCCAGTGAACAATGATTTCACCGAGCTGAGGTCATACTTGCTGCAAACATCGTGGTTTCGGAGCATGGTGATGATGATGGGGGGAACCTGGTAAATATATCAGTAACAGAAACCTACAGCGACTGAGCACAGTACGAACCAAGAAAAGAGACCCGATCTTGAAGTTCTGGATAGCAGCAAGGTATAACTTCAGCTCGAACTTTGGTAACACGATCACCTGGTCTCCTCTGTAGGGCCCAGTATGACACATAACCACCAAGGCATAGATATGGCTTTGAGGGAGTAGGCCCAGCACGACTTCAGTATGTTGGGGGCCTCCTGGTGCGGCGAGGGCATCTCGGTGGGTCTTCTCGAAAGCGGAGATCTGTAAAACGTTTGCGATCACATTTTTATGAGAAATCATCACTCCTTTCTATGATGAAGGGTTAGTATTCCTCGATCCATAATCGATTGTGCTGTGCACATACAGGCAAGCCGGATGTTCCACTGGAATAACATAAAAATGCGGTTCGGCGAGCACCCTCTCCAGCGCTCCAGTTGAGCCTCTCCAAATTCGGTAATGATCTTCCTGCCTCAATGAGTTGCGAGACGGTCTTGTATTGGGCAGGGATGCTTGCACCGCCGGTGAGTTCGGCGGGAACCTCAAGCAGATAGATACGGTCTTTCGGAAATCCAGCCAAAGACGCCGCCTCCAAGGCAGTGGACAGCAAGGGGACACAAGTGAATAGAGCTTTTGCTCGGGAATCAACCAACTGATGCTTCAGCTCGGGCGCAGAATAAGCCGCGTTGGCGGGCGAAACAACTCCTCCCAACTGATGGGTCGCCCAGGACAAAGGAAGGGTATCAATCTGGGCGAGGGGATGATTAGACGTGAATGACTCTAGATTTATTTTTCCGAACGTACCGTATTCACGCTGAAGACTGCTACCGTTTTGTCCCATTCGGTACCCTTATTTGGGGTCCAGTTGAACTCCTTTGCCAGTGCCCGAGCGAGATAATCGACTCGCTCTGCCACCTGGGCTCCTGAGTAGGACTTTCCAGTAATTCCACAAGTGAAGGGGTCTCTTGACTGTTGTAGCGGATTTCTTCCATATTGATTGTTGAGTATAAATTCGCTGATGGGAATGTTATCAGGAATTGCGGGTAATTCTCCCGCCCCTTTATGAGGAGTGAAGACCATCTTGGCAGGGTACTGTGTTACAATTGAGATATATGCAAAGAAAAGAGAAAGAAAAGAAAACCCGAAGAGCTAGGTATGAGAAAGAACGGAGAGGCGAATAGGACGTGAGGGGAGTAGAATAATAAGCCGGGGCCGGGGGTCGCTGCAACGCCGGTGCGGGGAAAGCTTAGCTCAATCGCGCATTGAAGGTGTTAATGTTGACAAGCCCAGAGAAATGACCGAGCCGCGGCTGGCGTCTCTACATACTACTCCGTACGAGTTCGGACTCCATGCATACATTTCTGTTTTAATGATGCCGATTCGGGCATTCCGAACTATCTAATCCTTCAAAATTCACCTTTTGAACATACCTTTGTCGCACATACAACCTGTCGAAGCTGTGTAGTTCGGCAGATAATGATTAGTGAAGGATACGATGGCCCTCGGATATCTTGGACGAGCCGAGGGTCTTGCTGAATGATGAAATCAAGCCCCTGACGGGCATATAAATTGGTGCCTCAGGCACCAAATTGCCGCCACCTGATATCAGAAGCGAGCTGCTGATAAGTAGTAGTTCAAGAATCTCAAGCTACTTGCTTATTAGGTAGTGTCATATAGTCCTAGTAGCATGTCGTACGAAGTAGTATAAACAAAAAGCGGTAGTAACGGTGGATACGGCCCACTAAATCGAAGTGCCGGAATAACATAGCCGGTAAGCAACCTGGTAATGTAGATGCTGTATTGCATACAAAATAACATATTTTTGAACACCAATATCTCACCAAGCTTATATTCTATATACTTAGTAACTTGATATAGTATTAGTATATATAACCCTTATATATATCTTGAGTATCTATAAGAACAAATTTCTAGAAATATGAATTACAGCTATATACAAATAATACTATAAAATGCACAGTAATTTGTATTACTCTGGGAATACATAATTATTAGAATCTAGAAATTAAATGGTACATTCTTATAGTATATAATAGACTATAAATAAAATTCTAAATCTCTAGAATATATATTGGTTAAGATATCGATATTTAAAAATATGCCATTTATTACGGAATACAGCATCTACCAGGTTGCATACCAGCTACGTTAGAGATTTCTTCCCGAAATCTGAGCGTTTTACATAAAGCCACGACTACCACGCACTTCTAAATCTATTTACTACCGGCCCCTAAAAATAGTGTCTTACTACCTCTAAAAATTACTACTACTCCCGGTATGCTGATATTAAACTAGGGCCACAGGGAATCTAAAGATCTAGTATTGTGGCCCCTAACGACGGGGTACTAGTGGCCTCTAAATACAGGGTGTTAGTGCTAAGTGGTCTGTAAAGATATAGAACTGAAAGTCTTCAAAGACTATTCCAGGCAGTAAAAAGAGCGGTAAGAAAGGCAGTATAATAGTATCTCGGAATCGGACTAGTCAATAATCCAGAGCTTTATCTCATATAAAAAGGATAATTGGTTAGTCGGTATAGTGGAACCTTTTTAATGGATTTAATTCATCAACAAATTGCGTGTTGGTCTTGATAAAGTTGGTAATATTTGTCTGGAACTTCGATTTAGTCCCCGGTCGGTGGATGAACAGCAGAACAAAAGTCACGTTATGTGTGGTTTGAGCGACCAAACAGAACCCAGACACTTTCAGTTTGCTTCGCTGCGCAATAACAATGCCTTGGAATGGATAATTAGGCTGTGCACGGAACAGGGTGTTTTCTGTTCATTCCCCTTGGACCGGTGGGACGGGAAAGCCCAAATTTACACTTTATACTCAAGGTACCAAATATCCATAGATCATCCTGACTCAAGATTTACTCTAACCGACGTAGTATGATCTAAACTCAATACGACGCCAATCAGCGGATAATTACCTCACCGGCGAATGATCATCACAGTGACAGTTTCTTGTTCTAAATACACCGTATCTAACGATTATATGAATATCTTCATCTCTATCGTTCTCCTATTAATTACTCCTGTATACCCGAATCATCACAAACCCCGATACCCAAGGAGGCCTTAGATCCTATAATATACACAGGTTCCAGAGAAATATGCCTTCTAAGAGGAAGAGGGCTCCAACAGCGGCTTCAGGCCCATTGGCTCCTACCGTTGATGGGAAGCCGCCAGCGTGGGCAAATGTACGTAGCTGGATACTGCCCCATAACTAATGCTTCTTTCTGACCAATGTATCAAGTTCCGCTCGGAGTTAGGTGACACCCTTCCATGGTTCCGAGCCGTTCAAGGTGGCATATATCATAAAGATGGTCTGGCATGGGGGGTTCTCATTAGTCGCGACTCGGGAGAACGCTCATACATCGATGAAGAAATTGTGATAACCAGGATGTAGGTGCAATTCCTTCGACTTGCCACGAGTCATTTTCACGCTAAGATCCCCCACCTGTTTGTAGTGGAGGCTCATGCTCTAGGAACGCGAATGGGGATTTGGTTCACGTCAAGGACCAAGGGCAGGAAGATCTTCTGGTGAAATGTCTCCTGAACAGCATGAAGCAGAAAGTTCCTATCGGAATTATCATTGGTAGGTATACGGTGTCCAAAACGTGTGAAAGACCTCTATTCATTATATGATAGGGGAGCAGAACGCAGTCTTGGGAAGGACGGTCCCGCACCCGTATAATGTGATGGATTACTTCCGTATCACGAACATCTGGTTTGAATTTGTTGACAATCATAGAGCTGCAAAGGTGCGCTATGAGAAGTTAGATCTCCAGAGCAAGAGCTGGTGGGCAAACAAAGAGTCGATATCGCCACCGCCCCTGGGAGGACGCGATTTTGCAAGCAGACCAAACTCAGCCGAATGCAATGCATGTAGCCACAGAAGCTTTCAGATATTTCATCAAGGCTGGATGTGTCTACAGCCATCTTGCACCCGTTTCTTTAAAATTGGATCATCGGCCGCTCCCGCAAATCTCACCTACCATGAAAGGTTCCTGAGCTATCGGATGGCTCCAGACCCTACCATAAAACCTCACCATAGCCTGATACCAGATTTTCTTAGCACTTTTGACGAAGATGATGCAAGTGTAGCCACCAGTAGAGTGGCTTGGAAAGGCATTGTATGCCCACAGTGCCGCAAGTGTGTTTCACGAAAGTACTGGAGTGGCTGGAAGTGTAGCGACGATGATAATTCTAGTTCGGCCCAGCCTCAGTGTCTCTGCACGTTTGAGAAGATGACACAAATGCCAATTGTGTCGCTACGATCTGTAATTGACACCCTCGAAATTGCTCCCATGAAGCGAGCCTTTATTCCTGATGACAGGTTCATGACTCCCGTCATTGACGATGACTCACTAGCTCCATATAGGAGGCTAGTCTATGCTATCCCAGGAGTCGGTCACATCACGCACTTGGTGTCGAATAGAGACATAAATGAATGCCCCAACGGACCAAACACGATGTTTACACAACTGCAGCTGGCTGAGCTGGGGTTGCAGAGATTTCCTTTGAGTAATGCCGTGGGTAAGTTGCCGTATCTTTTCATGAATGGCATATGTCTCACGGCGAGCTTCTAACAAATCTCTCTATAGTCACTGGGACACTTACCGCGCACTTTGCGGTAAACTACGTCAGTTTGGCTCGGTGAGGTCTTATTCGTATGGTCAACATCATCTGATGTCGTCGTTTTAGGGAAACCCGTATAAGTATGTCGCGCCAGTGAATTGCAAAGGTTTCGACGAGGCTCCTGGGGTAGTTCTAGATGCATTCGGCCGTCTACAGTGGGCAACGGAACAAGCTGTGCATCTGGTTGGACAGACGCTCTGTCCGCCGAATGAAATGCTAGTGCTGGGTTATTTTGCGGAGATGAAGATCGGAGTAAGTACTATCTCAATTTCACCCATCAACGAGGTTATGTATGCCAAGGTGGAGCAGAAGACAAAGGTAGTCAAAGATATATAGAGCTGATGCTAATACCGGTAGTATCACGACGACGGCGAAACGTCCCTTGGTCCCACCATTGCGACACTATCACTGGGGGCTCGCTCTACAATGCAGATCCGTATGAAATCCAAATACTACAAGGGCCAGAGTAGCAGGAACGTTCTACTTGAGAATGATCCGGTGCTTCCAGGCTGTTTGTTTCAGCCACAAAGGCAGGCATGGAAAACCGAATTCGAGGATGGAGTGATCACACAGGCAAAGTATGACAAGCGCCGGAACGAGTTCTTTAAGAGAAACCGCACCCGAGGCGAGGCCAAACCGTGCATTAAACTGGATCTCCACCATGGAGATATGGTTGTAATGCATGGTGAAAACCTTCAGAGATACTATGAGGTATGGGTATGAGGTAGCACGGATAAATTCAGAACTCTGACAACCGTTTAGCACGAGGTTGTTCCTGACAACAAATTGCGCTTTGCTTTGACCGCGCGTCACATCAAAGCAGACCATGTGGACCCTAAGGATATTCACAAGGGGGATATTACCCTTGCGGGACACCAAATCTACAATGGAGTCTGAGTATTGGTGTTTTATTCTGTTGTATTGCTTTTTGTTTCTCTGAATCTCACCGCCGATGGTGGCTGACCTTGTGCTGCCCCAGTTGCTGTTTTCTACTTAGCCTTTTCTGTTTCTCTGAGATCTGCTCTTCGATGACGGCTCGCATCATGTTTTCTCTATTATAATTGCCTTTCTAGTAGTCACTACCTATACGAATACAAACTTGATATGTTGTCACCATTGTCACCGGTGGGCCAATGCATCGTTTGACCTACTGATCCCTCTTGAACCAGCCACTTCCTTCACCAAGTTCAAAACCTTGAGATCTCTCGGGGGCTTCGAAGGCACCAACGGGAAAATAACCAGATGGGGAAGTCGAAACCTCCTCATACTCATTCGAAACGGGCTGCCACTCGTTGGAGAATTGACCGCCATTGGACTGGGCACCCTGCTCAGGGTTGTTGAAGGACCAGGGAAGGTTGTCGAAGCCAGCGGGCCATTCGGATCCGGGCTGTGTGGTGCCTTGCGCGGTGCCACCTTGCTGTCCCCAAGGTGCCATGCCGCCCTGGTTGGTCTGCTGACCGGCGCCCTGGTTAACTTCCTGTTCGTTGCCTTGACCAATTCCTTGTCCCCAGGGGATGGTAAAGCCACCTCCATTTTCCATTCCAGTTGAGCCACCAGTTTGCTGACCGGCTCCCTGGTTACCTCCCTGCTCATTTCCTTGACCAGTTCCTTGTTCCCAGGGGATGGTAAAGCCACCTCCATTATTCATTCCAGTCGAAGAGCCGGGCTGAGTACCAGGGTTTCCATTCTGGTTACCATCAGCACTGCAGTTGTTGAAAACACCTACACAAAGATAGTCAGCAGAAGTTCCTAAACACCCAATGGCAGGAGAACTTACTGTTAGCATAGTAAGCAAATGAATCGGCGTTATTCTTGGCCTGCGCAGTGCTCAATTGAAGCACACCATCAAGCCCATACACAACATCCTCCGTACCCGGCGCATAGACGCTGGTAGCATGCGAGAACTCATGGAGCGAGATAGCCGCCTGATCCAGATATCCACACTGGTTCACCACCTGCTGCGTCTCATAATATGCTTGGCAGTTGACCACACGGTTTAGTGTTGGGTATGTAATGGCCGCAATGTTGCCGCCGCAGGAATCCTGCGCCGATGGTTGACAGTAGTAGTTCAATGTGCCCTTGGATGTTGCTTCTTTGGCAATGGCCTCCAAGCGCTCCGCAACCTCCTTCTTGTCAGCCTCGTCCTGGGACTTGAAGAACTTCTGGAACAGTCCACTGCTACCGTCGCGGGCATCCGCAGCGGCGGCCTCGGCCATCTTGGCGGCCTGTGCAAGGTTTTCCTGCATCAGCTTGTTCTGTTCGCCACTGCAGCCTTCGAGGGTGGCGCGGGTAGCAAGGCGGTTGGCAGAGTCCTCGGGAGCATCGAAGTCGATGGTGTTGGATGTGTAAGGTACGACGAAGAACTTCTTGGGGTTGTCCAGCTTCGTGTATTCGAGATTGCCGTCCGCAATCGCGGAGTACTTCTGTCCGGCAACCAGGTCGTGGGAGTCGGCGATGTCGAAGATGGACTCGATTGTTTGCTTCGGGGCGAGTTCCATGAAGGCGTCATCATTCAGGTGCGAGTTGATGTAGTCGACTTCTGCACCGGTGAAAGTTGGGTTGCCACCTTTTCTCTTTTGTTAATCATTTTGTGCTGATATGCACATGAAGATGTGGACCTACCAGATCCAGACACAGCCACCTTCTTGGTGGGAAGCTCGTTATCGAGGAGACCACCCCTCTTGACAACACGGAGATTCTCATCGGCAATATTCGTGATGAAGGCTTTCACAGTCGAGTTTCCGAGCGCCTGCAGCTGAACATCGATCAGGTTGCGAGCACCGTCCTGCGGCGCTCCCGAAGCCTGCCTCGGAATAAGAACCGGCTTGCCAGCAGCCAAGGTCAAAAGACCGAAGAAATGAACGAGTTGAATGAATGACATCCTGAACGGAGAAAAGGAGGGAGAAGATAAAAAAGGAAAGAAAGGAGTGAGTGATCTGGATACGAAAAGGCACCGGTCTTAGGCCTGGTTTTATACATTGTATGACCCTGACAAAAAGGTAATCGACTGATCATGGCGTTTCGCATTGGCTAATGGACTTTCCTAATGGTTACATTGTTACCCAATCGATTAATTTGTTTCTGATGGATACATCTATCCTCCTCGCCATCGTGGTCTTGGCTGCTGGCACTTGATACAATGAGTCAGCGGCTATAGATCTGGCAATGGCTTGAAAAACGCCGTCAACCACCAATAACGGTAATATGTACGGTTTCTGGGCAAGAATCAGGTAAATGAAACGGCCGTGGGGTCTCGAGATCTAGACTAGATGAGGCAGATCATGGCTGCAACGGGCTAGGAGATCTGAGGCGAGAAGATATCATGCTACAGGAAAAGTAAGTTAAGATCGAGAAAATTCCGAGGCCAAAACCGCCGCATCACCCTCGATAGCATAGAAGCAAGTATCTTCAGCGCTCCACCCGAGCATACTTTGTATGGGGGTCATGAGGCAGATCAACCCAGACCCATTAGCTAAGGAAGGGGCGCCCTATCTGAAACGCTTAGCTGCCTTAGCCAGATTCAGGGTCCGAGAAGAATACTACCTTCCATTCTGGGCTCAATCCACATTAACCCGAGATACGTGGGAGTGCATGGCAATTATGTCACATTTTCATGGACCCCCATGCTAAAAGCCCCAAGTGAATGGGGTTAAGAGGGTTTAAATAGGAATTAAGGAGCGTGGAAGTGGGGACGAGTACCTAGGTCGTTTCAGGGGTTCCACGCCCTACCGAATTGCCAGATTCCTATGCTCAGTTTTAATCTTTTAAGGTTGAGCCCGTTTCAAACGCATCCAACGGTTGCACTACGACAGGCTCGGGATCTGCGACCTACGGTGAACCTTGACGGATTTCTGTTTGAACTGCCGCTTGACATGAAACTGTCTCGGATGGTTCGGAGGTTGAAAGTACGGTCGGTATCTCTTGGCACGGCACTGCTCGGAGTCGAGATTAGTTGGTATATCATAGTGCCATGGTATGTGGTCCCAACATGGTATCTGCATGGATGTTGACATCCCCTTACATAATGAAAAAGCTTGGGGTAACTAGCTGGTGCTATGCTCAGCTACTATAGTCTTATGCCCGGTTTGAATATTCAAGCGTGCAGGGCAAAGACCGAAACCACGACCCGGTCCTACTTGGCAACGCTAGTTTAGCCAGAGAGAAAGAATAGGTACGCTACATGGAGATTTTGCCCGAACGGGAAATAAAGTGAGGGTTAACGTGTTTAGTCTAGAGCACTTGAAAGCGGAGGTAAGGGGAGTCCACCCGCTGAGAAAGCCTTCCCTAAGATGCTTTTCTTCGCCGCGGAAAACAGAGCCGTCCCAGAGCACGACGAGAATATTCATTGCCAAGTTATTCTTAATTAAGGGTTTAGATCTTAAGCCGCATTTGGCATGGCAATGCCGATCTTGTCGCTGCCATTGATTTAATGCCGCAGTGAAGGTGCGGTCGATCAGGGTATTGCCCCCGCGTTCCAAGAACGCAGGATTGCTAGTCTTATATCGCACCTTTAATGTATCCACAAACATGACTTCTGTTGCCAGTGCCAGGGGGATATCCTGCATGTGATCTGGCAACAGTGGGACTTTTGAGCCGTGTCTACGGAGTAATGTTCTTGGTACTTGATGTGCTGAGGGTGGGAGTGGAGCCTTGGGTACATCGTTCGACTGTCTTGTCCGAACCGCCCGATGATTACAAATACTATGCACTGAGAACTATTCTGGCGAGGTATACTTGTCGTTCTGAATATCGCTGCAAATAGTTGCGATTGAGGGCTTCTAGACGAGGAAGCTCCACACCGAGACACGATCTCCGCGATCAGGAGATTACGCAACCTTCAACCTCTAGTGATTTAACCTTTCCACTATGTCGTGTAAGGAATTGCCTCACTCTTATGCACTAGACACCGAGTGGTTGTTCCCGTCGTAAGTCACGCATCTCAGGGGCACCCTCGCAATATACCCTGCCGTGCCACCTGGGTTTGGGAAGTCCCTGACTCCCTGACCTCTCCTCTACCCTCCTGAACTACTATTACCAAAGGGGAGACTTTCGAATTGGAAAGACAGACACATATGAACGCAATCAGGGGTTATAGAGGTGATGAACATGTCGTGTCTTCTCATGTTTATCAAACGTGGATAATGAAAGGAGGGCATACAGCCTGACCTCACTCACCCATTCGCTACCAAAAAGAGCGCTCGAAGAAGTTCGAGGAAGCATCACCTGCAATGATATTAACATTTCACAGACCATCATCGCTGCATCACTATGGTATCAATATACCATGTCTGCGAAATTGTTTTCCGGTGCCATTTCATCCGTCGATGTCATGCCTGGGAACAAAAGACTCATGCATGGCTAAAGTCAAACGTTATCTCTTGATTTCGAGGGTAGAGAAAGCCCATGCGGACTTACAAGGCCACAGGTGATGCTACTCAAGGGTGACTACTGCACGAGAGAAACATCCTGCGTGTGTGGTCATGCATACAGACATATAAAAATCTCTGATGCTATTTCCCACAGCCTTCGGGTCTTAGCGAGATTGTTACCCTGCTGCAAGATACGCTATACTCGAATAGTCTAGTTGCATTAGAGGCCGTGGGGGCAGCTGGGAAGATTCACTCTTCACAATGCCTATCTACCACGTTTCCTGACTACATATGAGTATAACTGCGATATGCGTTCATGCGATTACAACGAGCTCATTCTGCTACAATTGAGGTCTTCTGATTTACTGTCCCCGTTTTGTCGCTGTTGTGCCATTTGAATGCCTGGATTATCACGGCTCAAAGCATACTACTCCCGACATACTATCTCATGGCTATCGTACTAATGGAGATTGCAGTGACACCTTGATATAACCGAGTTTGTTGCATCTTATCATTGACACAAAGGCACTGTGGAGCAAGAGGGAACAGAAAGCATCGGAGGTCCGACCGGCCAAGGAAGTCTCTCAAGCCAATAACAAGCAACAAATGGCCGCAAGCGAAATGACTAAGAAGGCCAAGCAGAGAGGAATGTCACCTTTGTGAGGAACAATAGCATTGGCGTCTGGTTTGGTTGCGATCGGGATGCAACGTGGAGAAAATCCGATCAGTCGATACGCCCCCACGGAATGCAACCGTCGATCGTCTGGGGAATTTCCGGGGGTGGGTTTATTTAGCACAGTATAACTCACCCACGTTCACCCGTCCCAAGCATCTTCTCACAACAAGCGTCAGCCATGTGGTCAGTTAGTTTTCTTTCACTGATTGCAGCTGTCTCGGCCTTGCAGACCCTTCCACCAGTTCAATGGACCAGCTTGGGCTCTGAGCCCGACGGGTTCGACATTGCCACAATCGACCGAAATATCTATATCACGAATAGTTTCGCGTCGGACAGAGACGAAAATGGTTTGACACTCATTCCACCATCAGCGATTGAATTTGCAAACACCTTCCGCCAGGACTTGGAGGAACTAACGGGCGAGTCATGGAATCTTCATCCGGTTGAGGTGCTACCCGAAGGCCAAACAGGCATTTTTCTAGACCGACTAGATTGCTCGCAAGGCGCGCTGACGTATGAAAATGGCGATCCCACGGAAGAGGGCTACACGCTTCAGGTCCAAACGGGACGCGTCTCGATCCGCGGCTCAGGCGCTCGAGGAATGTGGTGGGGAACGCGAACTTTGTTGCAACAGTTGTTGATAGCTCATAGCCATCCGATCCCATCGGGTGAGGTGGTTGATGCGCCCTCGTATCCCACGCGAGGTTTCTTACTAGACGCCGGGAGGAAATGGTACTCGCCATCGTACCTCAAGGACCTATGCACGTATGCGTCGTTTTTCAAGCTGTCGGAATTTCAGTACCACACCAGTGACAACTACCCCTTGAGTCGTGGCCACAATGAGACCTGGCAAGATGTGTACGCACAGTTCTCCTTGCGACCGGAGAGCCCGGAGCTACAGGGACTCGTGCAGAGACCAAACGAGACACTCTCTCGGGCAGATTTTGAGGACCTTCAGCAGCACTGTGCGCAACGAGGAGTGACGGTTATCCCAGAAATCGAAGCGCCTGGCCACAGTTTATTCATTACAAAATGGAAGCCACAACTGGCATTAGACAGCAAAGACCTGTTGAATTTATCCCATCCTGAGACCATTCCCCTGGTGAAGTCCATCTGGACGGAGTTTTTGCCATGGTTTCAAACAAAGGAGGTCCATATCGGTGCTGATGAGTACGATTCCACACTAGCAGACGACTACATTGATTTTGTCAACGACATGGCGGAGTTCATGGACCAAACGGCCGGCAAGACAGTTCGGATATGGGGCACATACGAACCATCCGACACCCGCAACATTTCAAAGGATGTCATTATTCAGCATTGGCAGTACGGACAATCCGACCCCGTCGATTTGGCCGAAGAGGGCTACGAAATTATTAACTCAGAGGATTGGTGGGCTTACATGTCGTTGAAAAATGACCACATGCCGATATTTCCCGCCCCGTATCCCGATTTCTTCAATAACTCCAGGGTACTCAACTTCGCGGATAGAGATGGATGGCAGTGGACACCGGCTCTCTTCAACCCCGTGAACGTCACCGAGCAGCCTGACCCGAAGCCCGTCAAGGGTGCCATTCTGGCCGCATGGAATGACAATGGGCCGGATGCGACGACACAATTGGAGTCTTATTATGCCATCCGCAATGGCATTCCCGTTGTCGCCGCGAGGGCGTGGGCTGGAAATCGTGGACCTAGTATCGATGTATCCACTTTGTCAGACACCATGGAACTCTTGACGTCGCAGGCCGTGGCTCAGAACCTAGACAGACAGATTCCTCGCGAGAATAAGGATGCCCATGAACTGCTCAGTTGGGCAAACTCCGTGGAGAATGCAAACAGCGACAAAATCTATCTAGGATATGGCAGCAAAGGGATGAACTACGAGTTGACTCTTGATGTTTCCGGTCCATTCATCCTGTCGTCGAATGACTCCACCCTAGTATTATCACCAGATGGCAACCTGGTCTTTGTCTCAGACGGATGGGAATATCCCTTGCGCTCCATAGAAGAAACAGCCGGGTTCGACGAAAGCTACCCAGGACGAATTTGGGGAAACGAGACCTCCTCAACGCACGAACCGGTGACAGTTCCATTGCAGAGCCACATCACTATCCAGACCGACATGATCGGTGGTAGTCGAGTCTGGGTCAACGAGGGCTTCGTCGGACGATTTGAGGCACTGGTATTTGGCGGCAAAAACCGGCTATTATCATGGAGCCAGATGGCGTTCGTGGCGCCCCTGGAGTGGCTGGAAGGGGGCATCCAACGCTTGACGGTGAATGAGTTCGACGGGAAGCATTGATCAATGCAGACTGTGTAAAAGTTCCGTGGATAAATAGAATCATGCAGCATACCCCTCACCTTCCAATTCACCGACTTGTGGATCCTTTGCCCTTCTATAGAGACTGCATTTATCCGTCCAGTCATGGCAGCCATTTCCCCGCATCGTAAACAAGACTTCGGAGATCCGGAGCCACGCCCGTAAAGCTTGGGTATTTTAATTTAGCAATGCAGCTTTATATTTTCCTATATTTATTTACCTTCCTCCCGCCTCATGCCCTAGAGCCCACTGTCATCCACAAGCACCCTCAAGCGCAATGCAGACCCTTGTCCTCCTCCTCGGCATCCTAGCCGCAACACAAGACCTAGCCCTAGCAAAGTCTACCCAAAAATGGGGCCCACGAGAATTCAAGAACCTGGTCACCTTCGGCGACAGCTATACTGACGACACGCGAGCATCGTACTTCTACGCGCACAACGCATCCGCACCACCAGTAGGCTGGAAGCAACCCGTGGTACGTACACACAACCAACATCACCCCCCAAGTCCAATCTTCATTAACCCAACCATACGTAGTCCAACTCCTCTGCCTCCGGCGGCTACAACTGGGGCCACTACGTAGCGACAGCCACAAACGCAACGCGCCACAACTACGCCGTCAGCGGCGGCGCCTGCTCGAACAAAATCACGCCGCGCACCATGTCCGGGCTGAACATCTCCTACCCCTCGGTCCTGGAGTATGAGATCCCGGCCTTCCTGGCAGACAAACAATACGTCGACGCGCAGGGGAACCAGTTCCTCGACATCCCGGCCGAGGACACCGTCTACGCCATCTGGATCGGGACGAACGATCTCGGCAATTATGCCTTCCTGACTGATTCGCAGGTCCGGGGGAGGACCATCCCGGATTACGTGGACTGCGTGTATGAGGCGCTGGATCGCGTCTATCAGAGCGGTGCGCGGTACTTTGTGGTGATGAACTTGGCTCCGTTGCAGTTGACGCCGCAGTATGCGTTGCCGAGCGATGGGGGCGTGGAGAGCGTCTCGTGGTGGCCGGATAAGCCTGCGAATCAGACCCTGACTAGTTACCGGATGTGGGAGCAGGTGGTTACTGTGAATCAGGTTTTGAGGTATAGGACGCCGTTTGAGGTCGAGGTTGCCGATAGGTATCCGGGGGCTGGGGTTGCTGTTATGGATATGTATGGGTTGGTGAGTATTTTCTTTTTTTTTATTGGGTTGACGCTTGTGGTGTGGGATTGATCGATAATGGCGGTACTGATGGTTCGGTAGTTATCTGATATCTACTATAACCCGGATGCATGGTTCGGAGACGTGGGTGCCAATGTGACCGGGTTCGTGAAGCATTGTAATGCCGATGGCGAGGATTGTGTTCGGCTGCCCGATGAGGAGAACTTCATGTGGTTTGACGAGCTGCATCCGTCGCAGACGACGGACAGGTTTATTGCAGAGGAGTTTGTGAAGGTGGTTAATGGGGAGAGTGAGTGGGCGACGTATTGGTGAGGGTTGCTGACCTTAGTAGGAGAGAGATAGGGATCCCTGTCGAGGGTTGTATCTGGTCTCGTGATCTGTATGTACAAATGTTTGAGAGATGCATAGCCCCGAGTATCAATGACTAAATTGAAGGGATGTTATTTGAGTGCAGTATTTCCTTGAACCTGTAACTGACTCAACGCAACGAGCTAGTTAATACTAAACTCGCCGAGGCAGGTCTTGCGCGTGACATGTCACAATGACAGCCCAGGAATCCAATCCCTGGCGTTCCGTATATAACATTAACATAGAGGGTAGGACAGCATAGCCACTCTCAAGGAACACCGATGCGAAACGGCGAGTATGACAGAACAAAGAAACAAAAATAAAAACACGAGACAGGAAAAGAAAAGCAGAACACAACAACGCAGTCCCAACCCTTTCACTCTATGAATAGCATCGTCAACCTAAAGGCCATACATTATGCACACCCTCACCATGGAACAACCCACCTCTAAATCCACCAGACCAACGGCCAAGTCTCCAACGAACCAGAATCCAACGGCTGCTGACAGCGCATGATCCCGCCGCGCCCTCAACCCACGTACAGAAGGCAGAAGGCCTAAACACGACGGGACCCACCAGGCATCCAAGTATCAAATTAAGCCCGACATCGTCCTTCTTCGTCCCTTCTGGGGGCGACACTAGCAACAGGTGGGCAACTGACGAGTTACTAGATTCAGTAAAAGCGCAAGCACTAGGAATGGCCTCTCCAGCCAATGGCAAAGCCCAGATTCGCGAAATCCACTGGAACCACGGTCCCCTAGGGCCAAAAGGACAAGCTAATCTTCATCCCGAGAACCCATCCCGTGGAACGCAATCCCACCGTTCGAACCGTTACCGAGCGAGCGAGCCAATCACGGATGCCCAAAAACCAACAGGACCAACAGCCGGCATGTGCGAGGCAGACACGCATATACGCCTTATAAGGAGCGTGTCGAGTAATCACATACACAAAAAACGAAAAGGGGGGAGCAGGGTCAGAAAGATATTACCAGGAGGAAGGGACATCAGACGCCGGGTTGGACAAAATGGCGTCCAACGCCGATGAACTCTACGGAATTCGCACATACAACACACGCGAAGAGAGAAATGGACGACAACGACGCAACTCCATATTGTCGTCTGAGTCCGCCACCGAGGCCCATTGCGCTTCGACCCGAGAGCATATCACGTTCTGAGATACTCGTCACGGTGAAGAATCGGCCCGAACCGTGGCATTCGTTGGATTACAGTGTTGAGTATGAGGGTCAGACGATATTCTCAGTCCAGGGGTATCCGTGGAGTATTGGGCAACGACGAGTCTTCTATGATCGGTCTGGACTGCCGCTTTTTGAGCTGCGGGGGCGGTGGTATAATTCGTCGTGTTTGGAGTTGAGGCTACCGGGCGAAATGGGACATGTTATATTGTCTGCGAAGTTGAGGGTCGCGGTTCGAGCGCCGAAGGCGGTGGTCAGGTTCCGGAATGCTGCTGTGTCTGAGCAGCGGAGATCGAGGGATGCTAGGAAACGGAAGGCGAAGGAGAAGGTCGACGGCGATGACGATAATAACGTTGGTCTACCTGGTTCCGATGAGTTGATGCTCGAAGTCCGCGATGAAGATCCGTACCATCATACCCAGGTCCTGGTGCTTGGGGACCAAATCGTGGCACATATTCGTTTAGTGACGAACCCAGCCGAGCTTTCCGAAGGACCGCAACCTCTATCTCGATGTCGGCCGAAGTGGGAAGTGAGAGTTGCACCGGGGGTGGATGTGGCGCTGATAGCGGTCGTGGTTGTCATATTAGGGCAGCGGGTGACGGTAGATGAGTATGATGGTCGTGGATCAGGGGACATATAGCGGAATTCGGGATCTTTCGAGAACAAGGGTCTTTGATATGGGACGAGTATTGGTGTTATACTGGGCATTTTTAAAAGTTCATGTTCTGGGACAAGGCATCTTGCCCCCTGCTATCCCGGAGAGGCGAAGACTTCGATTCATGTATATTCTTTCGGACTAAGGCTAATATCCAAATTATTGCATTGTAAGGGCTTCATAATGACTCGAGATACGATTATATAGGAGAGGAACGGCAGGAGAAGAGCTAACTGAACTTCGCCTATCAAACTAAACACTGCATACGCATTACCCTTGAGCAAAATAACAACCAAAAGTCGTGGAGAAGGACACTCAATACTTGGCCCTTACCGATCCATAGGGCACACCATTAAACTCCATCTCAAACAAAAGTGATGCAGATGTTGGTATGAGCTGAACGACTACATCAATCGTGTAATACTCAATCCCCTTAGAATTCTTTTTCTTCGAAAAGAGCTTGGTCGGAACAGCGTTAAGATCATATTCCATCACACACACCTTGAATGCATCTTTCTTTCAGCGTTAGCTGTCTATACCTTTATGTTATAGGGTGTAAAGATCATTCCAGCTAACCTTTGGTGACCTTATCTGGTGCTGTGTCGGCGTAACAAACGAAGAGATTCTGGTAACTACTTCGCTTTTCATGAATACGTACGTGAAGCTTTAATGGGTGTCTAAGTGGCGTATTTTCAGATATTGTATCGTTCTATCCATGCATCAAGATGTTCAGTGTTGTTTCAACATAGTATCAAGGGTCATAGGGATAGGTACCTTCTTGATCAACCATGTTATCCGGTCCTTTACCCAGTAAACCTCTTGGAGTTCCGATCAGACTGCTTCAGAGGGCCTGTGGCGCCCAGGTTCGTAGCATGACCCGTGGCTTACTCCATAGTAGCATCGTGCAATACGCTTCCCAACTCGGTTCCCATCCAGGCCGCGTTGTACGGCACCGCTTTTAACGACTTTAGCATCTCGATGCATAGACTTAGCTGTATGAGTCACTTACCGGACAACTGCGGACCATCTGTAGATTGAATTAGGATATAATCTTCACACACGTAACTCTGAGGATTCACTTACGCATCTGCTGGTTGCATGACAGGGGTATGCGGACAAGCTGCTTTGAGTCGCCGATAAAGATACTCTGACTCCCCAAAGCCACCGACAAGCAGAATTGCCTATCAGGTCAGTAGGTATTGCTATCGAAGTTTAAGAGCGGATAATAAATACCTTTGCTTTTGTTCCAGAGCGAGCGATATCGCGGGTTTGGGACTGCACAAGAGATACCACTTGCTTGACCACATATTCAAATATCCCTTTAATGGTAGCTCTAGCGATTAGACTATCAGTTATCAGGTCGCTCCCAAATCATACGGCCACTACTAACCTGTCAAGTGCAAGGAAGCCACCTTCAAGGCCTATAGATTGTTTATCCTCCACACCAGGCAATGGGATGAGGTGGCCGATCTCTTGGAATTCGTCATCGTCATCCTCATCGAACATGAAGTTGGGTCTGATTGTGTCTTGCCAACAAGTCATAGCAGCCTGAATAGATATACAGGGGATCTGCCCGAATTCAGTATCTCCGAAGAGCTCCGTCAGTAATGCCAGAAATTTCGTGTCTAGCAAGATTGATCCACAGGCAGCCCCTGTAACGATTAGGTCGTTACTAAGCGATGAACAGGAATATACACACATACCAGTACCTTGGGTCACCTCTTCGAGACTAAGCGGGCTAACAGTGTTTATGCAATATGATATTACGTCCTGAGTAGGTCAGTACCTTGCCCCTCGTAGTGTAACCTGCCGAGCACCACATACAACCGTTCCACCACCAGCGTCGCATATCACAATGATATCCCCATTCTATAGATCAACAGTTAACGCTCCGTTACTCTCGCCCGATTAGATCCACACTAACTTGGATGATATTGGGCTGCATAACTCTTAAGCAGTGCAGCGCGGCGGCCTCTGGCTCGGATATAAGGTAGATATCAGAGAGTGGAATACCTGCAGCTGAACACGCCAACCGAGTAGCATCTTTCGCTTTGTCTGACCACACACTTGGAACTGTTAGTACGTATTGAATTTCCAACCGTTGGACGGCATCTCCGAATCGGCGGCGCAGTATCTCCCTGCCATGGCCAATTAGCTTGTTGAGGTAATCCGCTACGGCCTCACGGGGGCTAAGTCCTCTTTCGTGCAGCAGCTTCTTGGAGAAGATGTCAGGGATGGAATGAGTCTGTTGGTCTTCATCAAGTAGTCTTTTGAATACAGAGATGACATTCTTTTGGAACGTGAGTTCGTAACCCCATCGAACCCTTCCACCCTCGTAGCAAATTGTAGTAGGCACTTTAGGGCTCGTTCCTGCACGAGTTAGCTTTTGTTTGATAGGGCCAGGTGTATCTTGACCTATACTGTTTCCTCTCCCTGGCCACTCGGATATTACTTGAATATCGTCGGTCACTCCTGTCAGAGACCAAGCGATCCTGCCATCGTCAGAATGTATTCTAGTTCTAACAATGTCGAAATAAATGCAAAAGCGCAAGGCCACCCACCCACTGTACGTTGTTCCAAAGTCGATACCCACTACAATCTGCAGCTTGTTCGTCATGGTGGTGTCGTGTGCACGGCAACGGTGAGTATGCGAAGAAGGAGCGAAGGAGGCGAGGTTCGCGCGATGATAAATTTCCCCGTCACCCAACGCCAGTATGACGAACATCATACCACTATACACAGATTCACCTCGAGCTTCCCTCTACTGTTAATCTTTTTTCCTTTATCTAACAATACACCTTTGATTATAACAAAACATGGCCAACGTGATAAAGAGCTGGTCAGCCGCACTCTACAAGTGGCTTTGGGGATCAGAAGAGGTGGGTGAAGATTTCCTTGAGATTGGATTATATATTAATCTTCGCAGCCTGTTCAAGAGCCCCGCAAAACTTTAGAAACTTTAGAGGATGTCAAACGGGAGCTTACTCGTCTGACGAAAGAATACCAACGCATACAAAAACTGTTTGCAGAAACGAAGAGCAGAGAAGGCAATTAGGGATACAACAGAAGGATAATGATATCGATTTCATGGCGAAAAATTTGAACTCCTTGACTTTCAGGCCTGATCCATTACACGACGACTGCGCCAGCCGGATCATGACCCGACTCGGGTATTCCTTGGATACCTGGGTTGATTCAAACTTCCCGGAGGAAGACATATCTTTGAGTGCACAGTACTACCATTGTTGACTTCTTTGACGAGTTGAGCTCTCATGTATTCATATTAAGCTGTGGTGTGATGTGCACTTGCTGACCAAGTTATTATAATGTTGTCCTCTCCTTTGTTGTGCGAGGCCTAGTTACCTACTAGTTCATTGAAACATACCATACAAGGCATTGATTACAAGGGAAATCATTGAACTAAGCAGCTCTAGAACGGATAGGCTTCTCGTAGCCGAATGATACAAGGAAGCTGCCCCTAGGCAGTGTTAGGGGTAGTCTCCATAGCTTCAGGAAAGACGATCACACCAGCTCTCAAAGCAGTCTAGTAACTGGTTATAAGGGTTTACATAAACACAGACTCTTGTTTGTACAACGTCAAAGGATTGTTACTTGATATAAATCTCATTGAAGAAAGTCTTACCGAAAGATATCTAAGGCTTGTATAGGGCCGAAACAGCAAGGAAACAGGCACAGGGTGGGTCAAAAACAAAACACACATTCAAGATCGCATAGCCAAATCACAGGGAACACAAAAGCAAATCAAACACCGTTGGTAAACCCGCTACCCCCGGCCTCCGTATCAATCTTCATTGAATCCATCAGCCCACATACCTCAAATAGCTTCTTTGGCCCCAACCCATCGGGAATTCCAACAACGCCTTCATTCTTGAGTCTTTCCAGCGCAGACTTGATTCCCAGATACGCTGGTGCGAAGCAGGCGAAAGAGAAGATCATAATGCGGAATCCCATTTCCTGTGCTTCCTTCGTGGTGATGATGGGGCCAGCGCCATTCTCTACCATGTTCAAGAGCAAGGGCCACGGCGCCAGATCCTGCACCGCCTGTCTTGCCATCTCTTTGGAGGTGAAGCCTTCCAACAACCCAACATCCGCGCCAAGGTCACGGGCAGCCTTGAGACGTCGGATACATTCGTCATACCCATGCTGTTGCAAAGCATCCGTGCGGGCAATCAGAACGATATCCGAGCGCAGCCTGTCCTTGGTCAACTTGGCGGCGCGGATGCGGGTGAGGTACTCTTCCAGGTCGACGACCTTCTTGCCAGCAAGATGGCCACAACGTTTGTTCTGGATCTGGTCTTCAATGTGGAAGCCAGCAACGCCAGCCTGGATGTACTGCTGAACAGACTTGGATACCATCAAGGGACCTGGAGTATATCAGGGATCTGACAGTCATTTGGGGATAAGGAGATAACCTACCACCATACCCAGTATCCATGTCAGCGATCAACGGGGGTCCAAACGGGTCCAGGTTGGCAATCATCTCGGCATTGGTCCGCATATCATACAATTGGGCGAGTCCGAGATCAGCCATGCCGAGCCTGGAGGCGGTAGTTCCAGCGCCAGTCTGACTGGTTAGCGTTGATATGGAACAGTGCATGATGCAGACGTACCATATACATTGCCTTGAAGCCTAGCCCCATGGCAATCCGAGCGGAGATACCATCGTACACACCAGGGCAGACAATCAAGTCGTCTGTTTCCCTCAACATACGGCGCAGCTTAGACGCCCCGGCTGTCATATACAGGGAAACAGTGGGCTCCTGCCTGGTACCGTTAACTTCATAGAAGCCATCTTTCTCGACGGTGATGGTGATAGCCAGGTTAGACGAGGAGGAGTCTCCGACCTTCATTGTGATTGATATTGAAAATAGATGAGGAAGATAATGTTGATGATGGTGATGAGTTCTGGATAATAGCACTTCTACAATGGAAACAAGACCCTTTATATACCCCAATTCCAGCCTTTCATGCCTACCACCTCGGGGAAAAAACTATCCGTCGGACGACCCGCCGCTATCTCAAGTTTCTCCATTTGTTCATGGGTTAGCGCTGACACTCGTTCTGATATGCTGTATGCAACGTAAGGACTTGGCCAGCTGATTAGCCAGTCATCATGAATGCAGAATACCTCCTGTCGTTATTAATTGTAGGTACTAAGTCATCTTGGCTGCTTGCTTCCTTGCGACGCCGAGGATATGTTGCGTGGTACAGTCTATGCCTGTGATAGACCAGGACTAGTAGCCTTGAAGGTCTGGATCGGCGTTAATCAGTCAGAACAATTAGGCTAATTGATCTCAAACATATTAATTGATAACATGTGCGTGTAGCCCGCCACTTAGCGCACCTTTCTAACTGATGGCGTTAGAGAGAGAGTTTGGCAGATAAGCCATACAATGGTGATTGTGGTTCTGAAGAATCCACTGCCAAGCTCGTCACTGAGTCTCTCGTTCGTCAAAAGGTGCCAGAGCAACTTTCTAACCGGATTGGTTGAGGAGCATGCATGTCAGATGTTGATTTGTGCAACAGACCTATTAATTTGCGCTTGGCCTTATTAATTTGGCACTGATCAACAGTCTGACGAGCCGTGGCGCAGCTGCGGATCATGTTCCTCTCGCCCCGAGTACTGAACGATACCAAGGGCCGTCGCCGGAGGATTGCAGCAGAGACAGGGGGTCCGCAATGGCGTTGAGATGAGCACACCGTATTCGGAGCGTGTGGTTCTTGGCTCCTCTGGCATCAACCTCCGCGCGGTATCAATTGCAGATCGAACCGTGGTGAACGGGGATGCATGTCTCTGGTCCGGCTGTTGCGCAAAGGGCTGAGGAAATGAGGAATTGAGGAGTCATCTGAGCGTCGATCAAGTCTACTCGGCATCCCAAGGGTTCAGGGTCCTTGCTCCTATGATTCGAGGTTTCCACGCTCCATCTTCGGGTCCTTCCGCATCGGACGCCCGCGGACAAATCTCCCTCCTCACGGCCAAGCGCCTTGGCATGATGACCCCGAGTCTCGGCATAATAATTAGACTTGGTCTCGGCGCTCGGTACGAGGAGACCTGAGGGCTGGTGGGCGGCATCTTACAGGAATGATAGACTCTGCAACTGCTCCGATTGGTGTCTCGCTGGTCGAAACTGCCAGCGTATCAGCCGAATCCCACACGGACAAACCTCCACGGTTGCCCATGATTTGGCCCGGAGTCGGACTTGCCATGATCTGCGAGTGCTTATCATGAGGAGGTCGACGGTCATTTTATCCGGCTCCTTGGCCACTGCTGTGTTTCCTCGCTGAGACGCCCTCCCCTCCCTCTCCCCCACTCTTCACAGTCATTGTGACTTTTTCTTCTCACACATCGAACAAGATGTACGACGGCCAGAGGAAAGAACGTCTGGCCTTTCTCAGGGCAGAAATACAACCTGCCCATGCTGATGTTCTACTCTTCGCATGTTGTCTTTGTTCGGGCCTGGTCGATAGCACACTGTATAACGGTGCGTCGCCACTTATCATACCCTAAACGTGTGACTTGCTGACAGAAATAGCGTACAATACATTCGTGTCCATGCAGACTGGTCAGTAGCTCCTCGAGACTCCAATCGCTACATCATTACTGAAAATCAGCAGGCAATACTATCTTCGTCGGTTTGGGAGCCTCCAACCAGAACCCCCGGCCTTACGGCTGGGCGCGCTCTCTCACTTCAATCGGATGCTTCATCATAGGCTCGTTCATCTTCGCCCGGCTGAACCGTCTCTTCGGGCCAAAGAAAAGGGGAACGTTAATTCTCTCATTCGGTCTACAAGTGGTCATGCTGATTCTCACGGCATGTCTGGTCCAGAGTGGCGTCATTGCGGGACTTCCGCTACACAATCTGGCGACCGCAGAGCCAGACTGGACCCAAGAAGTACCCATCGTACTCCTTAGTATCCAATCTGCAGGACAGATCGTTGCCAGTCGAGCCCTTGGATATAACGAAATCCCGACGGTTGTGATCACAAGCTTGCTCTGTGACCTGATGTCTGACCCCAAACTCTTCCTCTTGCGGAACGAGAAACGGGATCGCAGGATTATTGCCTTTGTCCTCACTCTTGTTGGGGCCATTGCAGGCGGTTGGATCACCAAGGGCACAGGGGATATCTACGCTGCTCTGTGGATAGCAGCAGGAATTAAGCTTGGCATTGCAAGTGCATGGCTGTTCTGGAAGGAAGAATTGGAATTGTCAACTTGAAATCATGTGTATAGAGGGTCTGCAGACTTGCCAATGGTCTATGCTAGGGTAGCGATAGAAGGTGTCAAATGACTAGATGTTGTCGGATAGAGTATGCTTCTGTTCGTCCCCAAAACTCAACCCACCAGAATTGTCTACACCTGTACAGCGTCCATTTAGCCGAACTATCCATAACACGTTGCAGTATAACTTTTAGTCCACGGCAAAAGACCAACTGCCGATTTCGGAGAACGGACCCCCGAATAACCCCGTAAAAACCCCACGGGGAGAATTCAAACGGCGAGCGTAGCTCTCAATGAAACCAGACTAGTCGAGGTTTACGCGTACAATCTTAGCGCTATGCCTTATGGCGATATGTATCATCTTACCTGAATAGATAAGATCATCCATAGGGTAGTATTGGAAGTCATAAGGCTGGCTGAAGGGTGCTGCCAAACGGGGTATGATGCAACCATGCCCATGTGGTAAATGCTACAAAAAGTACGCGATACGTAGATCATAAATCTGTTAGCGATAATCATTTTCAATGATTATCATGTTAGTTCACCACGCTAATCTGTTGATGCATCAACAGTCTGGGATTCCGATCCGTCGGGATCTGTTGGTGATACATTTTCCGGGCGGGATTCACACTATTCAATGCTACCCTACTATGGAATCAATATATAATCATCATCCCATCGGTTAGTAAGCCCATGTGAAGAATAACCCTGTACCCCACACATCCCTTGCATAACATCTATACGAATAGTCCTCGGATGCAACTGTTTCTCTTTATCGTACGGAAACACGACGTCCCTTACGTATTGCACCTTGGCTGCCGCTGTGCGATTGAGTAACTATTACTTCAACCAAGTTACAGGACAGAACCGGTTTGTGGTGGATGGCTGAGAAGTGACACAACGTGCATAGCCTCCCTGGCTTCTACTTTAAGCCGTGGACGAGACTCCTATTCGCGCATATGCCATACCGGTGTGCATTTCCTACCAGCAGTGGTTACAACAGGCGTCCAGCTGGCGTTCTTACCTACTCCGGAGACTGATATCGCCCTTATTATAGGTTAGCACGGATCTTCTTCTGGGGATGCAGTTGTGCGCCTGCAGGTATTGTCGTTGCTGCGCCCGTCGCGGGGTGACACAGGTGTGATAGAGTGCTTAATATTTCCTGTATTTCCTGTCTACTATGATAACTCTAAAATAGGGTTTAGCTTCAGAGAACTAAGGGTGGAAAGGTCAAGGAAGACAACAAGGGCTTACAGGCTGGATGTGATGGCGCGCCTGACTTCAAGTTGGATGCCTGAGGATGCTGTTAGCACGTGCCGTGTACGAAATCCTACACGTGGTGGTTTTTTTTTTTTTTTTTTTTATATGTCGATTATGAAAATATCATATTATTCGCTTCACAACAGTGATGGAAAAAAAGAAAAGCTGCGAAGGGTAATTTCGCCAATTCCAAATGCCTACGTTTGATAGCTGTCCTTCTTTCCTCATCCAGCAGGATCTGCCATGCCTTCATCTCCCAGGCCCCGTCCATATCCAACTCTTCCTCTACCAAGCCCGACCCACCTTAATAACCCTAAATCCTGACTCTAACAATAGAACGGATCACATATCCCATCACCCCTTTAATGGGCTATCTTACCCAGACGGGGAACATATATGCGGCAGGACTCCATATCGTCCATGCCTCTGAACCAGTGCCATAGTTGAAAAGCGGCCCGTCAAGCGAAATCAAACGGCGGACTGTCGACAGGCCCCGTTGCCAACGTTCTAGTGCTGCCGATCTAAATTCAGCCGGTCGGAATGACTTCGGAATTGGACAGCGGAACGGTCCGCACCCCTTATAGCCATAGGGGATATGCCGTGACGTGGTCGCCTATAAAACCCGCTCGATATAGGTGGGTGGTCTGATTGTGTGTGATTTAAAAACACAACCGTTCTGTGTGTGATTCATTTTATCTAACAAATATGGCTTCAATCACTGTGACCGGTGCCGCTGGGCGCCAGATTCAAGGTATGTGTAAACGTTACCCCTCTATCTTCAGTTCTGCTCATGTAATACCATGCATGGTCTACTATACCCTGCAAGGAATTAATGACTAAAAAATTATTCCCGGGAAACTAGTCCCAACGGGTCTCTTCATCCACAACGAATTCGTTCCTTCCACTACATCCCTGGTCGTCGAGAATCCTTCCACAGGCGAATCCCTCGGAACCATCTCTGCCGCGTCTCCCGAAGATGTCAACAAGGCTGTCGAGTCCGCCACTATTGGCTTCAACGTGTGGAAGAATACCCCCGGCCCGGCCCGCGCGAAGCTCCTCTTGAAGTTGGCCGACCTAATCGAGCGAGATGCAGATGACTTCGCTTCCCTCGAGGCCGTCGATGCCGGTGTCCTGTATACTGACAGTAAGGGCATGAACATCCCTCAGGCGGTTGGAAACCTCCGGTACTACGCCGGGTGGGCGGATAAGATCGACGGAAAGACTCTTGCCATGGAGGGTGGCGTCGCCTTCACGTATCGGGAGCCCTTGGGTGTCTGTGGAGCCATTGTACCCTGGAATGCGCCTTTGTATGTTCGAAATTGTCTCCACTAGCCGCTGACCCGGTGCTAATTGGGATACAGGATGATCACTATCTGGAAGCTAGCTCCGGCGCTTGCAGCTGGTAACTCGCTTATCATCAAACCGTCCGAATTATCTCCGCTCTACGCCCAGAAGCTTGCCCTGCTCATCCAGGAGGCGGGATTCCCCGCCGGTGTGGTCAACATTATTTCCGGTGACGGCGCATCGGCCGGTAGGGCTTTGGCGGAGCACATGACTGTGCGCAAGATCTCGTTCACGGGATCCAGCGCGACGGGCCGACAGATTCTCAAGACTGCGGCGTCGACCAACCTCAAGCGCGTGAACCTCGAGCTCGGTGGTAAGGGTCCGTCGATTGTTTTCGACGACTGTGATTTGGATAATGCGGTCTTGTGGACCCGGATCGGTATTACGGCCAACAATGGCCAGATCTGTGCGGCTGGTTCGCGCATCTACGTGCAGAAGAGTATCTACGAGAAGTTCCTAGAGGCGTACACGAAGATGGCCGAAGGGAGTCCGTCGGTCATTGGTAACCCCCTTGACCCGGCTACGACGAAGGGGCCGATCGTCAGCGCGGCACAGCACAACAAGATCCTGTCGTATATTGAACAGGGTAAGCAGTGTGGGGCCCGACTCCTCTTCGGCGGCGAGAAGGTTGGCGATAAGGGATACTTTGTTGAGAACACCGCGTTTGCCGATGTCTCTGAGAATGCGACAATCATGAAGGAGGAGATCTTCGGTCCGGTCGCGGTATGTGTCTCTCTTGGGTTAGATGCTTGGCAGAAGTGAGATCGCTAACGGGAGTAGAGCATCGCACCTTTCGAGACGGAAGCTGAGGTTATCGCTAAAGCGAACGATACCCTGCATGGTCTTAGCGCGGCCGTTTTCACCAACGACATCAGCCGTGCCCACCGTGTGACGGCCGCCCTCGAGTCTGGCCAAGTTACTGTGAATGCCTGGGCGATGCTTAGCCCCAACGCACCGTTCGGCGGTGTCAAGGAGAGCGGCTTCGGGCGGGACATGGGTGAGGAGGCCCTGGAGGGATGGACATCCGTCAAGAGCGTCAAGTATGCCATTTTGCCCCCCAAGCTGTAGATTGCGGCAGCGCCACGACAAATTAGATTAATCCAGGTGTCGGTCACCGATCCTACACGATACCTAATGAGGAAACTTTCATGAGATTATATGAAGTAGAGAAATTTCCACGAATGAGAGTATGAGCACCAGACACGGGTCCTATTTCTCATGATAAGATCATGCATAATTTAATCTACAGGCTTATTGCGGATACGAGATCTCACGGGTCCGTTCGCCGTGCCCATGCTTCCGGCTCCTGGGATGCTGCATAGAAAGGATTCCGCTAATGTACTAGCTTCCGGACTTGGTGCTGGACCCTTGATTTCGATTGCTTGCGTAGACTAAGCGCGGGAAACGGGATGCATCTTGTGGAAGACATTCTTCGGGTCGTATTTCGCCTTGACGTCCCTCAGGCGCTCCAGATTACTTCCGTAGATGTTGTTGACGACGGCGTCTCCGGCTGTGTGTTGTCAGCTTAGCTTTTTTTTTTTTTTTTCACTTGAATCTTCGGTATGAACTCACGCTCCGCGTAGTTGATATACTGCGGTACATCGGCAGTCTCCTCTCCGTTGAGCTGTGCCTCGAACTGTGTCTTGAACTTAGCTTGTATTTCCCGTGCCCAGGCCCGATACTCGGCGTCCTTGGACGCATCCGTCCACCGCAGGTTGAGCAGTCCGTTCTGCGTAAGACTCCGATTCGCGAACGCGGTCGCATCCAGCGGCACGCTGCAGGTCTTCCTCATATCATAGCACTCCAGCAGCATGGCTGGGATCATGTCGGGGTGGTCCTGGAGCTTCGCGTTTAATTCATCCAGCATGGAACGCAGGAACTGGGCGTCCATAGGGGTGCGATAGAAAAGGCCCTTGAAGGACTTGCGATCGCCGTAAGTGGCCATCGGGTTCTGCAAGGAGTTGAGCAAGGAGTACGGGATGGTCTCGATCATGTTCACCACGGGCTCGAGAGCAAGGAATCCCTCGTAACGCTTCGAGCCTTCCTCGTTGGTGCCGTTGTAGAAGACCAGCACGTTGACCATGATTGTAGGGGCGCCTGGCGGCTGAGCGAGGATGATAATAGCGCCGGATCGAGGATCGGGGTTCTCAAAGAGCACGTTCATCTGCTCGATGACCGCCTCCAGCTTGTCTGGTGTGAATGCGATAATTCCGGCGTAGACTGGGTTCTTCTGCTCATACGCCTGGAACGTGAAGTCGACAACCACCCCGAAATTGTATCCGGCGCCGCGCAAACCCCAGAAGAGGTCGGCGTTCTCGGTCGCAGACGCCGTGACCACTTGCCCGTCTGCGAGCACCACCGTCGCAGCCAGGAGGTTGTCGATGGTGAGCCCGTACTGGCCGCTCAGCCAGCCGTATCCTCCGCCGAGCGTCAATCCACCCACCCCGGTGTGGTTGACTGTGCCGCCGACGGCCGCGAGCCCGTGCTCTGCGCCCGCTTCATCGACATCCTTCCACACGGCGCCACCCTGCACGGTCAGCGTTTTCTTCTCCGTGTCCGCGGTGACTTTGTTCATGCGCGACAGGTCGATCACCAACCCGCCGTCGCTGGAACTCGTCCCCGCGACGGAATGACCACCGCCCTTGACGGCGAGGTCGATGCCATGCTCCTGAGCCCAGAGAAGCGCAGTACGCACATCGTCGGTCTCAGTGGGCATCACCACAACACCCTGCACGGTCATTCAGCGTCGTCCACTCTCTACCAAGGAACAGGTGTGGGGAACGGGAGGGAGGGGAGATCCATACGGCTTGTTTGACTCCGGTTTCCGACCATCGTCGGAGACTGTCCAGATAGCCTTCAGATGAGGGGGTGAAGATATGCGCGGACTTGAGATTGTCCACGAGGGCGCGGAGTGTCGAGTCCGGAATGGAAGTCATGGTGGGTTTCTTGCGCGATGCGTGTGTGTTTATGTCAAGTTCGTGGTGGTCAGGTTCATCCGATGAATGAATAATATGTGGGGCCGAGGGTCTGAATCGCTTAGTGATTTATTCTCAATACGAGTTCCTACACTCGGTCTTGGCATTGGCGTTGAGGGGTTGGTTCATGTTCTCGTTCGATTTTGGCCATTGTGTACTTTTCTTACATGGGGTTGTACTATGCTCGGTGGGATATATATACGGTGGCCATATTTGGACTCGTGTTTGTGGGTGTTGCCCTAATAGAGGGTCCAGCATAAGGCTTGTAGATAGATATATAGGTAGTACTCCTACTCATGATATATATCATGTCTATCCTCAACTAAAATCGATCGATTTCTCTCTCCATTAGTACGTCTGATCCTCTACTGGACGAGACAAGTGAAATCTCCTATATTATTACCTTATTTATTATCTAGGAAAGGCGTCAATATGAAAACATCCGGACTGGTATATAAGGGCACATGTAAATTTCTAGAATGCTACCTACCGACGCGATATACTGTCGCCGGATAGAGTCCTGGCTACATCGGTTAGGCCTAGAATAGTCTATAGAGCTGCTGTAACTATTCAACCCTGTCATAGAGCTTGTAGACATTCGGCCTTATGCTATACCTCGGCTGAGAATTACTACTTTCGGACATTATCTCTTGGGATATATACATTCTATACTTACTATAATTTGCCGCGGCTGTTTTGGTCATCTTCATTACTATGTTTAAGACGTCTAGTAGACTGTACCTTCTCGACCTAGTGTCTATTTGACATAGATTATAGGTCAATCTTATAAGCGGTAGTATAAAGCCTGGGAAAGAAGAAGCAGTCTACTACGATTGCCGCTGTTTAAGACCCCTTTTAGTATCAACAATATGTGCATATTGAGAACACAATTATCAATTAGCTGCTTGATATTAAGCAAACGACCAATGGTGACCCAGAAAGAGACCCTGTAAGGAGCCGGAATCAAGTATATTGCGTCTCTCTCACTTTCTATATCTACGTGAGTTTCTCCTTAGTATACCGCTCATACAATTCCGGATACCACTTCTGCCCTACGTCTGGATGGCTGATAATCCGATTACGCAGGTACGCTTCTCCGAACTATCGCAAGTTAGTGAGACTCCACGTCCACAGAGAGATAGCACCTACACATGAATACAAAGGCGAGAGGAACTCGCTCGGCACATCGACGGCTCGCTTCTTCCGGTCATCCGAAGCAGGAATACATTTTACGATATGTGCTGCGGATTCACGGAGCTGGTCGAGCGTGAGGTCCATTCGCACGCCCAGGAAAAAGGGAATGCTGTATCGCGTCTTGGTCGTCGGGGCCTACTTCGATGTCAGTGATACTGGGAACCACGTAAAGTCTGTATCGCGCCAACATACAATCACTCGATGGGTCGTCGCGGTGCAGATACCCCCGGTAATCGCCTCGAATCCCTGTTGGATGTTCACGACCAGACTCCCCTCAATCGGAGGGGCATCGATCCACTCGCCGTTCTTGTTAAGCACCTGGAGTCCGCCCGTATCGTCTTGCGAGAGGAAAGTAAATAAGCCCGTCGAGTCCTTGTGTGGACCTACTCCCTGCGAGCCGGGCGCAGCCTGGGGATACTTGATGAACTTCAGACGGTCCATCTTGCCCTTGAACGACTCGAAGGTTGTTGGGGGCAGGGAGAGACATTCTGAAACGTATCGCATGAACTCCTGCGATAGCTTCGCGGACTCTGCGATGTAGTCTTCGACGAGTTCTTGGGCCCCGGGATGGTCCGGATACTGCATCATTAGAATGCTTGACATGGAGGAGGAATACTGCCGAGCATACCTGACTGTCCCCCTCGAGTCTCTGCCAGAAGGGATCGTTTTCAGTCCACTGTTTCATACCCGGCGTACCGAAGTCGAATTGCTTTTGTATTCGGTCAGCGGTCTATACATCCATTCATGGGGGAGACGCGGTTACCTCTCGCAGATCCGTCTTGGATGCTGTGGTCTCGGCTCCGAGACGAGTGTACCCGACGAATGCCGGGGAATTTATCATATTACATCGCTCTTTGACCTCAGTGGGCAAGGCGAACAGCTCTGGAAGCTTCGCATGTGTTCTTCTCACAAGTGACTGCACGATATTAGTACCTTGACGAAAGCATGAGGTGGATTGATGGTTGTTACCTCGAGTCCATGGTTGATCAAGTACAGGAACCCAACCTGGAAGATGGCTTGCCGCAATTGCTCCAAGGCTTCCGCTTTAGTCAGCGGGTCTTGAAGACGACGCAAGTCCACGATGGGAATAGAGGAAAAAGTACTATCGGCCATAGCTGTTTCAGTATTCTATATACTCTGGGCAAATGTTAAGGGTGAACTTGATGTCAAGTGGGGATTAGATTAAGAGGGGGATCGAGCACGCCAATCACATCATCACTGCGATCAAGCCATGTGTGGCTGAGCCTTGGCCCCATCGCCGAGGCCGAAGTTTTCCCAGCCGATGCTTCAGACTACAGCAGTTTGGCAATACTTTGACAAGAGAATCTTTGGTAGCCACCGTTCTATCCAATTAAACAAAGTGCTCTTGGCGATTTATTAGGCATGTTCCTTGCTCGGTAACTGGGTCCCGGAGGGAACCATGGGAAAGGTTCTCCATAGTGTCGACCAGTCTGGAAACATAAAACACGCCCACACTGGTTACGTAGTGGTGTCTAACTGGAAGAGGTAAGTAAGCTCCCTTGTTGTATCCTTAGATTCCTTACTCTATGAGAATATTTGGGCCGTGCATAGCACGACTAAGAGTGTGCATGGTTGACTGTTGATTTTAGGGATAATCATGTCACATGGGTAATTGAACCCAGGCCCCTATTGCACGTGCTTGTAAAGTCAATTGCGCAACAACATCTCATATTAAACAATCCAGACTATTGTCTTCAGTGTGGAACAATTCCCGTTAAATATAGACCTGCCAAGGACTCTGGAAAGACCGGAACTCAATCTACCGAGCGAATTCTTGGCAGTATCAAAAGAACAGTGATAATCCCAACGACTACTCGAAGGAGAACGGAGCCGACCTTCACGGTCCCAAATCAATCAAAATGCCGTTGCTATACATCAAAACTCTCGGGACTTGCTCGGATTTGTGGATTTGATTTGTACCTCTCCCTCGACGCATACACCTGAGGTGGTTTATTCTCTTCATATTATTCCACCTGTGATACCGACTCCTGTGCGTGTCCGGCACGATCCTTGGAGAGAACAAGCATCACGAGGATCGTCTTCATGAGCTTGCATGACGAATTCCAGTTATGAAGCACACGATGTACATGTAGAATGATTGATCATGTCTTCATGGGACCGAGCGCCAAGGACAAGAAGCAAAACATCCAACTTCTTGGCACTGCTTTCTGAAACGCACCAATGGCTACCGGCGGCTCTCCATGTATCACCTAAACTGGCAGAGGATAGCCCTAACCGTCAGCTAACCGCCCTGAGCCAACAATCTTGTGATGCCACAGTGCTTGCCACTGACTTGCTCATCACAGTCCAAGCGTGGCTCTTTAATCTAACCCCAGTCCCACGGAGAAATTTACCCACCCCTGTGTGTATGAATTTGGGGGTAAACGATGACGATCCCTTCATTCTGTTCCACCTATGGCAACTAGTCTTGGTCCTAGCTCGAGGTACCATGGCTCGGAGAAGCTCTACCGAGCTCTATAGAAACGCAGAATATTGAAAATCCTGAAGCGCCCGACGAGGGTATATAAGACCTCTCCGTCCGGCGTGGTTGTGGTCTTCTTTCTTTCCTCACCAGCAAAGCTGTTCCCTTCACTGTGTCATTCTTTCTACCTTCTTTTAAACCTTTATTTCACTACAACCACTCGCCGCAATGGCTAACTTCAAGCTCTTCCTTGCGCTGGCCGCATGCCTGTCTGGACAGGCTCTGGCTGCCCCTACCAAGACCGTCGCCAAGCGCGCTGCTATCTCTGACGTGAGTCTCCCGACGATATTGGTATATTGTCTTCCAGTGCTGTATCTGACCTGCCACGCAGGTTGCCCACGGTTACGCCAGCCAGAACGGTGGCACCAACGGTGGTGCCGGCGGTACTACCACCACCGTCTCCTCCTACGCCCAGTTCACCGAGGCTGTCTCCAGCGACGATGCCAAGATCGTCATCGTTGACGGCACCATCACCCAGGAGGCGAAGCAGGTGAAGGTTGGCAGCAACACCAGCATCATCGGAAAGGACGCCAACGCCATCCTCGAGGGATTCGGCCTGTACGTTTCAGCCAGTCAATACCAATGGAGAGAATACAAGACTAACACTCTACCAGTCTCGTCAAGGAGAAGGAGAACGTCATCATCCGTAACCTCGGAGTCAGGAAGGTCCTTGCCGACAACGGTGATGCCATTGGTGTCCGTATGTGTCCCTCGATCACACCGCCAGGGAAGGGTGACAATACTAACCTCCAGCAGAGTACTCCAACAACGTCTGGATCGACCACTGTGACGTCTCGTCCGACCGTGACCACGACAAGGACTACTACGACGGTCTGATCGATGTATGTCCCCTCATCTACCCTCCCTCAGTACCAATCGAAAGCCTATCAGCCGAACTAACCAGACAAAAAAACTATAGCTCACCCACGCCGCCGACTACGTCACCATCTCCAACACCTTCGTCCACGACCACTGGAAGGCCATGTTGTACGGCCACTCCGACAGCAACGGCGACGAAGACACCGGCCACCTCCGCGTCACCGTCAACAACAACTACCTCAACAACCTGAACTCCCGCGGACCTTCCTTCCGCTTCGGCACCGGCCATCTCTACAACAACTACTACCTGGACGTCAGCGACGGCATCAACACCCGCCAGGGCGCCCAGCTGCTGGTCGAGGGCAATGTCTGGGAGGGCGGCAAGAAGCCCCTCTACTCCACCGACGAGGGATACGCCGTTGCCCGCGACAACGACTTCGGTGATGGCGAGAACACCGCCCCCGAGGGTACCCTCACCAGCGTCCCCTACGAGTACGACCTCCTTGCTGCTTCGGCTGTCAAGGCTGCTGTCTACGGTACCGCCGGTCAGACCCTGACCTTCTAAGAAGATCGTGGAAAGTACGAGGTGAAAGTACAGAGAGATGTGGCCCATGATTGTTTGGGGTGATTTTGTGTGTGGTTTTTACCTTCTTTTTATTGTTTGATTGTTTGGCTGGGCCAGGATCGAAATTTAGTTTAGGAACCTCATCAAGGCAAAGTGTTGTTCATCGGTAATGACTTTGTTGATAATACGTAGTGGATTTGTAGAGGTATATATACATTCTCGGAGTTACTAGTTAACCGTCTATCAACCACTCGACGGTTAGCTTAGCCTGACACACTCAACACAACAGCATCGGAGTACACACAATACCATCACACCCCACAACCGGGCCTTCGTAGACCAACACTAGAGAAAACGAAAGCGCCCGTAGCACCAACAAGAGTGGAGGAAGTATTAATTGCAAACGAGTTAAGTAGATAGCAGATAGATAGTATTTCTCTTTCAGGAAGTAGTATTAACCCAAACACAGAAAGAAGACCCCATTAGACCGACTTTATAGACCAACCACCAGACCGAAAGACCCACATCTATTTAAAAAAAAATAAAAAATAAAAAGAGCCCATTCAATGCACAACAGCAGCAATAGTAGCGCTATCATATCTCATCAAAGAAATGCTATGCAAAAACCCGTATGACCCAGTACTCCAATAATGCAACCCGCCCATCCCGACCGACCAACCAACCGACCAGTCCCAACCCAACCGTACCCAACCGAGCAAAAACAAGGCAAGATGACTCAAGTTCTATGAAGTGTCCGACTTGCCGTGAGAATACAATGAGCCGCCCTCGACGGGCATGGGGATTGTGATCTGCGTGGCGTCGAATTCCCACGCGGCTTCTCTTTGCTGTCGATGGTTTCGGATGTAGAGCGGGAAGGTCCATTCTTTGAGACGGCCCTCCAGGAAACCCATGTCCCGGTTCTTCTCCCACATGCGGCGTGACGCCTTGAAGGCCGTGTTGACGGTGTTGCGGCGCAGGTCTTCGTAGGCTTTGAAGGCGATGGGGAGCGGCTCGTGGCGGTGTTTGGCGAGGATGCGGGAGAAGAGGATTGCGTCGTCGAGGGCGTAGGCGGCGGATTCGTCGCGCGGGGGCATCTATTCCGGGGTTGTTAGTTTTTTCTCGTAACGATAGTAGATGTAAGGAATGTAGAGGGTGAGTGACATACAGCATGTGCAGCATCGCCGAGTAGCAACGCCCGATCTGTGTGCCAACGTGCGTTGGGCCGCACCTGGTACACGGGATACAGCATCCAGTCGCCCGATTTGCTCGTCATCTCGCGGATGCAGGGGATCCCGGACTTCCCGAAGCGGGCCTGCATCTCCTCATGCAAGGCGTTCTTGATACGATGCTGGGTGACCCAGTCCTGGCCGCTCTCGATCTTGCAGAAGGGCAGATTGGCCTCTTTGAACTGCACGATGGCGGCCAGGAAGATCTGGTCGTGTTCGCGGTCACAGTAGCTCGCCAGGAGCGAACCCTGGCGGGAGATGTTCATGGAGGTGGAGCGGAAATGGATGGGAGACTTGATACTCTTGGAGTCGATGACGGTCTGCAGGAAGGAGATGCCGGTATACTCGGACGGGTGCTCCGGCGAGACCCAGTGGGTGCGGGTGGCTGAGTGTACGCCGTCGCAGCCCAGCACCAGATCGCCGGTGGCGGTGGTGCCGTCTTGGAAATACAGGGTGGCCTCGTCGTCGTTCTCCTCGCCGCGGATGAGCTTCTTCCCGAATACCACGTTGATGTTCTTCGTCCGCTCCACCACGGCCAGCATGGCAACCGAGAGGATGATCCGCATGACCCGGCGGCCCTTGTATCCGCCGAACCCGTTCCCTTTTTGGTCGGTGAAATCGATGCTGCCTAGTTGGCGGCCGGAACGGCTGGAGAAGAGCTCGATGGCTTCGACGTCTGTGCCGCCTTCTGTGCCCATTTTGTCGAGCTCGTCTAGGACGCCGAGGCGGTCGAGGTGGCGCTGGGCCACGGGGGTGAGGTTGATGGCCCCACCAGAGGTGGAGAGGATATCATGGCGTTCGAAGATGGTGATCTGGAGGTCGGGGACGAAAGGAGTGAGTTCTTTGGAGAGGGCGAGGGCACAGGAGATACCGGCGATGCCAGCGCCGACGATGAGGATGTTCCGCGGAGCAAAGACGGAGGTGAGGGAACGTTCAATGTCGGTAGGCAAATTGAACCATTCGTTGGCCTCTTGTTTCTGCGAAGGGAATTCGTACTGCAGATCCATGGCTTCTTGATTGGGTGATTTCACCAGAAAGAGTGATGAAAACCAAAGGGATATTCGGAGGAGCTCGGATGCATGGACGGAGGACGTGAGACCTATAAATTGACTATGAAAAGAAAAGGGTAGTTGATATCTAGCAAACAGAGGTATCCGCAGAATCCAGACCCGGTGTTATCGGACCAACTTTCTGAAAGGAACCAGGGGGATCGTCCATGCTAATGGGAGGCCCATTTATTAATACTCCAGTCACACCCATCAGGAGACAAAAAAAAAAAAAAAAAGGTAAAAAAAAAAGGCTATATTCGGCCGGAAAGGAGAGCGTTCGGAGACCATTGACGCATGGTCCAAGGAAGACTGGAAAAAAACCTGGTAAAATTTTCTTCATGCACCCACTCTAATACTCCTGCTGCGTCGATAAATCAGAAACCGTGCATACATAGCGAGATCGAGGGCTCCACTCTCACCCGAAGTCCGGAACATTAGCAAGCTGATAGGTCAGAACTCAAAGCTGTCAGTTTAGGCCAAGTCTTAGTCTCGAAGCGAACTCTGGATCCCTCCGTCATAGTGGCCGTTGAGCGCCGTTCGGCACTCAGGAGAAGGAAAAGATCAGACGGCTAGTGCTCAGAGCGTCGGGCGGAATACGGAGAACCGTATGGAGTATGGAGTCGGCTGGTCCATGCTAATTTCGCCATGTAATTATTGAACTCTAGTACAAGCTCGCATGGCCTACAATGGGAAACGAAAGCGAGCTCCATATCCATATATGTAACCTCGGTCGTTAGGGCTCGGCCGGCTAAATTACGTGTGCAAATTTCCCAAAAAGTACGAACCAACACACGATGACTCAGCTGATCCGTGGTCACCCGTGACTTTTTTTTCCACCTGACCGTTGGGACCCTCAGTATCGCAGAATTCCATCCCATGGTACCGAAAAGAATCAACGGGCCCTGTTCAACCTTATCCTCGGCCGATCGGCGATTTCACTCTATCGGGAATATAGTTATACACGTCCATTGGGTTTCTCCGAGAGAGCAGTCTCGCCAACGTGGTAAAAGACATATCAAAAACCTAATCATAGCCCGAGATCAAAGCGTGCCGCCACCAAGTCGCCTCTCGAACAAACGAGACCTTCTCTCCCCTTTCCAGAAAAAGTCAATATCTGCATTCTTTGACATGACATCAAAGGGCCCACGCGAACCCTGATTAGGGAATGCTTTGGGTGATCACATTCTGCAATTCTCAAGCAATCGGCGGTTGTCTCGCGTGGCCAAGGTTGCACAGTACAATTTAGCGTGCCTGCACTAACATGGATTTCTGGTTTAATGGGATCTACTATTGCACCATAAGAAACTAACTTGTTTTTTTTCCCCCTTGTCAGGTCTCAGCGGGGACACACAGACTAATAAAAAATGACAGATAGCAAACGTTAAACAATACATTGGTCAATTCGCGCAGGGCAAACTCGCTCAAGACATGTCCATTATGCGAAATTTATTTGACACACAATGCGAGAACTTTACTTGCGCCTCTCAGAGCGGCTCACATACAAGTCGAATCGGGGCACCCGGAACCATCGCTCTCAAACACACACCAAAACTCAATCGTCGCAACCACTGCGATCGATAGAAGCCGATTGCGCGAATAATCTATAAAACAATGACAGCTCAACCCGTATTCACCACAGAACACAGCATCCGCGATCAGCCCGTCAGAATCTGGCCAGTCTGATCCTTCAGCTTCCCGCAGTATCGCCGCGCTGCTCGAAGAGTTCCGGGCTCGTACGATGCACTGGGCGACCGGGGGGGCCTTGCCGTCGTACAAGATGTGTATGGTCCCTGCATAAGCATGCATAAGAACTGTCACCATTGTGCTGAATAATACAGGGATTGCCATACTACAGACCTGAAGGGAAATAAACTAAGCGTCTAGGCTGATTCAAAGACAAAGAGATGAGACCTTGAGTAGGGCAATATAACCTCAGAGTTTATTTTAACTTTAATAAGCCGCCTTGGGACTTGATGTGCTTTCTTTGACAGCCCTGTGGGACTACCTGCATACGTATCTGACTTCATTCTACGAGCTGTCCATTGTCTCCAAAGGAACTGATTCCCAGGCATATGAGAAGGGTAGATAAGACCTATCGGGCAAACCGCGAAAGGTGGAGGCCTTCCCCATACTCATGGTCATCCACAGGTGCCAAGCGTACCAACGTCTCCCGTCCCGGAGGGCAAATCCCGAGTGCCCACAGACACCGGGAGCTCAGAGCAGCGAGAGCACGGTGGAAAATTCGAATGTCTTAGTTAGTAATAGGAGGAAGACAGCTGCCAGACCCTTTCTCCCTAATCAAGTAAGCTAGACAAAAGAGAACAGTCCTGCCGAGGATAGGGCACGAGCGGGTGGATACCATCTTAGAATATCAGTTCTATAGCTAGACTATAATGGGGCAATTATGGACTAAAGACCGGTACAGGATTCTATCGAATCACATGCAGGAGAAGTCTCTTTGCTGCCTAGGTAGGTCAATTAGGGCATGTTTCGAAGGGGCACTACGTACCTGAATCCCGAACATACCCACGAATAATTAATGTTAAGCGATCTTGTGTGTAGAGACTTCTAAGCGACCACACGCTAGGCATGCCACGCCCGTATTCAAGGACCCTCCACTTCAACGAGAATGGTTCCTGACCCATATAGCCAAACTGGGAATATGCTCAAATTGTCCAAATTTTGAGACTATCAAGGTTATCTTGGCTGAGCGAGTACGAGCATTTAATCCACCTAATTATGTTCGAGAGAGAAAAAACAGGAAAAGAAGGGTTGGAAAACTGCGTCTGTCCATTTTCTTCCGAGATAAGTAATCCAGTCATGACTTTTTTAATTTTTTTATTTTTTCTCCGAGAGAAGCGTTAAATGCCGCGGCTCTGCGACAAGGTCTCCTGGACAGGCCAATCGCCTTCTACTCAGCTTTCAACAGGGATGTTAGAAGATGGACCCTCAGCTGAAAACTTAGTACACATGCAGTAAACATACTACTCTAACATGCCCTACACTATTTCCCTACGGAGATCCCAATACGAGAACTAGCGAAATCTCGCAGGATACCACCACGAGAGCCAAATCTGCCTCCAGTCCAGCTTCACCTCAAGAAAGCCGACGCTTCTAGATCCCGGCTATACCGCTGTCATTAAGGCGCAAATCTGAGACATAACCTCTTATTACTATACCATTCCGATCTCGCATATAATAAAAAACAACTGCTATAGGGCCACATCGCCACAGGAGAACGGTTACATCTTCCGGATCTACAGTCCCCATAACATTATTCCCAAATTCCCCACTATAGTCGCCAGCTACAAGAGATCGGCACCCAGCTTCCTTTTTCTCCACGGAAACACACGTAAATAGGACCGTGAAACTCACCGCCCAGCGTTCACGATAGGGATAAATATAAATAAATATGGTCCGGACGACATGTGAAATGCGCCGACTATATATAGAGCTGCGAATCATTACTATCTTCGTGGTGTGGCACCGTTGACGATCCGCGCTTAATAGTCCGGCGACCTAGAGGTGCTAAGCTTTGCCCCTTTAAACGGAGGTACTCCGTACGTAACCTCCGTCCCCGTTGGATTATTAATTCCAAGGGTCTAGAGGGACAATCTATACCGGGCTTGTTTTTAGTCTCCCCTCTTCCTGCCAGGCGGAAGTTACTGCGCTTCCGGCGTTACAGCGGAATCCGATCTGCAGCGGCCCGCCAAAATAAACATCTCACTCCTCGTCCTCCCTCCCAAGTGTAGGCGTTCGCGAGACGGAAATGATTGACCACGTCGTCGCCCTGGCGGATGTAATAGGTCAGGTTTGGTGTGATGACAAGTGGGGAGACGCTGCCACCGGTGGTGTTGAAGTCCATATGCCAAGGGGCTGATGGGTGGAACTGCGGCCAGTCAAGTTGGCCCGATGGGTCTTCGGGGACAATGGCATGGCTCTGGTTCCCGGTGGCATCTTGAATGGGAATGATAGGCGAGTTATTCATAATAAAACTACCCCAGACCTTCTGGAAGGCGTGGTTGAACCGCTTGCTGGGCCAAGACGCTGCGCGGGGAAAATAGGCGTTCAAGTCCGCGCCGTGGTAGGCTGGTGTGACGGAGTACTGGTACTTCCAGGCCTGGCGGAGAGATCCTCCAAATGCCTCGGCGAACCACTGTGCGGGACAGTCAAACGTGGACTCGGCAAAAATATTGAACACGGTCTGCTGGAGTCCTGTTGCCACCTCGGACTGGTTCTTTGCAGTTGGACCTGAAGTGCCGAGGGTATCGAATCGGGGACTGTCGTCGGTGGACTGAGAATCGGCGGTGTCATAGACCAACTTCAGCTGGGCGAGATCGGCTTCGGTGAAGTTTGGGAAGGTTTCCGAGAGGTAACTGTTGAATGCGGTGCGGGTCACCACATTAGGATTACTCAAGGGGGCGCCGTCATTAGCATTGTTCTACAAGCGGTCAGCGTATCGTAGGCTGAAAGCAAGAGACGGTCGAGCTTACTCCGACAAGGACTCGCTGCCCACTAACTTTGCCTGAGAGTAACTGTGCTGACGGCCGCTCGCGAATCATATCATTGTCGACGACAGGCAGGAATGCAAACGTGCCGAAGAGGCCTGACTCGGAAACCACACCGATGGCGTTTTGAAGCTTCTCGCTTGGTGCTGCAACTAGACAGTCAAAGCTACTGTTGTACCGGGCTTTTGCGATCGCAGATGGGCCACAGCCTGTCTTTTCGACAAACGCTTCGTAGTGGCCGGTGGGTACTGGGTCATCATACGGGTACACGGGTACCAAGTACGGACTAGCCGCGATGATCTGAGCATGGCCGGCGTCAGTGAACCATTGGGCGTAGGGTAGAGTGAATGAACATGGAATTCGATAGTTACGTTTTGGAATAGATTCGACTCTTTTCCTCCATACGCCAGAGAGTGCAGCATGGCTGCCCCAGCACCAGCTGACTCGCCACCGATCGTGACGCGCTTAGGGTTGCCGCCAAATTTAGTGATATGTTGTTGAACCCATTGCAGTGCAAACCGCTGGTCCAGAAGACCAGCATTGAGTGCGCCTCTTTCGTGAACCTCTGCGGATGACAAGAAGCCGAACGCTCCAAGACGGTACTGGATCTCCACTGTGATGAAGCCATTGTCGTTGGTGTTCATTAGCGGACTAGGGTCATAGACAGCTCCAAAGAGGCCGTATCCACCTCCATCTATCGGATAATCAGCAAAATACCCTAACGATCACATCTACACTTCTTGACAAGGGTGTAATGGCATCTTACGGATCCAGACGAAGACTGGCAAATCTGATGCTTCTGGGGGTGCATAGACGTTCAGATATAAACAATCCTCGTCGCCTGGACCAGATTTAAACCCATAGACTGCCGGTGTCCGAGCGGCACCAGACTGTGGGCAGACAGGCGGCTGGTCAACCGCTGGGAGAATGTGGCTGGTATTCCGAAGAGGAGCTACCGGGGGTTGCCATCGCAACTCGTTGATCGGAGGGGCTGCATAGCGAATTCTGTTCACAGGGGAGTCAACAAATGATTAGTAGATGTGGAAATGGGACATAGTAGCACGATGATAGCTGCGCACCCTTTCCAGATATTAAGCCCGGTAGTTGTGTTATAGTATCCTTGATAGGTCGAGTATCCCAAGTTAACGACAGGTTCAGATGGGTTGCCCTCCACCGTGGCGAGCAGAGCCAGGCTGGCTGTTAGCAAGTGTCTCATCATCAACGATTAGTCAGATAACGATGATTGACTGACAGGCGAAAACGGTGAACACTCGTATAAGTCGGTGGGAAGCAGAGAGAATTTATAGTAGAATGCAGTGCGCCTCTAGTGCTTATATACGAGCAGACGCCACGCATTAGGGCATATGAAGGACTACTCTGATTGGAGAGCGGTGCCCTAAGCATCTTGATCGTAAGCCTTCCACGGAAATGATAAGCCCATTTATTAGTAATGCTACTGGCATGCCTCTTGGTAGTGGGTGTGAATTTATCTGAGAAAGCATTCCGTAGTCTAGATGTAGAGTAAGCACGAAGAATGAAAGATCGGATGTATGGTGATAGCACAATCAGTGGGCATATCAGCACGACAGAAATACCCTACTTTTATTTCAACTGCAATTAAATATGGCAAATATGGGAAGCCTAGCTCCGAATAAGGGAGTAGCATGAAAGAGCTGTAAGACGCTAATAAACTAGTATAAGGTAGCTAGAGTTATACTAGTTCTCCAGACGACCACGAGAGCCTTGGGTATCAGAGGACAGAAATATTATCCCAGCTGAACAGCAGCCTTCTTTAATGCACATGAAGAATCATCCACACTTTCACAACGCCTGACCAACCGCCCCATACCAGCAAAGCCCCAGTATAGCACCAAGAACGATCGCAACAGCAGATGGTACGTTGAACCACGCACTTTCTGCGTACGTAACAACAGCAATCACAACCCACCATGGCTCCTTCGCTAGGCTCTGACCATTATTAGCCTCAGGAGTAAGATACCCAATCTCCCAGAGCCTATAAACAGCAGTGAATACCAATCCGACTGCAGTCGCGTTCACGCCTCTAAGAAAATCGACAACCCATTTTTGCTTCCGGAGGGTTTTCCAAAAGCTTTGCACAGCAACTGCCAATGCAATCCCAGGCAAGAAGATTCCAAGTCCCCCCAGAAATGCACCAAAGATTGTTGGGAACTGCGTCTTTTGCAATGCTAAAGCCCCGAGATAAACAGCGAAGTTAAAGTTAGGACCTGGGAAGGCCTGAATGATTGCTAGTCCGAGAAGAAAGTCACGACTAGAGACCCAGCCAGGACCAACAACATAGGAGCGAAGAAGGGGAATAACAACTGGCCCGCCGCCGAAGATGACTGTACCAGCCAGATACATGTTGGTGAAAAGGTCAAGAGCCAATGGTGGCTGGTGGGAGACGCTCCTACCAACAAGAAGACCAATGAAGGATGCTAGAGTCGAGTTAATCGCATGTCTTAGGAGCCAATGAACGGAAACTCACCAAGGAAACAAACAATGATGAGGATTCCCACTCGAACACGGATACTATGAGCGGGTGCAGGATACTGTTCTACATCCTGATCAGGAGTATCTGTTGAGCTCAACGGCGCCGATTCGCCTCTAGGGCCAACGTTTCGCGATCGGACCGAATTCATTTGCGATGCAGTCGTGTCACTATTTTGACTAGGAGCGGCAGTTTGTCCGCCCTCTTCCATCGGAATACTCTGCATAGTTGCTAACTCTGTTTCAGTGGTAGGTTGGACTGCGTGTCTTCCCCTCCATGCAAGCTTAATCTTCCGGATTCGTTGGCTCATCCATCCATCCCAGATAATAGTTGCCAGGCCGCCAACAACCATTAAGAGTGGGAAATACCAAAGGGCATTATAACATAGTCCAGCACATGCACCGAAGATCACCAAGATGCGAGTGAGCTTATCGCGAATCGCCTTGTCGGCTAACTGCACAGCAGCGAGTGTAACGATGCCAACAGTTGAGGAGTTCAATCCAGAAAGAAGCGCATACACCGGTAACGGAAGGGTGTCGTCAATCTTCTGGACACCAAGGGAGAGAGCATACATGCCAATCGCTCCCGGTAGGCTACAAGGTTGTCAATACCACGGTAGAACTTACGAGAAAGAGGCATTGACGTCTTACCTCCAAGTGAAGAAAACTAATAGCGCTGGAAAAAACCCAGCATGTAACAAAGTAAGGCAGAAGATCATCTTGGTACTTGCTGGGCCAGGAAGACCCTGGCATATTGCAAAGAGCTCCTGGTACTGCCGCGAGTATCAGTCAGATAGTATTCTTCGTGAACGAACCCACAAGATAGTGTTACAACGCAACAGGACATGAACCCACAGTCTGCTCGTCTACCCAGTTGTCTTTCCCTCCTTTTCCTTGCACAAATCTCTCATGCAAAATACGAAAATGCACGGGAGGCCCACCAAAACTGGTGAAGCCTAAGTCCCAGGTTCGTAGAAACACCTCAAGCATGCGACTTGAGAGCCCATCATTGTTTTCCTTTCTTCTCGCTACGAGTCTCTGCCACTTCCGGTTCAGCGATCGAAGAGAAGTGATATGTCGCGAAAACGAAGCTGGAAGAAGCATTTTTTGGAGGATAGCACAGTCTTCAGGGGGTGTTATCTCTTCTGGTTTCAGATTGAAAGGTGGAAAAACGTCCCACGACGTTAGATATAAAGGTTGGTTCCTTCGCTGTAAAGTTAAAGACGCCACAGATAGCCAATTATATTGCAGAGTATTGTCACGAATACGCCAAGCTTGGGTGCCAAGATCTGCGACGAATCGGGGTCCCATTTAAGCATGGTTGATTCGAAGTCAGGGGCTTTGCGGTTATGGAGAAAGCGAAGGAGGCACATATATAGGGTTTCCTTCTGGGATGAAAGAAAATGAGGTGGAGAGCACGTGTCGAGTTGAACAATAAGTCCATGCTACTCATAAAACTTGACAGGTAAATGTCGGGTAACAGCAGCCATGTCCATAACACCGTCATAAAAAGGATACACGGACACCAAACAATAGCAACTTGACGTCCCATGTCCACTGATATTTGACCTTGCGTTTCCGTCACATCTTAAAGTTTTCCCGCATGCTTTAACCGTTCCATCAGTTGGGGATTGCGACGTATTTTTGCGAGCTGCAAGAACAGTTAGCGGCATTAGAATTGATGCTTCAGACATCAACAGAAAGGGACTATCTCACCATTCTCTCCATTGCCTGTTCCCTTCTTCTGTTATTTTCCACGCGGACCACGTCCTCTTTTTCTCTCACAGCTGCCATTCTGTCCAAGCAGGTGGTCAAGTTGGATCAGATACTCACCATTGAGACAGATTCGGCCATCCTTATTCCAGAGAATCTTCGAGAGATCAAGACTTCTGTCTTGATCATAGGCATTTCGGGTGGCGAGGTTACCGTGTAGAATCGGTCAACCGTCGTTTGTTACCTCAAGTCGGGGATTGCACGTTGACGAGCTAATGTTGCTCTGGGGGTCGGATAAACTGTAAACGAAATTGCCTAGTAGACTTAGTCCCATGGCCATTCAAGATTCCTCAAGGATAAGAATATAGTTAGGCGTACCATCATCGTTCCCCAGAAAATCATCCAGGCGGGTCTGGATCCAGATCCATTCCCCATTGTCTTTCTTGGCCTTGCAGTGGAGGTCAGTGACCCATTGTCTGTTGTGCTAGAGCTTGTGGTTCTTAAGGGACCACGAGTGGCAAGAGGTGGTGATATTCATTGTTCGATTTTGGTTTTTGTATAGCAGATAGATAGAGAACTGTGGAAAGAAATTATAAAGCTATATGCTTCCTGCGAACTTGCAGACCCTTAAGTAGTCTCCCTTTAGAACCGCTCCTTGGATAATGAGTTTATTTAGATGTATGTAGACTGCAGATCTTGCCGTCCTTGGCAGACACGAAGTGAGATACGTACGCTGCATGCAGTGTTCAGCTGGAAAATACCTCCTACAATGGATCAACAACCCAATCGAGTTTGTTGAGATAGGAGCCCTCCTTCACCGCCATCAAGAACTGAACACCCCCCGCTTTGAATCAGAACTTAATTATCGAAAGGCCAGATTGCTCTACTCCGTACGGAGTATACTTTATTGCCATGGGAACCTTCCTCTGAGGATCGCAAGCCTCACCAACTCTATTTACACCTAGCGTCGATCCGATGACTTGGGTTTTGCATAATTCTGAGAAAGCTTTGTCCATAGCATGATTGGGCTTCTGTAGTCCCTGTACGAGTCCCTTAGTGGACACCTTTCTCTGGACGGGGAACCGATCGAGTGTAATCGGCAGACACCTCGTGTGAGTTCTGTAAAGACACAGCCCCGAGGCAAGCTGATCATGCTGAGCTGGAACACCATGCGTTGGACAAACCAAGACACCTGTACTGATTGAAGGAGGTTAGCATCGGCCGGAATATTGTACCGAAAGTGCGAAGAGCTCTAGGATCTAGTGTCTCAGGGGGCTTTCAAGGGCTAGCAATGATCGGAATTAAAGTGCCTCCAATGCAGGAATCTAGACGGCGAATGATTCTTTTTCTTTCCACAAACTCGCTTGGATCGCCGATCAACTGCGGGATCCATTCTAGCTAAAATCTCGGTTCCAGCTGCCCCACAGTCCTCCGGTATATTAAGCGTCTGCAGAATGATCTTCGGTTCATGGCATCTTTTGTATGGAGAGCGCGTGTTTTTACGTCGATATAAAACTATATAAAATATCTACTAATATTGGCAAAAGCAAGAGATTTCTCTATCGACAACAGTTTTCTTGTAATCACCCCCGCATCGGTCTCTATCTTTGAGGGACAACACCTGACGTATGTTTGACCTAAAAATTAATTGACCGAGCATTGATCCACAACAATAATATTTAATACTTCTAATAATAACAAGTTGAGAGCAATATTGTGCACTTATTTGGCTTCAGTTAAGCGAAATCGATTTCTAGGGAGAGTGGAGCTCATCAAATCCTCAGCTCCGCTGATAAGTACGGAAAGCTCAGAGAACCCCAGTGAAACTCAATAGGGTGGAACGAGTTGAAGGCACAGTAACAGCTATAAATGAATTCTACCTTCCATGTGAATACTTGTCAAGGTATGCAGCGGTAGAGTGATCTACAGACAATCAGCGAAGTCTCCATACAATAGCAGAGGACTAACTTACAGGATTTGATGCCCTTGTCCACGTTCAGACTCATATACACCGGACGGGCCTAAAAGTATCAGAAGTCATGCGACACACAATATTCTTTGGTGTACGTACCGTAGCCTCAGCACCCTTTTCTAACCAGTCATGAATTGACCGTGCATCCTGGATTGTGGAGTTCCAGTACTGAGGGAGTACATCGAGACAGGCTTGGAAGGACAGCAGTCCACTCTGTTGCATGCCCTGGAGTTCTTGCCGCGCATTTCGGATATTCTCTAGTTCTTTTTCGAGATCCTCTTTCTCACTGGTCTTCGCGTTTATCTGGTTTTGCACCCCTACGGGTGGTTAGCTCGCTAGGCCCTGTCTATTCTGAAGTGTAGAAGAACCCACGTTCAGCAGCAATGAGCAAACCTAAAGAGGCGCCGAGAGCGGCAACGGCGGTGATGAGGCCTCCAATCTGCATAGTAGTCAGTCGCTAGCCTCTAATGGGAGTAGGCACATCACGTACAAGAATCAACGGCTTGACAGGCTCAAAGACGGTCCCAAGCGCCGTTGCAATTGGTATCGCCGCTCCTGCGACTGCGGCCATTGACTTTTGGGCGGCTTCAATTGTGTTCAACTTTTGATTCAATTCGAGGATATCTTTCTCTAGTTCCTTGATCTGCTCTGTGAGTTCTCCTTCTTTGTCCTTTGCCCACGAAGAGTATGTGTCTACGAAGGAGGAAAATTTGGTCCCAATGTTGGAAAACCGTTGTTGGATGTCTTGGGCAGTCGCCTCAAAACTGTTCGTATTCTTGCAATGGCTGTTAGTAGATATTCCAAGGCTCGCCTGTAAGCTAACACACCGAGATAAAGCTTTTAACTTTGCTCTTGCGGTCCTCGACTGCGATACTGCTGTCCGCACAATACTCGACGATAATCGCGTCGAAGCCTACGACGCGATCAGATGTGATCAAAAGGCGGCAGGAGTGACCACTCACTTTTGCCATTCTGTGAAATATCAGCCGCTAGGGACCGACTGTCCTGAAGGACCTGGTTGTAATTCTGTGCAAGTAAGCATTGACATCAGAAGCAATATTGCTCGATCACTCTACCTGGCGAATGCCGGCAACGGTATCGGCAAACCCCTCGTGATACTTTTGGTCAATTACAGCCAGCTTCTTCTGAATATTAATGAGATGGCTGTCAATATCGATCGCTGCTTGAGACGCTGCCGTTCCTGCCTGTGCCATCCGGTCCTGACCCTCATTAGATGAGAGGTGCTGTCCCGCACCGACAGTGAAGTCAGCCTTTTGCTGCTCCGTCTGCAGTGGGTAGTGGTCTTCGTAACCACTGGCAAGAACATTTATCTCCACGTCGGAAAGGGTGCGAGCAGCCTCGAGGGCCTTTTTGACAGTGGGATTACTGCCGAGGAGACCCTCTAGCTTTCCGGCGACCTCATCATACGATGGGGGGGAGCTGTCGGCTGTATATGCGGGAAGAAAAGACATGGCTTCTAAAATACAACAAGCTTGGCCACTGAGATCAATATAGGAACTTGGAAGAGAGTTCAGGTTTGGGATTATTTCATCCAATACTCCCGGGCCTGACCCTATATATGGTCACCGATATCGCCTCGGTTTATATCACCCTCAATAGCTCATTGCATATCCATCAATGATCGCATGATGTGGCGTCGGAATCGCCGAGGTCACCATATAGTACGTTTGCTAATTTCTGCACAATCTTGTACAGTCAATGTCTCAGCCCAATGCATGCAAGCCTTAGAAAACCAAGCAAGCGGGGTAAGACGAGTGGGAACCTGCTGCATCTTGCCACAGTAAATTGACGTAGAGGTGTGTCGCTGAACAATGTCAAAGACATAATGCGTATTAGCTGCATATAATCCCTGTAGCTACATACCCGCTGAAATGCAGGGGTCCTGTCAAGGTTGAATATCCGGTTTTGCCACGGCGTTGATCGGGGTTCATGCACGAAGCTCTTAAAGGTTTCATTTATCTAAATCTAGTTCTCCTTCTTTTTTTATTAGACCCCGCTGCACCAGTTGAGATGCGTCAGGATAGGCGTCATGCTACATATCAAGAAATCGTGCACGTAGTGGGGAAAGCCACGTATGTAACCCTCATTTGCACGACGGACTATCACGGAAAAGAAGGAAGTCAAGATAGCGCCCAACGCTTAAAATCATCTCACTAAAGTCGAAGGAGCTCCTTGTGTTTCTAACTTCCTCCTCTTTCAATTCTCGTTGCTATCGTTGACCACCCTGCCATCCTGTGTAAACCACGCCATACGACATGTCTTCTTCAATACCGTCGACGACTAGCGTCTTTCAAAAATTAAATCAGCAAATTTCTACTCCAGCGACAGTTTCGGCCTGCCTTCAGGCCGTGTCTTTGCTGTCTGAGGTTGAGCGCAAGGTCCTTGTGGAGTCCCCTGCCAAGTACCACATCACACCTACAGACAAGGAGGCATTCACAACCGCTGCCGTGCGGGCACTATCCTCAGATGATCTGGACCAAGAGCTTGTAGAGGCTGCCAGCGGGGCCTCTGATGCAGTCAATGGCATTCTTGAACTAATGGTGGGCCTTATAATCAATTTAGCATGGGGCGATTCGATGAACGGCACGCACCTCACTGAACAGTATGAGCCGATTATGAGGGTAAGTTACTCTTACCATCGCGAAGCGGATCATGCTCTAACTTCTATATTTCCTCGTCCTATAGTTGTACTGCAAGACCATGAGGGATGGGATTCCGCTTGCCAACACGATTGCTCAGTATGCGGAAGGTATGAGCTATGAATACATGAGTCTCATAGCCGGACTAAGACATCGCAGACTTCGACAATAAAGTCATTGGACTCTGTGCAGATAGTTCTCTAACTATGAATGAGCGTATATCGACAATCCAAGGATACATCAAGGTAACATTCTTTGTTTGCATTGGATACAGATTCTTAATTGACATCTGTAGGATGCGGAAGGGTACCAAACCACGGCAACTGAGATGCAGAGCACCCTAGAGTCTGTGTTTGAAAAAACCATCCATTTCATAAACCAGCTCGGGAGCCAGTCACTGAAGAGCGACACGAAGGAGAGGGCAAAAGGCTTCCCAGCACCGAGGTTAACAAAGAAATTCCCAGACGTGCCGCTCGATGTACAAATCCCAGCACTCAGGGTCGCTCTGGAATCACCTTTCGGGCCATACGTCATGGTATGTTGAATCTTCCCTGGACAGGCTAACACACTCTGACGTGATCAGATTGCTGGTCTGCTTGGAGTTGCTAACCCTGAAGCGACCATCGCGGCCTATTCTATTGCTGCGTCTAGTAAGCGTGCATATTATTTCCGCATCACAGCTGGATATCTAACAAGACTTAGTGACCAATCAGGAATATGTACCTATCACAACAGTCATATCTGACCTAGCCACGCAGGGGCAATCAGGAAGTGCAGAGGACACCAACACGGAGTATTTCAACGAGTTTCGCGAGCATATCGGAGTTCTCGCTGGTTACTGGGGAAGTACACTTATTGATGCACGAGAAATCGAGTCATGGTTGAAAATGGGCGCCTCTCTCGTAGTAAGTTCTGCAACGTTTCATTTGGACTCTTGACACTGATAAAATCAGGATATACCCACCTACATGGAAAAAGCGCTGAATGGAGGGGTCAAGCTCTGTAAGCTAGCATCAACGCATCATTCAGCTTGCATTCACTAATCTCTTGCTCAGATGTGAAAGTAGGCAACTACTTGCGACTGTACGCCGAACAGACCAGCCAGATACCTTGGGATCACTGGGTTAATGCCGATGAGAATTCGTAGCTGAACATAGTGGGCTCTTGTGCTGCCTTCATCCCTATGCCTGGCCTGATGTTGCCGTTTTTAGTATTCTACACCTTTTTCGTATTATAGTATAGGGCAGTTATTCAATGCATCCTTGTCTGTCCTTTTGCAATGATATACGTGATATACAAGCTACGCCACTTGAAGGTGTCCGTACCTTGTCATTGCTACCATGTAGCCCTAAGCTACCGATATCCCCCCGTTCTATGTCTGTCTTGGACGTAGTCAGACCTACAGGATGGGGAATCTACGGGTTTACGTGTTTTTTCTATGTAATTCCATGGAAATCGTCTCAAAAGGAGGATTTGTCGATTCCGTCGTTGGCAGGGGCCGGTGCCCGTGAGCAAATAACCGCGAGTCTCCCATCCATGTTGCAACTTTGAATAGTGAGGGGTTGTTATAGTTGCAGCGTGAAGGCGGGGCATGTGGCAATTTCTTCATGATTCGGCTCAAAGGTTGAGAATTCTTGTCAGGCCATAATCCATCTGTTCCCCTTTATACCACACTGCGTATAGCAATTCCAATAGGTAGACACTGCCTAGACGGAGAAATTGCAGCCTTCCCCTCCTGCACGCTAGACAATCAACCCTCAGCGACACCCACATACACCACGTCACCTTTATTACTGTATCGAGCAGCTCTTCATGCAGAGTTGAATACAAGCTGAACTATGGATTACTTATCCCAGCTTTCCAAGATATTATTACCTTCTGTTCGTGTAGTTGGACGATATGGTGGCAAAGTGGATTTCGAACTGCAGACGGGGAACATAATCCCTGGAGACCGAACAAACCCGAACCTATTTCTTCGTGGTGCAAGCGACATGGGGACCTGGTAGATTCAGCTGCCCCAATGTCCGGACTTCTCCGCGACCCTTGAAAGCTCCACTGTAGGCCAGATATAACTCAGGCCGAGGGGGGTATATGACGTTTTAGACGGGAGACTTGGCAGTCCTTCCTTTGGAGAAAGGTTATATATGGCGAGGAACGCACATATCGACACAATCATCCCCTCTCTTCCAAGATATAGCACATCTATCTCATTTGAACCTTCACTCTACGCTCATCCATCGCAACTTCACAATGGCAGCTGTTCCTCCTCCGTATGTGGCTGGGGACTCGCCGCCCTCGTATGACGAGGTCGCCAGCAAGGTCAATCAGCTGGTCGGCAGTAGCCCTACCCCTCAAAAGTATCTGGACGTTGCGGCGTCGCTTTCCGATGCGGAGCGAAAAGTCTTGAAAGACGGGGCCGAGGCCCACAATCCAATCCAGACTGACGAGGATAAGGAAAAGTTGTCGCTGGGTGCGGCGAAGACAATGTCCACGGATGAGACAGTGGCCAAGTTGAAAGAGGATGCAGCCGCTGCCGGCGCGGCAGTCGTGGCGATTGATGGCTCGTTTACTGCATTACAAGTGCAGATTGCGAGCATTGATCAGCTGGAAAAGACGAACTTCTTGACCCAGTTAAATGAACAAAAAAAGGTATAACCTATCCATTCTTTCTATGTACATATGCCGTGAATAGTATGCTAATATCCCTCTGCAGAAATACCGCGACGTCCTTCAGAAGAGCCGCCTTTTAGCAGCAGATATCAGTCAATATGGGTCTAGTAAGCCCACAGATGTGCTCGGCCAATTGTCCCTAGGCTTCCTCAAGCTAACGCCTGCACCTTTAGGCTTCGATGAGCTAATTGTTCCGCTGTGTGCCGACCAATCCTTAACTGTGGATCAGCGGCTAGGACAAATCGACAAATTTATCGCCGTGAGTGAGCCATGTATATGCAATTTGTCGACAATGCTAACTCGTTCGTTACTAGAGGGCAAACGACTTCCAGGAGCAGGGGAACGAGATCAATAAAAGTTTCGACACGCTAATTGACGGTTTCGTTGAGTTTACAGCCCAGTTCTCTAGCTGGGGCAAGAATAAGGAGCAGGAATTGAACAATGATATTAAGGAAATAGACAAGCAGCTAGCGGAGCTGACACAAAAGTTGGCCGATTTGAGGACATCTCTAATCGCACTCGGTGTCGGTCTGGGAGTCGGGCTATCTGCAGCTGGTATTGGTCTTGCCCTGTCGGGACCTGTTGCCCCATTTATCCTGGTATGTATATGAAAAGCTTCCCCTTGTACTCGCTTCTTTGAGCAGTTACTGACCCAGGGAGATCGGCGGCCTGATTTTTGCCGGAGCAACAGCGGCTGCGGTGGCCGGCATCGCCATTGCTATGGGCGGTACGTCAGCTTTCTTGTTAGCCTAGTTGATTAAATGTGAAGCTTATCTCTACAGTCGTATCGAATCAAATTGAAGGGAAAAAACGGGAGAGACAGGATAAGTCGGACGAGATCGACAAGATTCGCCTAGCCCGACGTAATCTGGAGGATATGGGCAACTCGCAGCTGACGGTGTTCCGGGATAATGTGAAGGTCCTCCAGAGCTACTGGACTTCAATGCAGGCGGATGCAGAGGCGATCAAAGGCTGGCTGAAGAGTGGGGCCGATATGGCAGTACGAAACCCTTGAAGAATACGAACGACCCGTAAAAAGTTCCAGTGGCTAACCTTTCATATTCTCGATGTGTGCATGCAGAGTGTGCCCAAGTATATGAAGATTGCGCTCGATGAAGCGGTGACCGTCTGTAGGTTGCCATTTGCCCTCACACTCATCGCTCCCCTTCAGCTAACCTTGGTTACAGATGCATCCATGGCTCAGTATATGGATGAATATGCGAAGGGCACCAACCTATAGGACCTCGGCATATGGTCTAGTTAGTCTGCAGTGGTCAGGTCGATATCTTCTATGCTTCCTTGTGACTTTTTACAGAACTAATGATGACATAAATGGAAAATTATGGCGGGGTCGTTGAAAGCAGGAGCGCAGCTAGATTGTATCTATGAGCGATGAATTACTCTCCAGGCTTTACTATCCATATCTCTTCGTAGTCATACTTCAGGTATTGCCTAGCAACTGCCCACCGGTATACTCTTCCTTCATGACCTCAGCCTGATACACGCCGATTTGGAGATTAAAGTGTCTTTCGTTCTGAAACCTGTCTGTTTGCTGAAAACTAGAACCTCACCAAAAAAGCATTCCTTTAAAGGTTCTGGTTTGTACGCTATATACGCAGTATTATACTATCAACCTTGTATAACTACTAGAGGGCCCTGACGTATATCACAACAACCGAGGCATGTATGTAACACACTGGGGGGCTATGAGGATACCCCCTTTCACCAGGAGTCTCTGACCCTCCGTACTGACTTCGTCTAGCTTCATTGGTCACCCTTTTATCAAGGTGCAACATGAGAAACTATACAGAATTACAGTGCTGGACATAATTGTATACCAAAGCGTGTTTCGTTCGGAAAGCAGAGCAAAATATGGCTTTCAACATGGGCGTGAACAAGCGCGAGATAGGACATTACTAATCGGCCTGTAAGATGTCAGGATCAGCAGAATAGAACAGGCCGCAATGAAATGCTTGATGTAGGCAATTGGAAACTACTGAACTAGCGGTGACTCAAGCTTTATTGAACTATTCCCGATCGCCATTAGTGCTTATCTCAATATCGATGATGCCTAGTCTTCCAAGAACCTCTTTGTGCTTACGACTTTTGTTCTTTTCAGCAATGTATGTCTTTACTCTGTACACACGCGTTCTCCTACACTTAAAATCCTGAAGATATGTTCGCAGAAACCTCGCCTGACGCATTCTGGGGGATGCAAACTGCCAAATCCAAGTCAGTATGCCATGCTGCTTATTGTATGGGCAGCCACCAGCTAACATCTCGAAAGCTTTTGCGAGCAGGTCGGTAGCTACCAGAATGCCATGAGAACCTTGTATATGGTACTTGGTGCTAATACACATCGAGTTGGGAGGAATAGGATTATGCAGTGACAAGATACATCGCCGAGTTCGTCAACAGTTTGACCAACCTTGTTTACAGTAAGTTCTGATACTAATCTGCATCCCTTGCCAGTAAAGAGTCTTACCAGCAGTGCAGTATTCTACGCCATTTATGGACTCCGCAAACTGCGACAGAAATCGAACCACGATGTCTTTCGTGCCATCCCGTACTGGGGTTTGATGGCCGTTGGAATATGCTCTGCCGCATTTCATATTAGTCTCAAGTACCACACCCAGATGCGTAAGTTGCATTCATATTCAACATCGACTGTGATTCGAGTTAGCTTACCATCGCCATATGTTATGGTCATCAGTGGACGATCTCTCCATGCTCTTTACAACGACCCCAGTTCTACACCAGGTCTTGACCGTCAACGTCACCCGCAGAAATTCGCTTATGATAGCTATCCTACTATGGTCATCTCTTCTGAGCTTAGTTGTTTATCATGTCAGAACGGATGAGCTTTTTCTGCACTCATTGTCCTTTGCTGCCATGGTGATCGTCATTGGGATCCGAACTATGCAGCTTATCAACGCCCGGACACTTCCAGGCTCAGCGGCTCGGAAACAGATATGGGGGATGGTAAGATTCGGAGCAGGTGAGTTCTATCATCACCTTCCATTTGTGTATATATTGACGCACAGGATAAGTTATTTTCAACTTGGGATTCTACCTCTGGTTGATTGATACCTGGATATGTGCTTTTTTGAGAAGCACGCGGGCGAGGATTGGCCTTCCCTTGGCCTTTCTATTAGAGCTCCACGGTTGGTACGTCTGCACATGTTTTGATCTCACTTGTTTCCTTTTTTTCTTTCGTGCCCAAAGCTTATGCTAGAATGCAACAGGTGGCATATCTTTACTGGAATTGGCGCCTACATCTTCATTGCGGTGGTAGATCACCTCGTGTCTGGTGAGAGTCATGATGCTATCGAAGAGTCTTTTGCCTGGCCTGCTTCGTGGGCTTCGAGGTCAGTTTTCGCGGGAAGAGATCCTGAGGTGGCTCATAAGAAGCAAAGTTGAAGGTGCGACCATTCGTGTTCTAGACCTAGAGGTTGAGGTTTTGCCAGTACTCCCTCTGCATATCATCTCTACACTGTACGAATATCCTTTGCAGCGCTGAGGTAGTAGACTGCACTTCAGGGGAGAAGCTACTTTTAACATGCACTAACTTGGTCCGGTAGAAGACTTACATATCGCTCATAAGATAGTTCTCTATGTACGTTGTATTGATCTTCTATCAACAAATCATATGTCCTATTAGCTCTAGTTCCTGAACACCATTAGACCCTTTAATTTCAACCCCAGACCCCTTTAGTTTGGCAACGGCCAATCTTCAAAGAATGTAGTTAACCCCCGACTCATCGAACACGCCATGATACTGCCATGCTCCTCACCCTCATACTCATTCACAACGACAGTATGTAACCGCTTGGTACCCTTCAGCATCTTAACAAGATCAAGTGCATTATCGCCCATTCTCAAATCCGAAGCAATCTGCTTCCGCGCTTCATAGTGATCGAGAGGCTCGTTGTTCCACTGAGGTGGGCTTTGTTCATGAGACCCAAAGAACACCATCAGTGACGGGGCCTGCTCATCTGCCGTCGTCTCCTTCTCTAAAAATGCCTTGGCTTCATGCAATATACACCGGCTATTCCACCAAATCGAGGGACTGCTCGCGATGTAGCAGTCAAAGGACTGCGGACGTGTGAATAGTGCGTGCAGGGCAAATAACCCTCCGTATGAATGACCAAAGAGAGCCTCTCTTGAAAAGGACAATTTTGGGAATCGCTCCTTGATCGCGGGACGAACGGCGTTATCGATGAAGTCAAGACATAGATCCGCTCCTCCGTATCCGGGTATCTGCGCTTGTGTGGGTGGCGTTAGGTCTAAACTGCGGCGACGCGCATCGTATAGCTTTCCGTTTAATGGGTACCCGATCGCGACGACGATGCCGCCGCCGGCGAAGTGTGACGAAGCTGCGCGACGCCAGGCAGCTTCTGTCGCGCTGAGGAATAGTGCGTTTCCATCGACGATGTATCTGGCTTTTGTTAGCGAATATATCGGTTTAAATTTCACGCTGGTACTAACATGATCGGAAGTTGCTCGTTCCCAGTAGGGGGGTCATGACCTTGCCAATGCAGCGGCCAAGAGACTTGGATCAAGTGTGATTCACCCTGTCCATTGTCCAGGTAGAATTGCTCCGAGTTGGGAAGCGTGATTCCAGCTGGCTTGTCGCCCATATTCGCGGTTGAGATCTGTCGAGAGGGTCGCGTGAAGCTGGAAACAAGCTGCGCGCGTGGTGGAATAGAGACACGGAGAAAGTTGTGCTGGCTGGTCGGGACGAAAGTATTTTTGAGAAATCCCCTCAGAAGGGGGGGCTTAAGGGAGACCGAGGCCGCAGCCAGCGTTCGGGTCCACATACTGCAGACGAGGGGCCAACGACGGACTGCTATACTGGGTGTTTGCTCCTTATCTGATGAGCCCAATGTCCGACGCACTAACTCTTAGTGCCGGCGGGGGACAAACGGACACCCAATCGCCTCCAAGGCCGGCTATTTAATCAGATCAGATTAGATCATGGTGGTCCGGAGGAACTCTCACGGCGTCTCGTATCCAGTGGGTTCGTATGGGTCTGAGTGAGCTCGACATGGTAATTGGTTGGAATTCCTGGTCTCCGGAATCATATCCTTGGTTTCTGGTAGAAAATATGGGCTTTCATTCATACAATTGTTGCAACTTTGATCAATTGGCCATTCAAGCCGTTGGCCTCCTGCATGTTAGAAAATCTTTCAAGGACTTCAACTGCCAAATTCCTTCCGGATCGACCCGAGTCCAATCAAGGAGAAACACGGCATGTAGGGCGAAGAAAATTCTATGGCTGGATACTCTTGGGATTCAACTAACGGGGATTAGTGACTTGGCAGTGGGGCTCATAACATTGGGTTTGTCATGGGGAGAATCTTTACGTGAGCTCCCATACAGAGTAAGGGATCAACCCTATGGCTAAGGGGAAATGTAGCTATAAAGACCCCCATGACTTAGCTTCCTAAGGTCCAACTACGTTGACTAATCCCATACGCAATATATTCATGATGGTCTCGGCCCAGAGCGATGATCTCTTCGTGATACTTGCGAATGCTAGGAGACTCTCAGGTTGAATTTGGATCTCAGTCTGTATTCGAAATAGGTAAATTGCACATAAGGCTGGACGTAAATCTGTGTGTGGCATGGTAGTGACTGAAGAGGCTGCTGATTGTGTGCGGGCGTAGACTACCTTTCAGTGCCAAGTCCTACCTTTAAAGGGACCATTTTCCAATGCGATTTTAGTCATTCACAACAATCACATTCCAGCCCCCTTTGATGTTTGATCTTGTACTGGGGTAGGCTATGATGGTTGTGGTGCATGCCATGCCCAACAACAGGTATATAGAAATCTTGGGAGTTGTATGGACTCATATTTCCGAAGTAGACCCGGACAAGCCTTGGCAACAGTCATTCAGCAATTATGTAGGGATCTAGTATATGCAATACACATGACTTGGCTAGACAGAAAACCAACACGGCGTGAAGAAAATGCGCTCTTCACAGAACACACGCTGAAATTCATATATATTCAAGGTACGGAGATAGGAGCAGACACCCAGTTGAAAGTGTAAGCTACCAACAGCCGTGAAATAGCTGAGACCACCAAATTTGTTACATTAATCGTAGACTTGACTTCCTTCATGCAAGTATTGGACCAGTACCCTGGATGGAAGAATGGGTGAGAAGTTTTCCGCTCTCGGCAAATGTTGGGCGGATGGTTGCCACGGCCATTTTTAGCTGCTTCGAGCGGCAAGATCCTTTTCTAATTACCGAATTTGAATGCGTAAATTTCGCCTGGTCCAGCCAAGCGCGTTATCAGTGTTGAAGTGGATCACAAGGGATCCTGGAGGGTTTAAGGGTCTGGGCGTAATGTTAGAACGACACGATACATACAGTACGTGACCATACCATCCAATACCATACGTAATACCTGACCAAACGGAGCCCTAATCAGATGCAGCGACTCCAATCCCGGGCCCCTTGGCATCAATATTGCGTGCTCTTGGCTGTTGCTCGCTTGAAGAATCCGTTCGGATCTGATAACAATCGAGCGTCGGACTAGGTTCTGTCCGAGGTCGGCACATTGCATCACAAAAGGAATAGAACGGTCGAGTGGAGGCGCGATGTGTCATGCCCAGAGAACTAGACATTGCTTGCGTCTGATGGACTTTTGCAGGCGGGAGCAGAGTGCCGCCGGAGCTTAGACTCAAACGCATGAGTAGAGATCCCGGCGAAGATTGTCTTTTCATCTCTCCATGTTTGTGTGGCTGCTTGGTATCGTTGCTCGAGATAGAGTAACGACAAACCTCCCAAGGCATCATGGGTACTGCATCTGAAGCGTCTAAGGACGCAGAGGCGCCTGCGAAGCAAAGTGTAAGTTATTCCCTAATCTATTCTGCACGATGTGCTTCAACTCATCGCGATGTCCTTGTCCACAGCTTATGCGGCGTGCCACCTCGTTCGGTCGTTTGCTGGTCTATGGCAACCCCTCATCATCCGACCTAGCCCTCCTCTTCGTCGGTTTTATTACTTCAATCGCCTCCGGAATTCCCTTTCCTATTATGTCAATTGTTTTTGGACAGCTCGTAGACGGACTAAACTCATCAACGTGCAACGTCACCCCCTCCAACGCCGACTCCTACCAAGCGGGAATCAACGATAAAATTCTGCTGATTGTATACATCGGTATTGCCTATTTCGCTCTTATCTACATTTACGTCCTTTGCTGGAATCTCTCTGGCGAGCGTCTAGCCCAGCGTCTGCGAGAAAAATATTTCAGCGCTATCCTGCGACAAGATGCCGCATTTTTCGACAACCTGCCCGCCGGAGAGGTGTCTTCACGCATCACCGGGGAAATCGCCGTCATACAGCAAGGCTCTTCCGAGAAGGTCGGCATTGTGATCAACAGCGTCGCATTCTTCATCACCGCATACATAGTTGCCTTCATCAAGGACCCGAAACTGGCGGGCATGCTGGTCTCCCTCACCCCGGCGTACCTGATCATGTCTATCGGCGGAGGGTATTTCGTGCAAAAGTTCTTCGGCCGCGCTCTGGAGGGTATGGCAAAGGCCTCATCGGTCGCGCTGGAAGCCTTCTCGAATACAATGGTCGTGCAAGCTTTCTCGGCGAATGCACGCCTGGAGGAGAAATTCGTTGAAGTCTTGCATCATGCTTTGTCGGCCGGCGTGTGGAAGTCCATTGCTGCAGCCACTCAGGCGGGTCTTCTATACTTCATAGCCTTTTCGGCCAATGGTCTTGCCTTCTGGCAAGGATCGCGTCAAATCGCAGACGCTGTGGAGTCTGGTGGCGATGGAATCACGGTGGGAAACACCTTCACGGTTATTCTCATTCTTGTGGATGGTAAGTGTATCAATCGCAGTGCGCTTCGTGGATTTCAGTCATGCTAACTAACATCGTCCCTAGCATCTTTGATTCTCAGTCAGGCCGCTCCCTTTTTGCAAAGCTTCGACGCCGCCGCCGTCGCGTTCGGCAAGCTGGAAGCCGATATTGACCACCCGACTACCATTGACGGCACCTCTGAGGATACTGGTCGTGTGCTGCCAGAGGTTACGGGAAATGTGGAGTTGAAGAACGTTTTATTCACGTTCCCATCCCGACCGGACAAGCCCGTGCTCCAGGACCTCTCGTTGACCTGCCCGGCTGGTCAGCAGACAGCTATTGTTGGACTTTCAGGCAGTGGCAAGTCTACCGTCGCCGGCTTGATCACCCGGTTCTACAATGTGGACGAGGGCGCGGTACTGCTAGATGGCCACGATGTCAAGGACCTCAACGTGAGATCTGTCCGTAGCCATATCAGTCTTGTACAACAGGAGCCATGTCTTTTGGACCGTTCAATCCTTGAAAACATCGCCCTGGGCCTCATCAACTCCCCCAGACATGATCACCTGCATTCCATCCTAATGGGCAGCGTTCTCGCCGACGTCGCGGCAGCTGTGCGAGATGGCCAGGATCTGGTGACGGCTTCTCTGGCGCAAGGGGATGGCGCACGAGAAATCGTGGAATTGGTCCTGCACGCTGCTCTCTTGGCCGATGCGAACGGGTTCATTGAGCGCTTGGATGAGGGCTTTGGAACACTAGTTGGGTCAAAGGGAAACCTCATTAGCGGTGGACAGAAACAACGTATCTCCCTGGCGCGTGCTCTGGTGAAAGACCCGCGTATCCTCATCCTGGACGAAGCCACCGCCTCGCTCGACTCGGCGACGGAGGCGCGTATCCAAGAGGCGCTAGATAACGTGGCGATCGGCCGGACTGTGATCACCATTGCCCATCGTCTGTCAACTATCAAGAATGCTGACAACATTATCGTCATGCGCCAAGGAAAGCTGGTGGAACAAGGAACTCACCAGCAACTGCTCGAGGCTAACGGTGCTTATGCTGAGCTAGTTCGTCTCCAAAACCTCAACGTCCACGGTGGGCAAGATGATGAGGAGACGGAAGTGAGCTCTGCCCGTTCTAACTCATTGGTGCCAGTTATCACCGAGAAGACCGGAGCTCTTGAGACATCGTCTGTAACCGATGCAATTGACGAAGAAAAGACCAAGCCTGCGGAGACTGCGGAGCCAGAGAGTGCGGTCGAGGAAAAGCGAAGCTTTGGATCAACCATCGGCTCAATGGGCTCCCTCTTCCGACCGTACACATTCGTGCTGCTCCTAGCAGTCGTTGGTGCTGTGATCATCGGAGGTACCTATTGTGGATCATCGGTGATTTTCGGCAACGTCGTGGGCAAGCTCAGTGGCTGCGAGGAGCCTGAATCCATCCGTCATGCCGGAGAGCTTTTTGGACTCCTGTTCTTTGTGCTGGCCATTATTGAATTCCTTGCTAATTTCGTCAGCTGGTCCCTGTTTGGCTGGGTGGCTGAGCAAGTGATCTACAAGGTGCGTGTACTATCGCTGCGGTCCATCCTCGAGCAGGACTTGGCCTGGCACGAGTCCGCAAATCAGAACCCGTCACTATTGCTGTCGTTCATTACAAAGGATAGCAGTGCATTGGGTGGCTTAACCGGCTCTGTGGTCTGCACTATCCTATCGGTGCTGGTGAGTCTCGTCGCGACTATTACCATGACACACATCATTGCCTGGAAGATTGCACTGGTATGTCTCTCCGTGATCCCTCTGTTGCTGGGCGCCGGCTATATGCGAGTCACCACGCTGGCCAGTTTCGAGGAGCGACACTTGGAGGCCTTTGCCAATTCCGTGGGCATCACCGTGGAGGCCGTCAACTCAATTAAAACCATCATGTCACTTTCACTGGAGCACGAGGTGCTCGGCACATACCGTCGATCCCTCTCCGCCCCAATGCGACAAATCGCTCGACAGAGCGCCTGGGCAAACCTATGGCTGGCCGTCGGGTACGGCCTGAGCAACTTCCTCTATGCACTGGCATACTGGTGGGGCTCAAAGCGAATCATCGCGGGTGAATACACCCAGACGCAGTTCTTCATCGTGCAGCTAGCACTGCTTGTCAGCTCCCAACTGTGGGGACAGATGTTCGCCCTCGCACCCGACGTGTCGCGCGCATTCCAGGCCACACGGCGGCTGCTCAACCTGCTCGATCTGGGGTCGACGAAAAAGTTGTCCGCGCCGCTCCAGCGAGCCGGGGATGTCGAAGCCACGGCGCCTCCCCGCGAGAAGACATCCTCCGCTGAGTCCCGCGACGGCATCAGTGTTGTCTTCAAGCAAGTTCGCTTCTCATACCCGGCGCGCCCCGACACCCAGGTGCTGCATGGCCTGGATTTGAGCGTCCAGCCGGGACAATTCGCTGCGCTCGTCGGGCCCAGCGGGGCTGGCAAGTCCACGATAATCTCACTCGTTGAGCGACTATACGGACCCAACTCTGGAACAATCGAGGTTGACGGCCACAATATCGCCTACAGCGACGGTTCGTTCCGCGATGATATTGCCTACGTTCCTCAACAGAGTGTGCTGTTCGAGGGGACGATCCGGTTCAATCTGACTCTGGGCGCCAGGCCGGGTCAGACAGTCACCCAGTCGGAATTAGAGGACGCGTGTAAACTGGCCAACATCCATGACACGATCATGCAGCTGCCTGATGGGTATGATGCCTACTGTGGGCCAAACGGTGACCGGCTTTCTGGAGGCCAGAAGCAGCGATTGGCGATTGCGCGCGCGCTCATCCGCAAGCCTAAGCTGCTGTTGCTGGACGAGTCCACGAGTGCGCTCGATGCGGAGTCGGAGAGACTGCTGCAGGACGGGCTGGAGAAGGCCACGAAACATATGACGGTTATTGCGATCGCGCATCGACTGTATACTATCCGGAAGGCGGATGTGATCTTCTTGATTGAGGATGGTCGCTGCGTTGAGAGAGGAACTCATGCACAGCTGATCGAGCGCAGCGAGAGTTATCGTGTGAATGCACTCAACCAGGCGGTGGATGGATGAGGGTCTCGATTTCAGTAGGGAGTTATATTCGAAGGAGGTCGTTGGCCCTTTCTTGGGCTATATGGCCATACAGCTACTAAAGTCTTAAAATTATATAGATCTCTTTGTCTGCATCATTCTTATTCGATCTTAATTATTATAATCATTACAAAATTCTATTATCGTTCTACGTGTTGCAACCTCTTCCAATAATGGCATTCAGTGTCTTGTTGCTTTGGATTGGAATTTGATCCCCAGAGGATTCTTACACTGATCCCCTACAAGAAATGCACCCTTGTTCAGCCATCAATGGAGATATTATATAGACCAAGAGACTTTCAAGCAAGATAGGAGAATGTGGAGCATTGTGCATGGAGATATTCATGATTGAAATTTCAGTAAGTTCCACACGTAGAGGATTATCTGGAACATATCTAAAACAATATAAACGACTGAGTTTTCTAATGCGAGGGTACTTAGAACATGAAAATAATTAAAGGCAAATTACCTCCCAAGAGCAGTCACCACATTAAGCTCGACAAGAGCGACCATCCACACCACACACACAACCCACCAGACCTACGTCCAACGCATCCCCGACCCACAAAAGAGCATCAGAACACAACACCCTTCGTCTGCGTCATGTTCTTCAGGTTCATGTTCCGTATCATGAACACCGCGACGAAGGCAAGAGCCATAAGCCCAGTGCCCGCTGCCAACATCCTGGTCTGGGCATAGCCATAAGCCTTCTGGATGGCGATTCTCTCGGGACTATTGACTGCATAGCTGAGCTGCACTGGCAAGCTGGCATAGATACTGGCCAGGTCCGGTAGCGCAGACTCAGGGAGATAGCGCACAAGCGCGGTCTCGAAGGTGTTTGTCCAGATGGCACCGGAAATAGCATTTCCCACTGCACCGCCGATACCACCGGAGACGAAGAGCACGGCCATTGCGGCGGCGACGTGTTGGTGGTCGACAGCGGCGAGCACGGCGAGCTGCATGCAGAGGATGAAGACGCTACCACCGACGGAGATGAAGATCTCGCACATGACGATGTAGCCGATGTATCCGTTTGGTTGGCGGAAGTGGATCATGAGACCCTGGGCGAAGATGTAGAGAGGCACGCCGATGATCAGGAGCCATCTGAAGTAGCCGGTTCGGCGGATCAGATAGCCGACGATGAACAGCAGCACGCCCGAGACGACCTGGAACGTGCTGTTGACGTATCCTGCCTCGGCGACGCTGAGATTGTTGACCACCTGGAGGAAGGAGGTGAAGTAGCTGTTCCAGCAGTAGTAGGCCATCATGTATACGAAGTCGAGGAGGCATGCGCCCAACACGGTCCGGTTGAGCAGGTAGGTATGTTTCATGAATGGTACGGGAGCCAGGTACACTTGATAAACGGCGAAGAAAATAAGGAGGACAAAGCCGACTACAATCATGGCAATAATGTAGTCTGACTTCCAGCCGTCTGGAGCAGAGCGGGCGAGTGTGAATGGGAGAAGGAACACGGTAAGACCGGCGGCGAACAAGATGACACCCGGCACTATTAGCAAAAGGAAGTTAGCAACTGTAAGGCTTTGAGGGAGGGCTAGTTTGGCCACTTACGATCAAACTCTACAAGGTAGTGTATTATGTTCTGTACCAGGGTTCGGCCACTCCTTTCGTGTTTTACAAGACCTTTCTTCTGAGCCTTGCGCAGGTTGATCTTCAACACCAGATATAAGGGTAAGGCGACCACGGGTATAATGATAGCAAAGCAGCCGAAGCCCCATCGCCAGTTGACGTGTGCTAAGAATTCTTCGGCTGCTTTGGATCCAGCAAACGCAGTGATCATCCATGGAGATGAGGTGAAAGCGAATGCCAAACCTCGATTCCTCAGGTTGGTTACGTCGGCTGCAAGGACATCCACGCTATAAGTCATACCTCCAAACCCAACTGATTGGAATACCTGGTATCCGTATGATGGTTAGTAAATCCAAGGGCTCCAATAGATCAAAAGAGGATCATATTACCTGTGCTGCGCAGAAGGTAGGAAGGTTGTTAGATGCCGCCATAAGAATCAGACCCAATGTGGCAATTACCAACATGAAGAGGAAGCCTTCAGCACGGCCCCAGACGTCCAGCATCTTTGCCATAGGGATATACACCGCTGATGTCATGGCACTTGCTACAATGTCGATGACAGTCAACAGGGAATGAGATTGGAAACTACTCGTGGCATAGGGTGTCAAGCTGGCGATAATTGAGGCCTTAAATCCATTAGCCAGGACATAGATCCAGATGCTATCGAGAACGGTTTGTATTAGTTATATGCAAGTACAGCAGAACGTGATGGAGGTTAGAAATACATTATCAGGACAGCGGCTAGCGCCGTCTTGGACCAAGCCAGAGTAACAGCCTCGATATCCTTGACACCACGCTGTGCACCTTCGCTGGGTAGTGATCTATCATCATCGCTACTTTCCGTGTTATTTTGAGGTGAGCCGGTGCCAGCCTCCTTGTCGTATGGGGCTGCATTGACGGCTACCGGAGTTTCGATATCTTCCACGGCTGAAGCGTCAGGATTGCTACTGGACGTCTGACGTCCAACAAGCTGTTGAAACCTAGTTCCGATTGCCATCGTTGTTGGATTGACCCAGTGAAGACGCAAGGAGCAGGCAACGGAAAGCGAATGATAAAAGAGCGAGGAGCCGAAGCTTTTAAGCTGGTGTGCAGACCCAGCCGAACGGTAGCCCTTGCAGCTTCAAGGATCAGCTGGTACGTCAAAAAAAATAGAATTTTAATCTCATCTGATAAAAAGTAAGATTAGCCGGGTGGTCCATGTTCACCGAGATCGGCAGTTTGGGTACTGGTTCGAGAATCAGGTCATACGGGGCGAACCGGGGAGACCGTTCGGAAATTTCTTGGGTCAAATTTATCTGATTGATTGATTAGATCCGAGTTCCTAGGCAATTAGCAAACAGAAGCTTGGATGTGGGGTGACAATAAGTCAACTGATTTGACGCTGGCTGGTCTTCCATATGTGGCGTGTATCCATGCACATTTCCCACATGGATCTCGACTTGGCTTCTCACGCATCGGAATTTACCTTCCGTGCGCAGTCTACTGTCTTTGATAACATGAAATCTGTACACAGCAGAAGGGAGCTACAGGGGCCTCCCAGCTTGTCTCGACGCATGTTCACACAAGGGCCTTAAAAGTAATGAAAACAGACGCTAGCTGGGCGAACACCAAACAAAAATGAGAAACGAAGAAAAATGAACAAGCAGGTAGCGTGTATGAAACATTCTAGCATGTTTCTGTGATAGGTTGACATACAATGCTGTTACAACTTAATACGAGCAGCCAAGTCCTAAGATTACGCCTAGCTCCAAGCTAACAGCGCACTATTACCAGGCTGCCTTGATATAGCCCAGGTTGCTGGAAGAGTCTCACCTAAAGTCGCACAATACTTAGTCATAACTGGTGGTAATTAGGGCTATAGAGAATTCTGCGATGTTACTGTTCTGTGATCCGGGTACTACAGCGTTCCAAGTTCATAACACGCAGCCAAGCTGATTCAAAGCCCAGGACAGAGCACTACTGACCTAATTCCAGCGGAGGGCCTTGGCAGATTGCACCATTCGGCCTTGGCTAATAGCCGAGCAGAAGAAAGGGAGATTCTGAGAGAGGTACTTTGCCCCAACGAGGGGTGATGAAAAACCTGTTGAGCTATCACGTCTAGATTTGCCGAGGGCCTCATTTGACATTATTTGTCGTGGTCAAGGTATTTCATTGATCGTTAGAAGGTTTTTGTAGCCCATATATCCCAGGCTCAATTGGCTTGAAAAAAAGGATTGGGAACAACTATTGTACAGGAACCAACGACACCCATTCATCCTTCGTAATCTGATACCGCACTTCGCCTTCTTCAATGCCAGGAGGCGGGTTATCGTACTTGTTGTGAAAGGTATAGGCATGTTTTAGCCCACAAGCTGCCATGACCGCCCGAGAAGCCACATTCACGGCCATCGTCTCGCCAAACACCTCAGTTAGACCTAATTCCCGGAAAGCGTACCTCAACAACTCGCGCGATCCTTCCTTCGCGTAGCCCTTCCGCCAAAACTTCGGTAAAAGACGGTACCCAAACTCTGCTCGCTCACTGCTGAATTCCTCTGTGCCTTCGCGTTGACTAGGAGCCAGTACCCACCACCCAACAAACTCGCCGCCGGTGAAACCGACCCAACACCCGAAGCCGGGTACGAGGGTTGCAGCATGGAGGAGCCATTTGTGAACCTCGATGGCTTGGTTGTGGTCAAGTGGCGTTCCAAACCCGATGTATTTCATGACTTCCGGATCTTTGTCTAGCATCATGGTGAAGTCGAGGTGCTCGGGGCCGAGGGGCACCAGTTCGAGGCGCTCAGTGCGCAACGCTACTTGGGTCTTGGTAGCCATGGTAGGACGTATATTTTGAGCTAGCTATGTGCAGAGGCTCTGTTCTTCTTGCAGATATGGTTGTACAACTCAAGCCTTTGCGCATGTTCACTACCCCCTTATATACTTACGATTTGGCTAAGGATTCGGAGCACGTTTACAGGTTTGCTAAGCCCCAGTCTGACTGAGACGGCCTCACCTTGTACTGTAAAGAAACGACAGTAAGCTCAATTCTACTGTTGATCTACTCCAAGTGGGTAGTAAGTCATGCTTGGAGCCAAGCCATTCTGGATAAGGGATGTATGTTCATGTCCATGTGCATTCAGCTATTGCGGTGCTCATTGGCCCTCGTCGACGATCTTACCTGCATTTCTTGCAGCCGTCGATTAACCCACAGGGACAGAACCAGATAAGATTCAGCGATACCGCTGGCGGTCGTCTTTTTCACTCCCTAGGAATGGGTCAAACATCTCGCTACCCATGTATACACTACGGCGCCAAGGGTCTGCAGGAGATGACGCTCTGTTTGGTTGGTAAAAATGCCGTAAAACCATGGACTGTGTTACCTTGCGTGATTGATAAGGATGATCAACATACACTTTCCCAGGTCAGACGATACGGTCGAAACCTGTGGACCAGTGAAGAGGACACGCTTGGTAGGACAAGGGCCTCGGACCCATTCGAGCTCTTAGTAGCAGTTTAGCACTTCCAAATCAAAGGGTGCTGCCACAGCCATTCCAGATTTACACAGGCTCCCTACTACTATGTAGCCTCTGTTCATACGGCGTTGTTCAGCCTTGGAAAAGTACTGCAGTCGATAACGAAGCCAGGTTACCTCTTAGAGCAGAAAATAGTGGACAGCTTTCGAGATCAATATTGCATGCTGTACGGAGCATATGAGACTGAATACAAGTGAGAGCAGGTGATGATTAAAAGAGCCATCGTGAGTGGAACAATATATGGAGTAGTTGGAATTGGCAAAAAGTCAATTTGGCCAAGATTGGTACTGTTTCAATATGACCCGATACCATACAGTTTGTCATTTACATATGTTATTTACTATCCTGACAATACCATCTTGGCACTAAGCCGCCGGCATCAGATTAGATGGATCGATAAGATTAGACTAGAAAGGCCCGGCCTTGGCAATTAGGCCTATCTTGGTACGGACCTCACAGGATCGAGAATTGAAGGATTCAACCCCTGCAACATGTGCTAAAGCCTGTACGAAGGATGCAGTCTACGGAATACTTCCGTAGGCCTTGTCTCCTATGTTATTTCATGCGAGAAATAAATGTAACGCAACCCCCACTGCTTATCTCTTACTGAGCACTAGTGTATATAGAACAAGAGTATCAGTGCTACACTCTTAGTAAAAGAGCTCTACGGATTAGTAAATTTTTGGGGTAAAGGATCCCCAGGAGTTCTGGGGATGGAGAATTGGAGTAGGCAGTGGATCCTTGAGTACAGTGGTACCATATTACTGTACCCTTTTTGACCGCTGAAAAATCGTAAATTCGTAATGATTTGCTTATGCTTGGCAACCCTATGCCCAGGATGCCCAGAGGCTCGGCCCCGTCTATTATAGGCTGAGGTTTTTACGCGAGCGCTCGTGTGCAACGCTTTAGACTTTTTTCCCTCTATATGAAATTATATGCCAGGGATCGCTGCTACCAATTACTGAAATAGGTAGACCTATCCCACCATCTTATACTGGTTCATGTAATCTTGTTTAGTGGTATCAATATAATTAGGTAGAGGTAACATGCGTAATGAGTCTGTTTTCGTTATCGCACAGGGTTTAACAGGAATATGATTGCTGTGAGAATCAGTTAGCTTTCTGTCGAGCGAATGGTCCGTGATTATGTAAATCTTTTGCACTATTTTCTATCAGTTTGCTTAGAAAAGGCTCCTTACTTTCCTTCTTTTTCTATAATTTTCTTTCTTCTTTTTTCTTTTTTTTTTTTTTTTTTTAAGAAAACTCATTAGTATGCCTCGTGCAAAACGTTTTTTTTTTTTTTTTTTTTTTTGGCACCGTATCCCGATGATGTCAGGCTTGAACCCGTTCGGTGAGGCTTCGGAGGCATGCTGAGTCCTGACTCTACCTGACCCGCAGTACCCGCTTGCGGCTTTTGCCGCTTTTGCGGTACAGATCGTGCGAATAAAGTCGACGTAGCGAGGTCGGTTAACTTGTGGTGGGGTCCAGTGTGTCTGTAAAATTTTTTCTGCCATGCGAACTAGATTCATGGTGATACAGGCACCGGTGCTCTTGCTGCAGGGGACCTAGCGAGTCCATCCCTAGGGTTTTCGCCCTTTGTGCTCACCCTCTAGTCCACCACGAGGCCTCTGTAATAGACCTTGGACCTCGATATGGTAAACGGGGAATGTAAAATCCCTTATCTCTGAGATCCGCGCGTACTTTATCAGCCTTTCGCCCTTTGTCCAGGTAGCAATCACTCGATCACGGATGACCGTGCCCTGAATGACCGACGTTGTTTCCAAGCATGAGCAAGGCTCCATGTGTACCTGAAGTACTGGATTATGTCCCATTTCAAGGTTCATAGTAACATTGCTCCTCTGTCACTAAAGAGACAGGGGCTTTATTTTGAAGATACAGCGTTCTAGACAAAGGACTATATATCTACACGCGACACAATGTTAAGCAACAAAGTGTAGGCATTTCCGCGTCAAAAGCTGTGCGATATCACCGCCCATGCTTTGTTGAATAGACGCTCTTCACTCTTTGGGAATCGTTGTAACCATTACGGCTTGTCAATTTACAGTATTTTAGCTGTCCACAGAACGATTCAATAATTGAACAATTTGATTCTTTTGAGCGGTGAAGTCTTATAGACCGACGTGTTCCCAAATATAAGCTAAGCCAGGACCTGCAACTAGCAATCTAGATGACGATAACTCCAAAATAAATCAATGCCGTTATCATCGCAAACTTAGTAGATGACCGGAGCATCCGGTGTGTGAATTACTGGCATCTCCCCCACAAACACCAGTGCCAGTGTGTTTTGTATTTCCTCGTCACGCATCTCATCAAGGTATGTGCGTTCCCAACTGATATTGTCTTTTGAAAGCAAGGGGGTGAGAATGTTCTTGGCATACGCATCCTTTGTTTCGGGGTTGGGAACGAACTCGCAACTCCAGATGAGCATTTTTTTGTCTTTGGAATCCCACTGTTTCGGGATCAGTGCTATAGATTCTCCTAGATAAATGACTCCGCGGCCTTCAGGAAGTCGAAATTTGATTGGGTCGTTTGCGCGCTTCAGCAATTCGTTGCAACTCATTGTGAAAGAGTATTTGCCCTTATATTCTTTCCTGGTAAATATAATTTCTTCAGGAAACAAGTTCCGAGCCAAGAAGTTGATATCATGCACATCGCTCAGAGGTTTCAAGGCCTTCAGGCGAGCTACTGAAGTTTCAGCATTGACAGACACACGAGAGAGGCAAATGCCATTTCCCTGGGACAGTCGAAATGTTCCACATACCCACGTCATCAAGCTCTTTACTGTCAGCTGAAGGTTTTGGCTCACTAAGACAATGATTCGGTCATGTAGAGCAAGAAGTAACATATATTCCCTTGATATGCATTGTACTGTAGATATGATCAGATATTGATACCGAGCAACTATTTCACTCGTTAACTCACGGTGTATGCTGCAACCAAGTATGTGTTCTTCGGGCCTGGCCAATTGGGTCAAAAGTTCCATCAGATAAACCAAACCACCACCGGCCGAATTTTCAAGTCGTTCTCTGCAAGTTGCTACATCGACATGATATCGGGTTCTCTTTAAGGTCGTTCTGTGAAGCGGTAAAGCAACCTTCTCGAGGTATTCCGGAAATTCCCACCGATAAGTGGTTGTGTAGTGCCGGCTGTTATCCCCGTCGCTTATATTTCTAAAGCTATCTAAATCTTTCAAACTGTTATTTCCTTCTGAACTGAAGCAGAGTGTAGCAAAAACGTCAGAAAGGGCTAGTGATGGGAGAGAAATAATTTACCTTCTTGACTGAGCTTGATCATTCTCAGGACAGTCGGCGCATCGGAGCAGGGTCCCAGAATCTTCACCGATGTCAGTGCTGGAGCGTCCTTTTTTTTTGTCAAATTCCTTCACAACCCTAGCTAATCTATCCTTGTATTCTCCTGTCAGAAGCAGTTCCTTATACTTATCAGGATCTATTTGATCCTCTTTGGCTTCTTCAAAAAGTGACTTGGCTTTTCCAAAGACTCTCACGGCTTCTGGTAGTGACATAGACATGATGCATAAAAAGGCTATTACACCAGTCTTGGTTATTCGAGAATGGAAAATGAAAAGTAGTCAGTTTACCTCTAGGGTTTGAGCAAAGCGATCACCATGGAATAGTAAACAAGATCTTAGAAAGTAGAATCGGGAGAAGAATATATAACCACACTTTTTAAGTTACCAGCTTCTATTCATCATCTTCTATAGGAGCTGCCCTGCTAGTACGGGGCTCACCGAATAACTGCATGTTGAATTCCAGTTGTGACTATGCAACCTCATACTAGATCAATCACAGCTAGGAACTTTCAATAATATTTTTTGGTATTCCCCTACCACTGGTCTATTGAGTATGCCTGTCGGCATTACTCGGTGTTGATCTGGATTATTCCACCCTGAAATCGCAAGGAGGCCAGTATAGTAAGATGAAGTGGCAATGTATGCACACTCCCATGGAACATACCTAGGATAGTTGTCCAACAATAAATCCAGCCGGGAATTTACCACACCGATGAAACATATGCCGCAGCGAACAAAGAACCCTCAGCCTTATCGGGGTGGGCCATTCCATGTAGTCGTTGTTTAGACGTACATCTTACTCGGCATATTCGGGAAGTTGGTTCACACCTGCAACACCTTGATGAGTGTGTTTGCGCATCATCTATTATTAGTCATTGGCCTTCATAGTATCACCCAAGGACCAACAACCATCCTTTCCGGAGCATATGATGGATCCAAGATGACGTATCATCAGCAGTATCACGGGCTATCCAAATTTCCTCGAGAAGCTCAAGAGCGTGGAGGTTCGCCGGCAATCGATTCATAGAATACAAAGCGCGAAGTCGATTCCGAACATCATTTCTCAGCCTGTTATCTTCTCTTTTTAATTCTGAGCCAGCTGTGAGAATTGGGAGAGACTGGAAGTTCAGATAATTTGAGGATGCTGGGATTTGAAGAAGATGATCGATAGTTTCTAGAGCATAACGATGGATCAAAGGTTCCAGATCAATCTCCTCGAGACACGGGTTCGTGAAGGTATCATTCCATCCGCAGATCCGATATAGCAGAATTAATCCATGCTTTCGTAGTGACTCGTACAGAAGCGTCAAGGTAGGCTCGGTTGATGGTGCGCTCCACAGGTACAGCTGTTTTTCTAGTAGTGTCTCTCGGGTGAACGATCGACGTCCTGAATGGAGGAGCTGTCGACAGTATCGGCCCAGGTTCCCCAGAATGAAGATAAGGTCTGTACAGAACCCGTACATTGGATGATGCCAATGTCCAATTTGTTGCACGGCCAATGATAGGCTTGGTGTATCTAGATCTTGTTGTTCGTCTGGATGCACGAGGTACGAACACCCCATATCCCAATACAGATACATACCCAGGCAAAGTTTAGAAAATGGATTTAGATCCCAAGGATGCGACGTATCCTCGAGCATTTTATGAATCAACGTGCGTGCGGCAAGCAGATGCCATTTCCCAAAATCAGTCATATCCCGATCAGCTCCATGCGATAGCGCCAGTAGCAACGCGGTAAGCATTGACAGTAGTGGTCGCGTCTGCCCAGTCCCCAACTCTTGTCGGAACGATGCCAGGGCTTTCCCTCTCTCCTCGAGAGCGATGCGTGCCACTTCTGCAGAGAAATACTGTTCATGACGGGCGCTTACGGACTGGATGATATGCACCAGGGCTGGAGATTCCTGTATGTATTCCAACACAGGGAAGGAGAACGGATTGTTTTCAGGATCAATCACTAGTATTTGGCACACTCTTTCTAGCCAGTATTGCAGGAGTCGCCGATTGACGATGGTGTCCACATGCGATGAGTACCAACGCGTCTCGATTTGCCACTGCGATAGGCGAGGCGTCGAAGAGCAAATTAAACCGCGACGGACGCAGCGCAAGCATACTGGAAAAGTCTCGTCACATTTGACTCGCCTTGCTTTGCACTCTCGGCATCCTAGTTTGCTTTTAGGCCTTCGCCTTGGCGCGGTCGGCTCTTCGTCTTGAGATCGTTCTTGTCTCGTTGGGGACAAGCATTTGACCGGCTCAAAGCGTACGCGGAAGAACGACATCGTTGCAGTGGCTAGTTCTCGTCCGTGGCCTAGCTGCGTATGGTGTTACTTGCAGGACAAGTGTCTGTGGCGAAAAGAATAAATCATCACGGCAAACGTGGTTGCGATCGGAAACGACCTCGTCTTGGCGGCCCACAGTGGTCGATCATCTACATCGTGTTTTATGAGAAGATATATACAGTAAGAGGAAAGAATGTCTGTTCGAAACTCCCTATAATAAAATGGACAAGTTCCCCATCACTCGTATCTCGATAAGGCACTACGCAAGCCAGGAATGAATAACACCCTGAGCAGCCTCCCACAACCAGGCATCGTGCAATTTAGCCGGATGATCAAAGCCATGCTCGCCATCCCTAACAACAAGCTGGAACCGCAAGTTACAATCAACCTCCTCAATCTTATCCCTCAGTATATAGCTCCCCTCAACAGGAACAACAGAGTCATTGCGTCCGTGAAGCACCAGAACTCCTCCTCTTGGGAACCTAGCACCTGCATCAAGTCTCTCAAGAGGATAAAGTTCAATAGCATCACCCGGAAAGAACTGCCCAAAAAGCCCATGCTGACAGACCGAAAACATCAATTGCGTTCTCTTCGCATCTGTAGGTGCCGAAACGACAACCTTCTTACTAGTGGCTTCTTCTTGTTCATGGATTTGCTTAATATGACGCGCTAGGGTGTCTCGCGGTGTTGCAGGCATCGAAAACACGGCCTTTTCCGTCTGGTCGGTAAAATGAGGGGATTTGACATCGACTAGAGGGTAGACTGCATTGACGGCCCGGATCTGTTCAGGATGGCTCAGTCCCATTTGAATGCTAAGGTAACCTCCGGCGCTATCCCCTGCCGTGAGGATGCGGTTCAGGTCTGGCTGGATGCTTCCTTGGGTGTGCTCGTTTAGGAACTGTGGAAGGGATTTGTGCATCCAGTTCCAATGATCTTCGACATCTTCCATTATATCAAAGATTGTGGCCTCTGGGAGTAGTCGATAATTTGGAGAGACAATGATGGCGGAGTACTCCTTCGAGAGCTCCAGATACCAGGGGTTAAAGAAAGGTGGGAAAAGACTATAGCCGGAGATGAGACCACCACCATGATATCGCAAAAGGACGGGACAATTGACGGTGTTCTGTACCTTCTCCGATGGTGGCGATAAAGTCTTAGGGTAAAGAATATCCGTTGTGATTTGCTGCCCGTGTACGGTTTTGTAGGTTGTGGTGAGGATTGTGAAGTCGGAGAAGCATGATATATCACTCGATTCTAAACTGATTGCTTCCATTGTAATTGCTCTATGTGTTGGGGACAGGCCTGCCGAATTAGTAGGTATACGGTGACTTCTTCAATGAGTTAGTATCTCTCACCAGTTGGAATAAGAACCTCAATATTCGATGGATTGCTAAATCCAGCAGGGGGCGGAAGAATCTCTTTTGAAGATCGCAATAAGCATTATTAATCCTCCCCTAGCTTCCTCAGGGCTTCATCATGGAGTCCTCGCATTCTGTGCCAAATAGGAAGTTCAAGTGGGTCACCCCATCTGCGCCACAGGCTCCAGATAGGTTCGACTTTTCATTTGTTGTACTTTTACAAGAAATAAAGGGTACAAGTTTACGTTTTTTCTCCAGGGTTTAGAAGGAGATAAGTCGCTGCGACTACCCTCCATGATATGTATTCGTTTGTGTCCATAGCTATACAGTATGCCGAACTTCTAGTAAGCAGCAGGTCTGAATTTACTATTGGTGAGAACAGCTTATAGCTGAAGGTCTCCTTTACTCGGAGTAATGAATAGTTATTACTAATTAAGGAAGTGCGAAGCAGTATAAGTATGTGCCAACGAGTTATCAATAGGTGAGGTCAGGGTCTCTCTTGAACAAGAAATCAGTATCTTCCAAGAACTTCTGACCTTCCAGACATTCAGGGAGGAAGTTCACTTTCCTTCTCTTATACCCTGATTGATGTGTAATACCTTCTTCAACAATCGTTTTGGCTTCCGAACTAATAGGAAGAAGGTGATATGGAATGGATGCATCAGCAGCCCCAGGCTCCTTCAGACAAGCAAAAGCATTATTCAAGCCTCTATATGAACGAGTGCTCTTCTTCGATAAGCACAGCATAATAACCAACTGTGCCAGCGAGGCCTGTGCATCTAGTATGTCCAGCTTCTCAAGCACGGAGTATACGGAAGTTGCGTATGTCTGCAAGACATTGTTAGCCAGCCCAATATCCTCCGATGTTGCTACAATAAGACGACGCGCGATGAATAGTGGATTTTCACCGGACTTGAGCATTCTCGCAAGGTAATACAGTGCAGCATCTGCATGACTGCCTCGGATTGACTTGTGGAAGGCCGAAATAGTGTCGTAATGTTGGTCACCCGAGCGATCGTAGTTAAGATGCATTGTGAGTGAATTTCTCAACCTTTCCCCTGTCATTCCGTCTCGTTTAGACAAGTCGTGCACCATCTCTAGGAGATTCAGTGATAATCGACAATCCCCATCAGCGAAGCTTGACAGATATCCAAGGAATCCATCATCCAGGAGGTGGGAGTGTAAGCCCCGTTCTTCAACTACTCGATGAAGCATATTCTGTACGTCCGCGTCTTTCGGCTTGGTGAGCGTATAAACTATACATTTGTAAACCAGTCCATGCCGAATTGTCAAAGATGGATTCTCTGTGGTAGCTCCGATCAGAGTAATGCGGCCGTCCCGGATGGCATCGAGGAGTATGTCTTGCTGCGGCGTGGTAATACGGTGTATCTCATCGCAAAACACAATAGACGGTTTTCGCTCTGTGTCCACATCCTTCGAGGCCCTTGCAATGATACTTCTGTACTCTGTCATTGTCGTGATTGTGCTGCCGATCTCATAGAATCTTCTCCTCGAGACAGACCCAATAATGCGGGCGATGGTGGTCTTGCCAGTTCCCGAGCTCCCCCAGAGTATCATGTTGGGAACGTTGTCCTCTTGAACACGTTGGCGGATAGCACCATTCGGCCCTACAAGCTGAGTCTGGCCGACAATATCGTCGAAGCTTCTAGGGCGAACACGCTCCGCCAACGGTGCATTGTCGGACTTGAGATCCTCTTTCCCTTCCTCGCAGCTCTTATGCTGGCTGGATTTTCTCTTCGTGCTCTCTTTGATCCGTGGCCTGGCAGTCGGTATGGTAGGTTGGGTATTATCAAGTTGTTTTTTATGATCAACAACATCAGTGAATGAGGGTTTAGAGGGATCTGGATTTGGTACAAGAGATAGCTGGTTAGAGAATGACACCGGTTCATGGAACGCTTTGCATCCAGAATCGAGGTGGTGGTTGATTTTTGCCAGAAGAACAGTCTTTTGGCATATTGGACATTCAACCATATCTGAGTATCGTTTTGACTTCTCGTGCCACTCGTCTCCGTGTGAGCGTCCACAATCAGTCCAGACAGCACGCAAGACACGACAACACACGAGGATTGTAGTAGAATTCACCCATGTTGCGATTTCTACCTATTACAAAATGGCGGCAAATTCCGATCGCTCACAGTTTCGTTCAATATCAAAAGACCCACTTTCTCGCATTCTGTACAAATATGGAAGGTCAAGTGGGCCCGGATGGAAACTGGATCGACCAAAAGAAAAACACAGTACCAACTATTGGATCCAGAGTAATGATGGTTGAAATCTTCAACGCACAACTACTCCACAGTGTGGCCCAGCTCTCACTGGCACCAGCCAGGATGATCCGCCTCGTAAGTCACGTCGCCGTCGGATACAAACGCAATAGTCGGCGTGCTAAGTGGAAGACACTGAACACCTAGGTAATGTTTTACAGATACAGGTTAGAAAGATGGATATTCCTTTGCCGTCCGTATCTAGTAAATATAAGAGACAGGCCAGGACTTAGCATAAGCATATAAACCTTCTTCACTCATTCCGTTCCAAATATGATCCAGCACCAATCACCAGTTATTCAAGAACTATCGAGGCTCACCCCAACCCTTCAGATATTACCGTGTGTCCTATAATCGCGCCCTCAGGGATCAGCCCTTGGCCATCGTCCGCCCCCGGACAGAGGAAGGAGTCTCGCAATTTGTGCAAGTATGCTCTGCTGAACGTATCCCTCTCGCCATCCGCGCTAGTGGGCACGATTTCTTCGGTCGCTCACTAGTCGTTGGTGGGATCGTTATCAACATGCAAGCTACAGACTCCATCATCGTCTCCCCAGATAGGGCCAGAGCACGCGTGGGCGGTGGAGTTATTGCAGGAACATTATAACAGTCTCAGGTCGCTCACCAGCTTTTCACACCAACGGGTCAATCGAAAACTTTTGGCTAATTTTCCTGGGCCTGTGGCGGCGGATTTGGATTCTATGTCGGGTCATACGGATTTGACGTGCATCAGATCCTCGGTGCAAGAATGGCCGTAGCAAGCGGGGCTACCATCGACACTGACAATGACCAAGAGCTACTCTGGGCTCTTCGGGGAGCAGGAGCTGGCTATTTCGGGGTTATAGTGGAGCGAAGGGTGAAGGTGTATCCAGCGCCGAAGCTGTATGCAGGCTATTTGGCTTTTCCCCTTTCCGATGCAGCTACAGTCTTTCAAGGCTTTGAGAGACTTGAAAGGCAGACTCGATCCGGTCAATGTTGTCAGTGGTGGCACGGTTAAAGATGTATGATCTCTCCCCATGATAATAGGTAACTAAATCATGCAAGAACGGCGACGCTATGTATGGCACTTGAATGGTGGAAATGGAGATGGCGGTAAAACTAGTAGATTTCCACGATGAGTCACATTCGATGACTTTTGACAGATAATTAATAGTCCAACACCAGTATTTAAGATAAGAACCCCGCTTAGCACTTCTCAGCTTCAACCCCAACCCAACCCAACTCTAAGCCATACCATACTCAAGTAAAGCACCCAACGCACCAGCCCAAAATGCCCAGTATCAAATTCTTCTACTCCCCAGACGCCTGCTCCATCATCCCACACATTCTCCTCCATGAAACAAAGACCACTTTTGAAGCCATCCGAATCGAAATGGAAGGAACCGATCTCAGCTTCCCCGAGAGCTTCCGCAAAATCAACCCTAAAAGCCGCGTCCCTGTAATCGCCCTCGACAACGAGGTCATCACGGAAGTCCCGGCCGTCTCAACGATTATCTCTAGCCTGGCACCGGAAGCACACCTCCTGGGCCGAACCCCGATCGAGACGGCCCGGGTTCATGAATGGATGAATTATGTAGCTGGAACAGTGCATGCGGGGGGGATTAGCCATGTCTTCCGGCCGGGGCGGTGGACTGTTTCGACAGAGGAGAAAGACTTGGAGATGATTAAGAGGAGAGGATTGGAGATTTTGTGGAATTGTTTTCCGTTGATTGAGGAGAGGTTAATTGGGGAGTATGCCGTTGGGGAGGACTTTACTGCTGCTGATGCGTTCTTGTATTTTGCTTATCGGTGGGGGGTCATAGCAGAGATTGACATGCAGGCGTATGCCAAATTTACGCAGTTAGCGCGAAGAGTTGAGGGAAGGGAGACGGTGCAGACAGTGCTGAGGAGCGAGAGGATTCATTCTATCTTTTGACTCATATAGGATTTATTTGTCAAAATTCCTGTGCATATCTTTTCCTGCGCGCTCTTTGTCGATGACATGACATCCACTTCGTTGCTCCTCTTATATCTCCAGTCACAAGTTCCTTATTAGAAGGTTTAACCATAGAATTGCAGGCAAAGAATACATACATCCTTCCCAAGAGGCTCCTAACTAGTGCCAGCCGCCTTCACAACCGTGGCATCATTATCTACCTGGTGTTTGCGTTCATGCGAATGTGCTAGGAATCTCTTGTGCATATACAGAGCTGATTTCAGCCTGACAGACCATGTGATGATATATTAATAAAGTAAAAAAGGTTCCTCGGTATTAACGTCCAAATTAAAAATTAGACTATACATTACTTATGCAAAACGAAGATCCTAAAAACACGAGGCCAGAAACACTGTGCAAGATGCAAAATATCAAAACTGTACAATATCTACCAGTCCGCGGCAGGGATGGGGGCATAAAATCCGAACCGGTTCTCAGGATCGTACTTCCTCTTCAACGCGGACAGCTTGCTCTGTCTCCATGGCTCATATCCATAGATGGTCTCCAGCGGCTCGTCGCCAGATGCGTAGTTCACATACACGTGCTTCTCAGCCTCGCCGCTTCCCTCGTGGAAGATATCGCGCACGCGGTCACCGAAGGCATCAGCTGCAGGTCGGTCCGTCGCATTCTCGAAGATAATGACAGAGGAGACAAGAATGGTGTCATCACGGTGAGGGTAAGCGGTGGAGGCTTCATCGATGGCCTGGACACCTTGGTTCGAGTACCCCTCGAGCATGATGGTAGAATGTTCGAAGTCAGGGTTGGCCACGGTCTCCTCAGCGAAGGCATTGAATGCGGCGCGCAGCGCCTCCAAGTTGTAGCTCTTCAGGTTGATGGGGAAACGGACAATTTGGGGGCCTTCGGCACCCTTCTCACAGGTCCGCGAGCTCATGTCGAACTCTGTCCACTTGGTAATGTTCGCGTACGGGCCGGAGTGTGTTACGGTCTTCACAGGAGCAAAATTGAGTAGAGACAAGGATACCGTTGCATCCAAGGTTTCGACTCCCTCCTGCAAAACGAAGATGTCGATGATGGGCTAGCAATCCATGGTTAATCTCATAAGCATCTGCGACAGGGTTCGAGTGACTTACGTTGACAGGATCCAGCTCCGCGTCGCGGGAAATGGTAGCCCAGTACATCACATCAACGCGCTGTCTGCCACTGTCGCCGAGGATGTTAAGGTACTGGAAGAGAAGCTCCAACTTGTCTTGGGTGTAGGTATGCTTGACAAAGGACCAGACGCCATTGTTCGGAACATCGTAGATCTTCTGGGTGACAGAGGTCACAATGCCAAAGTTGTGGCCAGCGCCCTTCATCGCCCAGAACAGGTCAGACTCGGGTCCGTCTTGCGACGCGGTCCGAATCTCTCCATCAGCAGTCACGACTTCTAAGGAAACAAAGTTATCGGCGATAAGGCCGTGGCGTCCTTGCAGGTACCCATGGCCACCACCGAGAGCCGGTCCGAGGAATCCAGTGCAGTCACAGACACCGGTCACTTTGAAGATGATCAGCGGATGCCCACCAGGAGGCAATTATTCATGTCAGTACTCACCGGTCTGTTTGCCGGCTTCCCACAAGGCCTCAATAACCTGGTGCGAGAGGATACCACCCCCAAAGGTGGCAGTGTCGCCTTTCTCCGAGATGTCAACCGTGTTAAGCTTGTGCAGCCAAATCTCAATTCCCTGGTGAACATTTTCCAGGCTTTCAATGTTTCCATGGGCACCACCGATGGCAATAAATGGTACATCGTGTTCGGTGGCATATTTCACCTACTTTTCATCAGCATGGTGACGCCCACGACACCTGAGAGAAACCCACCGTCTCAGCAACATCATACTTGTTCGCAACCTCCACAACCACGCTGATGTTCGGCTTGCCATATTGCGACCAGCGCGCAGTAGCATTATTGAAGGCATCATTGCCAGGGAAGTAAATGCTAGCATCACTTGACAGCCTCCCACCAAGCTCAGACCCAATGGCAGCATCAGATTGTTGAGCGTGACATTCCCTCAGAACTGTCGCATAGAGGAGGCTGGACGCCCAAAACTTGAGTGACCTCGTAACCATATTGGCGATATGTGACAGAGCCTGTGCCGTGTCGTGTCGTGTCGTGTCGTGTCGTGTTGATGCTCAGAAAAAATCTCTCGAACGGCTCGTGAAGCGCGCCATCTTTATAATGCAGCGCGCTGTCCCGAGAATGTAGGCTCAATTGTCGCTCTTCCTGCATTCGGATAGGCCAATCCGAGTTCAAAAATATGCACACCCCTTGCTGCGAGGATTGTGCATTATTGCATATCGCCTGGCATACCTCCTGAGTCAATGCTGGCTGTCTTCGGTCAATGTTCGTCTAAGATATCCTTTCCATTGCTGTTATGATGTATGCATGTCTTGTGGCATGACAGGCACAGGTTTCATAGGCGGATTCAATCGCCGCAGCTGCCATCTCACTGCTGCGGTTCTCTTGGTGTTTATTCCCTTGTTTTCGTTTTCCGTTGAAAATTCAAAACAACGCAAGACACAGAACGCCTCCCTTCCTTCGGAATGTACCAACAACAACAAAGCCAATCACCAGATATCTGTAAACTATTACATGAAGCTGGTGACTAAATATTTTGATCCTTTCTCAACAATTGGCTTTCGGTGTCTGCTTTGCACAATTGTAATGCCAGAGGTTTGCGGAGCGCAGAGAGCACGGTCCCTTCCGCATTCCTGGCATAAAAGGGATGGCTGGGGCACAACATCCTTTTCCCGAATTCATCGACAGCTTCTGTTTACTCCAGGGAAACTGGGTTTGGACTTTCAATTACCGTGAGCAGCTTCCAACTGGTAAGAGGGTGTTGGGGATCATCATTCAAGGAAGCAATCCTGACTCAGGATATTTTATTGAAAGCGAACTGTAGGCCACCAAACACTCGCACTGAAATTCTCGAGTTGATCACACGGTGCAGGGGCCTTGAATATCTCTTTACGTTTAGTGTATTTGTTTTGCATGCATCAAGATTCAATTTTCTGGTCAGAGCGCATATCTCAGTACGCTTGTCAGGGCTACTCTCCTTTCGTCCGCGGAGATCTGCTCATCGTAAAGGCAAAAGTAAGGCAGCAAGTCAAAACCTCTAGAACGTGGTTGGCAATTGAGTTGGGACGCATGCCATAAGCTTCCTGAGTCGGTAAACAGATGCTAATGTATATCATGATTCATGACGCTAAAATACCCCACATCTTTATCAGCTCCATTTTTGAGTAATTATAGCTCGGCTATTGAGTTAAAATGTTGGAGGAATATTAGTACATACTATGTAATAATCTATCTAGAAGTGGTTTTAGTATCACAAGCTCGACCGTCGAGCGGAGGCATTCCTAAGCTGAACCAAAACTTCATGTCCCTCCTCAATCTTCTTTTCTGCGCGTGAGAGTGGTGTTAGACCCTGTGAATCTTGACAATCTGGGTTTGCACCTTGCGCAAGAAGGGTTGTCACCACCCTGCTCAGCTGGTCGCCAGACCATTCTGGCTCCCATTCGTCCTCAGGTTCACCTTTGTACTCCGCGAGCCAACCTACATTGAATGGTTCCACTGCATAGGAAAGCGGTGTCCTACCGTCAGCGTCCTTGCAGTCTGGCTCTGCGCCCTTCTCCAGGAACATTTGGACCAGTGCGGCACGTTTCACCATTGCCGCGTAGAATATGGGCGTCCTCCCAGATTCATCGCGGTTGTCAACCCGGGCGCCATGCTCAAGTAGGAGCTGGATGCTAGCCTCATACATGTCCACCATCTCTGGGGCGCCCACCAAATAGATTGCGGATAAGAGAGCCCAGAACAGGGGCGTCCGGCCCAACGTGTCTCGGCTGTCGATATCCACTCCATCTACCTCAAGAAGCAACGGCACTATTGTTGGAGCAATACCATCACGGCAGTCTTGCCATTCGATATTTGTCGCCCAGGATAGCGGAGTTCGACCGTGGTGGTCCCTGCTGTTGGTATTAGCACCCCTCGCCAGGAGCATCCGCACCATGTCCGGTTCTTCATGATAGACGGCTCCGTGCAATGCTGTCCATTTTATCTCACCGTTACTAACCTCGGTGTTGGCCCTATATTTATCGAGAAGGAGCTCGACAGCGGCCTCTCTGCCCCATCGAACAGCCAGCCAGAGTGCCGTGTAGCCGCCCTCGTCCTTGCCGTCAACATCCACGCCATCTATCCCAAGCAGTATGTCCAATATGGTAGTAGACCCCCTCCATGCGGCGCCTTGCAGCCCGCTTTGAGCATCCGCGACTTTCCGGTCCTGAGTTACTCCCTCCCTCGCCAGGAGAAAGCGGACCATTGATTCATCCCCACCTTCTAGATTGCTCTCTGCAGCAAAGTAGAGCAAGCCATGGCCTTTTGCATTCACATACTCCTGACCAGGAATCTTCTCTAGGAGCAATCTGAGCAGCGGCTCATTTGCATGTTGCGAAGCGATGGACATCGCAGTTTCGCCGTTTCTATTCTCGCCATCCCATCTTGCCCCTCGCTCCAGGAGGAGATTCGCCATCCCATCGTGCCATTTGGCAGCGTGCATGAGCGGGGTTTCGCCCCTTCCATCCGCATGGTCTAGATCGGAGACCTTGTCGAGCAACATCGTGAAAATGGACATACTATGAGCTCTAATCGCCGACGTCAATGGGGCATAATCGTCAGTAGTGTGGTTCGGGTCCGCGCCCGCATCCAGGAGAAGCTTGACCATCGCCTCATTCCCGGCTTCGATTGCGGCTATCAGCGGTGTGTGGCCCGACCTGTTCTTCCTGTTGTCTCTGCGCGGCGCTGCGAACATCAATAAGATATGGTCCGCCAGGTCCGTTGTTTCTATATCACCGCCGGCTGCGAGAAGGATCCGGACTACTTCTTTCTGATCCTTTACCACTGCATGATGCAGGGGAGTCCGGCCCGCCCTGTCTTTCGGATCAATAGAGACCCCATGCTGCAGGAGGAACCGGACAATTTCTTTCAGTCCCTGCTTCGCGGCAAGGAAGAGGACAGTTTCGCCTACTGTAGTCATACAATCGACGCATCCTTCTTTTCCGTGCTGTGACAGAGCGTTGGTGGCATATAAATGCCCCAGGTATGCGTTTAGCTCGTGCAGTAAATCTTGGCCGTTTTGGGAGATATCGTGTGAAGTTTTCACCTGCTCCAGTCCAGGATTATCAGAGTCCTCATCGTCATCCTTTAGCGGCTTACTCGGGAGCCGCCTGGCACTGTTGACCTGTCAGCTGTCTGCAAACTGGATTGATTATATAGCATTGACCCGCAGTTGCGAGAGTCGACTCACTGGTGCAAAATAAGTTTATATTGGTCTGGTACGTCGACCAAGTGCCGCTGCACTGCGCTAGCCAGCTCCACGATGGCATTGAGATCCTCTGCGCTGTAGTCTGTGTTCATTGTGATTTCCAACTTTCAGCTTGATAGTGAGGGAAAAGAATGAGGTGGAAGTTTGGCTGATATTTTGGGGGTGAGGCTACGCGGCTTACGTGGAGTTACGTGAGGGTCCATGTGACTGGGTGTTTAGGGCTATGCTATACCGATCTGTATGACTCTATCATCTTGAAGAATAAGAGGAAGAAAATTGTATGTGCGTTAACCAGATCATTCCAAGAAAACTAACGGTGGATGTTGTAATTTGTGTGTGTATGGATGGCTTCATTGATTTGAGATTGGTTAGAGGAGTATTATCAATTTTCTCGGTGAAAAAAAGGTTGACAGGACAATGGAAAAGACCACATATACATCTATCTGTGCACTTGAAAAGGAGAGAGAGAGTAATTAATTGGCGGTTTGTATTTGTTGTCCCAGCCGTGCAGCCAAGAAAAAAAAAAAAAAAAACTTAGGAAGAAGAGAGAGAGCCCAAGAAAAGAAAAACAAAAAGAAATGAGGGACGGGCCGGGTTCGAACCGGCGACCTAAAGATAGGTTGCAATATTTGGTTAACCAATTAGGTCATTGCAATCTTCCACTCTACCACTGAGCTACCGCCCCATTGGATGATAGAGCCATGTAATCCATGGTATATGTTCAAACAAACTCAAGCCTGCGAAGCTTTTTCCTTCCATTTAATTGAGATGTTTTGAGACCTCAACATGAGGCTGAGTTGATTATTTTTATTGGTTATACATAATTCAGACAGGCGTTATCACTGGGGGTAGTGTAGTTCTCTCTAGAATACAATATTTCTGTCGTTGGTATGTGGACTTAATTTCTTTTGGTAACCGGAAGTCAGATATATAAATTGTCCCTGCTGTAACTCTATAAAAGTTTAGATCCGCCAACACAAGCATCCTCAAAACATATTATTTTACCAGGGATTATTTCCTCTCAGCCTTCTCATCTAACCCAATTATAGAGCTCGTAGTTAGTATTCAACCTTGGTCGATTGCCGCCATAGGTACCTAATTCTGTTTCCACTACGCGTCAAGATACATAGCCACTGGACAAAAACTTTATTGGGAATCTGGTATACAGCCTAAAATTACATAGATACTCATAACAATAATCCTCCTCCCAAGGAAAAGTATACATGGCCTCACCAGATGACTCAAAGATACAAACGAGACGGGTTCGGGGTCTCGACCTCCTGCGACGTGAAAGTGCAGTGGTATCTGGTCTCCAATGATTCCGGACCAGCTCCATGGTACGCCGCTAAACAATCTCTGTCCAGCTCATCGGACATACCTCGCGGTACCTCTCCCCACATCACCGGCTTCAGAGCGGCATCGCGATCACCCGGCGGGGGATGACAGGCGGCGCTGATAGCGGCGCTACAATGCGTCGCTAGTGGCATGCGGGATTTGAGCCGTCGGGAACTCACCCCAAGAAGAGCTAATAGAGCAACAGAAGAGACGAGGAGGACAATGAAAATTGCGATGGGCGAATAGCCGCAGCCGCGAAAGGACGTTGGGGATAGTTGGTCGTGTACGTCGTATACTTGGATGTGGACGAAGAAGATGCTCTGGGACAGGAGCCAGTGCATTACGGCGGAGAAGAAAATGAGAGGGGCGCTGTAGCGATAGGGCAAACTGAGGTAGTATGTTGAGCGCTGCTCGCCTCGGGGCCAGGAGACCCGTAAAGGTTTGCGCTGGGTGGCGTAATCGTCGTACTCGGCAGCGATCCGCATGCAGGTCATGAGGCCGTTGCAGAGAAAATAGAGGATGGAGAGCACAATCTGTGGCGTGTTGCTCAGCAGCACTAGTGAGATTATGGTGGACGAGATGCTAGTGCTTGGGATCATAGTCTGGCCGGTGGCCTTTCCAAATCCGAGGGCCCATGCTTCTGGGATGGAACCATTAGCAGTGCCTAGAGCGAGCCAGAGGAGGAAAATAGAGGTTGCTAAGCAGCAAGTAAAACTAGGTTCAGATATGGTTAGAGAACAAGCTGAGATGGCTGGAAGCCAGAGACTCACAAACTGAGAGTAGCTGTCCAACGCTTGACACTGGCAGCTTGATACCATCGCTTCCTCTCTGGGAGCCTCTTGGGGTAATCCGCAGGAGGATCTGCTTCGGAAGAAGTCTCTACCAAGGGAATGTCTGCCGTACTGCCCTTAGACCGCTCTAGATAGTATCCCTTGAACCGATTAGGGTTTGACCAGATCGTCACTGTAGTCCATGATTCTTGACCACGAGATACGTCTGCCCGCGACAGGAGACATTTTCCTTCTGTAGTTGGGTCTGGTGTCGTCAAAAACGAGGCGAGGGCGTCGCCGACAGTCAAAAGAATATTCTTCCTACCCGTCCGGGCTGTGAGATACATGCAGACTACCTTGATCACGTTAGATACAATTACCGCTATGGCGATAGGTGGGCTAAAAAATAATTGGCAACGTTGGTCTTTGTCTTTGGTCATGCAGCGGGAAAGCGAAACCCGTGTGGCACGATCTACACTGTCGTTAGACACAGAGGGTGGATAGACTGGGTCCTGACCCAGCTCAAACGCGAGGTTTGCTGCCCAAGAGCTATTCGCCCAGTGTGTAGGGGTCTTCAGATATGTACTCAGCGCCTGTCGGTCAGGGTTGTAGGTGGCCAGATAAACGTGAAGCGTGTCCAGGTCGTGCTCTAAGATATCATTTTTGTATCCATCATAGTCATATAGATAGTCCATATCATGGAGGGTGAAGGAGGTGCGTTTCCCAGGAAGCGTATCCGGTGCGGTGAAGTTCCAAGGAAGGTACGTCCAATGCAGACCATGCACCGTCACGCTACTATCGTTTATCGCTTGCGCATCCGTGGCTCCCAGCTCATCATATATCGTTATATCTAAGGATACTGAGTAACCGATCACGCCGTGAAGACTGCCTGTGTTATGAAAGTGGTTCCGGTCGGTAGTGAAGATGAGGGTTCCAAGTTGAGTATTGAATTCCACGTTATACCTGTTTATACATTCCTTGACGCTCATGGTTTGAAAGGTGCCGTTGGAGATCTCAGCTTGAAGATCAACGGGACTGGTGCCCACCTGACGGATGAAGCTGTTTGTGTCATCCTTTCCTTCAACCAATGGCTCACTGGACGTCAAATCCTCGGGGACCAAAACCGTAGCGTATTCAAGCATGGAGATGGAGGAGAAAACCACCGAGTTATATCTACGCGATTAGTTATTGATGCCACGCCCTCATGCAGGGGTCTTTCTGCTCACATCATGTGGATGGGGGTTGAGCTTAGCAGCAGAAGCGTCCACAGTATCTTTCTCCTCGTGTCCATCACAGCGAAATTTCGCACGCTAAAGGTGCCAATATCGAGCCATTTGCGTTGCTTGTGGGCCTGATCGACGTCCGAACGCGACGGGGCGCCTAAGCACTGCATGACATAGTTGCTGGCCGCCAGGAGCAGGGTGCTGAGAAGGTTGATGAGCAAATGCAATCCCGTCGCCCAGTGACTTGAAACCGAACAGTCCCCATCGTACAACGCGATTGACTGGAATCGTCTCTTGTTTGACGGTTTAGAGTAGCTGATCCCCGTTGCCACAATCGCCATAACGAAGTTTAGGGCAAGCACTATGCCTGCTCCCCAGGTACAAAGCAATGCGCCCTTGATCCATTCTTCGCCCTCCTGATAATCGCGACGCGGTGCACCCGGTAAGGTAAGAGAGGTTGTTGATACGGCAGTTATCAAACTACTAGTCCCTCCGTCTTTAACCTCCCTCTCAGATACACTCCGAGATAGACTGGAGAACCTCGGTTGAGGTCGCCATGACGAGGGAAGGGCTGTCCAGGGTTGCGCTGCATCTTTGTTAATATCTTCCGCCATTAACTCAGAACTCCCCGTTTTTGACAGGAAGGAGAAGAAGTAGCTAGGAAAACCGACTCTGGCGTGTTGGACCTCTACTCTCCTGCGTCAACCACCTCGCACCCGGTTAACGGGTCAAACTGGTCATGAAGGACCTGAAGAACGTTGTCAAAGTGAAAAAAAGTCCCCGAGGCTGAGCTTGAAGTGGGCTAGGATTTTGATCCACATACTTCTTGTCTCCTTGAGTGTCTAGCTTAATCCTGTCGCTTTTTGGCCCCCAAAGGTTTCCACATTACTTCCGAATGAGAGATTGAGGATTTATGTCACCAAAGTCGACAATATGTTAAACACAAGGAAAGATGCATGTTATTATCCTGTAGCTTTCCGTCAAAAACACATTACCCTTGTGTGCGTATATCTACGTCTTATCACCGTTGTTTGCAAGAGGTAGTGGGGATTGTGCCAAGAGACTGGACTGAGAGCGATGATCTTCGGAGGGATAGGGGTGTTACATAGCTCCAGAGAAAACCCTGCCATGTTACGTTATTTTTTCCTAGTCCCTGACAGCTATTTTTCCCTAATACGTCCCTTAAAAATAGAAACTTGCTGGGGCACCTAGACCCTTTCTATATGACGATCTACCACAGGCGGCTTTGGTTGAAGTCGAATCCCTTTGATATACAGAGTACAGTACATTGTAATTTCACATACGCAATTCAAGACTCTAGCTTCACTTCATAAAGATTTGGACCGGATCAGAACAGCTATAAGTATAGTTAGAGTCTGAGCTAGCTCGAGCCGTTAGTATATGACCAAGACGGTCGACCTCCAACTGGCCCAGACCCACTCTAAGGCAGTCGCACTGAGTCCCGAGGTAGTTGGAGCTTGTGCCTGATATACGAGTATAAATACCCGAGCTGAGCTTGGTCAGATATCGCCTCGCATTCTAGGCACGACAGTCGTGCAGCCAGGACCTGGCCAACTTAGGATCAGAAAGTACCTCGTGCTACAACTATCTGCAATAGAATAAGTTCCGGAAGTACAATTTAAGATACTTAGACCGTCGAGATGAAGAGGACGTAATCTGAGCGCAGAAGGATAACATTACCTCCCAGGATTTTGTGATTTCAAAAAAAAAAAAAAAAAAAAAAAAAAAAAGCTTGCCTATATAATACCGGCGGAGCTGGAGAACACCTATCTCAGGAAGAAAATCATAACCGCCAAAAAGACCGAGAAAAAACAGACAGGAAAATAAAGAGACAATGTTTCAGTGAACCGCTTGCTCATAGATCATCACCGTCGTCATTACAATTCCGAAGCCCTGAGAAACCCAAACAGTAGTTAAGAAGTCACTTTTTTTTCCCCCAGAAATCGTCTTCTCATCAGTTTCTATCGCATCATTATATGCGTCTATTAGCGCACCTGTGGTATTTCGTTCAGATGCTATGGTACTTTTTCATCAATTAATTACGATCGTCAGGTTGACCTTGGCTACTAGCCCGGGTCTTGGACTTGAGGTTCCAGAGAGCGTTCACGGTGGACAGGGCGCACAGAACCGCTGTGCAGATGTTAGTCTCAACCCGGCAAGGTAAAAAGGGGGACAATAATAACGAACCGATAACGCAATTCATTTCATAGTAGCCGATTTGTTCGGTGAGATATCCGGACAAGATAGGGCCGATGAATGCTCCCGCAGTCCAGCTCATGCTCGAAACAGATAGCGCTCGCGAGTACCCGCCATTCGGGCCAAAGATGCCGGGATGTCTGGCTTCAATTTCGTCGACCGTGACTGATGCAAGGGAGGCATAGAGTTAGCGAACACGAAACAGGTCCAATCGGATTCGACGCAGCATTACCTGTAGCTTCAATAGTTCCTGCACCATTGAGTAAACACGAGAAAGTGCCCACTGCAGTCACGCAGACGGCGTAGACGATTTGTCCGGTCTTGCCACCGTTCACGCCAGGGAATCGATCGTCGCCGGGCATGCCCAGCACCCACATTATGGGCGTCAGGATGGCGAAGCCTGCGGCGGTTGGATACCGTGTGCCATAGCGATCCTTCAACCAGCCACAGAGCGGGCTCATAATGATTCCGGGACCTTGAAGAGCGGCGAACAGTAACCCTGACTCCATACTACCCCAGTCGAATGCGTCCCGAACATGAAGAGGGATGGTGGTATCAAAGCTGGAGATTAAGATAGCGAAGACAAGATAACTCATAGCACCGCAGACGAATTGCCGGTGTCGGAAGAGATATGTGTAAAAGTGCCACCCCTTCTTTTCCTCAACAAGGCTGATATTGTCCGGGAGAAGGGGATCATTCTCGGGATCCTCATCGTCGCCACGCGGCGTACCTGTTGGTGTTCCAGGTTAGAAACCGGATATCTACTCGGTCGAATCGCGCGCAGACACTCACCTGGTTGGGACCTCGGTCGCTCGATCATCAACGCGCGGAGCACAATATCCACCACGATTATGGCAAAGGCACTGGACCATGCCAGCCAGTATCCGCCCATTTCGAACAGGATGCCAGCCGCCATGGGTCCTCCGGAGGTTCCCACAGCCACGACAAGGGAGATCATCCCGTAAGTCTTGCCCAGATGTTCCTGTTTAACATTGTCCGCGATCGTCGCGTATCCTACTGTCCAGATGAACGCACTCGCAATTGCTTGTATGAAACGACCGAAGAACAAGGTGAAAGCTATTATTGCAACCGTCAGACATAACTTTGCAACCAGACGAAAAGAGCGCTTGAATGTTTGCACCACAGGAACCGCACATACTTGAAGTCGCCATGGCCAAAATAACCGTAGAGAATAATGCCGCGGCCAATGAGCCGAGCAGCAAGATCTTCTTCGAAGACATCTTATCCGCATAGTGGCCGATGAAAGGGCTACAGACGAGTGATGCGACCGCACTCAACGCTAGCAGTGCAAAACTCATGCGCTGGGTCAGGGACACATCGAGACCGAGACGGTTTTCTAGGATGTAAGGGAGGATCGGTACAATGAAGGTATACAGGAAGACATCTGGTGGAATTGGTTTGTTAGCAAGATCTTAGTTCTGTCAACGCGCGACCAATGCGATCGGTACCAGTGAACAGCGCCATTGCCATGGCACTGACAATGAAGAACGGCGAAGACCGCCATTTGTGGCCCCATACAGACCCTCGCGAGGTGGTGAACTGCATGGTGTAATCTCGACTATACAAGAAGCCGTAGAGCACTACCCGGGAGCAAACCGTTGGCGAAGGAAGGGAAAGAAAAAGGCCATCATGGATGCGGAGAACATAAATTCTTTTATCGCATCGGTGGAGAGCACCAATCGTAGCAGCAAGTAATCAATTCTCATTAGTCAACTCCGAGACCCACCATGCTCTGATACCCTATGAGTAATACAGAATACTCCTCCGTACTAGTAGAGAGATCACTTTCAGCCGAGGCCAGCGGGCTGTAAACATGGCCGATCCTGAATATCATGGTGATGCACTTTGTTCAGCCATGTGTGGTGTGTGCAGGTCACTTGCAGTCCAGGTCAAGAGAGCTGAGTGGATCAACAATACTCCCAAAGCATGTTCCCTGTGGCATTGGCCCAATACGGATGGAAAAGAAGTCAGGCTGGGCTGTGACTGGATGCTTGACTCGGCGGGTCGTCCGGATCGACAGCATTTTTGGGGCCCACTCCGTCAATTCAAGGCTTATGAACTTTCCCCTTACAGTGATATCCCGGCTGGTCGAACAGATTCCTCTCAATCAAAGCTTCCTCTAGAGACGAGGACCTGTTAAGGCAAAACCTATTTACTACAGAGTAATTCCTGGCGACAACATGCGACGATAAGGTACGTGAGATACGGATAGGTGGTTCCAGAAAATCTCGAGGTTGTATCATCACCTAGGGCTTGAAACGTCACAATGCAGGCACGGGACACTGATCCCTCGCAGAGGTCTTACATCCACATTCCGTCGCACCTGAGGGATTAATTTTACTCTGCATGGAAATCAGGTTAATTGATACCACACTTTCTTTTGCCCAGGCTTATCCCTTCTCTTTTTCTCATCATCTTTTCTCATTTCAGGTTGACACAGACCCCAAGATTCTACCCCGCAAGGGGCTGAGAAGTTGCATTACCAAGGACAAGACTAACTGATACCCCGTGCACCCCGCTCATGCACATCTGCATCCTCTTCTGAATTGGCCTATATAGACAGTCTATATCATCATGCTTACCAGACTCGATAAAATCTTGATTGTGGTGGCGTTCTATAGCCGGTGGAATGAACGACAATGTGGTCAACTTAAAGGTTCAGGCGCCCCCTGCCCTATTTTACCACATCTGCTTGAGAATTGATGTCGACATTCTTTCAGGTAATCGAATGAATGCTTATACAACTATGCCGAGGACGCCCACAGGAAAATTAGCAGACGGTTATTTGTTTTGGGATACAGACAAGAAATGTGCATATTGAAATAGCCCAGCAGAACGAATATAGTGCCCAATTGCATTGCCAAACCAAAGAGTAGTCGCGTTCAATAACACCTTGAACTACGAGGTATGGCGTCGTCCCCAAGAATGTCACCAGACCAGTCACGCCATTACCCTAGGCTTATCACTATTGAGATTACTAGTCATGTCGATCACTCCATTCCGGAGAACCCGAGGTGGACCCTCAAATAAGCAGCAAATCGAGAGATAGAGAATATGTATAATTCATGGATTGCTTTTTGGGTGATCCTATTCATCAAACAGTCGATTGGATCATTTTGAAGATGTATGTTTATATGAAGTCTCCATGCGAAAGATCAACGTTCAATTCCTCAGAGGAGGGTAACTTGCGTTGAGAGTTGTAATAGTCGGGTTGCATAACCGTTCAGTACCAGCCAGAAGCTAAGGGAAGCTAAGGTAAAGATACTCAAACTCCCAGAGTCTATTTGCCTGGTAAGGTACAAGAATTATATCTGATCGATGATAATCTGGGATGCTCCCGCAAACAATACGCTTTTCTTAAAACATTTTGTGCCATACCGTTCCAGAATTAAGTATTATAACTAAATTGCAACGGGTTTAATATGGGGAAACAACGAGAAGATGTATTACTTCACAAGTCCTGTACTTTTGTTATCGTCCACATTTCCGTAGTTGCGAAGAACCCAGATCTGATAATCCGCTGTGCTCACACTATCTTTGTTTTGTAGAAAGTTAAACCCGCAACAACGTACAAGTAACTAACTGGAATTTGTATAGTGCAAATAACTCAGTATAACATTGTATTGCGTGGGCTAGACACTTAGCTAGTGATCGAAGAGTTTCATAGCCGGGAAAAGAATCTCCCCCGATTTGGTGGGGCCATTTGCGTATCAACGGAAATACGGCAAAGGGGACAACCTAAACCATGCATTACCCCAGAATCTAGTACATGGGGCTATATAAAGGTGCATAGCCTCGCAGAGACCTTCGTAGGCCCAGACCATCTATAGCAGCTGTGCACTTTTGCAGACTCGCCATTTGAAAGACCGTATTCGCCATTGTATTACGCGTCTTCACAGCAAAACCATCTTGCACACAGCCCCACGTTAAAACAAACCAACATGACCGACCAAGAAACCAAGTATATCGCTGTCCTCGGCGCAACAGGGAACCAAGGGGGTGGTGTTGTACGTGCACTTCTCGTAAAGACCGAGCCATGTTTCCATGTTCGTGCCATCACTCGCGACGTTTCTTCCCCGGCGGCACAGAGGCTACAGGCGAAGTACAAAGACAGTGGTAGGCTCGAGCTGGTCGCTGCTGATGTTTACGACAAAGAATCTCTCATCGAAGCGTTCAAAAATGCCTATGGGGTGTTTGCTCAGACGAATAACCGAATCCCCGGGAAGAAGATCGAAACCGAGCAGGATATGGATCATGAACTGGTCGCTGGGAGGAATATTATCGATGCGGCGAAGGTAGGTTAAATACCCGTATATCTATGCCAAAATCCTAGCACGATGAATGGTAGACAGAAGAACGCGAAGCTAAGGTGTGTCATGAATGTATAAGGCTTGCAATGTGCAGCACTTCGTAATGAGCAGTTTGCCCAATATAACGAACGCGAGTAAAGGCCGCTTCACTAAGGTCTTCCATTTCGACAACAAGCATAAGATTGAGCAGTGGGCCCGGGATGAGCTGCCCGCCGTGACGGCTTTACATCCTGGTAAGTTCGTGAATATACAAATATGTGATGTAGATGCTTATTATATTAGGTCTGTTCTATACAAACATGCAATGGTCCCAGTATTGCCAGCGTCAAGGTCAGCCTCAAAGCAAGAGTCTTCCTATACACAAGATGGAAATGAAACTAACGGACAAATTACTATAGACGATGGGATAGTTCGATTTTGCGCCCCAATAGACGGGAACAAACTTGCTGATTGGGTTGATCCGACTTACGATATCGGTGTATATGCTGCAGGTGGGACGGTCTCATCGCTCACGAAGGACAACAACCATGGCTAATACAATTACAGAGATATTCTGCCTAGGACCCGAGAAAACAGCATCAAAAACGTATCCCGTTGTTGGCCCAAAACTTTCATTTGCTGACTTTCCGAGAGTGTTTAGAGAGATCACTTCACAGGAAGCTATCTTCGATCCAATAACACTAGATGAATGGGGCGCCACTGTGGCGGCAACTGCTGGCAAAGGATATGAAGAAGATATAAGACAGATGATGGAATGGATTTCTGTGGCTCCAGATGACAAGATCTGTTATGGAACAATGGATCGGAGTGAGGATAGATCGTATGAAGACCTTGGCGTTAAGGCCAGTACTTTGGCGGATTGGATGGGCAGAGCTGCATGGCAAGGGCCACAGTAACTCATCAACTACCTTGCATGACGCGGAATTCTTTCATTGCTATCGAGAGGAACTTGGCATAACGGAGGTGGATGCATATGCAGCTTCTCCCTGCCTCACCAAAACTAAACAAAAGCATAAGGTATGATTAAACCAAACCAATCCAGAACACACCTGACAGCCTTGCAGAGTAGATGAATATTTAAGTAGCCATAATTGGTATTTATGCTAAAAGGTGTTTGCTGGCACAAGGTCGACTGAAAGCCCAACTTGGACCAGTAGACACAGCAGCGGAGGGCTGAGCTCGCATGAGAGCTGCATAGAGTAATATCACAGAAAAGCCCATTTGCATGACATGTGCATGATGTAGGTAATAATCTCAGATTCTGCATTCGGCCCTTAAAGTGTGCGACGAAGATGCAACCAGCGCAACTTTTCGCACCACCCTCGTCCACCAAATTAAGTATGTGGATGGTGTGGATAGTAGCGACAAAGTGTACAGTACCCTCTCCGAGTACAGAACTGATCAGGGTCTGTAATGATCACTTATTCCTCCCCAATGAAATAAATCTGTTTAGATCTTCGTCCGTCCCCGTGTGGCATTTTTCTCCCGATGCTTATACCCGGGATTATTACCTGAGTAGGCTGGTTAGATGGTATAACCATGTCGTCTCACGGGAGCGCTTGTTTGTGACGAAGGAATGCCACGTCTCTGACAATGCCATAGCGAGGAACTTTTGGTTTATGCGGATGCAGCGATCGTAGTGATAATTGCAGGAGAGCTCTTCATCCAAGCCGGACGATTTCGTCCCAAAGCCTACAGAGTCCGTCCAAGCAGGCGACATCCACCCAGGCAAAGGAATGGAGTACTTCAACAGCGTGAGCCAGCTGATATATCTGCAAGTCTAACCGGACTTTGTCGGTCAGTTGGACTAGGGTTTGGCGTTGAATCATCCCCTCTGCCGCAATAGCAGCCACCGTGGCACACCATAGAAGCAGCGTACTAGACATATTCTGGCTAACATGATGAAGTTTCTCAGTGAGCTGCGGGACAATCATGGCTTGGGGTGCAGAAGACTTCGGAACGGGAAATGTGACATGGAGCGCGTATAGTAGGGCAGAGAGCCTGCAAGCATGATATAGCTCAAGAGACAGAGAGTCATCACCAGGACCATTCGGTTGTTCGATAACGCAGTCGGGCGAGTCATGCTCGTTCGGTAGGCTAAACAAATCGTGATGCACTTGATTCCGAACGTCTGCAATGAGATCGAGGGTTGAAGTCGCCAGGTCGTGATTGGAAAATAATCGAATTATATTCGAATATTCACCTAAGTGAACGAATACATACGCGATCTTTTCTTTCACGGGTGGCGCAAGCGATAAAAGCTCTTGGAATCCCGATCCAGGAAGAGACGCCCGTTCTGGTGAGATACGAAAGGCATGTAACGGTGAAGGCAGGTTGTACATATTCCCCTGTACGTCTATCAAGGGATATTGAGGCTTGGTCAAGGAGTGGGCGGAGAACATTAGGTCTGCGCTGCAAGATTCAAGATCAGCTATTTGTAAGGAACATAGTTTGGAACGAGCCGAGGTAAACAGTAAACCTACATTGACAGCAGCCAGCCTAGTCCAAATAGCCTGATGGAGTGGATCCCTCCAAGACGTTTTAGGAGGGTCTGGATGAATGTCCAGTGCATATCATGGTATTCTCTGCTACCGTAAAAAGACAGAGACTGTAAGTTCACAAAAGGAGTCGTAAACGGACTCGCGTCTCGCGCTACCTTTCCTTTAACGAGATTATTAACAGCAAGGTATAGAACAGACATGATCACGCTGTCACGCCATGTCTCATCTGTGTAGTCTGCCACATGGCTGTGCAGCGTGTTCAAGACAAGGCCCTTGTAGTACAGTTGCTCTTTGGTCTCTAACGCCGGATCAGGGGCACCGTAGCTAATCCGTAATACATCTCTGTGATAGGACGCGGACCACAAGGTGCTATAAATTAAGAGCTTATTTTGAGACGATTGCTGGATCCAAGCCTGATAACAACTCCCGGCATAGTTCGATTGCCGAAATGCCGGCCAGATGGAGGTCAAAGCTACGTGTAGGTCAGTCAGCAGGAATAATTGCAGGTGGCCAGTGCAATAGCACAGAGTAATAAAGACCTCCAAGCCACTAACCGAAATGCACTAGGCTGTCGACTTGCGGTCCCCAGCTCGCATCTAGTGGGGAGAATGGGTCCATCCTTCCACTCACAGCTGACAAGGCCGAGGGAGTCTCTTTAGTCTTCTGGTTGCCATTGGTCCTCAAATTGTCGAGGGACAGCGGCCTACTGCAGGTCCCACAAACTGTAGCTCCATCGTTAGTGACGAGGAACGTTGGACTACTGTGGATCGTTTGAGTTTGGTCGGAGCCAGAGCCCTGGGATTTTCTACGACAGAGGCAAAGCTGCTTGAATGCATGTTGATGATCTCCCTGTCCCTTTCTCTGGTCAATCAACCTTTCCCTCCTGGCAGCTTCCTCACGGCGATAGTTTGTTTGCTTTTCGGAGATACCTCGTTTTATTAGAGCTGACTTAATCTTTCGCGAATGTGCGTTGGAACCGCTAGCCAACGTAGGGCCATTGACGAAGACGAATTCTTGTGGTTTGTTGCCCATATTCGACACTACTCCTGAGACCCACTAGCCCCCAGGTGCTGACCTTCGGCGTGTGTATACCAACCTGTACCGAATCTGTAGCCGACGCTGATGGCGGCGCTGAAACGACAGTCCAAGTTGTCTTAGCTTCACTTTAGCCAACCCAGATAAAATGCGGTCCAATAGGAGCCGAGGAACACACTTCCACTTTGGGTCTAGCTCATATTCGATGCTGGCCCTCAAGGCTCGGATATACGGAGTAAGTCGAGTATCCAACAGAATACGATCTATTCTCTTGGTTGCCCCGATTATTTTCCGATCTATTTACGTACTACATGACTCGGCGGATGGCAATTGAGCGGTAAGAATTCACCAAGATTGACAAATGGTGGAGAAGCCGATATAAGTTCAATTCAGTCGCCCTTATAATAACCACAAAGACCTTGCAGCCCACAGAATTCATTATTCTACAGCTTCGATTCCTTCATCTTGGTCATCATGGCAACAATTAATATGCATTAATATTTCAGGGGCTCTCGGAGCCATCTTTAACTGCGATAGAATGTGTTGAGTCTGATCCTCTCTCCTCAAAAAGTGCTACCAGAGTCTGCATCACGATCGAGCGCCTGAGGCTCTGCATGTCTACCTGAGAGCAAGGGCCAGAGGGCGAAGTGGGAGAAGAAGAAGAGCTGGCGGTCGAAGATGATGACCGACAACCTGCGGTCCGTTCATCTTGCTGCGCCATCTCCGACATTACGCGCAGCACATCCTTCCACCGTTTCCTCATTATCCCTAGTTCCGTCTTTAATCGCTCATTCTCCCCCTCTATCCTGTGATTCTCCGTCCTTAACAGGTGGAATAAATCCGACAACCGCTTGTTTTCTGTTCGAAGCACGTCCATCTTGACCTGTGTTTGAACCCTCTCCTGCTCCCTCCGCTCCCGGAATCGACGCTGGGCTTCGCGATTTTGGGATTGTCGTCGGTTTATAGTCTATGACACCGAAGTTAGCGCCTTTGCTGAAAAGCCAATTTTGCTTTGGATAGCGGATCTTCGGCCACTTGTCACCCACACTAGATATTCGATGCCCGCTATGATCGATATGCTGTGAGTCGACCCCTACGGTACCCATCATTGCAGAATCCAGTGGATTCATGGTGATGCAGGCAGTCGCTTCCGGTGGTGAAAGGCTTGAGGATGGGGAAATCGATATTGAATGCAGAAGCGCGGATGTGTTTCCATTGACCATGGTTGGGATATATCGCATATCCTCCGTCAACAGGGAATGTGGGTGGTAATGGGAGTCACGGTTATGATGGTGGTGCGACATGGGCTCATCCCAGTGCAGCACTCCGATCTCTGCATCATAATCCGGCTCTGTCGCTTGCCGCGGACGCAGATCCCCTGCGGAAGTTGTGGAAGAATTCATACTGAAGAAAGAGCACAATTTAAGACAATGGATCGGAGAGATGAGACGCCGAGATCCCCCGCGTTAACGGGGAATCTTCACATTATATACACAACCATGTGAAGACCCTTCGGGACCACGAGAATAAGATGGGAAAAGCCTCACCACAGTTGCGTCAAGCTATCCCAGCGGCCGCCTCTCGTCGGAACCGGGTTGATTGGCAGATTTTGGGGATCCAAAGCAGTCCGGTCCATGTAGGCCTCAGAGCTAGCCCTAATCTGGGAGTGACTTGCTAGACGCTGATTCGACGGAACATTCGCTAGATCAGATAAGGCCAATACCAGTGATTGACCTAACCCTAAATTTAGACTAGGACTCCACTTGCCTGTCTCTGAATAATTTTCGCTGTCTGACAGATATCAAATCTGGAGTTAATTTCTCTTGGTAGGAAAGGGGTGCCCCACCAAACAACCCATCATTTTTAACTGTGAGACCATTTTCCCAGAACGGAAGTGCAGGGCAGCATTTAAGTGGACAGCCATGAGCTATATCAAGCCTCAATATAGGGATGGGACCGAGCCGCCGGTGCATCACTAACTACCATGCATGTGGTTCTTATCAGCCAGTCATAAGACTATTGCCAAGACCATGGGGAGGGACCTGCTCATGCAGTGAGCAATATCTGCTGTAGGCAATTTAAACGAGCAAGTTACTGCACAGGTCGAGCACTTGTTGGCAGGGAAGAAAAGGTGCTACTACTGGAAAATGCACGTGGACCTCGTCGACCCACTTGTTTGAACATATAATATCCCATCCAACGTCCTGACTCAGCACTAATCTATCGCAAGATCGCCCGAGCAATTAAGCTCGTCTCAAGGATACACTTGACCTGTTGAACCAAGGTCCCAAGCCTCCAGGGGTGCCACGTTAAGGCCACTCCAAACGGCCCCCACGAGCGGCCCGGAGCCCTGTCTGTTCTTCGGCAATTTCCCGACGAGTCGCTTATTATTGCGATTCTGGGAGGCAGTGCCAGAGAGTGCATGGTCCTTGCAGTGACTAGTTTTAAATCCTTTGTGGCTAGGTCGATGGCATGCTGCGTGATGGTGGTCCAGTACTCTGTACTTTTGGCAGGTCTTCGAGCAAATTCCTCTAGAAGCTTGGTACCGTAGATTTGCCTTGAGCCTTCTCGTAGTAGTAAGGTTGAGAACACTTGTTTTTACTTTCTACCTCTTCTTTCTTTCTTTCTTTCTTTCTTTTTTTTTTTTTTTTACTAAAGTATGAGCGTTGAATGTTAACTTCTTTATTATAAAAGCTGGACTCAGAAATGGATATATGGGCCAAGACTCAGTTTCACTACATCTGGGCTATTCCTTTTCTACCACGGCACGCTGTCTTGATTTACACTGTGAAAGGTATTTCGCAACATCGAGATCTGGTCTGACAATATGCTCATCGAGCTGACTACCGCATGGCGATTACCTTCGACAACCTTGTAGATCACAGACCCAAACCTAGGGATCGAAAGACGTTGGCTGAAGGAGTCCAAGACATCCACTAAGCCACTGGCCCCAGGGATCAGCGATTGTAGTGGGCCACTGCTTGCCGAACCCACAATGGACACTGGTCTTCTTGATTTGTCCGTTTATTGAAGAGCAGTGGATTAAGTCAAGCAATGGTAACCCAGTCGCCTGGACCTTACAGGGTAGAAGTTCCTGGCGCTGAAGGCGTGACAAATATAGTAGTCTAGATCAGAAACTTCCTGGATTTTTTTTACACAACCTCTGTTTAAACTAGACTTTTATCGCCGGACTTTACAAATTCCAACAATCAGGTCAGCCTGTTGATTACCACCTTTTATTGCTAGGCTAGACTCAAACAGGAAGGCGATTCCTGGCTTCTCTTGATTAGTGGTGAAATAAACTTCCTTCTCTTCTTCTTTTTTGCTGTCTATCCTTAGGGTCTACATTTCGAGCAGCTTGGAGATCGTTCCGTCCCGATCCCCTCCCACCCGCATATAAGAACCTTTACCCGGGGATCCGACTTCAATCAAAACCACAACTACACTCCCTACACTATACTCACATATACCGGGTAATGTTTTCTTTGTAGAACCCTTCCCGGCCCATGCATTCTGCCAGCGAGATCATTAACACGTCCCATAATCTAGTTGTAACTAAGAACTAAAAAAACTAGATTAGTCTCGACAGTACTCAAGACATGGGCATATATATGCACATTAACATATATATGTGCTGAATGGACACAGAATTATTATTCATCATCCTCTGGTATATTTGAAATTCATAAACTCATACAAGCCAGGCTTCATCAAGAAATTAAAAGACATAGATAAGAAATGACACCAGTGAACAAAATGCCTCCCGCTAAAGCAACTTCAGAGCAATGTCTCTGTATGCGCCACAATTCTCCATTCGCCATCCGACGCTTGGCTCCATGTTGTCGATCCCGTGGCCTTGTACTCCTCCTTTCCTCTCGAGGCATTGATATTGTAGGTAACGGTTCCCGCCATGAGATCAATGATGATGACTCGGACTTCCTTCAATTCGAACGCATCGAAATGATGGAACGGTGGCTTTAGTGTTTGTTGTAGAGAAGGCTCACCGTCCAACGTCAAGATGGGTGTTTTGGGGAACAGTAGATTGGCTTCGGGGTTGGACAGTTTCTCGATCTCGGGGCCTGGGTCGGCGGAGGTGAGAGCGGTCCACAGACTTCGCTCTTTGATAAGGAGATCCTGGCGGATGCGTTCGTGGATAGGAGCCATTGCTGCTGATCTAACCGTTAATATCGACTGCAGACACAAAGGATGGATGTCTGTACTCACCTTGATGACGTTAAGCCCTTTCTACTCCGGCGTATGATGTGATGTTGCAGGGTGAGATGCTTTTCGCTTACACCTCGCGGAGTCTAGTGAATTTGCTGGTGTTCTCTCTGGACTCTTTAGACAGGAATATACCCCTGAGATGTAAACAGAAAGTAGGTTGGGAGGGTCCATGGGTGATATAGGTCGCAACCCTTGGAAGCCCTCTGATGGCGGACGGGTGACGTCATCCGCCCGAGCACACGTGGATGACGTGTGATGCATCTGCCCTACTTTGCAGATCGACGCAGCCAGAGATGTCATTGCTTTCGGTCATGCGATGGCACTTCTTGGCTTGTACTACTTGCGTGGCCTCTACTGCCACTATATATGGTTATCTACAATTGGGGGTGGATCCTGGAAGGCTCCGGAATCTGACGCATGCAATGCATGAGAACGGTGTCTTTTCGATCAGATGTACTAGTCTAGTGCGATCGAAATCTATTCATCGTTATGTGTGTATGTATTATCTTAATGGTGTGTCAATTTGGATAATAGGTCAAGAATAGGCTTACTGCGTGCAGGCAGCACCTTGTGAATAGATGTGACGCAGCCAACAAACCCCAAGCATGTCCCGGTGAGGTATATCTCGTGCAGCATTTTTATATCTAGAACCATTTGTAAAACGAAAAGCAATGCCTGAGATATATTCATTAGCTGCGGCATGTAGCGGTGATGTTGATACATGATGTGGCCGCATTGACACTTGGTCCGGCTGATGGCTCTCTGGAATCTTTCTCCGAAACAGTAGAATAAGCTGCCCCCCAGAGGAGAGTGTCTCTATGACTATGAGTAGGATGGTTAAGAATATGATAACGTCCCGATGCGATGTGACGTGTTCTATGATGATGTGGACAAATTGACAGATGGGGCTCTGGGGGCTTTTACATTATCCTCTAGGCGTACCGCTATACGAGCTTCATAGGTAAGGGTGTCAGGCTCAGGATATGCTGTATGCAAAGCTGACCAAACTGGATGAAGTCCTCGATGTTGCCCATATTACCCTAACTTCTGGTATCGGTTCGCATTGACTGCTGATTTGCCAAGGAGAGGAATAGTATTGACGTGATACCCATCACGGCTCAAGAATAAGCTAAAAAGGATAGACCTTTCGCTGTCCCTCATGCACTAAACCGCTGCAGAGCTTGGTCTTGAATGGCGTTGCCGACCCGAGATAAACGGTCGAAATCAACGCGGGATAAGAGACGCGGCCAAGCTTCTGTTTCAATTTCTTATCTTTGACCAACACGGAAATATGATTATCCGAGCAGTTCCAAGTTCACACCATATCTTCGTCTTTGAGCTGGTCATCCAGAAGTCCGAAGGGGGAAGGGGGAAGAGCATGGACAGAGTTGAGGTTGAAACTAATGCTTCAATTAACAACAGTGTTTTGTCAACAACAATGAATGGGTCTTTTACTGAATTCTAGCCCATTGAAGTCTATCCGCGGCCTCCGAAGAAATTTCTCGAAGTCGGCGCAAATGTGGGCCAGATACACTCTCGGAACGAACCCTATAGCAACACAAGCATGCTTTTACGTTTCGAATCCTCTATCTCGGATCCCAAAAGCGCGCCATGTTACTCTATAATCCAGGACAGACAAGTGTGCTCTACTCTACGCTGAGAATATGCGTTATCTCTTACAAATTTGGCCCATTGCAGTGGGGAGCGTCAATATATCGTAGTAACCAAGTAACGTCATTTCCGTGGAAGTTGTCGAGCTGAGCACCGATAAAGGACCCCATGAGAGATATCATTGGCCTGTTCTCGCGATTTTCGCAGACTAATCCCCGCTATCAGTGCTGATCTTTCCTGATAAGGGCATTTTGATAGGTTAGTTTATCTCTCTCGGCACTGATCGGCGGTTGTTGATGGATACAAGGCAAGGAGGAAAAAGTAAAAAAAAAAAAAATTTGGGAAAGGGTTCCTAGACGAGACAGAGAACGTGGGATATAAAAGGCCTGCTCCACGCCATTGAGACAACGCCGATCAACCCCAGCAAAGAATCTGCAAGTCATTCGCACCATGCAGCTTCTCAACACCATCACCGCCGGCCTGCTCCTTGGTAGCAGCTGCCTGGCAGCTGCCAGCCCTGCAACATGGCAGCGCTCTGTGTCTCAGGCCCCCAAGAAGGCGGCCCCGAAGGTGTTCATCGTGTCCATGGTATGACCTCTTGCGTGAGGTGATAGGAGATAGACAATGCTCACATCGTACCAGTTTGAACCCGAAGCCGCTGCCTGGTGGGGAATCCCCGAATTCGACCTGCTGGCTCACAACATCACGATCCCCGGTGCCTCGCCCGTCTTCCCTGACGTTCACTGTACTGCCGACTACAGCGTCTGTCAACTCATCACCGGAGAGGGAGAGATCAACGCCGCCATCACGGTGTCATCCATTGCCCTCCACCCCTTCTTCGACCTCACCCACACCTACTTCCTCGTGGCTGGTATCGCCGGTGTCAACCCCAAGGTCGCCACCATCGGTAGTGCCACCTTCGCCAGATATGCCATCCAGGTTGCCCTGCAGTACGAGATCGACCTGCGCGAGCTCCCCGACAACTTCACCACCAGCTACTTCCCCCAGGGCGCCTACGCCCCCGACCAATACCCCACCAGCATCTACGGCACCGAAGTCTTCGAGGTGAACGCCGATCTGCGCGACCTGGCTGTCTCCTTCGCCAAGAAGGCCAACCTTTCCGACTCCGAGTCCGCGAAGGCATACCGCAGCAAGTACACCGCCGAGGGCTACGAGGCTGCCACCAAGGCGCCCTCCGTGCTGAAGTGCGACGTCGCCACCACGGACGTCTACTACAGCGGCAAGCTGCTCAGCGAGGCCTTCGATAACACCACCGAGGTCTGGACCAACGGCACCGGCAAGTACTGCAGCTCCGCCCAGGAGGACAACGCAACCCTGCAGGCCCTGCTGCGCACCTCCGCCCGCAACCTCACCGATTTCTCGCGTATCATCATCATGCGCACCGGCTCCAACTTCGACCAGCCCCACCCCGATGAGTCTGCTCTCCAGCACCTCAAGTACGTCGATGCCGGCGGCTTCGAGCCCTCCATCAAGAACCTGTACAACGCCGGTATCGAGGTCGTCACCGGTATCCTGAACGGCTGGAACTCCACCTTCAAGGCCGGCGTCAAGCCTTCCAACTATGTCGGTGACATCTTCGGCACCCTCGGCGGCACCCCGGATTTCGGTCCAGGCCGTCAGGAGGCGCTCGCCGGTGCTGGTGCCATCACCAAGCGAGGACTCGTCCGTCGCGGCCTGATGCTGGCGTAAGCCTTCATCGCCAGATCGGGGCCGTCTGTACGATACGAATTTACGTTAGCATAATGTCTGACTTGTTGATCTCCACGAGGCCACTACCCTTACGATAGGACCTCACTTACGTACCTCTCAACGTTGATGAATGTATAATAGCGCTGATAACCTGCATGTCTGGTGTGCAGCAATAGAACTTACATGAAAGAATACAAAGCATATCCATAAAACAGTACTCCGTATGTATCCTATGCTCACCAGATTCCCTACCTCGGGAACAAAGGTGGACCCCGACATAACATAAATCCACCAAGCAGTTCGTCATCAACCAAACTCTGACCAAGAACCCATGGAAGCAGGGACATCTTCCCCGCTATAACACGCGGCTCTGATGCATGCATATCGATCAGGGTCTATTATGCAATTTGCAACCAACCTCGGCCTCGGCTTCTTCTGACTTTTTGATTCATCATGCAAGCGATACCAAATTACGGATATACACGGAGTACTGCCCGCTTTAATCTCCGCGGTTATATGCATTGCCACGGCTGTCGAAATTAATCAATCGGCTCTATAAATTAATAATCTGACCTGTCATCCAAAAATAGGCTCTTTTAATTAACTGGTAATAAGCCGCGGAAAGTCAATTTTAACTGCAGCACTCCTAACTAGCCTCATATCTTTCGCTTAGAACTGAGTTTGTGGACTTGCGGTCAAGGATAGGGTTTTATAGATGCATCGGCCATGCTCTCTACAGAAAGGGGAAGTAAAAGAGAAGAAAAAAAGAAAAACAGGAGATCGTCGAGACGATCACGCCATATTCAGGAGTCTAGAAATCTTCGTGATCACCCGATTTTCTTCGTCGCTGGAGCGTGCCCGAGGTAATTCGGTGTTCGGTACGTACCGTACCTTTGCATCGTCCAGTAGAGAGCAGGCACAGGAAAGAAAGCCCTTGGATTTGAGTTCCAGGGTCTGGTCCGCGGCGACGGGTCTGCTTGGGATCTCCTCATCACTGGACAGGTATTCGCCGTCTTCCATGGATGCGGCAGAGAAGTGCAGATCACTACGCTACTGGACACCGGGCTGGGGGTGTATCCATGGAACCACAATCACCTACGACCCAGAGATTGCGAAAGCCAGGAAATATATTCCGACGGCAATGTATCTATGTCCGGCAAATGTCAGAGGCGAGAAGCGAAGGTTAGAGTCTTGGAGAAAAAAAGGAGTCCCAGTGGCCTGGTTCCTGTGTTGGTGCCAAGCAGCACCTAAAAAACTAGAATTCGTTAGTCCCAAAAGAAAGATAGCTTGGCGCTTGGCGGTGGCCGCTGGCTATTTTGAGAAGGGTTTAATGAAGGCCTTGCTATCTTTTTCCGCGGACTGAGCTGCGGACTTTCCCTAAGCGAGCCTAGGTTCCACACCGGTGGCGGTTTCTAGAGGGCTTCTAGGGAGTTTTCTTTAGTGGTGATCCTTGCGTCGGCGAGGGTTTGTGATGTGTACAACTATAACGGGTGAGTTACTTCTGGAAGGTAGATATCCATGTCAGCTCCTGATAGGTGGTGTGGTACACGTCAGGCTCGAATTCTAATGGATCTGAAACAGAGGCCTGGACATCAGGTACCATGGTTCACTGTTGTACTTTCTAGGGTCCAGCATAGGGCTGTTCGCATTTAGCCGGAAACACAGCATAAAATTGTATTTTTCGTTGGGATATTTTGGCATGAGCTCGTTCATATAGAGTGGGACGCCCCATATTATAATAAATACATGAATAGATGGTATTGAACAAAGGAAAGTTAAGAAATGTACGACGAAAGCAAGAACACAACTCCCGAGTAATCTCGGCTGAGACCGAATTCCCCGCCCAAAGTCAATGGTCGTGTGGATCCAGTTCGACCAGCGGCACGAAGCTGTGTCTCTGGGGCCTCTTATTCGCCCCGTAGTCAACCGAGTAGGAGACCGTTTTGTTAATGTGACTTTTACTGAGCGCTTGGTTGGAGCCGAATGTGGGCGGCTTGCTGGGCGTGTTTCTCTGTTCGTAGTAGGACTGGTCACTGCTGTTGCCAAGCACTTTTGGGAAAATATGGACCAGCATCGCTCGGAAGGTTGGGAGACAGGCACACATCACGGCGATGTGGACTTCGATGACCGACCAGTGCACGATCGGTTGAAGTTGGACTGAAACCATATGGTCAGTTCCGGTACTGCCGAATGCATCCTATGCGTTTGCAAGGCGTCTGATGGGGAATCTATAGTACTTACCAGTAGGGTTTGTATTCCAGCGGTTGAACCAGAAGACAATCACACGGGCAATTGCAACGCCGGTGAGGCTGTTCGCCATCGTTGTCAGGACAAGTATTAAAGCCGTAGAGGACGGACAAGACTTACACAAGACCCATTGCAAACATAACGCTGACACCGGCCTTTTTGCGCGCGGACAAGTTCAGTTTGAAAACCTCGTAGACTGGCATGAGCACCATGACCGTATCCACTCCGATATTAACATAGGCGTTGACGAACGTAACCGCGATGAAGTTGACACACGTCCCTTGCTCGCCGGTCGCCCATTGATCCCAGGACAGATGAACTGGAATACACCGCAAGGAGTCAGTCAACACCCAGGTGATTCCGATCGCAGCATTCAATGCGATGATCGTGAACGCTCCAAAGCGAAATAATTTCGACTGGAAGATTCTCAATAAGAACAGGCACACGGAGATCTTTGCCAGGGAAATTTGTGTCTTATACAATATGACAAAGGCGAAGAAGTACTGTGGATCGTCAGTCAAGCGGCTAGGTTGTGGCAGACGCAAGTAAAAACAAACCTTGAGCACTATGGTGATGTTGTCTAGTGGAGTTATGTCCCACATATTCTGCCCAAAGCCATAATGGATCACTGCAATGGAAAGTCAGCCCGAAACGTATCCGCGATCCATATTTATTCAGCTTACTCGATGCATTGACGCCGAATATAGCTACTGCCAGTCCCTGAAGTCCGTCTTAGCACACAAATCCTGATCTGCGTGGGAGCGATAAGAAGCCTCACATATGCCACGATAATAGTGTAATCGTCTGGACCCCATCCACCACCGAGGCCCATGAATTTCGCAGCAATTCGGTTGGCGAAAAGGAGAGTGGAAAAAATCAGAGGAACGAGTGTGGCCGAGTCTAGTTCCGGACGTCCTTTATGCGGAGGTATGCCGCATTGGCGATTACTGAGTCGTGTGGTGACTGCCAGACCGTTAGACACCATAAAAGGCTGCGATATAAGCCTAGATACATACGGAGAGTTTGTTTTGGAGTACAACTGGCGGAAACACAAGTGACCATGTCGTTCTGAAATGCATCGTCGCCACAAAGGCATGATGTGTCGGTAGATGCGCATGATGTTGAATTATCGGCGATTAATTGACTCTGGCAGGTTACCTATCAGGAGGTCAGCAAGAGTCCTTCAGGGCTCTAGATTCCCGCACCATACCGCGCACTGGGGTAATGTGTCTTCTGATTCAGTACTTGCAGCCACAGCCCCGGCTGCCAGCGTCACTGAGGCCAGAACCAGTATCCGATGCAGAAGCATTCTAAGTGATATGAATCCCCAGGAAGCGTAGGGGCGGTGACCAAGTAGAGTGGGATCAAGTTCATTCTCTACAGAACGCCTGGTGGAGGGGAACCGCTGTCTAATATGGAGCCGCGAACGACGTCCCAGTTGGAAAGCTTTGATGCAGTGGTCCACCCGGCATGTGCAATGATCCTCAGCAAAAATTACCCTAATTGATCCTCCGACCCGTTCACAAGAGCCAAAGATGACTAGGTGAGCAGATCGTCATCTAGCGTCCAAGCCAGACAGGAGACCTGCCGAGGGGCTCTCAACTTTTCACCCAGTCGGGGACTCTTGGTATTCGGGGTACGGTCCGGTACTGGACCGCAACGGTAGTTCAAATCAGATCCTGCTATGATTCGCGAGTCCGAAGGTCGACGGGGATCGTGGCCAATTTCCCGAAACATTAGATCGGCAGTGTACATGTACGGTTTTGACATCTAGTGCGAGTGCCGGCCCAAGAATTCCGGTGGGTCGGTCAACTCGTATCGTAGAAAGCCTTCCTCTCCTGCAAGAGGATCTCGCGGTAACCCTAAATAAAGTTGCTTCTTAGACGTCTTTCGTGTTGGTGGCTTTAAATGAAACTGACTGCGGGAAAAATAAACCTACCTTTTTGAGAAAACCGTGCGATGCAGTCGGAATCCAGTCCCTCTCTGGCCATCTCCGGTACTTTCGCCTCCACAGGCTCAACCGCCGCGCCCCTTACTTAGCATACCCACTTGGTTCCCCTTCAGCTTCGCTCCACCCAACCTGGCTCCTACGACAGAATTAGCAGGACTATTTCGAAGGCCATGACTTGTCCGGCATGCGTAGACCACCTGCCGCGTCCAGGGGACGATCACTCGATTACGGTACCTAGCGTCTCTATAAACTTCCCTTGGCCCCTTGGCCTTGTCAAGAAGAAATAGTTGCAGCAAGAAATACGTAGTTGGAGAGTTAAATAGAATAATCACGCATACAGTTATTTGTACTCCGTTTTCAGACTGATCTAGTAATAGACTACTGGTTATTTCTTTTTTTTTGCCCCGAGCTATCATACTAGTATCATATCCGAAACTGGCTTGTAAATGCCCCTGACAACCTCGTGGCCTCTCTCCTCCCTGCAGTTGTTCCATGCAGGGGCCATTACTATGGCTTCTAATTGTTATTTCGAGAAGCAGACCCAGAAGCATAGCAAACTCCATTTTAGCATCTGTCAGTCATCCGACCGCAGACTATGATAGGGTACGGCCGCTTGATGCGCTCCGCTTCGAAGAAAGTGGATGGTGGACCCAACATCGCTTTCCGTTTATGCATCGCCTAACTGGCTAGTTTGATTGTGTGCAATTTGCTGTGCTGGTTGTTCTGCCTCCACATCCGAACGTGTTTTCCAGGTACCCAGCGTCTGCTGCAGGAAAATTCTGCAAGGACTATGTAACCGAATGTAACCCTGTTAATACCCTTATTTTGTTAAGCTTCTGATGACATGCAACTCTATTTATAATTTAGATGGAATTATTAACTGCATAACAACTGTATATCAATATGCTCGCTCCGACCAATATGAAATGCACGTGGTGGCTTTTTGGAGACGTTGAAGTTTTATGATGGCGAACCTAATGATCAAATCCAACATACACAAACATCCCCTCCATTAGCGCTTCGTGGAGGGTTAGCCACTACTAGATCCCAGTTAACATGGAATACCCATCTCTATTCCTACTCATAGAGAGAAGTAAAGGAAATAGTCACCGACGCCAACTCGCCAAGGCCAATACTAAATGGGGGCGTCACCTACTACACGCTCCGTAATAATATATAGGACATATATGCCCCCATCAGAACCGTTTTGAACCCGGAATAACCCCAGCGATCGTATCCATGACTCGCATACGGAGTATGGTCATGCTGCACACCGTGTATATCATCACCAGACCCTTATATAATTATATATATTACAGTAATATATGTCGGCCTCGAACGATCAATGCCATGCGACACCGTTACACATCCGCACGGATCAGACTGAGACGGGGCCGAATATATGCCAACATGGAACATGCTCCGTATGTATGAAATGTGGAAGATATTGAAGGACCTTTATGCTAGACATTGGTTGTGTCAATCTGACTCAAAGCCAGAGTCTGGATTTGGGGCAAGAATCGTTTCACACTTGGCGCTAATCCCCATTAGGTCACTCGACCGGGTTTATCACGTGACACACCATGGAACCATGGAACCATGTGACCGATACTATTAATAATCCCTTGGCTACCATTGTGGTCTCTTGGGTCCGCCGGAGTGCTCCACCGCCCTTGGCTGGAAAACTGGTTTTTTGCAGAGGCGGTGAGGATCTGCCATCTGCGTGACAAACCAGAGCAGATTTCTTGAGAAATTCTCCAAGAGTTCTCCTTATCAGTTATTGATATCCGAACATACTACCCAGCTACTACTATAGCTCATGGAAAGGCAAAGTATCGGCACCATGTTTGGTGATTTACAGTCTCACATAGAGTGATTCGGGGAGCCCAGGACCCATGAAATCGCTGGACACTATCGAAGGTCCACGAACAAGATACGAAAGCCTTCAGTTCATAGAAACAAATATGTTTACATTTATCTTTCTCTTTAGTATTGATTTAGTCGCCTACCTCTTTATAAAATAAACCAGAGTAGGGCCATTTACAGCAGCATTCCTAATCCATAATCCCGTTGAAGAATTTGCGCATTTCTTCTGGTAGGAAGGGTATCAAACTATATTAAGAGTAGTATATTACGTTTACTTAAAGATTTCTCACTATATATCTCTTCTAAGTTTCCTTCCTCTTACTTCTTCTCCTAGCGCGCCGGACTTATATACCGGTCCATGCAGCCGAGTTATTCTAGGCCCTATGATTTCCAAAATCTGCTGGCAGAACGGCTTGTACGTTCATGGCTGCCAGCGCTGTCTGAGTGATAACATGGAGTATTTGGTTTAATGGAGTGTATTCAAAGAGCAGATCACTGCTCACTTTCTGCTTATTCTTGTTTAAATAGGAATCCCCCACCGCGGCCTGTATCCTCATTCAATTGATCATTTAGACTTGCCATCTCAACGTCCAGGGGTGCTGTGTCACCATGGCATATTCGACTTCTTTCAAAATCGATCAGCCTCGCTGTGTCGTTTTGAATGATGAAGTTATATCTGTTCACATCACCATGAAGTATACCGATACTATGGAGTTTCTTGAGAACAGACACACAAGCTGATAGGTCCTCAATATTCGCTTCGTGGCCTTCAAGCTTCTCCAGCAGAATACCGATTACACGACCATGTTCATGAATATGGCCGAGGAATCGTGGAGCGAGGCCAGTGTTTTCCAAGCTCTTATATGTGCGAGTTTCTTGCGATAAGCGAGGTATTTCCCATTGGAATCGTGCAATCTTGGCAATGACTGTGAGCATAGGGGTTGATGACGCAGATAATCCATGTCTCGACAAAGTCGCTTCAAACGTAGCCGCGGTGATTTGTTTCACTCTTTTCAGGTCCAAGCAGTCAAATGACTCAGGATGCCAAATATCCTGAACTCCAGGCAACGTTTCATTCCATACTTTTGCTTCGAGCTCGCCAGTCGAGGAGTCCCGACGAATATGTGCTCGGTTCCATGCGTCGCTTTTAGGTAAATCTGGCAATGAGCTCAAAGGCATAGACAGTGTTGACCTGTCGTATGTACCACGGGCAATGGTCAAGTACCTAACACGGCCGTGAATCAGTATCCTGTATTCACTGTCGTCCTTACTACAAACTTCCATTGAAAGTATAACTGGAGCATCTGATTGAAGATGGTGACTCATGTTGAGAAATACAGGAGAGAGCGGGAATAGGACGAGGAAGGAAAGGAGAGAATAGACAAGATTCTGTTAGAAACCTTTTGGTTACTTTCAAGATCTTTTATAACAAGGGGAGGAAGTACTCCGTGTGGATGATGTGAACGATCTTAAGGTAGGCAAAATCTGTATCAGTTTCACTAGGTTGATTGCAATGGTGCCTAAAAGCGGGGAAGGCAGGTCTATAGATGGTACTAGAAGTGATAGTGGTCTGGACTTTGTTTTACTAAGGTCTGTGCGTTGTCCATTGATATAGACGTTTGTAGAGATTTGATTTGATGGATTTGTTCTCCTCGTTTCTGTTGGGTATCACGTTAATGTGATTTAGGCACATCTATGAATCGTCGTGCATACAGCGCCCCCTGTGTGCCTATTGATCATCGGTGAGTAGGCCGGAGTGCACAATGATTATACAGCGGATATGTTCTGTAAAGCTTTTGTTCAATGGCTAAGTACATCTGTAAAGACCCTCAATCTGTAAAGACTTTCTCAATCAATCAACCACGCTATGGTTCAACAAATCATCCCGATATGTTTGATTAAGATGACTCCATTCGAGACTGTAACAAGTGAACGCCAGCAGACAGTAATTATACGTCCTCTTCCGTTGATACCTCCTCATCGACAGGGTTCGCGAATGGCCGGTATCCCTCTTCGTTAATTTTAGCGAGAACCGACGCCGAAGCTTTCTTACGAGAGAGTCCGTATAGCTCCTGAAAACTCATAATCAAGGGATGCCATTTGTCGGGGTCAATCCGGTTGGCATACCCTGCCATGCGAATATTTTCATGGACGTGGGTTCGCGTCACCTGGACCTCCAGGGCGATACATCCTTTCATCTCCGCGTCTTGCATCATTTCATATACCCCCTTCAATTCGGCCTCCATCTGAGCTGGGCACTCAGCAATCCGGGGCGGTCGAACCAAATCGGAAGCCGCAGGCGTTAGGCCCGAATGTCCAAATTTATCCGACACATACTTGTAACCGTTCATGCGTTTGAAGTACAGGTATCCTGTGCCCTCAGCCGCAGTCGTAACCTCCTTCGACCCCGTTGTTCTTGCTAGAGCATTGACAGCTGCGGCCATGTCATCCGAGGCCAGGTTTAGGACGCATTGTTTGGTTCGAATCAGGTTGATCGTGGTTTGCGATATGGCCCCTAAGCCTAGCATGCATCGATTGCCCAGCCACCATGCTGATGACATGGGCGCGATATTGGATGTTCCATCTTCGTTCTCCGTTGTGATCAACACTACCGGTGTGCCCCAGTAAAAGATGGGTGGGGAAATCGTCTGGGAGGAAGGAATCGACAATGGTGCCATGGTGTTAGTGTACGTGAGATTTGAGATATGGTAATCATGAACTCTTTGTCCCTCCAGAGTACTCACGGGTTATGCATCCATATTTATATTTCACGCGGGTTTTCCTGGAGATTGTTCGCCAACCTCCCTTCGCTGTTGTCATTTGCTCCAGAAGTAGCCCAGGACCATCACATATGCCATGATATTTCCTCGGACTATGTGAATCCGGCCTTGATTGCCCCTTGATGTAGTAGAAGTGACCAATCGTTGTATTGGAATGTATAATCTTACTCAATAGGTATGCCGATCGGTTAATGTGAAGGTGATATAGGATCCACTTATCGGCCCTTCTCGATCTCTACCAGCTGGGTCTTTGATCTGGGCGAGGCTACGAGTCATTGCTCTAGAAGTAGCCAATAGACACCAAGCTCTTCAATATCCTATGGAGTTGTAGATAGCAGCTCTCATGCAATTTCTGTTGCCACACAGAACAGCACTCGTGTACATTTGACCCAATACCGCACCCAATACTATACAAAAATCACTTTTCCCCCTACCACTACCTTAATCATTATCTGGACCCCGCTGAAAATATCTACCAGCTTGTGTTTGAACTTTTTCACTACGCCTATTTGAATTGTATCATTTGCAATAATCAGTTCCAGGCACTGCAGACCCGTCAAACCTCCTAACCCTCTCTCCACCCATTCAGCGTCGGTATCAAGAAGCTCCGAACCACCTTCCAGTAAATGACCTTCGACCGTCAGACTCAATTCCCGTAGCCCAGCGCTATGTGGCCCGGCCGCAGCCCCCAGTACTGCGCAGATCTCCAGCCATTCCGAGTTGGACTGGCAACCGCCATATCCGTTGACCAGGCTGCTCTCCACGGCCTGTACAGACAGTCTTTGAATTGAGCATAACTGCCATCGATGCAGACGCTGGAGAAAAATGCGACAGGAATGGACGCCAGTCCCACACCACTTGTGGAAGTCGAATCTGTGGAGTTTAAACCCCAGAACACGGGCTTCCGCGTAGATGTGGCGGCTCACAAGGAGGAGATTTAGGGCAATCTGATGTCGGGGTGTATGAAAGGCATGCGGATTGTGACATGGACATGTCCCAAATACGAGGGCGTATACTTTCAAACGTAATTCGATTGGGAGGCGGAATAACATTGTGGTTCGTATTTATAGGAAGGGAATAAATACGGACTCGATGATATATAGACCAAGCGCTTTAATACAATTAATTAGATGCATTTTACAACATAGAATGTAGTCTCGTTGAGTTTAAATTTCAGCATCTTTCTACAAGTAGTGCCCCGACTCCTAAATGTTGCTATCAAACTAGCCACTAATACAACGCTCCAGGAATTTTACTCCACAGCCCGGATATGCAACTCAATCCTGAATCATGAGTTTACAACAGGCACCAACGGGTATGACCAGGAGCTATGTCATCAAATAAAGTAGCAGTATCTGATTTCTGCGTTGACTGTTGGATGTAATAGAGCTATTCACTTAGGTAGCTAGGGTTACTTTTATGTAGACAGCCATATTACTATGCCAATGTTTGAAAAGTTAATTACGAACATCGGAGGAATCTACAGAAAATAAACCCAAGGCGCAGTTAGGATCGCATTAGTATATAGGATTCTTTAAACAGAAGTGATGAGATACGGCGCAGATGATCTATGTATTATTCTTGGTGTGAAATAGCGGTCAGTATAGATCTAATGTATGATAGTCCAATTCCTAGCCACAACCTGGCCAGTTAGGTTTACACCCGCCAGCCGTATTCAGCGATAGCCTTAGCTCTTCGTTGATATTTGCTAGTCCTAGCTTCTGAACCCCTCAAACAATTCCAAAGGAAAATAATCCGCCAGGGCTTGGTAACCCGCCACATTTGGGTGTAAGTAATCGCCGGAATCGTACTCATCCGCAAGTTGAGCCGGTGCCTCAGGGTCCCTAAGCACCTGGTCGAAATCCAAAACAGCATCAAACACACCGCTCGTCCTTATCCACTCGTTGATTCTCTGACGTGTGTCCTCCCTTATAGGATTCGAGTAGGGCTGTACATCAGAGGCATTACCCGGCGCCCCAAAGGGCGTTATCGTAGCCCCAAACACAGGAATGCCAACTGCGTGGAAACGAGTGACTATCTGTTGATATGCAACGATAAGTCTATCGCCAATCTGCTTCTGGACCTCAGTATCGGCATCAGCGACGCCGATGTCATTGACGCCTTCGAAGACAATGCCGTATTGGACGCCTGATTGCGCCAGAGCGTCGCGGTCAAGACGACTGAGCACGTTGGGACCGAGCCCATCGGCGAGAATTCGGTTGCCTCCTGCTGCTTGGTTGAGGAGAGCGATTGAGCTGGTTGTTGGGGTTTGTTGCATGCGGGTTAGGAGGAGGTCAGGCCAGCTGGAGTTGTTAGCTGGGTTTGGGTTGCTAAGACGATATGCTGTCCTACCGGTTATTCTTATTGGTGTCACTTCCTCGTCCGTCTGTGATGCTGTCGCCGATGATTGCGCAACTGTGACTCGTGGATGGGAGGAGAGCTTCAATGGCGCTGATAAAATACCTAACAGTCTCTCAGTTTCATATTAACGGGGCACCACAGGCAAGGCGACTAACCAGTGATCGACGCTATCCACTGAAGGATCTGTCAGATTCTTTCTTCCAACCCAGTCGCCTGAACTCATCCATGATGTCGTTCTACTTCCGGGATGGGAGGTGATAGCTCCGCCACCCTGACCCTGTTGCAGATAGATGTCAATGGCGAGCGTATCTTGGGCTTCCACTGGGAATACAATCGGGTCTGAAACGGCTAAACCTCCATTCGGGATAATCGTGTCTGCGCTACCACTGAAGAGGACGTCCTTCGTGGTATTGGACTGGATCGCACTCGTCCCGAGCTTCTGGTCTACGGGTAGACTGATAGCCACCTTGGTAATTGAGAGAGCCTCTAGACCGAACGTGTTGGACAAGCGTAAGCGAATCTCAGGACCTGGTTGAGTGACACGAATGGTCTGGCGGATGGTAGTGTTTTGAAAGATGGATGTTGAAGAGTTCTAGTAATGTTAGAGAGTGAATGTTGGATTTCTGAGAGTGTTCATACATATGGAGGTGGAGGTAGGTTAGCTGGCTCAGTCAACTGAGGCATGGCGGTCCATATGCTAACCCAGTGCGTATCTGGATTGAGAAACGACACATTGTTCCGTCGGCCTATTGCTGAGCCAAGAGGGTAGGACCAGACTATGCGAAGGAGGAGGAACAGGGAAAGGATACGAGGGAAAACACGTAGTAGCATCTCTGATATTCTGACATCCGATTTCTCCTGACAATGTGTGCTAACCTTATTTTCCACGTCAAGGCTCGAGTAGCCTATATATACTCAGGAACCAGAATTCCGGGGTAAAGCTTCAAGCCTATTAAACACCAGATCTCCATTCCTCCGCGTTTCCTAAAGCTTGAACCGGCTAAACCGGGTAAATACCGCGTCTTTTGGCATATATCTTTCGAAGGACCAGTAGCAGCTGGTCAGACAATTTTGTTTGATCCCTTTTCACGTAGCTACCGGCAAATATGGGATCGACACGGTAACTATTTCTCCGCAAATAATCGGGGTGACTTTCCTGGGGTAGCAGTACCCTAATCGGGATGGAAATGAAGCCCACACTCGCAGAACAACAGTTCACATATTAGTGCATGGCATACCATCGCATATTCTCTATCTAGCAGGATCCACGGTATAATGATGCTTCTACAAGTGCATTACTTATGACTGATTATGCTGGTCCACAGTTATCTCCGCAAACTCCGTGATGAAGCGGGGAACGACCAGACGATAAATGCCTCCTCTTCTCCAGCCACCAAGTTCCGTCTGTCGCATGGGCTTTTAGTCAATATACCAAAACGCCATAATGTCTGTCTTGCAAGCCCAGAAAACCGCCCTCATCACGGGCGCGGCCTCCGGAATCGGTTTCGCGACCGCCAAGCTCTGTCGCAGTCGGGGCATGCACCTTGCCTTGCTCGATATCGATGCGGCCAACCTTCACAAAGCGAAAGATGAACTGGCGGCCGTGGATCCTTCTCTCAAGACCGAGTCATATGAGATCGACGTTGGTGATAAGAAGAGGTGGTCTGAAGTCGCAAATTCCATACAATCGGCGTTTGGTGGAGTGGATCTCGTTTTCTTGAATGCGGCGAGGCGACACATAGCGCAGAGTCAATATGAAGGAAAATTGAAGCCATGGGCAGATGTCGAGTCATGGAAGAAGGTCTGTATAATCTTGGAGTATCTCGAAGCTGTTGGACTAGACTGATTGAACCAGACATTCGACACGAATGTCTTCGGACCACTGAACGGCATCGAGGCCACACTGCCGCTGCTCCTGTCAACCAACACGCCTAAATCCATCGTGATCACAGGCTCCAAGCAAGGAATCACAAATCCCCCCGGAGGTGGCGCTCCCGCCTACAATGCCTCCAAGGCTGCCATCAAGAACCTTACGGAGCACCTCGCTCATGATCTCCGGTCGGATCCTGCGACCGCTCATATATCTGCACATCTGTTTGTTCCGGGATGGACCTGGACCGGGTTAATGGGGAATGTTGGGCCTACACAGGAGGAGAACGTGAAGAAGATGGCTGGGGCGTGGTATCCCAGCCAAGCTGCGGAGGTGCTGGTGGATGGAGTGGAAAAGGGATCGTTCTATATTTTCTGCCCTGACGGAGAGACGGATTGGCCATTGGATCAGGCTAGAATGCAATGGGCTAGCGACGATGTCGTGGAAGGGCGACCGGCGTTATCTCGCTGGGAGGCCAGCTGGAAGGATCGGGCGGAAGCAGGCATTCGCGCTGATGCTGAGCGACGGAGACAGTAGGGCGTACATTATGTTTTGGGAAACTTGGACCGATTATTATTGCACTAGGGTAATACAGTCAAGCGTGTTGTCATTTCGGATGTTGTAAAACGTTTTTTCTTTTGGTTCAGTTCCAGTTCCAATCACTCGATGTATGTACTTCCGCTTTGGGACACAAACCCTAAGACACAAGGCAATGAGAGCGGATTGTCAGCCCCCAGCACAATAAGAAGGGACAATACTCAACAGATCTCATAAATACAAAGTTATCATGCATGGAATGAATTTATTACACGGCGTAAGACATTGCCGAGGGTAGTACCGGACCAACAAGGTTAAGTTGCCGACCAGCATTCCCTTTGATAAGATACCAATCAATCACAGCGCCGAGACGTCGGCCGATGCAACCTATGCAACGTCGACGATCGCCGGATTCGTCCAGCTACGACAAGATGCGGAGGTTAGCGTGGGGGTCTTGGGCTCGTTGGAGGTCAAGGCACAGGGGTTTCAGTCGCTTATCGTCCTCTTCTTCTGGTAAGGTTGCGACCTGCTCTTATCGCCCATGACGATGATACTCTGCCTTCCCACCTGCATGACAATGTGAGGAGAAGCTTTTAAACCTGCAGCCTCTGGCGAGGGTCACCAAGACTTGGATCATTCACCCCTTACATCAGGCCACTTCCCTTCTCTGCCCTTTCTTCTATTCTCGCCCTCTCCATCCTCCTTTCCCACCGCTGGCGGCAGGACCATGGTGTCGCAAAGTGTTCCTCCATCCGACCTGGAGCGACATGATACGTTCAAGTCCGCTGGACGGAGTGCTTCCCTGGATGCCAAAAGCACTAACAAGTTGGGTGCAATTGCATCTGCCCCAGGTGTAGTCGAAGATGTAGTCAGAGTGGTTGATCACAAGGCTGAACGAGCTTTGTGTCGACGGTTTGACCTGCGATTGCTTCCGATATTGGCCGTTATGTGTAAGCTCTGACCAGACATTTTTTTGAAGCGCCATACTGATGAATTAGATCTGTTCAATGCTTTAGATAAAGGAAACTTAGGAAATGCCGAAACCGATGGAATGAGCGAAGGTAAGGCCCAATTCGGATCCCGGCTGTCTTAAAACTAATTGATAGATCTCAACTTCAAACCGAACGAATACAACCTCCTCTTGTCCATCTTTTTCGTCCCATATGTCATTTTTGCCCCGCCGTTCGCGATGTTGGGCAAACGATTCAGCCCCGCCAGAGTGCTACCCATTCTCATGTTCAGCTTTGGCTCTTTCACTCTCCTCTCGTCTGCGACCAAGAATTTTGGTGGGATGTTCGCACTGCGGTGGTTCCTAGGCATGTCCGAGGCGGCATTTTTCCCGCTGGTGATCTACTACCTGACGACCTTTTACCGTCGCGGTGAGCTTGCCAGACGACTAGCGATCTTCTACGCGGCGTCCAATATCGCGAATGCCTTCTCCGGGCTAATCGCATTCGGTGTATTTCAAATCGAAAACTCATCCATTCCCAACTGGCGCTATCTCTTCATTATCGAGGGCAGCGTAACGGTACTCTTCTCTATATTCGCATTCTGGTATCTGCCCCGCAGCGCATCGCAAGCCAAGTTCCTCTCTGACGACGAGAAAGCCCTTGCCCTGCATCGTATTCAAGTCGATTCCAGCGCGGTCGTCAACGAAGAATTCCGCCTGCGCGACGCTCTCTGCATCTTCAAGCACTTCAGCACCTACGTCTTTCTCGGGATTGAAATCTGCCTCGGAGTCCCCATCCAGGGTGTCGCCCTGTTCTTGCCCCAGATTGTCCAGCGACTCGGCTACAGCACCGTCAAGACGAACCTCTACACCGTCGCGCCCAACGTCACCGGCGCCGTCATGCTCCTGATCCTGGCCTTCTGCTCCGATGCCGTCCGTCTCCGCTCGCCTTTCATCGTCCTCGGCTTTCTGCTCACCTTCGCCGGCTTCATGATCTACGCGTCCATCGATGACGTACAGGCCCAGATCCGCGTCGCCTATTTCGCGACCTTCATGATGACATGGGGAACGTCCGCCCCGTCTGTGCTGCTGAGTACATGGTACAACAATAACATCGCGCACGAAGGTCGCCGCGTGCTGCTGACTAGTATTGGCGTGCCGCTGGCCAACCTGATGGGTCTGGTCAGCAGCAATGTCTTCCGCAGCCAGGATAAGCCCAAGTACATGCCGGCGCTAATCACGGTCGGGGCGTTCGGGGCCACCGGGGCCGCATTGGCCGGGTGCTTGGGGGCTTACATGTGGTTTGATAATAAGAGGCGCGACCGGCGCGATGGAGTCACGGTCAGAGCGCAGGATGTGCCCACCGAGCGGTTGAGGGATGGCCCGGCGAGCCAGGAGTTCCGGTGGTTTCTGTGATGGTTTGCTTTATGGTAATGGAAATGGCTATTTGATATGGTTTAGCGTTGATATCTATGTATCTTCTTGTCTTGCTGTTGTAGAAATTGTATTTCTAAGCGTAATCTTGACGACGATCGCTTGGCTATGCTTTAAAACGAGTCTTTATGAAGTACGGGAGTTCTCAGAAGTGGCATTTTATCATTGCTATTGAGGTAGGGTTCTAAGCATATTGTGAATATACAACTGCGCAGACACGTGATCCGGTATACATTCTTGGATGTGCACTCTTAGATTGTAAGGGATGTACACTAATGCAACTGCCGATGCTTCGCCGTAAACTTCGCATCCGGCTTACTGTATAGAACCGTATCTCACGGATATCTATACACCAGTTGCGTCAGGCTCGCGACAAGTATGGAGTTGGGCAGTCCTCCATCCAGCGAGGTAGTCCTGTCCCACGAAAGCAAGGAGAAATGGCCCCTCTCCTCGAGAGAATTTCAATTACATATGGCAGTAAATATGTTCCTGGACTTGGTCTGAAGGAACCCCCCACGTCTCCAGCGTCCACCGCCATTTCTCCGCATGTAACGTGGGGAACCTCATCCCCGGATCTGCAGAATCTGGAGAATGTGGACCTGTTCCCCGAGTCGTATTACCAGTCACTACACAGTACGAGTATTCCCCTCCACGCGGAATGTTACCGTGGCACTGGTTGGCGTGTTACAACGTCAGGATTATGTATCTGATTCCTTCTGGTGACCTGTCGACTTGAGACTCCTTCCGAAAGTGTTTAACCTCGGCTATCCACCGATTCAACTTTCCGTCTCCCTTTCCGCGTCCTGCTTTAATTGGTAACCCCCTGCACCACAATTCACCTTCTGTTTGCTCTACGTCATCTGAGAGGTATAGATTAGGTTGGATCTGTTCCATTCACTGACCAGCTTTGGTAACTTTCTGTGTTGGGTTACTGTTGCAGGTGGGAACAACCCGGCGGGAATCGTGACAAATTCCATGCAGGGATGAGTCTACGTATAGTGGCCCTGTACGAGGTCACGGTCACCTCGATGCAATGCACATCGGTCAATTTGGGGAATGAAAAAAAAAAAAAAAAATAAGATTCTCGGATACTCCATGTATCCAATGGACTACATATTAATTCTCGAGCTAAGGCGCAGAAGCAGAATCATGTCCATGCCACCGTGTCCATCGGCGTCCCATTGGGTGCGATGGCATCCATTTCAACCTGGCTGATGGCCACATCCAGCAATGCCGGCCCGCGACAGCGCAACAACCAGTAGATAGCGTGTGGGAGTTCTTCGACCCGGTCGCAGCGTTGACCCTGGCAGCCCATGCTCCGGGCGAGGCGATCAAAGTCGGGACCCGTTTGGGAACCACAACCGGCTTTCGCACCGTACTCTTTCTCCAGATGAGACAAAATGCCGTGTTGTCCATTGTTGAACACGATCACCTTGATCTGAATTTGATGCAGCAGCGCGGTCATGAGCTCTTCCATCGTGGTGCAAAACGAAGCATCCCCGTCCACGGCAATGACTTGCTGATCGGGGAGAGCGAGCTTGGCTCCGATCGCAGCTGGTACGCCAAACCCCATCGTGGTCAGGCTGCTGGAGGTGATCAGGGAATGTGGATGAGTGCACCGGAAATGTTGGGATGTCCACATTTGGTTCTGGCCGACGCTGGTGGTCACGGTGATGCTGCTCTTCATGGGAGTGGTTTGGCGGTTGAGCTCAGCCATGACCTGCTGGGGCCGCGGGCGATGTTTCGCCTTACTGAGAGGTTCGTCAAAGGTATAGAGCCGTTTCCAACCCTGGATCTGGTCCAGCCATGCAACGCGATCCCCCACGGGGGTTAAGAGGGACAGTAACACGGGTAGGGTCTCTGACAGGTCGCCGAGAATGATTTCGGTAGGTTCGATGACTTTCCCCAGTTTACTGGCATCGATGTCGAAATGTACAATGCCTCTTCCCCCGCCCTCCCGGTCAAGGGCCTTCGGAGCAAACCCATCTGCATTCCCCACTGCGCGCTCGTCCAATCTCGCCCCGATCACGATCAGGAGGTCGGCATTTTGGATCGCGCAATTGGCATATGGAGCGCCATGGGTCCCAATCATGTGTAAGGCCTCTTCGCGGGTTTCATCGAAGGATCCCAGGCCGAGTAGTGTGGTGGCCACGGGAATCTGAGCCTTTTCAGCGATCTTGGACAATAGCTTACATCCGCGCGCCGAAGCGAGGACCCCCTTTCCGGCACAGATCACTGGGTGTCTGGATTGATTCACCATGCCGGCTACATGGACAATCCTCTCATACAGATAGCGAGGGTCGGCTAGGGGCGAGACAGCACTGCACGCTTTCCTGTGCACCTTCTCGACCATCAGCGATACGCTCGGTAACTCCTGTAGGGTCTGCGAGTCAAAGAAGGCTTCACCGATTTCAGAGGATATGTCCAAAAGGGCCGGTCCAGGCTTTTTGCCCGTGGCATGAAGGAATACCGCATCGATCGCACCAGGCAACTCGCTCAGCCGCCGCACACGCGCACGCCACTTCATACACGCCCCTACGCGCTCGATGGATTTTCCCTCCTTGGGGGCGTTGGTGTCGTGAGCGGCGGGGACCTGGCCACGGATCACCACCGTCGGTGTTCCATCCAGAAGGCCATCCAGCATTGGGCTGATGACGTTGGAGCTACTGGGGTCAGTGCTCCCGAAGACGACGCCCAGTCTCCGGGTTGCCTTCGCGTAGCCCTCCGCCATGTGGCCGGCACCTCGTTCATGACGCGAGGGAACCACCCGAATGACCGGAGACTTGTAAACATCCCGGAATAATGCCAGTGCCCCTGCCTTGGGGTGTCCAACTAAGGCGCGAATTAGAAGGGCCCAGTATGTCTTCAACAAGTTACTTACAGACGTGGTCCACACCGTGGTCGATGAGACGTCGGTGGAGGATCTCTCCTCCCGTGAGTCCTAGAAGGTCCTCCATGTCACAAGAAGTAGTTCATTACGTAGAGTCGAATTTGCACAGAGAATAGGACAGGGGATGTGCAAGGGCCACACGGGCTGCTTATATGGTGGCCAGGGCAGGGCTGGCCGACTCCTGCAGCTCCCTATTGGGGAACTACTGTAGACAGACAATGGTGTACGGATGCGCCGGTATGGCGAGAACAACCAACGACATAAATAATAATAATAATAATAGCAATAATACCAGCCGTCTCCACTCGGCGGCGATCTAGTTGTGAAGCTCATTCCCCAAACGGGTAACAGCCTCGCGGGCGGTATCTCACGAGTCTTACCAAATCGGTGCCGATGGCGTTGCCACTATGCAGACAAGCGTTTTATATGTCTCCAGAAGAACCGGGAATTCCTATGGACTCTTCACCGCTATCCCTTGCAGTGTGCATGAATCTTTGGTTGGTGTCAATGGGTCAGGTTCTTATGCAGGGTTCAGCGGGTCACCTGGTCCACTTTCTGCCCAGTACTTCGCATGGAGACCATCCATGATCTTGGAACTCTTACTCATTTAAATAGAGGAATACATTGCTCGATGGTCATGGACATCACTTTACTCCAGAGAATCAATCGCGCAACGTGGAAGCAACCGATACCTTCCCCGACATCATGATCACCCACTTCAAACCAACCCTGACCAAGAGCCTGCCCTCGCTGGCAATGCCAACATTACACACGGCACTCGCACCTCTTCTCCCGTCGAAACAGCACTCTTTTCTTTCAGTTCGTGTGGACGGCGTGTTCAATCAGGTGGCCTTCCGAGTTATGCCGGCGCCGCACAGAGACAGGCAGCCGCCGTCCGACTTGTCGACACGCCAGCAACTCCAATCTGTCCACAATGTTCCAGGCCTTGTCTTTGGATTCTGGTCACCTGGCTGTAGCAATGGCTTCCATGTTGCAGGATTTCATTTGCATTTCATCTCTGACGATCGCACCGCCGGAGGACACGTCACGGGGTTCGACGCCTGGGATGTGCAGCTCTCCGCCGGGGTTCTGAAGGAGTACAGGGTTGAGATACCTCAGGATGAGGACTATCTTGAACTCCCAATTCGGAATTATGAGGAAGATCAAAACCTTCACTGAAGGGCCTTGAGGGGGTTTGACTGCAAGTCCTTCTTTTTTGGCAGTTGTGAAACCCCGACTGACGTAAATTGGTATGTTACACCCCTAAGCCACAGTATCTTGAATGCCAATTGGAATACGGCTGACAGAGATCAACATAGCACTTGTGTTCCCTCAGCATGCGCGATATATTATGCTTTTTCTTGTATGGTGCCCCCCGGCCGAAGGATCAACCTATACGATATCTTCGCTCTTTGCCTACGAATATAAACACCGCACATGATCGAGTCGCATATCACAACCCAACCAACCATATTTTCCCACGCCATGTCTTCTGCAAAATGCCGTGCCATACGGGTGGATCGCGGCGTGGATCTCGGCATTCTTCACAGTGGGGCACCCCCATCGGTGACGTCTGGACATTATTAATCGTCTCCAAAGATTTTCTCCCAAGAGATTCTCCAAGGTTCTCTCCCCAAAGATCGAAGTTGAAATTTCCCGGCAGTTGCATGTTTGTCGCGAAGGCTGGAAATTTCTGCAGCCGAAAAAAACTGTGATGGCCTCAATAAAGCAGTGGACAACTCCCTTGAAGGGACTCGACTCCCTCAAACTCACCGAAGCCCCCAAGCCTGCGCCGGGCAAGGGCGAAGTCCTCGTCGAGATCCACGCCGTGTCGCTGAATTACCGCGACGTAGAGGGTACGGTTCGCGCATCCTGCAGCCGGGGTTAGAATTGTGAATCTAACACGGTCACCCAGTAACGAATGGCGAGTACACCCACCACAAGGCCGTGGGACAAGAAGCCAGCATTGTGCCATGCTCCGACATGTGCGGCGTTATCACGCAGGTCGGGGAGAACGTCAGCGCGTGGAAAGTCGGCGATCGCGTTCTCTCCACCTTCCTCCCAGACCACCAGACCGGCCAAGTTACGGAAAAGGAACTGGCGCGGGGAATGGGTCTGCCCCTCAACGGTGTCTTGGCTGAGTACCGTGTCTTCCCGGAATATGCGCTGGTCAAAGCGCCAAGCTACATGAGCGATGAGCAGGCCGCTACGCTGCCGATTGCAGTCGTGACGGCATGGATGGCGATCAACGGCATGCGGCCTATGGGACAGAACGGAGGACACGGAGAATATATCCTGCTGCAGGGAACGGGTGGAGTGGCGATTTCGGGGCTGCAGATCGGAAAGGCGTCCGGCGCCAAGGGTGCGTTTCCTCTTCTACTTTTATTGCTTCAATATTTTGAGGACTTCAGTTGCAAGAAGAATCCTTAGCTAACATAAGCCCAGTGATCATCACTTCCTCCTCCGACTCCAAGCTCGCCCAGGCCAAGGAACTCGGCGCCGACTACACAATCAACTACCGCACCCAGCCCAACTGGGAAGAAGAGGTAATGCGTCTCACCAACAACCACGGCGCAGACATCATCCTGGAGGTCGGTGGCGCCCAGACCTTGAAGAAGAGCTTCGACTCCATCGCCTTTGGTGGCTTGATCAACTGCATCGGGTATGTCTCCGGCAAGATGGACGCACCGGATGACCGCACCAACGTGAACCTCCTGACGCTGAGGAGGAACGTCACGCTGAAGGGGATCATCAACGGGCCCAAGGATCGGTTCGAGGAAGCGGTAAAGTTCTATGAGAAACATCAGATTCAGCCTGTTGTGAACAAGGTGTTTTCGTTTGAGGAGGCTAACGAGGCATTTAAGTTTTTGGCGAGTGGGAATCATTTTGGGAAGGTTGTTGTCAGGGTCAAGTAGATGGACATAGCACGCATAAGAGAGAAACATAAATTAATTAAGTGGTACAAATTGCTATGCCTGCCAGTCTACCATCCATTTCTAATGTTGTTATTGTTAAACGATCCATATTGTGATGCAATCGACCTGTTGACCCTGTCTAGTTAGGTCTACCGCCTGATCGATTTGTCCTCGAGGCCTATAGATGCCACCTTACATTTCACCGAAAACATGGCTCTTACTGGATGGGTTCTGTAATTCTTTCCATGATTTTTGCGTCCTTTCGTGGTGATCCTGCTGCCCAGCTACTATAGGCTTCTGAGCAACGTGCACAGTGCATGGCGGGTGATTGGAAGAATAGTACATGAGCGCAGAGCCATGGAAGCCTGGGTGGATTTAGAGCACCAAAGACCCGCCGATGTCTTCCAATGGATGATGGATGCCGCGACTGGGGAACAGGTCGAGCTTAACGACCTCGCTCAGCGAGTGCTGCTACTTAGCGTCACATCTATTCACACCACCACTTTGACAAGGACTCAAACGATGTATGACCTTTGCGCACACTCTGAGCACTTTGAGCCCTTTAGAAACGAGGTAGTCTAAGCTCTGCAGAAGCACAGGGGCCGGAATAAGACTACTCTGATATACATAGGCAAAGCGGATAGCCTGTTGAAAGAGACACAAAGATCCAGTCCCTATTCCAATGTATTCCTTTCCTTTTCCTACTAAATAATCCGCAACTAACAATATCTTCCAGTGATGTGGAACCGGACCACCGACAGGCCAGTTACCTTTTCCAATGGCCTTCATCTGCCCGCTGGAACTCGCCTTGCGGTGCCTTTAAACGAAATCCTGCAGGATCCCGCCAAGGTTACCGGTGTTGATCCCTCTACTTATGATGCTTTCCGGTGCTCCCACATCCGTGAGAAGCAAGACAATCCTGCAAATGCGCAAAAATACCTCATGGCGAAGACCATCTGACAATCTCGCATTCGTGTATGGTAAGTTTGCGTGCCCGGGTCGGTTCTACGCTGTCAATGAGATGGAAATGATCCTCACACGCATGTCGATCTGTTCTGAATTCATATTCCTGGAGGGCCGGGCAGACCACAGAACTTCACTATCGATTCAGACCTGTATCCGGACCCTCTTAAGCGCTTGTTGACTCGGAAGCGAAATTCAATCGCAAATGGGATAGAAGAACTTTTGAAAGCTTATTGAACTAGACATGATGCGTTCTCTATGTTCACAATGGGGTTTTCCAAGGTACCGAATGTAGTGGGGACCGGCCAGCAGCGACCAGAATGATAATACTGCCAATATCGGGATGCATTGAAGATAGCGCTATTTTAATCACAGTGATAATCCATGAAAATATAGCGGAACTGGAGTGACTTTAAGGTTTTTTTTGGTTAGGCACATGTCTGCAGCCCAGGGCTCTGATTTAAAGCAAAGAAAATAATATGACACATGGTCAAATGCCATAGGATTCAGAGTTGAGGCTTAGTATAATACACCATGACTTAACGAGGCGGCATATAAACACGCTACTACGGGGTTTGCTCAACATATGTGAGACTCCGCGCCTGGCCTCGGGAATAGCACCTGGGTTTAGCGAAAATGAGGCTATATATTGATATGTTATGCCTCTATAGTGGTACTAGTTATGCGAAGCAAGGTAAGAACACCACTAAAACGCCGAAAAGGAGTCATTTCTCCAACAACCAAGCAGTAATAACCATGCTTCGCACACCGAATATTTACCGCTTCTGATATACAAATAAAACATTACCAATCATGCCACCGGGATCATGACGAAGATCGGCGCTTTTACATCCTGAGATATCCAACGTTCCGCAACCCCTCACCACGTCACATCCTGCAAGCCACTTCATCACGACAACACCGATTGGCCGATTGGGGGTGGAAGCTGCACAATAAAATAAAAGATCGATGCACAAACCTAGATTGGGTTGATAGCACTTAAAGTCCACGGTCTCCCGAGCCCCTCCTGGTTTAAAACCCCTCGGTGGCTCAGATCTGACTACACTTTAGCTCCATCAACGACTTGACAACCCTGACTACATAAGACACGCCCCAAATCGCGCAATAAGAAATTTGGAAAGCTGAAAGAAATTCTCGAAGAGAACGAAATACGGCTCAGAATGTCCTCCCTACCATCCCATAACCCCTACAACACCCCGACCCTCCCAAACTTCACCCGCTACATCACCGGCCACGACGCAAACGGTACCGCGATAGTCCACAGCGCCACGGAAAGTACCTTCCGAGAATACGACAGCGGTAGCTTCCGTTTCAATGTCCCCTTCACAACCTCCCAGTTCCCTGCCGAACTCAGCGGCGATGCCGATCTAGCCGCCCACGAGTCCTTGATAGCGTCTGGCAAACTGGGCCTAGTTAGCCCCAGTGGGACCGTGTGCCGGGTTGTGGACTTTGCACCGTCGAAGTCAGGCACCAAGGGACTGATGCATCGGACACAGAGCTTGGATTATGGGATTGTCCTGGAGGGATCGATTGAGATGTGGTTGGATTCGGGGGAGATGAAACTGTTGAAGAAGGGAGATATTGCTGTGCAGAGGGGAACAATGCATGAATGGAGGAACCCCAGTGAGGTGGAGTGGACTAGGATGGCTTTTATACTACAGGGTACCAAGCCAGTAGTCGTTGGGGATAAGGTGTTGAAGGAGGAGTTGGGGAATCAGACGGAAATTGGGCCCAGTGTGAGTGTAAGTAACTTGTGAGTGACCCTGGGTCTTAGTACAGCCTGGTGGACTGCTGTGGGATTTTAGTTGGAAAAGGTTATGTGTGAAGGTCTGCTAGATACTTGACTAGTTATACTCTCGTGAGTTGGCCCCATTTTCTGAGTCCAATAATAATGTAGGTTGTACGCTTACGACGATAGACTCATTCATTAGCCTCAGAATGATCTGTGTCCCTTTGCTGCACCCCATTCGTGTTTCTATATAGTAAAGGGTCTGGAATGTTAGCAATGTCTGTAAATTATCATGGACCCTGTCGTCGCGCTGCCGCCGGTCGGTAGATCACCGTTCATTCCTGATCGTTCTGAGTTTATGTCTAATCTTGGAACCGTCTATTAATTCGAAGAAGGCGATATGGGGATAATAGTTTGTATTCTTGACTTTTACAGTGAATGGATTTCGTGTGTGTTGGATGTTGTCCATGTCTAGGACGATTATCGATTGGGGTGTGTATGCGACTCTGTACTTCTCGCCGTAGGAGACTAAAGTCTTGATTTTTATAAATGCTGCAGTATATGTATAACCGGGTGTTGGGCTGGGTGTTGAACTCTTTGCCCACCCAGATATTACGCTCGGCAGTGGACTAGATGGTGATGTGACTGTCCAGCTGGGCCTCAGACATTGGTGACGCAATTGGTCTCTTGTTCCGAGTTGCAGTAGAAGTCTCACTGCGGTCATCGATGACCAATCTATCTAGAGCTGGGATGATTTGGGGCGTAACCGTAGTCTCCGGACAACTAAGCGTCGCGTTTGGTATTGCAATCGTCGGACGAGGCGAGGTATCCCGTTTCGCATTGGCATTGCCAGCAGACCTCTGCAGGGGCCAGGCAGGCCAGTATCTCTGATGAACATACATTGGGCGATTCTCTAACCATATGCGATTCACTGCTTGTTGCAGTGGGCCATTCTTGGTCTGTGTCACTCTTTCGTTAGGCTCGTATTGAAACAGAACCTTTCCTTTTGACGACAGGAGATCGCCTCCAGCGCGGTCATACTGGTAAATGAGGGGCGGTACGCTCAGTGGAAGGAGCCGTTCGAGTTTGTGGCTAATATCATTGATCCTAGCCGTATATACACGGTCATACTGAGCGTGTCGGGACCATGACGGGTAGAAGATATAAGCAAATGGCTTATACTCAGCGATGAATGCACCATTGCCCTGCGTAAACTGTGTCAGACCAGGCATCTGTTCATTGCCATCGGCCAGTGGTTTGAGGACAGTGTTTATGAACACGTTGTCTTCACTGGGCGCCCATCTATTAGATAGAACTTCTCTACCGAATGAGGGATTTTCCCAGATATGTGACATCCATATCCCCTTTTCTGAAACCACTACCACCGAGGCACATCCCCATAGATCGCGCACTGCTAAGTTGAACTTCTTATTTCCTAACTCCTTGAACAGAGCTGATGGCAGACCCTGGTTACCATGAGGCACCCAATCCGCTCTCATGTATTGGCTCACCAAGAACGATTCGACATCCCCTCCGAAATCCTCATCCTCTGGTTTTGCTAGCACCCGCTTAGGTAGTGATCCACCCTTTGCCCCGTTTTTAGCAGTCGAAAGTTTGGGTGGAGCGTTTAAGCTGACAGCGCACGAGGGACAGTTTGGCCCACAAAGCGATAATGCTTTAGTGGCCGGCGATGAGTTTTTGAACTGTCTACGACGTACGATAGACCTCGAATGGCCGTCAGAAAAGCCGGGTAAAAGAGCGAAAATAACCCATAGAGCCACTAGCATGGCCCGGAATGACCCGGACGAAGATGGCATATTAACTGGAGAAGAAGGCAAAGGAGAAGAAAAGAGCGGTCATGACTCGCTTCACATTGACAGAAGCTTCAAGACCCTGTGTTGCTCAGAGCTCATCTCAACCAGCATGCGAATGATCCTTATATCCCGTGCAACGGCAAACGAATCTGATTTTGCCCATGTATTTGGAATTAATTATGTCGCAAGGATAACGGGCCCTGTGATAACAAAGGAATGTTTCTGGCTTATTTCAGGAACTAGAGGCAGTTATTTGTTTCTGCTGAACTTACGGCACTTGGATGTGGATCTTGGAGAGGGTCCGCTAATAGGATTCAGTAACTGATGTTAAGAACACTTACTAGAGAGCGCCCGAATTGCCCGGCTCAAGGGTGTAAGAATCTGCCATAGTGCTAGACATGGTGCTCCTTTGTTCAGTGATAGCATCAACAAAGGTGGCCCGAATAAAGACTCCCGGCAAAGTCTTCTCGGTTATCCGACCTCACACAACCTTCAACCCCTTAATACCAGCTCTTTCTTCGCTATAAATGCTCTAGGGAGTCATTCAGCGATGACGAGTATCTTTCCAGTTCTTATGCGGTATTTCTGGCGATGCCAAACATCTTAGGAAATGAAAGGGATATGTTTCAGAGCACTCCTTGGCGTACAGAATATTTTTCAAGGATGAGGGCATCTGCTATTGTTCAGGCTATTTTGACGAGAACGCCTTGGCTGCTGTCAGGTCACTGAGCCAAGATGCCGTCTGGTATTGGCTTGCCAGATCCCATTGATGGCTTGATTGCAGGGTATGCACGTAACAGCCGATGACTAGAGGTCCCTGAGACGCTGTAGAATCATGACTATAGTCTTATTCTTGGACCGCCCTTTCCTAAGTTATCCATGGATGTTTGGTCCGCATCCCCCTTTTGGCACCGGGCGAGAATCCCGACCACGACGCGCCTCTGATAGACAGGGAGCATGGCGGAGAGTTCTAGAATCCATGGATGCAATGAATGTACCAAGGTACCACTCAAATCAAGAGGAAGTAGGCGAAGAGCGCGGTTACGTCGTAGCTTACTACGCGATATCTATGTTTGCGTATTATAACTATCTCTCGGAATTGGCCATCAAGCTACATCTACTTAGTGCACAGTTGTTTTGTAACTGCCTACACGTTCGGCTGTAGCTCACTATCGACAGTATATTCCTATTTGTCACTTGCCTTGGTATACAAGTCTGCCTGCACTAGAAAATCTGTATGGAGCTACCACATGTTGCAAATTTGCGAGCGGAGCCCGACTCACCTACGCCGTTGTAAATGTATACTGAGAAATGCCTTCTCATATATAGCAATTGAGTTAAACCTTTGGAAGCACCGAATATACCACAATGGGAGAGACCTGGGAGAGGGATTGAAGCTAAGAATAAGAGCTAGATTTACGCCGATGTGCCATAACGATGACAAGTGATTATATTCATATCCCATGAGACGCGTTATTCTTCATTCACCGGTTTTATTAATATACATTGCGCTCGGTAGCACAGATCACGTAAATACACACTAGTCGGGCTAGACTCTAGGTAAATCTGTCATATCCAGTCTTTCTTACTATCTAATCTTTTCCAATGAAGTTCTTACGCTCATGCTGGGATTTTGAAACAGGAAGCATGTTCACCTTGTCCTTACATCGTAGTCTAAACAGCCAGTGGACATATACAGAACCACATGTTGGAGTCTGTAAAGCCAAGAGCCAGTTGTGGAGCTAGCTTGGCACAGGCTTGTGTGAAGCTTATCGACCACGGGGTATAACCCTTGACTGCAAAACTCCATTGTTGGTACCTTTCTGTTCTAAAACTACTTCTTATCTGAGATATTGGGCAAAACTAGTACACGTTATCATAGCCCACCATCATAGTTACAGCGAGAGGAGAGAAATGGCCTCCAAAGAGATACAGCCCTGGATGGCACCATGATCGACTGCCGCCCTACTTTATCAAGATAGATCAACAGCCCTAAGCACCCTCACCACACTTGCGGTATGCTTTTCGATCTGCCGAGGATTGAAGACGTGATGCGGACCCGCCATTATACCATTTCTTGTCCTCTAGCATCATCGGCCTCAAAATTTCGCAATTCACCACAGTCTCCATAAACATCGATCTCGCCCCGTATTTTTCTCGGCAAAATGTAGATCTTTCTATACTTCCGTGCTGATCGTCCGTTGACAGTCAACATTTTCCTTAAAAAGCTGCCTGCCTTTCCGCTTTTCCCTTTGCGCTACTCGATGATCTGTCGTTACGCGATATTTTAGCGGATCATTCGGCAATTCCTCAGTCTGAATTCGAACGATGCAATACTGTGGGGTAATTGCACAAAATGGATTACTCCACAGAGTATGCTGTGCGGAAGCGGTGCGCGAGGTCTCTGCGGGGATTGTATGATGGCGAGAAGGCGACATAAATAAGTCGGAAGTCTCGGGGCTTTGTGACTGATAGGGCGTCTATCTCACCGTATAATTACAACACCAAAGCCTCCTAGCTTCCTAGAGACCGAGAAAGTGAACTAGTCCCGTGTCTCAGTCACGATGAAGATCTTGTTGAGAACGTGGCTGCTTTGGGGCCTTGCGACGGCCGCCAAACAGCCTAATATTCTTTTTATCCTTACAGATGACCAGGGAAAACTCGTCGGTGGCTTGGACCACATGCCTAAACTACAAGTGTGTATACACCTTAACCATTTTGTTCTCCCAGCTCTCTACTCCGAATTAGATAGACGATAGCACGATATGGGAGTTAATGGAAAAACCACAGGAAAACCTCATTCAAAAAGGAGCAACATACCCCAAGCACTATTGCTCTGTAGCACTATGTTGTCCATCCAGAGCCAACCTCTGGACAGGTCGCATGCCGCACAACACCAACATTACTGACGTTGGCTTACCATACGGTGGATACCCCAAGGTAGTCAGCGCGGGGTGGAACGACAACTACCTACCAATTTGGATGCAAGAGGCCGGATACGATACCTACTACGTCGGCAAGCTCTGGAATTCACATACGGAAGACAACTACAACAAGCCTTACGCAAAGGGGTTCAATGGCTCCGACTTCCTGCTCGACCCATGGACCTACCGGTATTACAACGCCAAAATGACACGTAACGGGGAGAAGCCCGTCAGCTACGCTGGCCAATACTCGACAGATGTAATTAAAAACAAGTCATTGGGCTTCCTGGACGAAGCGTTAGCGAACCCGGATCGGCCCTGGATGCTTACCATTGCCCCAAACGCGCCGCATTCAAACGGATCCCAGGATGCAGTGACGGGGGCGACTTGGTTTGGTGAGCCGGAGTATGCGCCGCGCCATGCGCAGCTCTTCAAGGATTATAAGATTCCCCGGGATGAGAGTTTCAACAAGATCATCGATGGGGCTGTTGGGTGGGTTGCTGACTTGCCGACGCTCACCCAGGAGGAAATTAACTATATCGATGAGTTTCAGCGGTGTCGGCTGCGGGCGCTGCAGGCCGTTGATGAGATGATTGGGGAGCTCTTTGAGAAGCTTGATAAAGCAGGCGTTCTTGATAATACGTACATCTTCTTTTCGACGGATAATGGGTACCATATCGGGCAGCATGCTATGCAGCCAGGCAAGAACTGTGGATATGGTGAGTTTGCACGGTCATGATCGTCTCTGATCTTTAGATTGAAGGTATGCTAACACACGACAGAAACGGATATCAACATACCTTTATTCGTTCGCGGTCCTGGTGTCCCCCAGAACAAAACAATTCAGGTCGTCACTAGCCACACTGATCTTGCGCCCACTTTCCTGTCCATTGCAGGCACGACGAGAGATGGTCTAGATGGAAAGAAGATCCCGACTACCATCGATGCTGGGAACGCAGATAATAAATCGGAGCATGTAGCGATTGAATACTGGGGAATTGTGAGCTCCCCTATGTCATTATGGTTCTATGATGGCCAATAGACTAACTGAAACATCTACAGGCCGTTCCCGAAGGCATATATGGCTACAAAAGCGACAATAACAGCCAGCCAGGCAATAGCTATAGAAACAACACCTACAAGGGACTTCGCCTTGTCTCGGACGACTATAGTGTGTACTATTCAGTCTGGTGCACCAATGACAAAGAATTCTACAATCTAAAGGTACCTAGCCCCAAGCCAAATCGCACTTACCTTGCGGATATTAACCTATGAATTAGGATGATCCCCTTCAAACTACCAACTTGGCTTCTAACATCAACGCCCATGAATCTTACACAATTGCCAACCGTCACCTTGGCCAGATCATTCCCCGTCTTGATGCGTTGATGATGGTTCTGAAATCCTGCAATGGAGATTCCTGCCGCGAGCCATGGCGTCAGCTGCATCCGAAGGGCTACGTCAATAACTTAGCTGAGGCACTGGACTCGGGGTTTGATGAATTCTATGCTAATCAGCCGAAGGTGTCATTCTCGGAATGTAGCCTTGGCTATCATATTTATGCTGAGGGGCCACAAGAATTCAATATTTATGGAAGTGAGTCAAACAGGAAGAGAAGTGATGGAGAGTCTACCCCAGTAAAGCAATGGGGGTGGTTTGACGGGTGGCTATAAAGGAATCCTGCTATGCAAGATCTGGGAACGGGTTACATCGTCAATTTCTGAATGGGAGACACTGAGGTTAACTTCCGGAATACCAATGGACAGTGTGTCAAGACATCAGGCTCTGATGAAGAAGGTGCCGTGTCCCAGGACTACTCGTCCTTCATCCAAGCAACACCCCCCATAACCGGCACATAAATAGCGCCGCTGGGTGAAACTAGGACATGCTGAAAGTTGTTATTGTAAACCCCCCCAACCCCAGCGAGCTGCTCCCAAACAACATCTCCAGTATCAAAGTCCACGGCTGTATAATACCAAACATATTCCCCCTGTTCAGCCAGCTTTTTGTCCTGAGTATACCCATACAGCAGGCCAGTCTTGGTAGAAAGCTGTGTGCCGCTGGTCGACAAAAAGCTTGATTTCCACCGAACCCTGCACTCCCCGGTCTTGGAGATATCAACCCGATCCAACCCCGGTGCAAGCGACGCAAAGCTATTCCAAACGCCATTAATATCATCCGTTCCCGGATCTTGCATACCGGGGTTCCCGTAGTTATTGTTGATAACCACACTATACGTTGCATCACCATCAAAGTAGCCGACCATCGCATTCTCGTTTGAGCTAGCACCGGGCTCGAAAAGAGGCACCTTGCAGACAAAGCTAGTGCCATTCTGTCGAAAGGCGTCAGCCTGCCGGAAGATGTTCAGATTGACTTGGGAGTCGGCATTGTCTGTGAAGCCAACAAACTGGTCCCCGAGTAGGACGGGGCTCGAACCTGATCCTCGTGCCAGTCCGCCTGGCTTGACACTACTTCCCGCATCGTACGCTTCCTTCCACACAACTGTGACACTAAGGTTGTCAAGGTCTGCTTCAGCGGCGTACATATATCCCATGGCACTCATGGTATTGGTAGATGGCCCAGCAGGCCCAGTAAGTACGTAGGCCGTCTTGCCGTTAATCGCAAGCGAGTTCTCAACCATTTCACCGTGTACGTCCATTTTACCAATTTCTCCATTCGGTGTCACGAAGCCGATGGTCGCACCAACCGGCTGCTCTGAACCAGCACTGAATGAATTGGATATGAACCAGAGATTGCGATCTCCGTCATACATGACCGAAACGATAAGGCCACTGGTGACAGAAGTAAGGTCGACAAACTTAGCCTCATGGATGGACACCTGCTTTCCTTCTAACTTGATTTCGACTTCGTAAATAAACCTTTCCGCAGTCGAAATTACGAAGCGATTCTCGAGAAATGCACCGTAGGGGCTAACCAGGGTTTGATTTTGCGGAGCCCAGAATGCAAGATGGTCCAAAGATTGGGGATCAAGAACAGCCATGCAGAAGGAGGGGGTGGTCCCATTGCACGTCATCCTCGTAAGGACTGTGCCATCACCACCAAGGTAGAGACTCTGAACTCCCATGGCGCGGCTATAGTTCTGTGGGCGAAGTCCAAGGGGTGCAGGCCAGTCTTGCGTCCGGGTATTTCCTCCGTCTTGGTGGAAGGATATCATGTCCGGGGTTAATCGGAACTTCGGGCTTAATGGATGAGCTAGGGCAGATTTCCCGATGAAGTTGTTTGGATACACTTCCTGCGAATTCAGGACTGGTCCATCTCCGGGAAGGTCTTTTGGTATTTCCTAGTTTACATCAGTATCTTGTACTTGTCATTGTGTTCTGGGGAAGTCGATATTGCCTACCATTTGGCCGAAGGCATACCAAGGAATTGAAGCCAGGGTGATCGCAAGATGTAATAATTGCATGTTGGCGTTTGCTGCTCGAGGAATGCCGTGAACTATTAGAGAACTTGCTTTGTATCAGCTCAGTTGGGTGGCGCCAGCGACATCTATATATGTGGTTCCGGTCTCTTCCATTGCCCGCAGAGTTTGGGTCGAACTGCCCTCAACGGACCCTGAAACTCCATTAAACCGTGGTCTCAGTGATCACAAGTAAGGGAACAAATGATAGATTTCCGAAAGATCTTCACTTGTCTTAACCCAAGGAATCCTTCCAACTACACCGAGTAAATCGGTGGATATGTGTCGTTACCTCGTTATCTAGCAATATTCCCGGATAGCGTGCACTCAGCAATGGTATCCGGAAGCAGGCAAAATCGATACTTTCTGCTAAGATCAGGCTGATAGGAAGGGTGTCTATGACTGGCGGCTCTGGGATGCCATCCAGAGATGCATTGAGGGAGCGGTCGGCTTCCTATTGCAACTCTTCCGAGATATCGCAGCTTTCTGAAAATTTTCCGTGGTGAATTTGGACATCCGGGATTGGCATGTGAGATTCAATTTCCCGTCTTCTCATGGGCATGTTCCAAGGTCTTCATACATTCATCATATGATAATCCATCGAGGTGGAGATTCTGGCCAAATCGGTATACTCGGATATCAATCCGATAGTTATTAAAGGGTGTAACCAGCCGGGCAGTGTAGTCATGATCAACATTATCAAAGCTATATACTTACACATGAGTATTATGATTGGCGCATAAGATAAGTAGTCAGGGTCTATGTCTAGAGGGAAGCCTCATACCCAAACTCCAAGCGCAATGTTCTTCAGATTGGCTGAAACTCCTCGTAAACTAGGCCTGAGAAGGCTAGGTTTACGGCCTTGGCAGGGGCTTTTATCTCAATCCACTCTATGATCTAGACTTTAAAGCTTGGGGGGGATGTTGTCTCGGAATTCCCTATTTCCTGCTTGCTGCGCCACTACCACCGACGCGGGTGGATACAGGGGGGTTGAGACATGAGAAGCGTTTATACAAAATCATATTGAGCACTGAGCATTGGCAATCAAGGATGAGTTTATCTGTGGAGTACTGCAACGGAGGACCTGCTATACAGTGTAGATAGCCTTTCATCTAGGTAAGGATACTCAGGCGAATAGAAAAGAACGTATCTACTGAGTGAAGAGTAGAACGAATACAATCAGACTTATTTTTGCCGCTTATTCTTATGTCTATGGTCTACATAGCTTAGAATTCTCTCATTTTCGGGAGGTCTATCTCGTTGTAAAAGGGACTCCGGTCAGGCAATACCTTATGTTAATGAAATATCTACTAATCGATATCTGAACAAATCAACTAGGTAAGGACATTGAGGCAAGGAGAATAGTAGATACTAATGGAACAGAAGACCGATGCTTGCCTTTCTTCTCTTAGTAAAATTACACTAATTTGCAGCTGGGACCAGCTCTCTGGCCGTACCTATTCGCTATTGGAAAGACAAAAGATCCGGTGGCCGTCGGTGGCCGACAGTCACCAAGATGACTATGCACAAGGGTCATCAGGCAGAGTCAGCAACGGATTTGTGATACCAATGGTGGACGTCACCCTGCGACTGTTAATATAACCCTAATAAAACCTATAAAACAAGCAAGACGTGTCTGTCTGGATAAAATAATAGCGACAATAAGCATGACTCCATGTAGCCTATGTTATAAAAAATAAATTGGCATGGCTCATCGAGTCTATTTGGGGCGCTGCGGAAGAATGGCCATATCTAAGCATTTCCCCTGCTGGTATATTCTCTACAGCAATCCGCACTACTACACCCGGCCAGCGGAGATCTTTAGCGACAAACAAGATGCAGTGCTAGGCTGGCAGCTTTCACTAATCTCTTGGATAACAGGGCATAACTCTTCGTCCTTTAGTTTAATCTACCCTATTAGGATATAAGCTAACTTTCTCACAATCCAGCGGAACTCGTGAACCTCTTACAAATTTAATCATATATCCACTTGCAAGACCTTGGTTAAGTATAGGTTTATACCGCTTTCCTCCTTCCCAGCGACCTGAACTGGTATTGAAAGGCTTCGGTTCATCCATTTCCGATAAATTTAGGGATAGAGAAAGAGATTTCGTAATGTAGACTCAATAATCACCAATGGGTAAGGTGGCCGAGTGGTTAAGGCGTTGGATTTAAGTCCCAATGACGTAAGTCGCGCGAGTTCGATCCTCGCCCTTACCATGTTTTTTTATTTTAACCCTAATCTTGACCCTAATGTTTAACCCTAAACTGACCCTAATATCGCTGCTTCTCATTCAGTAGACCCTAAAAAAAAAGTGATGTGGTACCTTATCTTCTATTTATGACGTACATTTGTAAATCTTGAGACTGTATTATTCCTGACAGATAGATTTATTTCGAGTAGCTTTTGTCTATTATTAACTATTATATCAGCTCTGCTATTACGTAGATGGCCCACAACCTGCACAGGGACTTGGCATCGGTCTATCCAAAAAGCCGTTATCGCGCAGCCCAGTGCTCTGTTCACAGACCGAGCTATGCCCTCTCCTCGTGATGACTATATCCTGGTCCAGAGTATTGCAGTTGGTCTTAACCCCAGTGACTGGAAGCATGTCGAATTCCTTGTACCTCCCGGTGTCCCCGTGGGATATGACTATGCCGGTGTCCTGGAGGCCGTTGGAAAGAACGTCAAGAAATCTTTCAACAAAGGAGATTTTGTGTGGGGATTTGCCCATGGCTCCAACGCTATTGAGCCTGAGGATAGGACTTTTGCAGAGTACATTGTGGTCAAGGGAAATCTGCAAAGTAAAATTCCCGGTAACCTCAGCTTCCAAGAGGCAGCTACCCTTGGTGCGGGCATCCACACTGCGTGTCAGGGTTTATATCAAATTCTCAATATGCAGTGGCCTACTGAGCCTACTAAGAACGCGGAACCTATCCTTATCTATGGAGGTTCCATCGCCACTGATCCTCTCGCTATTCAGTTTGCGAAACTATCTGGCTATACTGTGATCACGACTTGTTCGCCGCACAATTTCGATCTCGTTCGCGCACTCGCTGCCGATGCGGTCTTTGACTATAAAGATTCCCAGGCTGCGGCTGAGATCCGCCGATACACAAACAATAACCTCAAACTTGTTTTTGACTGCATCTCTCTGGATTCGACTGCGAAATTCTGTGATGATGCCATTTCCACCACTGGTGGCGAATACGCAGCCTTGTTGCCGTTCAGCATTGATCGTGCCAATGTTAAGAGCCGGTTTGTTTTAGGCTACGCGGTCATCGGCGAGGCATTCAAGATAGGCGACATGGCATTTCCGGCAAAGCTGGAAGATCAAGCCCTGGTGAGAAGTTCCTCGCTATTGCGGAACTTTTACTTGCCCAGGGGAAGATCAAGGTTCACCCTCCAAAGGTGGGTAAGGAAGGTCTGATGGGTATTTTGGCAGGCCTAGAGCTACTGAAGACGGGCAAGGTCAGCGGCGTGAAGCTTGTGTACAATGTCTCGGAGACCCCTTGATCTATAGAATAGGTGGTTTCATGTTGGGTCAACCGGTTTTAACAATGAATCCTTCTACGTATTTTATCAGCTTATTCCTCATAAACCTCGCGCTGGCGAATCGGTACAGTTGAAGCCCCACTGCGGTGGGATCTCAGCTTTTCACAGAGCCGTTCGAAGTGAGCCAATCATCACGCATCAAAAGCAAAGTCTTGTACGTGGTCCTGGCGGATTGGAGTTATCCGTCGCGGCTATGACACGAAGACCGATGATGCTTTGCTCGAACTATGAATGACTGAATGTGTGAGAGATTAGATCAACGTTCCAAGGCCTTCGGAGCTAGCACCTGTATTCTACCTCGTTTAAACCGCGAGAATCCCTGGAGTCTAGCTGAAGCTGCTGAAATAAATGAGATATAAAATAGATTGGTCGTTGATCCGCTGACCTCCTGGTATCTAGTAATTCTCGATTCCTTGCCGAGGCGATACTTGTGCATGCTGAATAAATGTAAGAATCATCATTCCACGGGATCCGGATCATCCGAGCTGCTATCGATCGGGACGAAGGAATGCATCCAACCCTCCGGTGTCGGATCAGGATTCAGATGAGCATCTGCCGAATGATGCGTTGTTAGAACTTCCGAAATTGCGATATTGCTTGTACCCGTGGCACCGTTAGAGAAGGATAGCTGCCGGGAAAAACTGGACCTAGCTACTGGTACTGTCTCGATTTATGTAGAATAGAGTGGTACCGCCCTATAGAAGGTAATCGAACCCATTTATCCTTCAGCACGCCACGTAGTGTTGGAACGGACTGTGGAAAGCCTAGTGCAAGAAAGCCTTACTTTCCCATGTCTAGAAACTCTATGCAAGGAAATGCTGGAGATAGCTCCGGGTTTACTTCCCGGGTCGATGTCTGATTACTGCGACTACTACAGGCTGCCCCGCCAGCATCATCTAAACCTGCATATCAAATAAGATAGCAAGTCATGCGATAAAGTTGATAGAACGTGTCTAATTACTATGTCTGCTATAATATTCCTTTACATGCCCAGTTTGCCGGCCAGAGCTCTGATATCAGTGCACCAGAGCTCAAAGTACGGCTTTGCCTTTTCTTGAAGAGTCTCTGGTGTGGCATCTTGCAGCTCACGGAAGAAGTAGTCTTCCCGGACAGTCTCCTTCGAGTAGGGCTGCTGTAACCTGAGCTTGTTTTCCGTGGTTGTCGGGTTGACGAAGGACTGAAAGACTTTTCTGCGTTCGTCCGAGTACAAGGTAAGCAGTTTGTCCGACCTTGACTCCTTCAGAATCATGATCAAAGCCTCGGACAAGGCGTCAGCATCCAGCAGGCCTGTGTTGAGTCCCATGGCTCCGTAAGGCTGTTTATCGATGATCAGTCTCCGAAACACAGCATAGGCGAGAATGGGAGAAAAGTCCAAGGGGTATACTTACATTGTTTAGATGTGCGGCATCACCAGCCAGCAGACAGCGCCCTCGTCGCATGGTCTGCACGAGACGCTGATGGATGCGGTAGACGGCTCGCTGCTGGATCGTGACATCGAGCGGTCTGGGCCCCACCATCACCTCATCGTAAAACGTCTTGATTGTCTCCTCCTTCAGCAGTTCTTCATCGGACCGAGTGTCTTCCGCGGGGACCGAAATAGTGTATCGCCAGAGTGTCTTCTGGCCCAGCACCGGATCAGCCAACGGAGTCAGGATGGTCGGGTTCGGAGTCGCCATGACATAGCACGTGTGATAAACGGGATCGACTTCGTTGAGCAACACGACGTCTGTCGAAATCAGTCGTTCTGGCCATGTATGCCCCAGACACGGGATCCCAAGCAGCTTCCGGGTCGTGGATTTGCCGCCATCCGCCCCGACGAGGTAGGCACCACTGAATCTCGAATAGGTGTTGGTCGCCGGGTTTCTCGTCACGACTGTCACTCGATCCCCACTAGCAGGGTTGGGGTCCTCGATGGCTGTCAACTCGGCGTTCCAACGGACGGTCACAAAGCCTGTGTGTAGGGCCTCCCGGAGCAGTAGCTTAGTGAGCTCCGACTGACGAAGATTCAGCAGCCCCGATGGGAAGGGGAAGGTGGTGTCGTTTGGATCACAGAGCGGCTGGCTGGCAATCATCTCGCCGTAGGTCTTACCCCCATCTGTGCCGCGACTCACCGGCGGCGTTCGCCAGCAGAGCCCTGCGGTCATGAATCCCTCGGCCCGGACGAGGTCATACAGCCCTGCCTTTTGGAGCGCAACCTGCGCGGCCCCGTAATAGCCAACTGCGCGGGGACTATACGGGAGCTCGGGGGCTTTTTCCAGCACAGTCACCGTGATTCCTTGTTTGCCTAGCCTGTAAGCCAGGAAAGCTCCAACGGGGCCAGCACCAATGATTAAGACATCAGCCTCTGCACTAGGCGACTGGAGATTCTCGATCTGGACAGCCATTTTGGTGTCTGGTAATAACCACACACAATTGGTGCAAGCGTGCTCAAGGAAGGGGGAAAACAAGGATCTTGAAAGGAAGGGCCAACCAGTAGAAGTGAAATGGATGTATGCTGAAGAGAGATTAGTAGCCAAACGACCGTTCGACAGACGACTCTCATAATATATAGTGCAGCATCCCGCCCCTGGGACCAGTAAGGGCAGAACGACTTTCGGCGGGGTAGCCGAAGAAGAACAGTGGGATTGGGGTAACCCCACGGGGAGATATATGTATAGGACTTGATCGTGGTTGAGTAATAAAGACCCGTGGAATGGCATACTCGGAATCTATGGCTGCTCCCCGGCACCCCCGCCACGGCTTCCCCACGGCATTCCCGGATGGTTGACGGTTATTATTTGAGCCCCCGCAGGTTAGCGACCACGCACTGCCAGCAGGACTGTAAACCACATTGTGAGGTTTCACGGAGAAAGAAAATGACGACTCTATTCACACATCCATTGCTCGGCACCCTGCGCGGCAGGAGGGTGGACACGGTCGTCCAGTTTCTTGGAATTCGATACGGCACCTTCACACAGCGCTTCGCCCCCCCCATCGATATATGATGCTCGAAGTAATGGTGATGGGCAGGTCATTGATGCGACCGTATATGGGTACGTGATCCGTCTCCCTACGCAGTGTCGAGGTCCATTCGGATTGATGGAGAAATTCTCCACGGCCTGTGGCCCAAGGAAGTCACGATGTTGCTAACAGAGCAAGAAATCAAGACCTGATCCTCTTGCTGCTGCCTCCTGTCATGATGAGCATCAACTCATTCAGCACCCTTTACAGCATGGTACATTCACCATGTCGGACACAGACGTCCTAAACCTGAATGTCACCGTGCCTGTGATGGAAAATAAAACAAAGCCGTGGCCAGTGATGGTATTTGTCCATGGCGGAAACTTTGCCGGAGGTTCTCCAGCCTGGCCTCAGAATGATCTCGCTCGTTTCGTCAAGAGATCTAAAGAACTCGATATGCCTCTCATTGCCGTCAGCATCAGGTCAGTCGTGCTATGAACCACCACCTCTAAAGAAACATATCTCAGAATGCCGTTTTCTAGCTACCGAGTCGGCGCTCTTGGATTTTTGACATCGGAGGAGCTCAGGAGCAGTGGCCTAACCGGTAATAATGGGCTTCGCGATCAAATTACAGCACTCTTGTGGTTGAAATCCAATATTGGAGGCTTTGGGGGTGATCCAGATAATATCACTTTCGTCGGGCAGAGCGCGGGTGGTGGTAAATGCTTCTTCCCCCATGATCTCATGCGTACTACGTGGGAGTAAAACGTTTGGAGGCTGACGTACAAAGTATCCGGGATGCTTCATCTGTCTAGCAAGGTGCCGCTTTTTAAGCGGCTCGCATGTCTAGGAGGGCAGTTTCTAGCTGTGCAACCACTCCCTGGATCCGTACATGAAGAGCTCTACTCCACCGCTACCGCCATATTGGAATTGCAGGGACTGCCGACAGAGGAGCGGCTTAAACAGCTTCAAAGCCTCCCGTGCGAGGATTTGCACAAGCTTCATGCGCTGCCTAGTCGTCCTGTCCTTGATGGTGACATTTGCAATGTCTTGCCCACATTCGCCAGCTTGGAACGGGGTATCCCATCCACTTTGCATCAAGGGCGGTGCCAGGAAATCTTCATCGGAGATTGTGCATTTGATGTAAGTCGCCATAACCCACTGTCGTTTCATTCTTCGAGACAGAGTATCTCCCTGGCTAGTCTTCTCAATATTAACACTCACACAACAACAACAGGCATCCATTCTGGCCGGCGTTCTTGAGAAATCAAAAGATGACATCGCCTCACGGTTCATCGCCCACCTCTCAGAGACCCTCCCCGATAAACGCGAACTTATCCATGACCTCCTCGTCGCATACAGCCTAGACAGCACATCCAGCCCCAAGGATCAAGAAGCCGTCGAGGCCATCCTGCAATTCGGTCACGATATCGCCTTCTACGCCCCCGCCTTGACCATCGCGGAGGCGTGGGACGGACCATCGTACCTCTACCACTTCAACGAACCAAATCCCTGGCCTGGTCGCTGGCAAGGCCGGTCGTCGCACCTAACCGACCTTGCCTTCCTCTGGCACAATTACGACGAGTTTCTATCGGACGACCAGCGGCAAACGAGCCGGCAGTTCAGCGCCGACCTGATTTCATTTGTGAATGGCCGGGCTCCTTGGCCTGCTTTCCACCCACCGTCTGCATCGCTCGTCCGCACGTACGGCTCCAGCAGTGACGGTTCAATCGCGGGGTTGGCGATGGAGAAGTCATCAGCTTCAGGCCGTCGGGCGGTTATCTTCTCGTTGATCGAAAAGGGCGGGGCGGATTTATTGCTTGAGGCTTTCCGCAGCTTTTTGGCAAAATGTTAGTATTATCAGGAATCCAGTTATTAGGTAGCTCAATAACACAATAAAGAATATGTATATATATATATATATATATATAGTAAGAATTAACAGGTTTTTGAGCAATAGGATCATTACAATTTCAATCTGACTTTGAGAAACATGTTGCCCGTCCTTGTTTTGGCGATAAGTCTTTATCCTTTTCTTTTCTTTTGTTTTTTTTTTTTTTTTTTTTTTTTTTTTTTTTTTTTTTTTTTTTTTTTTTTTTTTTTTTTTTTTTTTTTTTTTTTTTCACAAACAAGCATAGTAGCTTCATTGGACAAAGGTGTCCCATCGAAGAAGAGAAGATTGACCCCAGCGTAGAGATGGGGGTCACAAACTAAAGTCCCATGACCTTGTCTATAGTAGAGATCATAGCTTCACAGCAGGGCCATGGCATGTGTTCCAACTCCATCTTGAAAAGTGTGAGGGAGCGCAAAATCCCGTTCTTCCCGGCAGCTTCTGGCGGCGACGCTAGGAGTTTTGCGCCTACCACAAGTGCCGCATGAAACAGAATGATGGGAAGCCATACAGAAGCCACGGCCTTGTTGGCTTTCACATCTACCTGTTCGAGTAGAAGCCATGAAACCTTTAAAGCTTCCTCCGGAATGTCAAAGCACACAGCACCAAGGGGGTCAGGCGGCTGCGGATGATGGGGATCTTCGGAAGGACAAGCATACTGGGCTAGTCGGGGGAGCTGTAGTGTCTGTGGACAAACCAGGAGTAGACGGCAAAAAAAATAAAGCGCCCTGATATCCGATGGGACCGCAGATCCGAAATAATCAAACCAGTGATCGAGCGCAAGGGACATATTACTACGGACTTTTCTTGCTTCTCGACTGGGCGAGAAAGGAGTCAGATAGTCGTTTTGTTGACCGATTCTGGGGAGAGCACCCCAGTATGTGGAGCAGTTTGCGCCATAAAAGACTCTAGTGTAGACGATTGTGTCTGATAATATCGCACTCAGTAAAAGGAGGGCATTCTCACTGGACACGGCAAGATTGTTGAATTGGCCACATTTCAGCGAGAGATAGGCATCTTGGAAACCATGGGTACCCGACGGCAACGGCATATGTAACTCTGTGGCTGAATACGACGGAGTGCGATTCAGGTGAATTGCTCGCATGCTGTCCAGAAGGAAAAGATGGGACATGATTCGGCTATGTGGGCAAGAATAAGCTTGGTTGTTCTTTAAGAATGCCAAAAGCGTGCAAAGGAAAAGGCGTCCCATGCTTACTGAAGATGCGTCGCAGATGATTGCACATCATCACTATGATCATCTTTCGCTGGAAAAGGGGTTTCATGTAGTCTCAATCTCCGTGCAATCTTGCTCAAATCTTCAGCCAGGGTTGGGAGTCAAGTGTTGTTCAAGTGACACTTACTGTTTCCAAGCATCCATGGAACTGATTTACCGCTCTCCAGACTTTTGGGTCGCTTGTCAATATGCCATACGTCTCCAAAAGCGCTCCCTAGTTCTTTCTTGAGTTAAGTTGCACTGCGAACCCCGTGACTGGAGAGGCTTACAGCAATCAACACCTCAATCTTTCTTGCCTCCCGATTGTCTAGTTCAAGAATAAGGGTGAGCAATCTGCTCCCTGCCCAGAAGTAGTCCGTTGCGGGGCCCTGGATTGGGTCATCACCACCAGACGACGTGGCTATAAGCGGCTCGCGAGCATGAATAACGGCACCTAAACACGCGCGGGCATATGCAAGATAAGGAGCCTTCGATTCGATGGCGATCAAGGAATGAAAATAAAACTGATCCCGGAATGATGTTGCAAAGATAGCTGATAGCTGTGAGGTGGCCAACGATGAAGGGAATGATGGCAGATCCTGCAACAGTAACAGCGGATAAAATGATAGTTGGGTAGAACCAGACTAGGTGACAGTTTAGCATAACTCAGGCCAGCAGACCTACGGATGGCAAGCCGTACCGTTGGTTCTCTCTCGTCTCGGTCTGCTCGATCGGAAGAGACTCTGGCAGAGCTGTGCTCAGACGACGAAGTTCCTAGGAGCGGCGGATGAAGGCCGGGTGCCCTGTTGCCAGATGTATGGCTGTAGTCCCGAAGCAACAAGTCTTTGAATGCATGCAAGAATGATGGCTGTGGTGTTTCATGTGCATATGCTGCATCATGACAACGTGGATCTCTCTGTCCCGGCCACATAGTTGTTGTGTACGGTGGGGCCGAGGCTCAAGTTCAGCCATGCGAGATGCCACACCTTTTTCCTGTCAACAAAGTCAGCGCTTCAGTCCCATGCTATACCATACTTGGATGCTGACGTTGTGGGCACCACTCACTGATGAGTGAGAAAGTCGGGCGTGATAAGTCTCAGAACTGCGATGTAGCGACGACTGACTCAGGATGCAGTACTAGGTCAGACCCGGACCCGCCGCTTTCCGGGTGCGGACCAGAATATGATTAACCTTCAGGCCCAGAACTTGAGATCAAGTTCCAAACTCATAGGAGTAACTTTTTCAGTACCTATCGCCAGGCGAGCAAAAATGAATCCTATCAAGCAGGGGAAATTTCACTGTGTGTATAATTAATTTCTCTTTACTAGCCATCTACTTTAGTCTTTCCGCTTGGCACGCAATGTTCTGTGGTTGAAGCTTGAAGCTTTGTACCGTAGTTTTGTCTTATGTCTTGCTGATTGAAGTGCTCATGTATCTTTCTAACATACTGCCCTCCTTCAGTCCTCGAGGAATGGACTCTTCAGTGCGAATACATAGGCCATAGGTAGACTCAACCTTGAATATTTAGAAAAAGTAGAGACCGTGTGTATCGCCTCTATCCACCATCAGTGCCGAAGACCAGGGTGTAGACAATTATGCTTTCCGCCAGATCCGCCCAGACATACTCCAGTCACGCGCCGGAGGCTAGTATGTAGCTGAGTGGTTGAAGACCAGTAAATCCCTTGGTGTTCGATGCTTTGCCCCTAGCTGGTCGCGCTTTTCCCAGTGAGAAAACGTGGTGGGGTCGCCGAAGTAGACTTCCGGCTGCCCCGCCGACAAGGTTAACTATGGGGACGTCTCTGCCTCCCTCTGAATGTACGTAATTCTTGATCTCGTCACTCAGCCCCTTTCCCTTCATCTTCGAGAATCCTATACTCCGAAATATCCGAACTAAAAGGACAGAACTAGATCAACATGACCAACCTGAACAAGCCCAGTACCATTGAGCGGACCATCGCCATCACCGAGATCCACCAGGTCCTCCATAGATATTGCATTTTGGCGCGAGAAAATGCGCCGTTCCACGAGATGAAGGACCTCTTTCTGCCTGATGGCATTTTCCGGCTGCCCAATGGCACCGCCGTAGCACCGCAGGACATGGGGAACGTGGTGCAGGGTAAACCGCCACAAATGATCCGTCACCATATCACCAGCATTGATGTCCAATTCGTGGGCCCCAGGAACGCCAGCACGAAGTCGCTGTTTCTGGCGATGACACACCGGTCGAGAATCGACCATTGGGGATACTGGCAGGATGACTTTCAACTCGACGAGCAAGGGAACTGGTTGATTGCGGAGAGGATGATCGTGGTTGAGGGACAAGACCCTGCGGGATGGTACGCGGATACCTACTGTGCTTGATCTTGGCTATGGCTAGTTGAAGATCGCGAAGTTGTATCTTTCAGAATAGGTACCACTACCTCATTTGACTCGGTGTCTGCTCGGTTGTTGTTTTTATTTGTCCCTCCGTGCCTGCCTGGATATAGTGTGGTCTTCTACTCGATGGAACTAGTCCAGTATTTGTGCTAGATTGGATAACCAGAGCTTCTTATGTCCGTATGGCCAAGTAAAACGTCAATTCATCAGTGGAAATAATTGGCATTCTCTGTGCTAAATTCTATTCATTCATACTGGGAATCAGCGCCGGTGGGGGGTGCCGGAACCAACATTGGCACTACAACCTTCTAGTCAACGTGTCGCATACCACACGCTCTCTGTATGGTCTTTTATTACATGTGCACGAACCTCTAAGCCTGTGGTATTCTAACAGGTAGCATACCAGCCTCGAGTAGCTGATTCTGACAAGTCCTTTAATACAGCCACCTCATGAATAGGGTAAAGAATGCTAAGATTTTATACTTGGTATTTCTCATCAATTATTCTACATGTTCGTTGATATCTTGAACTGAAATTCATGCGAGCCAGATATGTGGGCAGCGTTGCACAGTTCTAATGAGGCTGGACAAAATGTCCATGCGGCCTTAGTTGATCATGACACACCACGGCAGATCACACACCAGCAAGCTGATTTTATTCAATTGCATGGAAAGATTTTCTGCTGCTTGGTATTGAGTAACCTTGGTTCCGCGTAAAGTCACTGACTAGATACTGTGACTTTTGTCATGATCCGATAGAATATCTGAGATATGTGTACTTGAGAGCTCTGCAGAAGGCCCATCCCCTTGTTGAGAGTGGATAAGAGCTGGTCGTCTCGCTTCTCTGCAAGCGCTTGGTAGCACCATATCACTAGACATGAAAAGAATATACCATATGAGAGATGTGGTATCTCTGCAACTGGTGAAAGGTCCTCTGTACCGTGGACTTTGGAGGTCCCAGAACCGTACAACACGGTCGTGGCGTGCTCTACCAATGTTCCTGCATGGTATAATGAAATTTGACATTCTTCAGTACGTGTCCACCTTCGAAGATAGACGAGAATGTGGTCTGGTATATGGCGATGGGATCTGGAGTCGGTACTTGAAAAGGCGAAGCGCTGTATGAGACGCAGATTCGCATTTAACGTGATGTTAGTGAGAGAATAAAGGGGCAGGAGGTTGTCCTGAGAGTCGACAGGCAGTAAGCGCCGCCAGCGACTCAACGCTAGTTCGATGGATTCACGAGACCAGAGACACTGTTCCTTTCCACTGTCAAAGCCCCGTGGCATGATTGGCCAAGAGAGAATCGCAAGAGCAGCGACCAACACATTCTGGTTGTAAAGAAAGCATGTCAAATCAATGGTTGAACCCGGTGTGAGTAGACTGCTGAGTATCCCAGGAAGATAGCAGCCTTCAACTGGTTGTCCTTCAGAAGCCTCAAGAGTAGGATAGAAATGAGGTGGTCTTTGTAGCAAGAGGACTCTATAACATTCAAGGATATAGATGGACTCGAGAGCCCTGCCCCACATTAGCAAAGAGCATCGATCGGGCAAGGATAGGACAAAATACCGATTCTTGGCATCATCATCCGTGTTTCGCATTCCTTTACTGGGTAGGATTCCAAAGGTGTAGGCGACCTTTCCGCGGATTAGTAAATATAGAAGCAAAGCCCATTGCGCTGCCTGCCGACCTCTAACATCGTTGGGTGGAAAACTTCAGTGATTTCGTAGCATCGTTTGTCGCCACTAAGGATTCCGAATAATTCCAGACAAATGAACTGTTTAAGGTTACCATCCGGCACAACTGTTCTGAATTGGGGTCGCATACGTATTTCATTATTCCAATCTGATCATCGACATCATGGACTTCTTCATCGCAGTAAACCTTGTATATAAGACAGGTGTAAGCAGCCTCTTTTGTCATCCCGGCGGAGATGTATGCAAACGATATGAAAGTGCCTTACAAAGGTCAAGAGCAGTCGGCGGGCATCTGAGAACAATGCCTTTGCCACGACGGAAGCGCCGGATGTCGAACAATATATGCCACCCACCGCAGCCATCGCCAGACGAAGCCCCTCGTGCAGCTTTCCTGGTTGGTTGATATGCTTGAATACAGGAAACGTGGTAGTGACGTGGAGTTGAAACAATGAGAGGAGAATCTCTATCATTTCGATATCGTATAGCTCCGTGCAGGGGCTTTTGTAAATCCAGGCCATATCTTGAGGCCTAGATGAAGGTCCTTCACTGGATACCTCATTCATATACCCCAAAAGCACATTCAAGGCTTGTTCACATGGGCGGGCAGTGTTGTCCTGCGCAGCTGGCTGATACGGCGGCATGATTGGCCATTCTGCGTTGCCTGTATATCCATCTGAGCTACCAATCAACTCTTGAGCAAGGGCAGAGCTTGCCTCGGCCTCAAATGCCAGGAAGTCAAACAGCTGTTTAAGTATAAGTGCCAGAGTATAATGACTTGATAGCATTGTGTACCCACTGTTAGATTATCGGAATACGGCAATGATCCAGTGGAGACAACTGTTGAATCTAGGAGCTCATCCCAAGATAAACCGAGCTCGGGCTGACCTTGTGAGTATTCCCCAGCCGCAGCTTCCGCGTTAGAAGCACGAGAATAATTATGTGCGGCATTACTAGTTCGTTCGGTATCGTCCACGTCTGCTAGAGTCTTTGACGTTGCACGATGCAAAAAGGATGGACTTCCGCCCTCTACCTGCGTTAACGTTTGATTAGAGCAAGCGCGAGCATTACGATGTCCCCTCCGCTTGAACAGGCATGACTCCCCCCGAGTACGGCAAGACGAGCAAGGAATTCCCCCGACACATTTCAATTTTTTGGAATGACATCGATCACAAGCCATAAATGTGCGGGGTCTTGTCGTGGGGGGTAAATATTCCGAGGATGCGCTTGCTTCTGGGTGATTCCGTTGCAAGTGCCGGGTCAACACGTCCGAGCGGGCAAACCGCTGAAGACATACTCCACAACTGAAGGGCTGCTCCCTGGTATCTTTGCAGCTGTCGTCAACAATTCTAACACAAGGTTTCAGAAAGCAGACGAAGGTCAGGTTACTAACGACAGCGACGGTGTCGCACCAAATGCTCAGTTCTCGAGAAAGTGCGGAAGCACAGATCACACTATACTTTTGATTAGACAGTGAAAGAGAAATTGGAACTGGGAAAGGGATATCACTTTTACATGTTTTGAATCTGAAGTATTCTTATCCGTCATCACGTGTAGGCCAATCTTTACACCTTTGGAACAAAAAATAATAAGTGTCTCTCCAGTGGAAAAAGAATCGGCTGGGCAGATCGGATTCATAGGAATGAGGTCGAAGGCAACGATAGCATACACCATTAAAACCATCGGTCATTTGTTTCTCCGCGTCGTTCCCGATTTAGTTTGGTACGGGGTACGATGAGGACATGAGCCAATTATATCTACTCATATAGATCCACTTACCTAACTTGGACTATACAACTATTCGGGCTGTGTCCAACATATGTCTATATACCACATGAGCAAATTTCAAGGCCGAGAGAGGACTTGAAATGGAAAGACAAAGGTAAAGGAAACCAAAGAAGCAATAAATTCAATACGCTACCGGCTGATACCACCATTAAAAGTTTAGAATGACTATAGAATGCATTGCAATGACTTAAGCAGGACTAGCTGGTTTGTCGAGTAAGTATATTAGACATTAGGGTCTATAGAACTGTCATGAATAATGGTAATAATAACCCCATGCATGAAAAAGCTGTCCAAGCTTAACATCCTTTGCCTAAAGGCGGGTCAGCTGAGTAAGGCACAAGGCCAGGTTCCTTACCAGAAGGTCTAGTAGCTCAGAGGCCATTAATGCATCGTCTTCTATCCAGTCACGTTGTCTATCGGTAATAGAACCCTCGAAAACAGTTTGAGCGCGATAAATATCTATCCAGAGCACTCTGCCTGTCTCTGGCTGAACTACCATATTCTGAGGATATGGGTCGCCATGGCAAACTCCAGCGTCATGGATTTGATGAATAATTTGCAAAAGAGCAGCAGCACGGTCTTCGGTGTAGGTAGCAAGATCTATTTGCTTAATATTTGGAATAAACTCCAGTAGAACAGCATTTGGAAGAAGTTTGTCCTTCAGGAAACGATTTAAGTGAGGTTGCCATTGAAGGGGGTCTATTTGCTCGATCACCCCATAGAAATCCAGGACAACCCCTTGCTGACACAATCCTTACTCTTTCAAACGAACATATGCGGCACTCTCGCAGAGGAAGGGGTCAACTTCTCTGTACGTAGGATGCCACGGCTGCTTCTCTATGGTATGATACTGATTTTGTTAAGGATAGGTTCGCAAAGTAATGTGGCGAGGTTTCGGAGTATACATACCACCTTCATGAGACATCGTCGTCCTTGCAAGGATACTTGAAAGACGCTAGATGTTTCTGATTCCTTTTCACAGCTGATGAAATCACAGTCGCTTAGATTCAGTCCCATGATGGAAAATGAGGACGATAACATTCGTCGGGCTCGAGAAAGCGGGATCATTGGGGTAGGAAGAGAGCTCTGGCCCCCTTGGACGCGAAGCTGGATTTCGCTCAGATTATGTAAGGAAGCTTGATCCATGGCGACGAGATTCAATGTCCCCATTCTGGACAGTAATCAGTTAGAATATGGCAGTGTTAGTGAGACTCCATCTGCAAAATATCTTTGCTTCTGCACATCGTTTTCACTATTGTTGCCAGATCGGCCCAGAAGTTTCGGACACTGGCGATTTCTTGGACCATATGTGGCACCGTGAATCGCCATGTATCACCGAATATGATAGTATAATCTACTAGCTCGGGGGTTGTATTTGTCGAATATTTCAATTAATTTTGGATGTAAAAGACTTGTATACACGACTGGGGATGATAATACCCCAAGATGTCAAGGTTGGATACATTATGCGCGGGCCATGATCATGTTCAATAAGCCCGACATGTCAAGCGGTGGTCAGTATGGACGGTCGGGTAGCTCCGGGCACCAGCCAGTAACCTGGCTTCCAGCTACTTCTTTTGGGGGAGACGGAGGTGGCTGCCTTGTTGTAGGGATTGCTGCAGATGTTGTGGGCACGATAGGTGTTTTACTTTTGGTCGATTGAGACTGGCGATACTTGAGGTAAGTAAGCGCACCGAGCAGAAAAACCGCGGGAACGCCAACGCCAACGCCAAGTGCTATGTTTGTGGCGGAATCAAGGCCAGATCCAGATGCCGACGCTTGGGAGGTTCCTGTTGGAAGAGATGGAGTGCTGTTTGTGGATGAGGATACGGGTGGCGTTGTTGGGTTAGGTTCCAATGTCGAAGTCGCTGTGTTAGAAGTCGACGTACTCGTAGTCCGCTTCTTTTCGGTTATGTTGAAGTAATTCGAAGTAAATCCTTCGGGGGCATCGGCATTTATCCAAAGGAAAAATATTGGCGAGACTTTGAGGCTGAAACCGTAAGTTTGCACCATCCAGGTAAAGTTAGTCACCCCGGTGTTGTGTACCTGGGCTTCAAATTTCAGCTTGGTTGTCAGTCAGATGGTTCAACCCAGAAGGTCAATGATAAAAATTATCAATGCGTAAAAAAAAATGTTTCCCATATTAGCCCCAGCCTTTTGATATAAGCTCTGCTGCCACATAGAGACATTAAAAGTAGTTAGGGTTGTCACCCATGAAATCTGTTGCTGTTCCCCCAGAACCCAGATGGGGTTCTCAGCCGAGTCAGCGGCAGGGGGATTCACAAATATATTTGGGTTGCTTTTTCCATTTCCCTGTACCAATGCTATCTGGGGACCATAAAGTAGTATAGTTAAGAATATATGCAGAAACAAACTGAGTGGCCTCCGATTGTTCATGGTGGCTCAGGCGAGTGGGAGGAGGGGAATGGAGGTATACCTTCGAAAGAAATCAAAAGAGAAAGAAACCCTTAGGGTACTGCGGGCCCATCAGAGTAGTTATTAGCACGCTATGCAAGGACGACTCGGCTTCACATTTATGGCGCAGCTGCATTAGTGTCCTTTCCATGAGCACTTAGTACTACCTCAGAGGTTGTCTTTCTTTGTGTTAGATTAGGACTAGCATGGTGAATGGCCATTCGGTTACAAGGGACCCTGATACAAGGATTCCAAAGCGATGAAAATAAGAACACTTCGAGTAAGCCCGAGCAACAGCCAGGCTAGGCATTGCTTTTCCAGCCTAGCCTATCACAATGACACGAGAGGAGCCCCTTAACTGTTCCTGTATCAGAGGATATCAGTCATGTGTCAGATACGCTATATAGCTTCCCTGGTTTCTTAGGCATGTAAAGGCTTATTTTACACTTAGTGAAAGAGCCAAAAAAAAAAAAAAAAAAGAATAGCATAGGCGCTTAGCATGATATTGAAATACTAGCCTTTAAGAAATTTCTCATACGCCCCCCACCATAAGCTGATGTATTCCGGTATTGTCAAGCGTCTTCAACGCCCCTTCCGGTAGCTCCAACTGTGTAGGGTCTATTTCATGAGGTAGAGCGTCGTCTGATACTGCATGTACTGTACGTTCACCAGCCAACAAGCGGCCAGCGTTGTACATAGTACTGTATATAGATCCCACCGAGGTCTCCTTTTCAACCCAACCATCGTCATTGTGAATATCCGATCCCCTCGCCTTTGGCCCAGCCGCCTTCCAAAGTCCAATTAATGATGGAAAGGGAGCAATACATCTCAGCCAGCCTTTTTGGCAGTACCGACTAATTGCCACATCGAGCTGAGCACCGCCACCCGCCGGTGTCAATGAAAGAGCCGAAAGAATCTTTTGGGCTCCAAAATAGGTAACTGCGTATCCAAGAGAACATACTCCCTCCTCTGCTTGTGCCACTAAGCGGGTGCTATTGCCAGCTCCCATGGGAGGGTCGCGCCAGTACGGGGGTAGCTCTGGGATAGGAACGACCGTGATATCATCAGTTGTCACGTGGATTGGACCAGCCCTGAATTTTATCCCACAGTGCCCTATCCAGAGCAGGTCCCAGGAATCACCATAGGGTGAATGTGAGGGTTTGGTATCACCTTGTACCAACTGCGAAGCGGATGCAAATCTTTGAAGTTGTTTCTTCAAGTTGACATCCCAGTCCGCGTCGTCTTCAAGGATGAATGCGGTGGAGATCCGGTCCTGCACTATTCTAGAGTATGGCAGTCCTTTTAGCGCGAATGAGAGGGAATTTCACAATTTTCTTCGTATTCTCGTACCTTTGCATGACATTCATATGTGCCCGCCAGCCCCCCAACTCACCTGGTAGATAGCCAGGGTCCCAATTCTAAGACAAACCGTAAGACCTTAGTAGCGGCCCTACAAGGCGTCCGAGCGAAAGTTGCACTTACTGAAGGATATGCCTTTTTGTCAATATCCTCCACAAACACCCCGTCTATGGGCTCCGGATGAAACTGTACGATAGAGGAAGCCAGTGTTACATAATCGCGCTTGTCCGGTCTGTTCGGTAGGTTGATGAAGAAGACCCTCTCAAACTGGTTCAGAAATATCAGTTACTGGTCTGATGATATTGCTGCGCGTCGGGATAGCTACCCCAAGAGTCTCATTTTTCACCGCATCTAGGTCGCCGCGGGCCGCCCCGGACGCACTTGCGCTCTCTCCCGTATATGACGGGCGCGGTAGCGCCCAGAAGAGGAAGAGGATTATTACAAACAGAATAGTAGCCTGTAATAAAGGACGATTGATTAATTTAGTTAGCCTAACGAGGTTGACCATTTTTTTTCTTCTGATATGTCAGGAAAGGGTGCCGCCCGTCAGCCCGTAAGTATGGGCGGCGGCCTATAAGTAAACGGACTTTTGGAAAAGAATGCAATTATCCGCGGCGTGATATTAAGAGGAGCGGGTCAGACGTAAAACCTCGAGTTAAATATTTATCGATGATTTGTTCTCCCATGGTTTCACGCCCCACAGACTGCCTTTCCTGTCAATGCTTTCCTTCTAACCCCAGCGCAGTCTGTCTAGTTCACGGAATAAGCCGCGTGAATTAGTACAGGACACTAAGCTCATGTCCCCTTTGAGGGGCCTTGACCAGCGCTTATCATTACGCAGGATGGGATGGTGGCTGACTCTTGTAGTTAGGGCGTCTTTGTCTTTATGTAACCATAATTTACTTCTGTGATGCCCTTGGAAACCATCCCTACCAGGAGTGGGCCAATAATAGCGAGTACCTGGAGCTTGAAAGGAACCAAATGACAGACGGGAAGAGCGGCACTTCGCCCTACAACTACCACCCAAATGTGTATTCCCGAGTGCTTCAACTAGGTGGGCATTGACGAGGACGTATCATACGCACATGTTCAGTAACAAGTGGCCACCCCCCGATTAGCATAAATACCTTCTATAATTATCGAACCCGACTCATTTTAGCTGGGTAGATGCTTTGTCCGAAACAGAGCTCCTGAACTACTGCGCAAAGTCGAGAAAGGCAATGGGCGGACAAGGGTTTTTCAGGGATTATCATGTAATCGTCCAATGTGGTAGGCAGTCAACGCTTAAGCGCCCTCGGCTAGGGCCAACGAGACCCACAGATGCTTCCCATGATGGCGATCCCTTGCCCCTAAATCATTGTCATCCTGGGCTGGACACTTCGCTACGAGACAACATACCACCTTCCGAGGCCGATTAATGATCTGAATCCTTGGCATAATTTAGTTCCTGATATGGGGGGACTAAACCCCCAGGGCTTCGATAGAAAGAGCAAGTTGACCATATTTTATGCTAGATTTAGCTCTCCGTGACGCTTGGCGTTGGCTGAAAATATACTAACCAAGCCCTCCTTGCAATTCTCACGGTATTGTACTTGTGCATTCCCTCTCTATATAGAGTCTGTCAGTGTTTGGGAAGAAATATTGTGTAAAAGACACATTTTTAACATTACTGACCCCTTCAAGCAATCACAGTTAACCCCATGTTTTATTTTGACGCTCGGATAAATTTCTACTGGTAGAAACAGTCCAGGATGTCGGATAGGACCCTTTGCAGCGATATGGCTAACTAGCGCTAATCATGATTTTAGGCGCCAAACATCAATATGATGCAAGGCAGAATACGGCCACTAGAACGCCAGCGCTAACTTCGCACAGCTGCTGTCAGTTTCTTCTTCTTCTTCTTTTCTCTTCTTGAGTTTCGGTGTCATCAATCATGTCCGACTCATTCAAAGAAGTGGCACAAATCCATGGCATAGAGGTTGTTCAAGCGGGGCTAGAACCCGTTCCAAACCAGAATAACCCACACCATGTCATCGTGCCTGTGCTGGCCAACGAGTCTGTGCCACGCGAAAACAGGATATGTGGTGTACGCAAGATGACCTTCTGGCTTGCTGTAGCGGTGGCAGCTCTTGTTGCGGTCGTGATCGCCTTAGCTGTTGGACTGGGAGTCGGCCTTACTAGTATGTCTAGGGTCAGTTCAAGAACTTGTGATGGGATGTGCTAATCTTTCAGGGTCGCATTCTGCCTCGACGGCTCCTGTGGCGACAACCAGCTCAGGTATTACATCCACCCCATCAGCATCGCTGTTCCCGCCATCATCCTCGTCGTCGACATCCTCGGTATCCAGCACATCAACCTCGGGTCCGTCACCAACATCCACTGCTCTCTTCGACAAGAGCACAAACTATACTTGTCCCGATGCCAACAACACCGAAGTAAGGAATGTTTCGGGCGGATCAGGAAGTTCTAGTTATTATATCTTCTGCGACGCTGATATCAGTTCGAGTTCGAAGAAAGACTTATCTTCAAGTGTGCAGAGCTCATTCGCGGACTGTCTGGCGCTTTGCAACTCTATGAACAATTACCAGGGTCGAACGGATGTCGGCTGCACTTATAACTTCGAGGGTACGGGGAGTCAGGACAAAGGGACCTGTTGGTGCTTGAGTGGTGGGAATAAGTCCATTATCACAAACGTGGGGAATATGGTAGCTGTGTTGTCCACCGAAAATGTAAAGCTAGATTTATGATTTGATGTACTATTTGCAGGCAGGTTCTACAATGCTACTAGTGTAGATTGGATCTATTGATGTGTCGGCGAAAGGAGTTCTTTCGTTGCATATCAGTTATTAGATGTCCTGGTGGTTGGTAGAATACATGTATGTGTCAGTATGGCTAGATGTCTATTTACTCAAAAAGCTGACCGCTAAGCCGGTGGGGTCGACGAATGAATATGGCATGAAGAAGAAGAAGAAGAAGAAGAAGCATACCCAAGTATGTAGGATAAATAAATTCCAATCTATCAAATAAAACCTCGTTGACTCTGCGTAGAGCTAGGCTGTGCGATAACATCGATGAGCACTTGGAATGAGACTACCGACGCCTGATATGGTGAAGCCCTAAGCGATCCGGTATTTTCTTAGTATCTAACCGCATACACCACGAGAGTCTACACGGCCAGCGCAAATACAAGGCCCTAATGAAGGTAGATTTGTTTTCAAGCTTATATAACTTGATTCACGGTGGTAAAATAAGCTCAATGTTTGTCAAGTCACAGGCCACTCCAGTGCAAGACACGCGAGGCTGTTTTGGGGTGGACCCTGCAAGGCACAGGCGGTAAAAGGATCGTCCTCGTTGGATCAAAACAAGACGCTAGCATACTAGACTGCATCAAGTGTACCATTTAGAGCTAGTATATTTAACGTGTATCTGGACTAATTTTCAAATTGGGGGCCAACCCCTCGTATAATTATGTCCCCATGTCCGAAGCGCACTTCTGCCCCTTGATGCGACGGCGACTTCAGATCACCGGCCCGCAATATCACCATGGCATGGCTCATGTCCCTGGCTTTTATCCACCTGGTTTTGCTGCTTTCGTTAAGCGAAGCTAAGGTATTGAGCGACTTGTCTGATGGATTCTGCCGGAGTTACAAATTCGGGGGTACGCGCCTTGATCACCTGCGCAATTGAAGAGTATAGCGACTAACTGATACAGCGAACATTGTGAACGATGTCCTGTACATGGTAGATCTCGACGGTGGCCTCATTCCCAGCGATACGAATGCATCACGTACACGCTCTTACCCCGATTGCCAAACCCGCGGCTCCGGCTAATCATCCAGTAGACAATTACCTCGTACAGCTTGACCTATCCTCCTCATTCTCGACTGACGATGGCGCGAAATATAAGATGAGCTTGGTTGACGGCGCGGTTCCGAAAATCAAGGACCAAGCAATGTGGTCGGACAAGGACAACACTACGCTGTTTACGTATGGCGGGCGAGGCGTGGACGACACCTCGGTTGACCAGGGACTATGGACATACACGATTGCCGATGGATCTTGGAAGTTGCAGCAGACGAGTATTAAGCCGGTGCGACTACAAGGAGGGGGTAATGTGTTACTTTATCCGTGCTTGGCTGGATTGTCGCATTAACATAAGGAATAGCGTACGTTGATGCGCCCCAAATCCAAGCTGCATATTGGGTAGGCGGGTATCAAGATAGCGATACGACGCCCGCGATCACCGATAAAACGGTAGACTATGCAACGGGGATGATTCAATTCAACACAACAACTGGGACCTTTACACAGTTTGATGCTCCATTTACCCCTGTACAGCAGGGCGCACTGGTATATCTTCCGGTTGGAGAGAAAGGGATCCTAGTGTTTGTGGGGGGCGAGGTTCCGTCCATCCAGAACGGTATCAATGCAACTCTGACTCCAGTGAGTGTTTGGATGGTAGCGTTGCTCAGAAACCCCTGCTAAAGCACAATACCAGAACCCATGGAATCATGCGTGGGTCTATGACATCGCAGGAAACAAGTGGTACAATCAAACCACATCCGGCAGCGTGGCGTCACGAACCCAATTTTGCGCAGTTGTCGAGCAAGATCTCTCGACGTCGTCGTACCAAATCTATGTGATTGGAGGAGCGGACTACGAGTCCAAGAAGTCGCTTACGGATGTGTATGTTCCAATCATTCTATATATTATAATTCAGCCTAACACTGACTTATCAGTTCCTATCTATCGATCCCATCTTTCAAATGGTTTCAAGCCGGGCCTCTAAACAAGCCTCGTATGACCCATGTCTGTCAGGCATACGGACGGCAAATATTCGGTGTAGGAGGCCGGCTCGCGTGGGCGGACGACGCCGATGCAGGATGTTACGATACGCCTGCCTTCATATATGACGCTCAATCTGAGGTTATCCGGGCCCAATTTGACGTATGATCATCTACCCTTCTCTTGATCGTTTAAGATACAAGCTCACCCATCCACAGCCCGGACTATCGGCTTATTCAGTCCCCTCCGCAACCGCCGATGACATCAAGTCCTCGCCCTATCCGTCGGCGTGGGCTGATCCAGCTTTGAAATCACTTTTTGTCCAGAAAGCTACCACCAACTCAACGGATACCCAGCCCAACCCGTCAAGCGAAACTGACGGTTCATCAACCCACACCGGGGCGTTAATAGGTGGTGTGGTGGGTGGTGTTGCTGGCGCGGCTATCATATTGGCAATAGTCTTCTTCATTCTCAGAAAGCGACGCCGAGATTATCAGAAGCAACCACAAGGAGAAAAGTGGTTTGAGAATAGACCGGCCATAAGCCGCGTGGGGGGCGAACTGCCAGCTGAAGAGCCGCAGCGGGAGTTAGATGCGCGTAGCAATACGCGGAGTGAGTTACGAGGGAATGACGGGTTTGTTTACGAACTAGATGGTGGTCAACGATCCGGTGTGTAGGATTATTTTGCGTCCTTGGTGGTGTATTAGCATTCCGTACGTACAGCTTTAAACATAATGAACAGTTCACGGAAATATCAAGGTATGACCGCGATCTTAGAACTGCGCAATGTGATTGCTGTGTAGTGCAGGTACTGTGAATGGCATCAAGAAGGGCTTCGCATACAGCAGAGGTGAGATTATACTCTTCATCATTGGACTGGCCAACTTCCGGTCAGCTGGTGACAAGTAGTTACTATAGTTTACCACTCCGTATACGTCTTGGGGCGTCATCCACACATGGGGTAGTTGATAGCCAGTGCTACAGGGCATAATGATATGTTTTAATGACAAATATCTATTTTTGAATTTCAGTCAACTCAGTAGATTGACGCTGAAGACTGGTAGATGTGGTAAAGTCTGGGGGAAACTGTACTTTCGTAGCTGGAGGGCACAAGTGAGTAGGCGTCAGAATAGGTACAGATTGCCCTATAAAGCTTAATTTAATGATGTAGCATGGCCAACTTTAAATCACACTCTGGCCAACTTCTTGTCTAAAGTGGACACTAATACTATATGGAGTAACGTTATAGCAGGGTTGATCAGTAATGTTCGGAACGGGCCTCCTCTTCCCCGGTTTGCTTGTCGGCGTTGTGATGGTCACACAGGTGGTACTTAGGCTTTAGTCCCACGATCCTATCATCTTAAGGTCTCTTGCGGTTACCCCATTCTACGCGCTCTAGCTGCTAAGCCTAGACCGTATCTTCTTGGGTATGCACAGCGTTGTGTTTCGGACCACGGCATTGCGGCTTGTCTCACCTTCACTATGCTATCCCTCCATCGCCAGGAGATCCTCTATTAACTTTACTTTCTACCGCGCAACATAGGATTCTGATATAGCTAGTTATGGAGGGAGTTAGGCTTTTCAAGGGCTCTTCAAATTTCTCTCCCCAATCATTAGCATGATTTGCAGCAGTTGGGCGTGTGTTGTGGTTTATTGACATCATCAAAAAGTGAGAAGTGAACTAATAAGGCGTTAGGGTATTACGTGGATTTAAATCAGGTCTGAAACAGAGGCTTAGCACTAGAGCTTCTTAGGAAGGTCAGTCAGCTGTATTCAGCTGGCATCATCCGTTTGCCTATGTCGTACAAGGGATGCTTCCAAATAGTCTAGAATCAATTCTCGTGTAGCTTAAACAGATGAAATTAGGCGGGATTGGCCTCAGGTCCGCTACCCAAGACCACAACATTATCCCGACGGCTGAAAACATTGACCTCACTATCATAACCGTGTCAGGTCACCGCTTACATAGTCCTTTCTTAAACATATGGACTTGTTGGTCCCAATTTGTGCGGCCCTCTTCCCCATGAGCGTAGGCCACATGGTAGGCCACATGTGGCCAGTCTAACCTCAACAGAGGCTGGCTCTTTGTGTGCTGTGGCTTAGCATGTATTGAACATTGTATGGAGGGAGCTCAAGCGTGCAGTTACAAAGTCATACTATTAAAAGCAATCTTTTGGAAAGAAGAGTTTCTGTATGGAAGTGGGATAGGACAGTAATAAGACCCAGGATACTCTACTAGCATATATTACAGGTGTTGTACAATTAATAAGTCTATCCAACACAAGAAACTGAAGCATCACTGCCAAGCTAAGACAACTCACAAACCTGAGTCCTCTCCATGTTATCCAACTCATACACCAGTTGCTCCTGATTTCTTTCCTGCTTTGGCACAGCTGCCAGCATAGGTTGTCGACGGCCCCGCAGCCACCGCCACATGGCGAAAACGGCCACAACTGCTGCTGCCACCGCCACCGCGATGGTGATGCCGGTTTTGGCTCCCGTAGACAATCCACAGCTGTCTTCCGACGGGGTTGGCGTGCTCGTGTTCGCGGCCGAGGTCGCAGGTAGCTCCTTCCACACCCCCTTCCAGCTGCTTTCCCAGTCGCTAGAACTGCTCTTTACCGTGTTATCGGAAGGATTGATCGTTGTCACTGTCGTGGTGCCGGGGATGTTGGGGCCGGGAGCCTGCGCCAGGAACCAGCTGCCCTGATGAGGCCCCCAGTTGACGCCGACAAAAGCAGCCTGCATAAATGCTCGGCCAAGCACGTAGTTCCCATTTGTGCCCATGCAGGGGAAATATGGTGTAGGTTTGTCGACGAGAGGCGCATCCAACGTCAGGTTTAGCAACGAAAATGGTATATTGATGGTGATATTTGCATTATTGAGCGAGTTCTTGCTGAACGTAAACCCCAGATATGTTGGCGCGCTGACAATCTCGGAGTAGCGCTTGTCCTCGGTGTTCCAGAAGTAAAGGCCGTAATCGGGATGGTGGGTAACAGGGAGCTCGGCCGCGATGGCCTCGCATGTGCTGTGTGGGAGGTATATGTAGGGGTCGGCGCCGCTCGCAAAAACGGTGACGCCGTAGTTAATGGAAGCGTTTCCGTGGCCGAGGAGACCGGTTTTATCTGTGTATGTCCAGGGCGAGCCACCACTGATGACGCCGATCTTGACATCGAGCAGATCAATTGGGAGGTTGCCACTCGAGTACGGTTGCGCCGAAACATCACCCAACACCCGGTTTTGGTCATAGCCGCCCAGCACTAGCGAGCCTGGTATCCCCAGGGGTACGGAGCCAATGTGCATGCCGTAAGAATATGAAGGGATGGCACCATACTCATAGAGATAACTAGGGGTGAATGTCGTCTCGATGGTGCGATTTCCCGTGAAGCTTTGCTTCATGTCAGAGCATCCGAGCGAGAGCACTCCCATTTCGACTTGGTAGGCTTTACCCCCTGGGTATACCTGGTAGACATCGGAGAAGGCGTTCAGCGTGACATCCGGTATTGAAAAGTCCGCAATGTTGAGCTCGTCGAATGCACGCACTACCTTCCCATAAAGGGGTACCTCATTGGCAACGCCCATAGGTTGGATTGTCCTGTCGGTGTTCATAAGAGATAACTGAATGGATGTATTGTCCCAGCTGCTTGAGAGATCGCTGTTGAATAGCCCTCCCGCTCGATCGGCATAGCAAATGGATGAGAGGGAAGCGTTCCGACAGATCGTAGAGAGGAGAATTCCACTACCCCAACTGCCCCCGGGATACAAGTCGATTGCTTGCTGGGGCGAACCTAGAGCGATGGTAACTGCATGCCATGGCCCATCCGGCCCGTACGATTTGTCCGACCACGGGATGGGCAAGGGACCCGCGGCAATGCACCCAGGACTACTCAAGAGAAGGAGGAAGAGATGGGCAATATGATGCTTCATCATGCAATGGCTAGTAGTGGGGGGGAGGAAAGACGAGTTAACATTATTCATAGGCGAGTAGGAGGTTGAAAATACTTTACAGAGCATTCCGGAGAAAAGACGTCGCTTAAAATGAATAAGAATAATGAGAAGGAACCAAGAAGTAGAAACGACTGTTTCGATATGGCTGGGGGTTTCTACTGCGCATAAGGACTTGTTGATTCATGATATTTCATCCATATGGTTTCACTATGTCTGAAAACAATTTTAAGGGAGGTACTTCTGTGCCATATCTGACTAAATGGCGCCCACTAACTAGCCAATAACACCCCATTTCCATCGCCTGACGGTGACTTTGGAACATTCTTCAGTTCGAAAATCAATCATTAGGACGAGATCATAATAAGGCATCTCTGGAGCTTAGCCTGGTTTTGCCCTTCCATCTCATTCTTTAGTGGGTTGCGTACTTAAATGGCGGCAAAAGCCGTACCTAGTCCGTGATGGCACCATCAACCAGCACTATAGATGAATGAACACGACCCTTAAAAAAACTGAATGAAGGTAAAAGCATCCAAAACTCCACTGTGGGAGAGAATTTGAAATGCCGAGACATGTGGATATCTGCCGATCAGCCATCTCCTAGAACCACACGCGGATGTCTCATGTACTGTCGCGCTGGACGCCTATTGACAGTGAACAACCCGTGGATCCCACTACCTAGAGCCAGTTACTACTATGGTTCCGATAGGCGAAGTCAAACCTGTGGAGATCTCGTATCGTCGGGGCGTAGTTGAAAACTCTGTTCTCTCACTTCATTCTTTGTCTCCACGAAAGCGTATTTGCCAAAAGTCTATAATTAACCACAGACCTAGGAGGATTAAATAAATCTTGTAGCCCATACTAAAGCAAGTCATAGATTGATACATCTATATCTGGCCTCTATCAGCTTAGCTGTCAATGTCTATCATTCAATCTGCTATCCGCCCTGTCCCCTATTTTAGAAGGGGCCTCATATATATGACTGCCACATAAGCAGCAGATTGTATCTTTAATTTGCGCCATGGGCTCTGACATTAAGATCACAGCCATGAGGCTATTTGCCTCGCGGGCCGGCCGTTCCTCGGTGATCATTATCTTCATGATGTTCTTTCTCGCCAGCCTACTAAAGCTTCCCAATGGCACCTTGCGAGATATCTCCTTACCTAAGATTCCCTCTTCTTTCCCGTCTTCTCTAAGCCGGCCAGCAAGTGATGTTGACTGGTCACGCTATGCCTACGTACAATATGTGACGAACACCGACTATCTCTGTAACTCAATCATGATTTTCGAGGCCCTGTCGCGCATGAACAGCCAAGCGGACCGACTGATGATGTTTCCATCCAACTTCAAACTAGACAACGATACTACGGAAGGCAAACTACTCCTCAAGGCGCGGGACCAGTATGACGTACAGCTCATACCCATCACCGTCCAGAGTCGGCATACTGATGAAGGTATATCCTAATGCATAGTCTTTCCAGTCCCACTGCTCGGAGACAATCAGAACTGATTAGAGCCAGCCACATGGTCCAAAAGCTACACGAAACTACTTGCATTTAACCAGACGTAGTATGATCGCGTCCTCAGCTTGGATTCAGACGCAACAGTCCTACAGGTATCCATCTCCATCCCAGTGGGTAGACTCCTAGGAGAGAGAGACTAACTCAGAGCCCCGTCCGCAGCCCATGGATGAGCTATTTCTCCTGCCCCCATGTCCCGTTGCCATGCCGCGTGCTTATTGGGGCAACTTCGACGACCGCGTATTAGGCTCTTATATAATGTTGGTCCAGCCGTCCGAGTTCGACTTCAACCGGGTCATGAATGCGATGGACACAGCGAGCGGCTCCGAGTACGATATGGATATCCTCAATCATCTCTACCGCGACAGCGCTCTTGTACTGCCCCACCGACCATACGGCCTGTTGACCGGGGAGTTCCGCTCGAATCACCATTCTGCATACCTGGGCAACAATATCGAAGTGTGGGATCCCGAGCAGGTCTTTATGGAGGCAAAGTTCCTTCATTTTTCAGACTGGCCCGTGTCCAAGGCAAGTAGCAGAATACCTAGATTCTCCTCCGGTTATACTCTGTTGACCTCTAACACACGATTAGCCCTGGATCCGCACCCCAGAACCCATAATACAAGAAAACCAACCTGTTTGTCACAAAGATCCGGCTTCAGGCGCTGAAGACTGTCGTTCCCGCGACCTATGGTTGGGGTTCTACAGCGATTTTGCACAGAGGCGAGAGGTACGAACTGATATCTCTATGGGACGGAGCGGCCCACTAACTCAGTACAGGCGATATGTGGAATGAGTGTTTTAAACGGAACGGAACGTTCTTTAGGCAAGCGCTGGCGCTTATGAGGCCATATCTGGCTGAATTTATGGAACACAGTCCCGGGTCTGTTGATCTATAGTAGCGGTGTCTATTTTCTGGTGTTTGTATTAAAGAGAAATGTTTTATCTTGGGTTATAGAGATACTGATGAGATGAGACCATGTACGACATAGCTAAATTAGGAATGAAATGAGTGTAAATGGCTAGACTACCGATGAGATAGGCCTACGTTGGCTGCAGCAGCTATATACTACTAGTAATATCTGCAGGGGACTCTCAGCTACAGGCCTTAGTCCTTTAAATCCTGAGCGCATACTTTCTTGGCCTAATATCAAACTTCAGGCAATACCTAAAACGCCTCATAATCTAAGGCAATTATAAAGGCAAGAAACTACACTGAAGAAGCTGCTTAGAGCTCGTACAAAGAGCCCTGACCCACCTAACAAGGGTGCATTAAAGCAGCTTTGCAAAGGCTATGCACTAGTCAAGGCAAGAAGTCGGGTAGGGCTAACTAACTACGCGAAATCACAGCCGATCACGTTATCTCATACACAGTAGGAACTACCCCGCAATATTGTGTATAAAATCGATTGCGATAAGTAGATCCTGCATCGAATTTCATCACTCATTCACTCACCACCACCATGTCTCGCCCTGTTGTCTTCTTCGACGTCGCCGTCAACGGCAGTAAGAATCATGAACTGCCCATCGGCTGACTTTTGCTGATCCACGATCACCGTAGCCCCCCAGGGCCGCATCGTGTTCGAGCTCTTCTCCGATATCGTCCCCCGGACTGCTGAGAACTTCCGCGCCCTTTGCACCGGTGAGAAGGGATTCGGCTACAAGGGAAGCTCGTTCCACCGCGTGATTCCTGAATTTATGCTGCAGGGCGGTGATTTCACACGGGGAGACGTAAGCAGAATCCATTTCCATCTGATTATCATCTAATATCTCTAGGGCACCGGTGGTCGATCCATCTACGGCGAAACATTCCCCGACGAAAACTTTGCCTTGAAGCACGAAGTCCCCGGTCTTCTCTCTATGGCCAACGCTGGCCCCGGCACGTAAGTTCGATCGGACCCTTATCTTGTTGTTGTTGGTAGCTCATGTGGAAGCTAGCAATGGCTCCCAATTCTTCATCACCACCGTTGTCACCGATTGGCTCGACGGTGCCCACGTTGTCTTTGGACGTGTTATCCAGGGCATGGACCGCGTTAAGATGATTGAGTCCCTGGGAACCCCCTCGGGCGCTCCCCGTGCCAGAGTTCAGATTATCGAGTCTGGTCAGCTGCAGTGAGGGGAAAGGGTTTGACGATGACATGGATGGAATATACAGATGGGAAGAACTTTAACCACCAAATTGTAGATTAAAGATAGCAACTCGAGATCGTTCATTACATCGAACTGCGATATTTCTCAGCTACTTGTCTTTCGATTTCGTAGTATTCTTTCCGGAATTTGTTAAGATAGCTGTGTATCGGTAATATCATTGGTAGCTATATTCTGTACTGGGGGGAAATAAGTATTACCTATCTGATGTACTTCTTTCTTTACACAATCTAATAATTAGATTTAGTAACTTGTCAGGCAGCTCTGTGACAGGCCGGTGTACTACTAAGACTTCTGTAGTCTTAAGGGATAATAGTATAGGCCCGGGACTGATTTCTAGCTGGGCAAGAGTATCTTGCTTGAGAGTTTTTTGTTTTTATTTTATTGGGGGGTTTCAATTATAGCAGTTTCTGATTCTATCTGTACGTATCTTCCGTACGCTTCCATTGTTAACTTCGGCAAGGACTTATTTGGCAAGTCTGATATGCTGCTAATTGCAGAGTCACGGAAGCAACAACGTGGTCTTTTAGCATATCTATAACTCCTTATCCTTGCCTTCTACAAATTCCTTTTTTTTACTGGCGCGTGTTGTACTTGATAGATTGATACTTTGTTATGGTAATAGCAAGTAGTGTATTCCCTTCGCTGTCAGTGGAGTCAGGGTCTACCTATCGTGGGCTAAGTCGGTGGAGCAGTCAAAAAGATTCGAACCTGCACACGTCCATTCAGAATATCCAATCTCTCAGGTAGAGACGGACTTTTGCTTACAAAAAGCCAAGATTGTATAACTGCGAACGACTCCATATTTAGGCGCCCAGATCAATCTAGCGGATACACTTGATTTGGGAGACTACAGCCTTGGATTGGTGTCCTGCAGTTCAGATATACTGACGACCACCTTGAGGGATCCAGACTTGGAAGGTATCTGGAACGTCTCGTAGGCCTTGTATATCTGATCAAACGAGAAATCTGTGGGATGCGTCAGCTTAGAACCACCTAGGATAAATACAACGACCAGCATACTGTGCGAAACCAGGAAGTGAGGGCTAATCTTGCCCGACTCGACAAGCTTCAGTAGATCGGGGGTAGTGCACGCATCGACCAGTCGAGTTCTGATACCTGTTCCATAGTTTAGTAACGCCCAAGCCGTAGCAGACAAAAGTTAGACATACAGATATTGCGATGCCAGAGGTTCTCCAAATGCAGGGCGCAGGGTGTCCCAAACACCCCCAAACTGGCTATCGTCCCGCCGGGACCGACTAATGACTGAGCGAGCTCAAATGAGTCAGTAGTCCCCACTGCTTCGATCACCACGTCGAATCCCTGGTTGTTCGTCACTGCGAGTGCAGAGGAGACGGCATCCGCCTGCCCCCCGAGCACACTGATTGCGTGGTCTGCGCCCATCTCCTTTGCTGTGTCGAGTCTGGGTCGCCCCCTGCCGACTACAGCGGTCATGGATGGTCCGAACAAATTCCGCGCCATCTGCAGCGCCATCAGCCCAATTGGGCCCGTTCCGATGATAGCGACGGTTGACCCGGGCTGAATCTGGCCGTTAAGAATGCCACATTCATACGCGGTAGGGAGAACGTCGGACAAGGTTACGGCAACTTTGGGATCGAGCCCGTTCGGGAGCGCATGTAGCGAGAACGACGCGTGGGGGATTCGTACGTACTCTGCCTGAGTACCGTCGATGGTGTTGCCCAGAATCCAGCCGCCAGAGGTACACTGGGAGGGCATTTTTTTGCGGCAGAAATTGCAGGTTCCACACGAGGTGATGCACGAGATCACCACGGGTTGTCCGACAGAAAAGCGTGTGACACCGGTACCCAAGGATTCAATTATCCCAACGCCTTCGTGGCCGAGGATACGTCCGGGTGTGCATGTCTGAACGTGGCCTTGTAGGATATGTAGGTCTGTTCCGCAGATGGTGGTGTGTTGGACTTTGACGATGGCGTCAGTGGGCTCTAGGAGGGACGGCTTTGGACGTTCCTCGACTGAGATGCTGTCCTTTCCAGTGTAAACGACCGCTCTCATGGTTCCAAGTGCTTGTTTTGCCTAGGTATAGATATCCAAAAGGCTGGCCTCAATTGCAAAGGATCAAAGTTACCTCACTGTGGAATTTTAGCACACTCGCGATGGAAACCCTTCAGAGTACTTTTCTTCCCTTGTGGGAAAATGCCACCTGTTATAAGGAGGGGCTTCGGGTACGCCAGCTGAACAGACTGATCCTTCAGCGAGCTACTAATGCCCACATGGCTGTCCCTAATATCTACCGTCACTACCATTGGGCAACATTGCGACACCTGCGAACCCCTGTTGTAGAATGACCTAGACCCTGGAAATCTAGATCACCAGGTGTTTACTGGGACAGAGTAGTAGCGCTAGCCGATCAATGAGTGGCTGTCAGAGATTTAGAAGTCCTGGTGCAAAGTTATGCAGCTTCCTATTGCGCTAAGGCGGGCAGTCTTTCCATGATCTCCAGTCAGGGTCCATGGAGGTCACTTCATGCAGCTACTAGATCCAAGCTAGTCACCATTAGGGCAAAGTCCTCGCCGCCGCAAACCGAGGTACGCTTCGTCACATGATCATCTGCATGAAGACTCCAGCTCTCAATGCAACCTGCTTTCCCACTGCATTATCTACGGCAGTCACAGTCCGAACTCCGAGTCGTTGATCTAAGTGGCATACACCTCTTGACGTGGCAAGTATATACAGTCCACTGGACTCGGAAACATCCATGTCCCATGGATCCCAGCTCCATATATGGCCGAGGATCTGGCGGAATTATTTTGACTAGACAATAGAGATTTTTTGTACTGTAGTCTCAGCGTATATTCAAGCAGGAGTGTATTAGGAGAAGAACAGACTCCATGCAGATCTAGCTTCCGTTTAATTTGTACCTGGCATGGCACTTTCTTACGCATACAAGTATCAAAACGAAGAGCTCGTGTAATTTTCAGGCACCAGAATATTTGACATATTCTTCCCAGATCTCACCGGCAAATCCACATATACAGAATGCTCCTCCATATACGATAGAACCTATACAACTTATTTAGAAAGCACTACAGCAAGAACAGTATCAAAACCTAGTTAACATCCACAGCTTCGCATGTGTCTGCAATAATCTGCAACGTTGATGGCAAAGTAGGAGACGTGATTTGCAGAGTCTAGGAAACTCGGTTACGAGCACTTACTATAGTTAGAACATTTGTTCCGCTATTAATCTCAGACAATGCCATCCAAGAGTTCTATTCAGGCTTTAAAATGGTTAATATCAGGGTACTAGTTGTGAGGAGAAGAATAGTTTACTGAACTGGCATGTAAGCAAGAGCGAGCGTCCATCGATCCTTCGACTTCGAGTACCGTTGACATGCTTTGCCACTTTCTAACACTATACCTCTCTATCTTTACAATGAAATTATCGTTTGTATGTCTTTCGATTTCTTGGGTTGAATAAGATGTTTTTGCGGTTAGTGATTGAGGCAGTAGATGCCTGGTTAGGGTAACGCAAGATTACAGGGCTTCGAAGCACGTGCTGTACACAGACTTTGAGTGTTTTTTTTTTTTTTTTTTTTTTTTTTTTTTTTTTTTTTTTTTTTTTTTTTTTTTTTTTTTTTTTTTTTTTTTTTATGGTTTTAATTAGGCACCTAGGGGTTGACGCATCAGGGGGCTACTGGTGAAATAGGTGCTGTCGATTAGAGCCTAGGGAACTTATATGAAATTGAGAAGGAAGTAAAAAGCGCGAAGTGGATGGTGAACCTTGAATTTGCTCACGGAGCAGAGTGGTACAACCCTATTAGAGCAGTAACATATATACGCCTGAAAGGAGATCCTGTCTCAAATATGTACACAGTACATCTGAATATAAACGACATCTAGCAAACGCCGTGAGTCTTTCCATGCTTACCCTGCAGGGAGTGCGTCTCTCCCTTGTAGTGAGGGTGGTTGTGCTTGGACTTGTGCGAGTGGGTGGCGTGTGTGCGGACATGGCTGTTTCCATCAGTCTCAGTTAACAAGGAATAGAAGGAAATGTATAAAGGTTTCTTACTGTGTGTACTTCTCCAACATAGCTTGATCCATATCACCCAACGTCTTCAGGCCCAGCTTGATATCACTTAGCAGCGCGTCACACCGGCTCTTGGTGAAATCCTCGCGGACAACCACACGCATGAGCTTCAGGTTGTTGCTGTTAGGCGCCATAGTATACGCCGGGACGATCCAGCCACGCTCACGCAGCTGGTGTGCCAGGGCAAACTCGTCGAACTGACCCTCCCGCTCAGCAGGCAGTCTGAACGCGACCAATGGGAGACCGTGGCCGCGACGCTGGCTCATGATGATAAAGCCCATCTTCTCGAGCTCTTGGGCCAAAAAGTCGGCAGTGACAGTAATGTTGGTCATGATGGATCGGTAGCCACGCTTGCCGAGACGGATCATCTGGTAATACTGGCCGATGACCTGAGATGCACCCTTCGAGAAGTTCAGGGTGAAGCTGGCCTGTTCAGCTCCGAGGTAGTTGATGTTGAAAATTAGATCCTTGGGGAGATACTCCGGGGACCGCCAGACGACCCAACCCACACCGGGGTAGACCAGACCATACTTGTGGCCGGACACGTTGATCGAAACGACCTTTTCGAGTCGGAAATCCCATTCCAGCTTAGGGTTGATGAAAGGAGCGACAAAGCCACCGCTAGCGGCGTCAACATGGATGGGAACATCCATGTTGCGTTCGATCAGGAGGTCATTGATTGCCTTGACGTCTTCATACTCACCGGTATAGGTGGTACCGAGGATAGCGCAAATACCGATGGTATTCTCATCGACCAGGTCAACCGCCTGCTGGGGATCAATCACATAGCGGTCCTCAGTGCAGTACACGTATCGCTCCTCGACATCAAAATAACGTGCAGCTTTCTCCCAGCACACCTGTACGGCGCTGTTCATGACGATGTTCGGGCGAGAATAGTCCTTGCCTTCGGCCTTGCGTTTGTTTTGCCAACGGCGCTTCATAGCCAAAGTACCCAGCATGATTGCCTCGGACGATCCAATGGTCGAGGTGCCCATTGGGTGCTCGTCTTCGCTCTCAACAGGCGCGTTGAACAGACGGGCGATCATATTGACGCAGCGGTTCTGGATCTCCGCGGACTGAGGATACTCCTCATAATCGATGAAGTTCTTGCTGAAGGATTCGGTCATAAGCTTTTCAGCTTCATCTTCCTGCTACCATTAGCATGGACCCTCGTGGTCACTTAAGTAGGAATAAATTGTTACCATGTAGGTTGTGACGAAACTCGCCAAGCTATGCTTATTAGTATCAATGGTATAGATCCGCAGAGACGAGAAATGAAAGCCTACTTGAGCATTGGGTTTCCATCGAGACTCAGCTCGTCCTTGATCATGCGATAGGCGACCTCCCTGGGCATCTCCCGCTCCGGCATCTCAGTCTGAGGCAGCTGTTCTGTTGCGAAACGCGTTCCGTAGACGCTCGAGTAGAATCCATCTTCGTCGGTGTTCTCCAATTGAATAGAGTCGACACGCTTGATGGTGTTGTCGAGATCAGCGTTGCGGTGGACTTTAGCAAGGTGAACCATGATTGCGGTGGATTATACCAGACAGATTGGATAGGTATTCACCAGGAATATAGAAGCGAGAATAGGGAACGAGGGGCAGGAAGGCGCGCTTTTAGCACTCAGCGAGCGGCACGATCCGAGCTCAATCAGGCAATCTGGTCAGGAGGAGGGGCAACCGGGACGACTGGCTATTGTTCCACAGGCGAGGCTTAGGCCTTCGCTAGCCCTGCAGGCGGCGATCCGTAGCCATACAGATCGCTCGCCCGGACGGTCGGCGGCCATCCTGGCTTACGCAGTTTTCAGCTCGTGGCGCAGCAAGTGGGTGAGGAGATCACCACGTTGACGGACGAATCGCGAAGGCTGGCTCAGGTCCGATTATTCAAAGCTTACTCGGAGTCGAGAAAGCTTAGCCTGGAATTGTGCATCAGTGGATGGATCGCGAATTGGTGGATATGCTCCGCTATTGATTCTCTCGGTTATTAGTTCCTAGTAAATCCCTCGTGGGTCCGTGGAGTCTCATCGGCAACTTGTTTCTGGGACTTTTGCCCCTGATCGATTCCTGGAAATTGTCGATGTTATTGTCATAATGAGCGCATCGACGTGATGAATGGGGGGAACAAAGAGGGTCAACTGCTAAGCTATTTATCTTGGGGTCTGAACTATTGAAAGAGACGATGAGGAAGATGAAAGAGGAAAAGACAGCATCCGACAGACCCGTGACCCCACCTGACTTGTTTCAACCCTTGTTCCCGTTACATTTCATTGTCCCGGTTGACGACTGGTGGGGAATCGCAAGACATAGCAAATATCGGTGAGGATAATAAATTCTTTGTCTTTCTTTTCAGACTAAGGCATCGCCGCGGAGGGTCCCATTGATCTCTTACAAAGTATCGCCATAATGGTATTCGTCTTCTTGTTGCCTACGCCATCGCGTTCCTTCTGTAGTCTCGTGCATCTCGATGACTTTGTCCAATCCACAACCTCACATTGCTTAATACACTGGAAATCCCAACGAAAGTGGGCAGTTTTACCAATCTCCCAGTGGACATCCTTATCGAAATAACCCGTTTACTGGACATCAGGCATCTCAGCAAATTGTTAGCAACATGTACCTCCATCGCATTTCATTGTCGCCATCTAGGAACGCTGTCGAATGTTATATCTGTTCTTGAAGATGTCGACCCTGACAGTCTCGAGAACCTCCTGGTAGCCGGGATCGACCCTAACGTCAATGACGGGAAAGGGCACACACTGCTCGCTCTGGCCATTGAACAGGATCGCAACGTCACGCTCATGTATAGCGGACTTGGTATGTTTGAGGAACTGACGCCTGAGAGATATAATAGATTTGTTAGATGTATCATGCTCTTACTACAGTATAATGCTGATCCATCTATACCCAACGATGAGAACAGGCTGCCGCTCGGTTTTGCTAGCTTCGTTCTTTGCGAGGACGAGAAAGTATGCAACGCTTTATACGATAAAGGGGCTAAAATCACCCAGGTGACTCCCTTCGGCGGCATATGCGCATGTCAGAGCCCCTTAAGCATCAAGAAGCTTATTGACAATGGAACCAACATAGTCAGTGCAACAGACTGCTACGGCGAACACCTCACAATATTACACTCTGTAATGAGCAGCTCCAGATTCAACATCCCTGCGAACCAACCAGTGCTAGACTTACTGCTTTGAAACCGCACCTGAGCTCCTGGAGAAACTGGCGTATGATGGAAGAATGCCTCTCCATAACGCTGCTACAAGGGGTAGCGAGGAACTTGTCTGCTACTTACTGAATAAGGGGGCCAACGCCGAGGCGTTGAGCATGTACTACCAAACCCCATTGGTCTGTGCAATGCGTGCTAGAGCTGTAGGTATAGTACGACTACTGTTTACCAAGGTAGTTAGCATACATCCAAGACCACTGCCTCAAAATTACCAGTCACCACTATCAGCAGCGCTCTATGGTATTGCACATTCTGACGGTCGCTTTAACCCTAAGTCGCTTCAAATTGCGAGGATTTTGCTCGAGCATGATAGAACGATAATGGATGATGAATGCAACGCGTTGACCAAAGGGATACGTTTGCGACAGATGCCAGCCGAGTGCCGTGAGGACCTCAAGGCGATTTTGAGGATTTCGGGGATTTCGCAGGCGCAAGAGACTGGACCGTCTCATACAGGACTCTTAGAGCATGGGATGCTCCTCCGTTTTGCAATCTATCTTCTTATTATATCCTTAGGTGTTCGGGTTATACTTGCACTTCGTTCTGAGACTGCACTGTTCTAGTGAAATTCATTCGTGGCTGCACCAAGTGGAACTAGCCTGACTCGATACAATGCCCCCGAAACGCAGATCTATTCCTTCAAAATACAATAACATGTAAATCAATCCAGTTAATTCACCCCCATGGCCCAGATCCAGTCGAATACTTATGTTGAAACCCATAACATAATTAAACTCTATATGAGAGTAGTTAATATTGCATGGCTTATAGTCTACCACGGCCTTCATACCAAGATATAAAACAACCAAGGTCCTTTCTTATTCTTCACTTACAGAATACTCCAACAAAAAGAGCACCAAAAATAAAGAAAGAACGAAAGAAAGAAAGAAAGAGAAAGTTAACAAAAGCTAAAACATCATCCAGCCATATGGTAAGTAAGTCATGTTCTCAATAGTGCACCCCGCTAGTGACACTACAACCCATAGAAAAGCAATAAACCCCCTATTCCTCGACTCCATATTTAGATCGCCAGTCGATATGCTTCGGACACCAATCCCGAAAAAATGAACACCGCCCCGCTCGACTTTTCGTCGCGGTTCTCTGATATACATGCCCAAATTGGGGGACCTCTCAGTCGGGAGGGTAAAAATAGATATCAGATCAGGAGGATGTGTATCATGATCCATCCTGCATGTCAAAAGTACGGGCAAATGGCGGTGAATGGCACCAGGTCAGATACTACTAGTAGTAGTATCAGCCCATTGCATTGCCAGGCGCAATTTTCCAGAGCAAGAAAACAGGGGAAAAGAGAGAAACAAACAAACGAAAGAGAAAAAGTTTCTTGATTATCATTAACTAATAGCAGAACAGGCAATTGCTTTACAACCAACACGACAGAATGTCCATCCCATCCAACCGTCGGGCATCCTTTTGGTATCCATCCTATCACGTCGATTATCATACACGCCATTGACATACATGAAGATATATCACTTGAATATATTTTTTTTCCGTCTTTTTCGGTTTTCTCTCTTGAACCATCCCTCTTGGGTCCGTGGGTATCAGGAAATAGGGTCTCCGTGGGCTTCCATCCCATCCGTCGAATAGCCAAAAATAAAAACAAAACGACAACAGAGAAGATATCAATCTGTTACTTCCGTTAGGCCTTTTCGCCCTTGAGCTTACGCTTGAACCATCCGAAGAAACCGCTCTTTCGCTTCTCGAGCTTGGCGGCCTCGGCCTTGGCAGTTTCTTGTGCCTTGCTGGCTTCGGTCTGCACGGTCTCCTTGGCCTGGTCGATAAGACTCTTGCCCTCCTCAGGCTTGCTGGTGGTATCGGCCGGCGTGGCCTGTGCGGCCTGGGGCTCCTTCGTCTTGGCCTCTTCGGGTTTCTTGATGTCCTCCGGCTTCAACTCCTCCGGCTTCTTGGCTGTAGCGGCACTTTCCTCCTGAGCATCCTGTACTGCACGGGGCTCCTTGGTCTTGGCTTCCTCGGGCTTCTGAATCTCCTGCGGCTCCTTTGCGGCGCCGGCACCCGCTTCCTGTGCCTCCTTAGCAGCAGGTTGATTCTCTGGGAGCTGATCCTTGACCGCTGCAGTGCCCTCCTGCACCTCGGGGGCCGGCTTGCTCTCTTGAGGGATGTTGTCCTTGAGAGCAGCCTGAGTGCTGTCAGACGCGACCTGGGCTTCCTGTTCCACCTTGGACACGGCTTGGTCGGCAGAAGTAACCTTCGAGTCGGGGCCGTCGTGAATGCTGGAGGGAACCTTCAGGACGGGTTCAGCGGCAGGTGGAGCAGAGGTTGCAGTGGCGGTTGCAGAAGCGGCCTTGGCGGTCGAGTCGATTCCTGAAGGAGCTGCGCCGGTTGTCAGTTCGGTTTTAGACGGAGCTTCCGGTTCGCTGGTAACTGCTGCAGCGGTGGTAGGCTCGCTCGCGACCGTCTCCTCTGCCTTAGAAATCTCCGAGTCTTTAGGCTGCTCAACCAGATCAACTTTGCCGGCAGAAGTGGGGGCTCCCGTCGGAGCAATGTCCTCTGCGCCCTTAGGTTCGGTGATCGTCTCCTCTTCTGCCGTAGGGACCTCAGACTGCTTGGGCTTCTCAGTAGCATCAGCACTGACATCAGAGGTAGGGGCTCCCGTTGGGGCAATGTCCTCTGCGCCTTTGGGCCCGGTGGAGGTGCTAGAGGCAGGGACAGCCGATGCCTCAGTGGCCGAGGGGGCCGTAGACTTCTCCTCCAGGGAAGAGAGACCGGGGACATTGAGGACGGTTGATACATGGTCATTAGGGTCAGCACCGAGGCCTGGCACAATCTGAGGTTGCACGCTACCCGTTTCGGCGGGAACTTCAGGTTTCCTGGCTAAGGATCCCGTCTCAGCAACATGACCAGAGGTTGCACCGGCAGCCGCAACTGTATCATCCACCTTCGCAATCTTATGGGGCAATTCATCGTCCTTGGCCGTCAGACTGCCCTCGTAGGGCCGTTTAGCATGAGCATCGAAGGTGTCGGTAACGGTCTCTTTCGGGCGCTCGGGGAGGGAAATTTCCGTTCCAGCAGTGGGGGCCAGGTTCTCAGGGGTCAATTTGAGTGGCTCCTCTGTCACGGACGGTTCGACTGTGGAAAGAAAGAGTTCAGCTAGGAGTATTGGGTGGAAGACAACAAACATGCTACTTACCCGCTCCGATTGCCTCTCCATTAGCCAACTCGGCCTTGTCAGCCAGGCCAGTCTCCGCCTTGTTTACAGCGTCCTGCAAGATCTCTCTGGCCTCTTCAGTGGAGGCCGGCGGCGCGGCTGAGGGAAGATTGGGAGTCGCATCGGGGACAGTAGTTGTAGGGCCCGCCGTGGCGGCCTCAGTAGGTTCTGTGACAACATCACTGACCTCGCCTTCTCCCTTCGCAACGGTCTCCTCGACTTCATGACCAGGGGTCCTGTGCAGATGTCAGTATAGCTGCAGAGACGCGCGACTGCCCGTCCCGGAAAGATCCGGCGCGGGTGATGCAAAGTGCGACTTACACGGGGTTCTGAATATCAGTGGCCTGCTTGACCGCGGCGGCGGCGGCACCGCCGGCCTTGCCGCCCTTGTTCTTGCTCTTACCCTTTCCTCCTTTCTTGCCCATGGTGGTCGACGATAATCTGGTTGCGAGCGGAGGGTTAGAGAAGGTTGGGACACGTATCGATGACGACAAGAGGTTGCGCGGGGTTCTGAGGGTCGCATGGAGACTTACAGGATGGTCGAGAGTGATGGAGGATGGAAGGTTGATACAGAATTGAGGCGTTGGGCGACTCAATTCAAGCGGTGGCAGTCTGGAAACGGACAGGTTGCGTGGAATCAGGGGTGGGTGAAGGTCTGCCTGGTATGTTGGTTCTTTCCGAATGCTAATTAATTCGTTCGGCGAACGTTAATCCGTGATGGTCGGGAGGGCAGTCCGCGCTCTGCCCAAACAACAATTTTCCGCCGTCGCGAGATGTCTTGGAGTAGCTAGCGTTGTAGTGGCAAAAGAGGAGCGTAAAAATAAAGAGTGTCGAGCTCTAAATTGACAATCGCAAACCATGCAACCAAAGTAAACATTGAACACACTCTGGTCACGCGCGGGTCACATGAGGCGCATCCAAGGGACACTTTCGATCCTTGCGCGCTACAGAAACTTGTTTTCTAAGGGGAAGAAATGGCTGGAAAGGAGAGCAATCTAAATTGTGATTATCACCTTGCCAAATGGGCATAACAATTACAGGGGAATCGTTCAGGTTTTACAGCCATGGCTACTCGTTCTCGTCTTGCTGCCGCCATAGTTCGGAAACAAACACCTTGCCTCCCCTCCAATTGGCATGATATCTATTGAATTAACCCTAAAGACGAACTCAGACATCCGCTGGTTTCAGATGATTGATGCGATCATGGGATTGGAAATTTCCGAAGAAGGATCTCAGGAGCTCTCGGTCGCTGAGAGGCATGATCTGAATTCGAAGCAGTCCGCTGTTTTCGGTGGCGGCGATCCGTGCTGTGCCTGCAGTAGTTGGACTCTTAGCAAGGCTGGGGTACAGCTAACCCTACCGCGGACCATTGTTGTTCCGGACGAACGACGTTTCCGGGTAGGGTAAGTTTGCACTTGACCTAGCCATCACGGGGACTGATGGTTGGACTTGATCCTAGGCGATCGGAATATGTTGATGCATGTGCAATGACAATGCAGAGACACATTTGACAAAGCTATACTGTCTTTAAAGGCATACGCATATACTCGTAGAGTCTGTAGCTTGGTCGACAAGCGAGTCATATCATCAAGAATGTGTGCTGCCTATCAACGTAAAATAGCCTCTTTGCCCAGAAAGTGTGGGCTACCGGTTACGTAGAGCTAGGTCTCGAGAGACCAGACAAGAATGGCAGTGTGCGCCCTGCAGGGCTTGACCTGGGCTGACCTGACCTGGGTTGACGGTCAAGGTTCTATGACTAAGTGGATATTCACTGGCTGAGACACAGCCAGCCAACGGACAGAAGTTATTCATGGTTACTTGGCCTGGATTACTTAGTAGTGTCCCTTGCCGATTGTGGTGTGAAGGACCATCCAATGATGCGTATAGCATGCATAAATGCCTAAAGAAGACAAGGTGAAGAAGCTGAATGTTCCAGAAGGTGGACCGGGGTGACATCATCGGTCATACGCAGCGGAGTGCCCAACAAAGACTCCGTCAGCCCCTTGCAGCCACAGCCGAAGCGTCCTCGAGCACTCGAGTACTAGTAGGTATCAACAGCAGAGGGAAATAAAAATAGAAACAAAGAAGGTAAGAGAAATAAAGAAGGGAACTACAGTGTATGTTGTAATATATGCAAAAATATTGACCGACGCAGGGATCGAACCTGCAATCTCTTGATTCGTAGTCAAGCGCCTTGCCATTGGGCCAGCCGGCCTAGTTATTGAAATGGTTGAGAGATATTTGCCTACATAAAGCCAGTCAACTATGTAGACTACCCGCAACACGGAAACAGCGTGCCGAGTGGGGGACGCCGACGGGTCCGCCGGCATCAGCATCCCAGACATATCATTTGCCCACACCCACTTATCATGAATCACATTATTGATGGATATTAGCAAAAAATTACTAGTGTCTCTAGTCGCTGTATACCCACTGTGCCAACGCCATTGACGGCATCGAACGGCGATGGGAAGTGTGGTCGGAGTCACCACCCCGGCCAAGGATTGACGTTGCATACATCAACGAACAATGATCTCGATATGAGTCGCATCTACGACGGTAATGATCGATAACAATAATGTTTATTCCGCCGCATGTTACATCCGGGTGACACTCGGGTTCTTCGAAGTCTGCGGTTCCTTGGGTTGGCTGGCTCGGTGGTGGCACGTCGATCGGTCCGGCTTGGCCGATGGACGTTCTGGAATCCTTCGCTGCAGCACACGACAGCATTGCATTCCTCTGACTTTTTTCAGTCATGGGTGTCCCATTGCCACCCCATTATGCAGCAGGTGGGCGAACTACCAATACCGCGCGTCAGGGAGGGCAACCAGTTGTCATTCTTGAGCACGGTAATTTATCGCCCCTTCTGATTGGGAGTTTCCAGAGGGAGAATCCCTTTGCAACCCATCGGCCAGGAATGCTTGGCCAGCGGCGAACCACCCGAGCAAACGTAACCATGGTAGGATTGGTGGAAAAGGGTAGTACCTTTCCTTGATGCACCCTGCACACACAGGTCGGCGCAACCCGATGATTTCTGTTTGATTGTGAACGGGGCGAGAAAAGGGAAAGTAATCAATCGGCCAGGGTTGGGAGACAGCCGGGCATCGGCCATCGCTGAACCCTTGCGGCATTTCTTTTCACATTGAAAGGCCTGCTGGGCAGGCGAACAGTTGGCCTGGCCCTCACAGTCATCAAATTAATTATTATTGGCCCCCAGATAAGCCGTCAGATTCCTCCAAAAGGTAAACTCTCCAGTGACTCTGGACTTTTATCGAGGACGTATCGCATTGTCAATGCGATAGGTAACTCGACTAAACCATTCGGGAAAACCGGATCGTGGTCTGGGTTCCAGTACTGTACTGTGTGTAATCATTAATGTGCGCACACCCACACAGAGATAGAGACAGAGACAGTGCTAATGAAATCTCCACGTTGACTTGACGCCCCTCTTTTTCTGATTGTCTCACCGGATGAAGCGATGGCTTATCGCGGCTTAGAGCGCCGTGCTAAACCTAGCAGGGAAGTAGACGATAACCTTAGGCCCGGTTAATACGGTACCGACGGTACAGTCGGGTATGCCTCGTCGTCTGGTATCCCAGTACCTGGTACGCACAACCCCCCAGTCATGCCCGCTGAACCAATGACCACCGGCGTTTTGCATTTCGCTCCTAATGGAAACTCCCCCAAGCCTATGAAATCATCGGTATGACCCATGTAACCAACTACTGGAGTGGGATTCCGTCGATGTTCCGTAGTTTACCACTTAACCTGTCTGAGCTATATTCCTTCCAACGCCCCCCCCCCCCCAACCCGCTATCTATTCTATGACTTCCTGTCTCTCTCTCTCTCTCATTACTTCTTCTTCTTCCCATTCCTTGTTCACACCAACCTCTTTCCTTCATACTGGTCTATGCAAACGATGATATCACAGTTTGTCCGTAATTACGACTGTCGCTTGTGCTTGCACGCTCTCCCTCGCGTCCATTCCCTTCTTGGGAAAGGTCTGCTGCTGTGAGTTGCTGACTGGATCTGACGCTTGTTCCCATACATCGAACTATAGACACCCGGTTCAAACCACTTGATTGTACACACGGGAAATAGGAGGATTTTTGGGTACCGCTTGCCAGCATGAGTTTTCGCGAAAAGGTTCGCAGGGTGTTTCGTCGCTCGTCTAGCGGTTCGAAATCGAAGGACCAGTCCAATCCCATCAAAATCGAGTATTACAAGCGCCATGAAATTCCACCGTCCAAGTTCAAGGGCCCATTTGACCGCGAGCATCAAAAGAGGCTGGCGGCATGGTCCTTTGGCGACGCCCAGGACGAACGCCCTCGTTCCTCGGATCTCTCTTTGTCCCCTTGCGCATCGTTGCCCGACTATTTGAGGCCTCGTGTCCAGGAGCATAGTGTGGCTCCTGACGAGATCCCCTCGATTGCCCCAGAGCATTTGTCTGATGGTACGTAACCCTACCCTTCCTACTGTCCCCCTTGCCGCATTCTTAATTCTTAACCCCCACGTGCTGGACCGCTGTCTAACATCGACTAGTTTCCGCCACGATCTCCGACGACGAGCGCCAGGAGAACAGTGGATCCACCTCCTCGACTGCGTATGACCCGGACAGCTACAGCAGCTCCATGATGACTCTCTTCGACGAAGTGATCCGACAGGACTCGATCGCCCACCTCAAGGAGACCATCCGGTACACGTCACCCGTGGTCCGGGCCATCTCCCCACCCCCGCTGTCCCCCAAGGGCAGCTACATGCCGTTTGCCCCCGAAGATTTGACCCGTGCTTTGAATGCCGTGCAAATCTGTGGTTAAACCGACTTCTGGCCAAGTCTCTTCACTTCTTACGTCACGTGAGCGTCCGACCACACGGCGCTTGCCTACTCGGACCCATTTCCCATATTTTAATCATCGACGACCCTGGTGTGCGCTTCCATTCTTCCCGCCCTATTTCTCCCGAGTAGTGTGGCGGTTGGTCATGATTCGAGATGACCCGATTTACGAGGACCACTTTTCCGCCGCTTTGACGCGAGGGGGCAAAACTTAATTCCCCCCCAACCTGGACCTCCACTTGCCTTCCATGCATGCAACGAGCGATGTTTTCAAAAAGCGAACGGTTTCCCGTGTATTGTGCTTTAAGCGTATACCCGTTTGAGGTTTGAATTTTTTTTTTCCCCCGGGGGTTCCCGGGGTGGATTGTACTGTACGTACATGATTATTAGACGAATAGAATCAGTGTACCAACAAGAAGCCCTTGTTTATTTCCGCGGAGTAAGCCCAGCCAAGCAAAAAGTAAGGACATGCATAGAAACGAACCGGCTTCTAGACTCTTCCCCTCACCCACTGAGCAGTCAAGCTTTGAGGCAACCATGGGATGTTAATCGTTACCGCCAAGACAATAGACCAACAAACCGTTTCGACCCAACGTCGATCCGCGTTACCCAGAATGTCGGTCACGCGATGCCACTGCCAATAAGATGAAGACTGTTATTCGCATGATTGGTCTGGCCTTGGGGGACGCGTCGGCAGTTGTGGAAATAGACTCGACGTTGTTGTGAGGTTAAGTTTATGCTTCGTTGCACTTCGGCTGATGTCCTGCTTGTCATGTTGATTAGGATGTAACTTTGTCCCAAGGTTTCTTTGGATATCTCCACTGTTATCATGAAATGACGTACAGTGCTAAGCATATTTGGCAAAAAGATCCAAAGACTACCTGATTCAATACACTTGTCGCCGCTTTAATGATAGCACGTGAGCATCCAGATTCCTTCCAACCGGACACAAATTCAAGCCCTCAAAACTCTTCATTGGAGAACTATCTTCACTTTCTTCTTGAATTCGTACTGTAGATTGTGCATGTCATCCAAAACACTTCAGACTGTGTCACTCGGGATTTCCCCCCCCCC